TCAGAGATATCAAAATTTTGAATACAAATTTATAAGTTGACAAGTGAATGAACATTTTAAAGCAAAAATGAGGTCTTTAGGTGAAAGTATGCTGAAGTTATAAGGCTTAGAAGGTGGAAGAGTAAAAGGTAGAATTTTAAGATTTCCCCATTCATTTCTAATGGTACAAATTTTGCACAAAAAGTTAAAAAAATCAAAAAGTTTAAAGGGTAGAAAAAAGAAAAAATACATCTGCACATGTCCTGAAGGAGTGGAATAGTTTAAAGTTTGAATGGTTGAAATAGCACAAACTGGAGAAAAGTTATAACGGTCCAAAAAACGGCGGAAGAAAAATTATAATAATAAAGAAATAGGAGAATAACAATAAGTGGAAATGCTTAATCAGCATTTCCACTTAATAACCTGCAGATTGAACCTCAATGGAATTGAGAGTCTCTGAGTGTTTTTAACTCTGTGCTGAAAACTGTCTGTATGTCGCTGTTTCAGCTGACGTTTGATTGTGACTCTTCTTGTTGCTGATGTGGATCTGTGTGAGTCTGAGTGTGTTTGTTTTTTGCTGCCATTCTTGGTCAGGACCCCCCCTGAAAAAGAGATTGATGATCTCAACAGGACTAGTCTGGTTAAATTAAATCAAAAAGACACACAACCTGCCTCCTGTCTTTGTCCTCTACAGAAAACCTGATCCAGCTGCAGGACTCACATCTGGGACATGTAAGACCACATGGATCCATGACCCAGACGGAGCGGTAACATGACATCCGGCAGAAACAGACACAATAAAGACAAACAGACGAGGTGATTTCAGTGACTCAGTTTGAGGATTTTTATGATTTTTTTACCCACAATCAGAGACTTGACCACAATCTGAGCTGAGTCAGAAACATCCAAACAGTCGGACTAATAAATGTGATTATTATTATTAGAGTGATTGAAAAGCTCATAACAACATGTAGATCTGTCCAAAGTCTGATTCTAGATGTCTTTACAAACACACTGATCCAACAGAAGCAGACAGAAATATCCATCGATCACATGAACACAAATATTCAGCAAACAGAGAAAGAAACAGATCATCTGAAGAGTTTTTGGGGACGACTGGAAAGACTTTAGACGCTTGGATTTGGGACAGGAAATAAGGTCGTCCTTTTTCTGTGATTTTGACCTCACTTTTTTCTAAAGTCTCAGACCTTCAACATCTGCACCAACTGAAGGTGATTTGAACAAACCATCATCTTGATGTTGTTGATATCAAACTTGATGAAGATTTTTCAACATGAGAAATACAAACAATCAAAGTTCTCCACAATCACTGTCCTTAAAGCTGCGACCAAATCAGCATCTTTAGAAAAGAATCAAAAAGCTGAAATGAAGAACTAAACCCAGAGTTTTTGGTGAGACTGATCCACAAACATTTACAAACCAGAACATTTCAAGAGTTCAAGGATCTCAGTCCATGATTTTGGTCTGATGGACTCAAAATTCTCTTTATTTCACTTCTATAAACTCAGCAGAGTCTCCATCAGACCAGAACCTCAGTCCAGCATGTAGAGGTTCAGTGAATGTGGTCTGGACTCTGTGGAGGAGAGTCATGGTTTCAGAGACCCTGTAGAAGGACAGAATACCTGCTCTGTGATCCAGGTACACTCCTACTCTGGAGGACAGAGGACCTGAGACACGAGTGAAGACGTTGTTGTGACTAAATCTATAACTGTCTTTAGAACAGTCTAACATCCAAGATTTGGATCTCCTGATAGTCTTGTATGCGACTGCTACAATAACCCCCCTCCCTCTCCAGTCCACCTCCCAGTAACAACGTCCAGTCAGACTCTCTCTACTCAGGACCTGAAGATAATAATAAGTGAATCTGTCTGGATGATCAGGATAAGACTGTCGTTGTCCTAGTGTCCTTGTTGCTCTTCTGTTTCCATCAGATAATAACAGTCGTCTGTTTGCTGTGTTTGGATCCAGTGTGATTCTTTGTGAATATCTTAAGAAACCAGCTCTGGTCTTGGGTTCTGCTGGTCCTGGTGGTTCTAACAGTAAAACATCCACTTCAGTCACGGCCTGTGAGACGTTTGTCCACGTCTTTGTCAGAAGATCCTGGAGTTTCTCTCTGACCTTTGACACAGCTGCTGTCACCTCCTCAAAGTATCTCAGAGGACGGATGTTGATTCTGGATGAGTCTGCAGGTTGACCCGGTTCTGACAGTGAGGGGTAGCTGTGCAGAAACTGGTTGTGGTCCTCTGTGAGTGAGAGCTTCTGCAGATCAGCGTCTTTCCTCTTCAGCTCAGTGATCTCCTGCTCCAGCTTCTCCTGAAGGTCTTTGACTCGACTCACTTCACGTTCCTGCTGGGATCTGACCTGCTGCTCCACCCCAGAGCGAAGTTTATCCATCAGACGGATCAGCTGGCTGAAGATCTCCTGGCTGTGCTCCACAGCTTTATCAGCAGAGCCGTTGATAGCCTCCACCTCCTGTTGGAGCAGCTTCACATCTTCTTCTCTGTCCTGGATTCTCTGCTGGATGTTTTCTCGACTCTCCTCCAGATCTTTCTGCCTCTCAGTCCTTTCTGCTGCAGCTGAGACTGTGTCGTGACCTTTGTGTTGGTCCACAGAGCAGAGATAACAGATGGACTTCTGATCAGTGCGGCAGAACATCTTCATCACCTCATCATGACGAGAGCAGATGTTCTCCTGGAGCTTCTTGGAGGGCTCCACCAGCTTGTGTTTCTTAAATGAAGCAGATTCAAAATGAGGCTGGAGGTGAATCTGACAGTAAGAAACCAGACATTGAAGACAGGACTTGACAGCTTTCAGTTTTCTCCCACTGCAGAAATCACAGACCACATCTTCAGGTCCAGCCTCAGAGGAACCATCAGGAGCAGCTTGGAGTCCACTCTTCTTCACTTCCTCCACTAAACCTGCTAACATGGTGCTTTTCTTCAGGACAGGCCTCGGTATGAAGGTCTCTCTGCACTGAGGACAGCTGTAGATCTTCTTCTCATCCTCTTTATCCCAGTAGGATTGAATACAGCTCATGCAGAAGCTGTGTCCACAGGAAACAGTCACCGGATCCTTCAGAAGATCCAAACAGATGGAACAAGAGAAAGACTCACGGTCCAGATGAACTCCTTTCTGCGCCATTTCAACACTCGCTGTCGACGACGACTGACTGAGTTTTATTTCCTGAGAAGTGAAACTAGTCTGAGCTCTGATCTCAACAACATGAGTGAGTCAGCAGGATATGACCTCAGCACACGACGGTTACACCCAACCAAGACTGTAGATCTGAGGGGGAGGGAGGAAGGAAGGGAAGGGAACAAGGAAGTGAGAGTGCAGAGTGGAGTGAGCTGTGAGAGACGAGGGAGGGGGGGAACCAGTTTGTCTACAATCCAGGAGGAGGAGTGTCTCTGTGAACTTTAGACTCTCAAACTCCAACAAGCAGAAGTTCTTAAAGCTGCAGCCGTCCTGAAGATCAACTGAACCAACATTTGTTCACCTCATAGAAACCTCATCGAGCAGAAACACACTTCAACTGTTTTAGAGCCACAGAGTTAAAGGGACAACACAGAGAAACACTCTCTCTCTCTATCTCTCTCTCTCCCCTCCCTCTCTGCTCCAACAAGCCCCGCCCACAAACAGACGCTCCTGCTCGCTCGTATCGTTCCAATTAAATTCAGATATAAAGCAGATAAATACTTCAGATCATTACAAATGGGGCCCAGTCAAGGTGAAAGTCAAAAGCATTGGTGCTACTGTAGATGCCAACAGACTACCAGCAAACACAATGTTTGCAGGACTTCTACAACGAGGATAAAGTGACATAGTCCAGGACCCGAGGGAGGACAGTTTAGCGATGGCGCTACAACACGCTACAGCAGGTCCGTTTGACAAGAAACACTTCTGTTACAGACACTTGTCTTACTTTGTTAAAGCGGTTTACCTGTCCAGCAGAAAGGTTACAGGGTCACCAAGATCCCCAAGCGTCCCCCATCGTTTATGTTGACCCGGCTTTTTAGCTCTTGTCCGGTCTACCTCCGTTTTAAGCGCCCGTTATTCCTCCAGAGTCTCCGGTATTTACTTTGTTTTCTTGCTTGTGTCGGCAGTCGTGGCCAGAGGAGGATTCCGACAATTTTCCGAACTTTCTGGTTGGTTTCTACTGTCCGATATTGTAGCACGCTAACTTTGTTTGGGCTCCTGAACGACACGGGGGAGCAGCATTTTCTTGTTAACAGTATTCTTGTTGACTGCTTTGGTGTTGACTGTTTATGGTTGACTGTTTTCTTGTTGACTGTTTTCTTGCTGGCTGTTTATGGTTGACTGTTTTCTTGTTGACTGTTTTCTTGTTGACTGTTTATGGTTGACTGTTTTCTTGTTGACTGTTTTCTTGTTGACTGTTTTCTTGTTGACTGTTTTGATGTTGACTGTTTTCTTGTTGACTGTTTATGGTTGACTGTTTTCTTGTTGACTGTTTTCCTGTTGACTGTTTTCTTGTTGACTGTTTTGGGGTTGACTGTTTTCTTGTTGATTCATTATGGTTGACTGTTTTCTTGTTGACCGGTTTGGTGTTGACTGTTTATGGTTGACTGTTTTCTTGCTGACTGATTATGGTTGACTGTTTTCTTGTTGACTCATTATGGTTGACTGTTTTCTTGTTGACTGTTTTTATGTTGACTGTTTTCTTGTTGACTGTTTATTGTTGACTGTTTTGGTGTTGACTGTTTTGATGTTGACTGTTTTCTTGCTGGCTGTTTTCTTGTTGACTGTTTTCTTGTTGACTGATTATGGTTGACTGTTTTCTTGTTGACTGTTTTCTTGTTGACTGCTTTGATGTTGACTGTTTTCTTGTTGACTGTTTTGATGTTGACTGTTTTCTTGTTGACTGTTTATGGTTGACTGTTTTCTTTTTGACTGTTTATGGTTGACTGTTTTGGTGTTGACTGCTTTGATGTTGACTGTTTTCTTGTTGACTGTTTTGATGTTGACTGTTTTCTTGTTGACTGTTTATGGTTGACTGTTTTGGTGTTGACTGTTTTGATGTTGACTGTTTTCTTGCTGGCTGTTTTCTTGTTGACTGTTTTCTTGTTGACTGATTATGGTTGACTGTTTTCTTGTTGACTGTTTTCTTGTTGACTGCTTTGATGTTGACTGTTTTCTTGTTGACTGTTTTGATGTTGACTGTTTTCTTGTTGACTGTTTTCTTGCTGGCTGTTTTCTTGTTGACTGTTTTCTTGTTGACTGTTTTCTTGCTGACTGATTATGGTTGACTGTTTTCTTGTTGACTATTTTCTTGTTGACTGTTTTTGGTTGACTGTTTTGGGGTTGACTGTTTTCTTGTTGATTCATTATGGTTAACTGTTTTCTTGTTGACTGTTTTCTTGCTGACTGATTATGGTTGACTGTTTTGGGGTTGACTATTTTCTTGTTGATTCATTATGGTTGACTGTTTTCTTGTTGACTGTTTTGGTGTTGACTGTTTGCTTGCTGACTGCTTTGTGGTTGACTGTTTTGGTGTTGACTGTTTTGGTGTTGACTGTTTTGATGTTGACTGTTTTCTTGTTGACTGTTTTCTTGTTGACTGTTTTTGGTTGACTGTTTTGGGGTTGACTGTTTTTGGTTGACTGTTTTGGGGTTGACTGTTTTCTTGTTGACTGTTTTGGTGTTGACTGTTTGCTTGCTGACTGCTTTGATGTTGACTGTTTTCTTGTTGACTGTTTTGGTGTTGACTGCTTTGATGTTGACTGTTTTCTTGTTGACTGTTGTGATGTTGACTGTTTTGATGTTGACTGTTTTGATGTTGACTGTTTTCTTGTTGACTGTTTTTGGTTGACTGTTTTGGTGTTGACTGTTTTCTTGCTGACTGATTATGGTTGACTGTTTTCTTGTTGACTATTTTCTTGTTGACTGTTTTTGGTTGACTGTTTTGGGGTTGACTGTTTTCTTGTTGATTCATTATGGTTAACTGTTTTCTTGTTGACTGTTTTCTTGCTGACTGTTTTCCTGTTGACAGTTTTCTTGCTGACTGTTTTCTTGCTGACTGTTTATGTTTGAGTGTTTTCTTGCTTGTGTCGGCAGTCGTGGCCAAAGGAGGATTCAGACAATTTTCCGAACTTTCTGGTTGGTTTCTACTGTCCGATATTGTAGCACGCTAACTTTGTTTGGGCTCCTGAACGACACGGGGGAGCAGCGTCTGCCTCACAACCAATCAGGTTAGAGGAGGTGGAGAACGGCTTTGTTTACAGTCAGAAAGAGCGGACCGCTCAAAAATGTTCAAATGTTGACGACACAGACATAAGAGAACACAGAGATATCGATATATTACCAAATGTCATCAATAACTAATAACTATTGACTGATATTAGAAGAGTTTTTGCTTCTTTAACAGGTTCCTGTCTACTTCACCTTTAAGTTCAGGAAGTAGTCGAGCTGAACCCTCCTGGTGATCAAACTTGATGCACTCATATCTTTAGTGTTTCTGAAGAACATCCTTCCTGAGTTTCTCGGTGTTTTACCCTGAATTCTGTCCTTCAGGATGAAAACTTTGTCTGTTTTGTGTTTGTTAAAGGAGAGGAGCTCAGAGGAGGTGATTTCTGTCCAGGATGGAAAACCTGAAGGAGCAGCTTTGCTCTGGGAGGTGTCAGCTCACATGTCTGCTCTTTCACAGGCTGAAGTCACAGGCTGGAGGGAAGTGTTGGGTTTTAATGAGGTGTGATATTCCTCTTTAGGAATACGAGCCTGAGGATCAGATCGACATCAGGATGAGGCCCTCAGGAGGGGACCAGAGGACCAGAGGAAGAAGGTTTACTCTGGAAGAATCTGGAGTTTTGGACGTTTACGGTAAACGGTTTAGATTATTTTATTAAAAATACTGAGTCTGTAAAAAACCCGTCGATATAAAAACTCAGACGATCACATGAATCAGGTCAGAGGTGAACCGAGGTCAGCTGTATCATATGGCTGAAAAACACGAGGCACGTGACGTAAATGTCAACATCATGTTCAGAGCGACTAAAACAGACGCTGACGACCAAAACGACCAATCAGGGACTCTCCTCCTGGTCATGTGACGCTCTGCTGGAGACGCTGCTGCAGTCTGATCTCACCTGCAGACTCCGCTGTGATCAAGTGTGTGTGTGTGTGTGTGTGTGTGTGTGTGTGTGTGTGTGTGTGTGTGTGTGTGTGTCACCCTCGTTATCTCTAAACGAGTCACAGCTGAGTTCAGGATTATAGATCTGAGTTTTAAATCTTTGGAGGCTGCAGGTCGAGGGTTTGATCTCAGGACGTTTATTTTTGAGTTAAGGGTAAAAATGAAACCTGAACCCTCAGAGTTTTGGTTTTTCTTTATTCTCTTCACACGGTCTCACGTCTCTGCAGGTCTGAGCCGGGAGCACAGACCGATGTTTGAGTCACTCCTGAGGTTTGAACACAGAAAGTTTTATCTCTTTATTTTCTGTTTTACATGAAATAAAGTCTCCACAGTACAAAACCCTCGTCCATAACTCACAGTCTGAATCTTAAAAATGTTTGTCTCTCTCGTTAGAAAGTTAAAGTACAAATATTTGGTCATAAAAACGTCTTTTTTTATCACAGATCTGAAGTTTTAAAATCAGAAACAGCTTCAGTCTGTAGTCCTCTGGTCTCAGGTCTTGAGTTCTGCTACATCTAGTGGTCCAAAGTGATAATAACATGTTTTTAAAATCAGACTGACTCATTATTGAACAGAAGAAAATCTAAAGAACAACAGATTAGATAACGACGACAGTTACACATGAAAGAAGATGGAAATAGGTCCTTAAGAGTCAAAGAGCTTCAGTCTCTCCTGGACAGAGAGACCTTCCTTCAAACTCTGAAACACAGAAAAACCCACAGAATTCAGAAAAACAGGAGAAAGAAGGAGAACGTTCATCGTCTTCAAGTTAAAGAATAAAACCCTCAAAAGGGTCAATCCTTCACTTTTATCAACTCTGATTTCTGCAGCTTCACCTTTGACCTCACTCCTCTGATCTGACGTGTGAGCGAAGATTTCTCGGTTTTCTTCAGGAAAGCGGCGCCGGTCGTGTTCGTCGTGGCGTCCTCTACAGAAACAGGAGGATCAGAGAAAAACAGGAAGTGAGTCTTCATTTTAAAAACAGAATAGAATAGAATAGAATATTCCTTTATTGATCCCCCATGGGGGATCAATAAAGGAAAGAGTGCAAAAATGCAGTTATAACAATAAGGATCCTAATATTAAGAACTTAGATAAATGTAATAATTAAGAAAAAATTTAGAAAAGGGAAAAAGGGAGAAGAAAAAAGTAAAACTTTCTACAATATACACAATTTACACAATTTAAATGCCAGAAAAAAAAAATTAAAGAAAATGTGATTTTATCGTCTCTAAAACTAAATCTGGATATTTTCCTGTTTTCACGCAAAGTTGAAAAAGAAATTCATGAAAACTATAAATACGTGTAACCTGACTGCACATGCTCTCAGATACAGACAGAAATATCCTGAAGCTTCAGCGTCGTCTCAGGAAATATCATCGAAACCAGAGGTTCTCAACTGGTGGGTCCCGACCCAAGAGTGGGTCGCAGACACCTTCTGGATGGGTCGTGAACAGCTGGTCAAAAAAGTAAATATTTCATCTTGACACGTCTTTTATTTTGGAAAATATCTTATTTTGAAAGGCATGTGTTATGGTTGGTCTTTATTTTGTTTAATTCGATATTTTCTGTCTAATTAACTTCAGTCGTTGTCGTCGTCAGTTCATGTGCTCTGAAATGAACTTTACTCAGTAAAAACGGTGTTTTTATGTCAAAGATTTGAGTCTTTAAAGGTTTTTTATAAAAACTAAATTTGCTTGGATTGAATTTTATCACAGTGGGTCGACCGTGGGGGAAACGTGGGTCCCAGAGTGAGACCAGATGAGAACCACTGATCTAAACACACATTAAGGAGACCTCCTGCTGAAGGTCTTCAGGGTCTCACCGAGTCTCTGAGCGTCTCTGCAGACAGACAGAGTCGAGACGCTGAAATCCTCTCGGTGTTTGTCGACGTCTTCTCTGAGTTCATCTGGACTGTTGGTGTAGAGAGCTTTGAGTTTGTTCTGGGCGTAGAGTTTGTCCTGGTACACACAAACACACAAACACACAAACACACAAATACACAAACACACAAACACACAAATACACAAACACATAAATACACAAACACACAAACACACAAACACACAAACATACAAACACACAAAAACACAAACACATAAATACACAAACACACAAACACACAAACACATAAATACACAAACACATAAACACAAACACACAAACACACAAACACAAACACACAAACATACAAACACACATAAACACAAACACACAAACACATAAATACACAAACACACATAAACACAAACACATAAATACACAAACACACAAACACACAAACACACAAACACATAAATACACAAACACATAAACACAAACACACAAACACACAAATACACAAACACACAAACACACAAACACATAAACACACAAACACATAAACACACAAACACATAAACACACAAACACACAAACACATAAATACACAAACACACAAACACAAACACACAAACACACAAATACACAAACACACAAACACATAAACACACAAACACATAAACACACAAACACACAAACACACAAACACACAAACACATAAATACACAAACACACAAACACACAAACACATAAATACACAAACACACAAACACACAAACACATAAACACACAAACACACAAACACATAAATACACAAACACACAAACACACAAACACACAAACACACAAACACATAAATACACAAACACACAAACACACAAACAGACAAACACATAAACACACAAACACACAAACACATAAATACACAAACACATAAATACACAAACACACAAACACACAAACACAAACAGACAAACACATAAATACACAAACAGACAAACAGACAAACACACAAACACACAAACACATAAACACACAAACACACAAACAGACAAACACACAAACACATAAATACACAAACACACAAACACACAAACACAGGTGAGAGACGTGGTTTTATGAACATGTACACAAACACTCGTTCTGGTCCGTGGTCTTATTTCTGTTCTTCGGTTGTTTACCATTCTCGCCATCTTCAGCTCCTCCCTCAGCGAATGAGCTTCCTGTCTGAGGAACATCATCTCAGCTTCTCTGGCTCTCAGGATCACCTGAAACACAGACGACAGGACGCTGACCTCAGGTCGGGGTTTTTATCGGACCCCCGTTCTCCTGGGGTCACATGTTTTTGTAAAGGAGTCGTTTCTTGAACTTCTACCTCCATCTCGTAGAAGTCTCCGCCCTCAGAGGTCACCTGCGTCTGCTTCCCGCTCAGAGAGAAATACTGCTGCGTCATCTCATCCGTCTGTCTCTGCAAAGATGGCCGACACTCAGAGGGCGAGAAGAAGATACAGAGGACGGTTTCAGAAACAGGATGTCGTTTTTCGTCCGTACCTGTTTCCTCTTCAGCTCCTGGTTTTCTCGCTGGAACTCCATCAGCGACTCTCGGTCCTCCAGAAGCTCTTTGCTCATCTGAGAGTTCTCCAGACATTTCTGCGTGTGCTGAACCGACAACACCTCCAGCTCCTTCTGCAGCTCCTGCACCTCCTTCCTGCACAACAGACACGTGAGAACATGAGAACGTGAGAACATGAGAACATGAGAACGTGAGAACATGAGAACGTGAGAACGTGAGAACGTGAGAACATGAGAATATGAGAACGTGAGAACATGAGAACGTGAGAACATGAGAACATGAGAACGTGAGAACATGAGAACGTGAGAACGTGAGAACGTGAGAACATGAGAATATGAGAACGTGAGAACGTGAGAACGTGAGAACATGTCGTCCTGCAGCTCAAACAAACAAACGCCGTGAACGTCACTCACTCGTACTCGGTGTGCAGCTGCGTGATGTCGGCGCTCTCCCTGATCAGCTGAGACCGCCGGCTCCTCTCCAGCTCCTGTTTGTGAGCTCGCCTCATCGCCACGATGGCTGCGGAGAGAGAAACGACCTTCATGATCCTCCGCTCTGAGAAACTTCTCTTTTAAAACGCCGACCTGCACGTCAATGTCACGTCTCATCTCTGACCAATCAAAACCAAGGAGGAGCTTCTGGTCGACAACGAAGGCAAAGAAAACCACCGCACATCAAAACTGTCTGATCCTCTTAGAGGAGACGTGAACCTGCTGCAGGACAGTTTTCATCATCATGAGAAGTTCTCTGAGGTTTCTGGTGGACACAGACGGAGAAGACTCCAGCGTCTCTAAACTAAAAGAGTTTTTTTATTTCTGCTCGTCTAAACGGCGTTTACCTGCCATGGTGGCGGCCGTCTCCTCCTGCAGCAGCTGGTCTTTCTCCTTGAGAAGAGCCGCCACCTCCTGCTGATGCTGCTGCTGGAGGTCACTGATCAGCTGTCTGTGCATCTCCTCCAGAGCGGAGAAGTTCTCCTCCTCAGGAGTCTAGGTTTAAAGATCCTTCAGTTAAAACTCGGTTATAAAAATCTGTCCGTTTGATAAAGAAGAAGAGTTTTTACCTCCAGGATCTCCGAGTCTTTCTGATGGACCTCATGACCTCCTGTCTGTCCTCTGAGCTCCTCCTCTGTCCTCCTCTCCGTCACAGTCTCCTCAGCTGAGGAGGAGGAGGAGGTCTGAGCCTTCTTCTCCTTGAACAGACAGGACTTGTTGTAGTAACTGTGCAGACACTTCATCTCCTCCTCGTGGATCTGCTGCAGCTCCTTGATCTTCTCCTGAAACTCGGCCTCCAACCTGTTGATCCGCTCCTCGTGATAGTCCTCGATCTCCTGCATGTTCTCCAGGAGTTTCTGGTTCCCGGTCTCCATGGAGATGATCTTCAGCTCGGCTCGCTCCAGCTCCTTCCTTAATAAACTGTTGTCGTCCTGAAGCTGGTTTAGAACCTCCTGCTCCGTCGGCGAGATGGTCTCCTCCTCTTTGCTCAGAGTCTGAAGTTTCTCCATCAGCTCCATCAAATCCAGGAGAAGTCTCTCTGACAGGTAGATGATCCTCACCTGCTCCTGGACCCAGCTGGAGTCCACGTCAGGAGGGTTCTCCGTGTCCACACCGCCCTCTGGTGGTGAAGTCTCCTGACGCGTCAGGCGGATGAACTCAGATCTTCTCTGAAGTCGGAGGATCAGCCTCTCTGGTGCGTCTCCTTCTTTCTCCGCCTCCACCTTCTTCACCTCAGACTCCTGGTCCTCACCTGCAGCTCCTCCTGGACCTCGGCCCTCATAAGGAGCTAGCTCAGGCGGGTTGATGTCTGCTAAACTCCTCTGTTGATGTTCCTCGCTCTGTGCGCTCCTCTCTCTCTCGTACTGCTGCTGAAGTTTCAGGGCGCCGTAGACGAGCTCCGCCTCCTCGCAGGCTCTGTGGACGGCGCTCTCCAGAGGTTCGCCGTTTTCACACTCCTTCAGTTTTAACGCCGTCCTCTGAGAGACGATGTTCCTGTACCTCTGAGTCAGGTCCTCCTCCGTCTGTCTCGGCGTTGAGAGGATTTCTCCGCTCTGAAGGACCGTCACCATCTTCTCCACCACGAACAGTTCCTTCATCAAACCATCCTGGTCCTCCTGGTCCTCCTGGTCCTCCTGGTCCTCTGAGGATCTTCTCTCAGGTCCAGACTCATCGTTCAGGATCTTCTCCTCTCCTCTGCCTGCGTTTCGTGATTCCTGCACGTGTTTCTCGGCGTCTTTCTCTCCTTGTTGGAGGCAGGAGGCGGCGGTGGCGAGCTGCCTCTCAAACTCGGTGATGTTGATGGGCGTGGTCTGGAGCCTGTCTCTGCAGACCTGGATGATGTTCAGGGTGACCTGGAACCGGCCCAGCAGCGTCCTGCAGCGGCTCTCGGTCAGCTGGGCGAAGCGCTGGTTCTGCTTGGCGTGGCTGTGCAGCAGGAGGCTCAGGTGCTGGTTGGCGGCCCGGCTCTGGGTCAGCTGGGAGCAGAGGTGGGGGTCCTGACAGGCCTGGTGACCCTGCTGCTCCTCCAGTCTCTGTTTGATGTCCCTCAGCTTCTCCTCCGTCACGTAGAGCTTGGTCTCCAGAGCCTGGATCACAGACATGAACCTCTCGGGGTCGTCTCCAGAAGATGGAGGACCTGAGTCCACTCTGAGAGGACAGGTCTGTTTCTGAGGAGCCTCTGAGGACCTGCAGGTACAGACTCTGATGGTTTCGCTCAGCCGGACCTCCGTCTCCTCCAGACTGTTCCCTAACACCTCCATCTTCAGCAGAACTTCACTCAGCTCCTGCTCCTTCCTGTCCAGGAGCCTCTCGTAACCTTCTCGGATCTCCTGAGTGTCTGCTTCCTTCTGCTTCACCTGACCTAAGACCACCTGCAGCTCCTCACAGACCTTCTCGTAGGAGTGCTCCATGTTGTAGTAGATGGTCTCGTCTGTCTTCAGGCGGCTCTGCAGACGGCTCACCTCCCCGTCGGCCTCGGACAGCTGACTCTGGAGCTCCTCGCAGTGACGCTCCAGCTGCTCCCTCTCCTCCTGGAGCTTCTGAACAGCTGAGACCGTCTGTGAGAGCTCGTCCTGGAGCTGCTGCTGAGCTCTCTCGATCTCCCAGGTCCAGGTCTGAGTCTTACTCAGGTTCTCCACCTGCTCCTCAGCCTGGTCCAGTCTCCTCTGGAGCTCCTGGGAGTGTTGCTCCGCCTGAGCCAGGCTGGCAGCCAGACTCCTCCGCTCTCGGTCCTGACTCTCCTGGAGCAGCAGGAGGTGTTTCTGCAGACGCGCCTCCTTCCGAGCCTGCACCTCCTCGTTGGTTTCCAGCTCACTTTTCATGTCTTGGAGGTTCTTCTGAAGACGAGTGGCCTCCTCCTGGAGACTGTGGTAACCCTGAACCTCCTGCTGCAGCTGCATGAAGCGAGACTCCGCCTCCCTCCTCTGCTCCTCAGCGGCGCTCAGCTCCGACTTCAGGGAGGTCATGCAGCGCTCCCACTCCGCCCGCTGCTCCTGAAACCGCCGGCGGTCGTGCTCCATGTGGACCTGTGCGAGAGCCGTGGCGTCACCCGTGACCAGGAGCTGCGCCTGCTGAGCCAGGAGGTCGACTCTCCGCCTCAGCTCCGCCTCCCTGGCCTCCTCCTGACTCCTCTTCAGAGCCTCCAGCTCAGAGCGGAGGTCGTGGTTCATCTTCTGCAGCTGCTGGAGAGCCGGAGTTTGTTCAGGAGGAAGATCAACCTTCAACAGAAACAAGCAGGAGGAGAAACTCTCAGACTTCCTGTTAGGAGTTCTTAAATCTGAGCGTGTGCAGAAGTTACCTGTAGAGAAGAAGAAGAAGAAGAAGATCGACCCTCTCTCTGCTGCTGAAGCTCATCCTGCAGGTTTCTGTTGACCTGCTGCAGCCGAGAAACTTCCCTCTGAGTGAGTTCGAGCTGTGAGGAAAGATCTCAGACTGTCAGGAGACGTTTGTCCTAAACGGGAGGTCTGATCAATCCGTTTTTGATAAATAATAACACTAATGAATTTATTTATTTATTTATTTCACATCTTTTTTTAACTCCTAAGTTTCTTCACTCTTTCATTTCTCTTCTGTATTTATCGCTGCTGTAAATTCTGCAATTTCCCCTTGAAGGACTTAAATTAATCACTTACATTAAAAAACTTTGAAAGTTTGACAGGGAAGAAATGGAGCTGCTAAAAAACACTGATGTACGGTGGCCCTGAGGGACAAATGCAAAGACATTTTACTGGATGTGAAACATCTAAAAAAAATCAACGACCATTAGAAAAAATAAAAATGCACACATAGAAGTGAAATTTTTTTAAAAATTTTAAAAAATTTCTGTTATGTAAAATGTTTTTTCAGCAGTAAAAAACTATTTTTTATCTGAATAATTTTTTGCATTTTATAAAATATTTTTCATGAAATGTTTTAATGTTTCATGAACATTTTTCGTTTTGTAAAATCTTTTTCATGAAAATTTTTTTACACCTTTTTTATGGGTTTATAAAATATTTTTAAATATTACGAATATTGAGTATTTCATTAAATATTAAATATTTATATTCCAATGAATTTTTTGAATATATCAAATAATATTAATAAAAATATTAGGTTTTTAAAATTATTTTACATGTTTTGAAATATTTTTCAAAGCAAAAACTTTTTGTGTTTGCAAATTTTTGTGGCCAATTATTTTTTGTATTAATAGAATATTTTTGTGTTCAGTAAAATGTTTTTCCTCTTTCAGATCTATTTCCATGTTCTTTCCAGTAAGTTCATATTTTGTAGAATTTTTTTGTTTGCATTTCATAAAAAAAAAATTCACTGGATAAAATATTTATGATTCTTTTTGTTTTTACATTCCATTAAATTTTTGTATTTCATGATTTTTTTAAATCATAATTGGGTGTCTATTTTGTTGTATAAAGTCATAATTTTTCATAATATTTAAAATGTTTTTGGTGTCATAAATTTTTGTTCAGTTGACCCTCAGGGCCACCGTACCCTCATGGTCTCACCTCTCTCAGAAGTTGTCCGGTCTTCCTCTCGATCGTCGACTCTCGCTGCTCCTCAGTTTTTAATTTCTGCTCATCTTCATTTTGAGCGTCTGAACTTTTGTCCGAACTCTCGTCCTTCGATGACATCGGCGAGGAGGAGGAGTCGCCCGTCACGCCTGCTGGTCAGAGTCAAACATGTGAGTGAAATATGATATTTATATAAAAAAATCTCCTTTAATTAGAAACTCCAGCGACACTGTGACTCACCGGTCTGAGTGTCTCCATAGTAACAGGAAGAACCCTCCCCCCCCTCACCCTGGTGTCCAGACCTGATGGGGGTCAGGGTGGGGGAGGCTGGGGGTGAGATCGGGCGGAAGAAATGAGACGAGGCGACGGTGGAGGATGAGTTTTTATCAGCAGGACTCTGCAGACTCAGATCCTGGTCCTGGTCCTGGTTTTGGGTTTCGGTCTGATTGGTTTTCTTCAGAGCGTCAGGGAGGCGAGGGGGGGTCTGCAGCTCGGAGGGGGGGCTGTGAGGGAGATCCAGAAACTTAGAAACTTCTCTTTTATTTCATAGGATTAAATTCTTCAAAGAAACAGATTTTCTGGTTTAAAGAGAATCAGGTCTTTTTTTTTTTTACCTGGTTTCAGATGAAGGACCCGGCCTCACGTTCTTCAACACGGCCTGAACCAGATTTCGTCTCATCCCAGAGGTCATGGCACAGAGCGTGGACACGCCATCTCTGCTCTGTGGGAAAGAAAGCGGCGTTAAACACGTCAGGGCGGAGGACGGAGAGTCTGCTGGATTTGTTTGGATTACGGACGAACTCATGATGGTCCTAAATTCATCTAAAACGAGGTTTTCACTCTCAGACAGCTTTTCTTCATCACAAACAGAAGATCTGAGGTTTATCTTTGAGGATCAGACCCGCTGAGCACTGAAGTCAAACTCTCACCTGTTTCTTGACCTTGTAGCTGTGATGATGACCTTTAGACTCGGACGCCTCAGAGGAGCAGGTTTTCACTTCCTCTCCATCGTCGCTCAGGTCGGTGTTTGTCCTTTAAAACAGGAACAGGACCACAGTTACCTCTCTGATAACAGCCCGACCATAAAAACCTCAGAAACACTCAAACTGAATCCGACCTGATCGGCTGCGGTCTGTCCTCTTTTGCTGTTTGTGAACTTGGAGCTGAAACAAAAGTTTGGAGAGAAACCATGAAAGAAACTGAGAATATCTGCACAGACTTCTGAAGGAGCGGAGGACTGACCGTCTTTGGAGGATCTCTGGTCGAGTCTGCTGAGCGAGCGGCCTCCTCGGATGAAGGGAGCGGCGGTGAGGGAGGAGGTGTGGAGGGAGGAGAAGCTGCGGCTGCTGCAGAGGCGGAGAGCCGGTCTGTCAGAGCGAGGAGCCGCTCTGCCGCCCAGCTGACCCACCAGACTCTGCTGACCGCTCCTCTTCAGACCGCCTCCAGCTCGGACGGAGGAGTCCGCCCCTCTGCCGCTCAGGCTGTCACTCCTGCTCACTCTGGATTTAGACGAGCCGGGGCCGCCGTGTTTGGCCGCGGCGCTCACACCTGCTGCTGCTTCCTTCAGGAGAGAGAAACCGAGCGGAGGCTGACGGTCAGAGAAATGACAGATCTGAGTCCGGTCCAAGTTTGAGGAGGATCCGATCTAAACGTCAAACATCATCACACCTCCTCCCGTTAAAACCTGAAGTCCAAACTCGGACGCTTTGACACGTACAATCCCATCACCTCTGGAGAAACCCTCTAAATCCTCACCAGAGCTCTTAATTTACTTAAGTACCATCTGACCAGCAGTGTGACCGCTCTAGGACAAACACACACACACACACACACACACACACACACACACACACACACACACACACACACACACACACACACACACACTTAATTACTCTGGTCTATTCTCCAGAGATGCAACCTCGACAACTGCAGAGACCATCAATCTGAGCCCCCGAGGAATCGATGAAGAGGAGGCCTGACTCTGCTGCTCTTCATCTCCAGACTTTAACGAGGACGTTAATCAAACTAAAGCGCACGAACACCCCGAAAAACCTGCAGACACGCTGAAGAAACCAGAGGCATGATGGGAGGATTTATGAAAAATGGGATGAACATTTTAACTGCAGAGTAGAACTTCAGGAGAGGAGGGTGGAGAAGAAGGACGCCACACTAAAACGTCTTTGAGAGGTGGAAACAAGATTCACTTCATTTAGAGGAACAGAGCGAATATTTCACTGAAAACCTTTTTATTTGAATCTGTGACTGAAAAACAAACAGGCTGAAACTTTGATCACTGAAGGATGAATTTGTCTCTGACTCAACAAACTTCAAACTGTTTTAACTTCTTCCTGTTTAGCTTTTACTAACCTCCATGTTCAGGCTCGGTTCTGACCCGTGTCTTAAATCAGCTGTAGATTAAAAACAATTCTCTATCGTCCAGTTTGGTTCTCATCTCTATGTTACCTTGTTCGGCTTCATATCCATTAAAATATAGATGATAATAGTTTTTGTTGTGTTCCTCTGCGCCTCTCTTAGTCTACGCTCAGACTGCAGGTCAGTTCAGATGTTTTAACCATCTGTGACTCATATCTGATTTTTTCATCTAAGTGTGAACAGGTCAGTTCTGATTGGTTCTGATCCGACCCAGGCCTCTTCTGTATGTGGATATAAATCAGATATGTATCTGATGTGACTGCAGTGTGACGCTCAGGTCGCGTTCATCCGACCTTTACGTCATCAATATGTGACAAACGTCACCATTGTTCAACAACACAAACAGGCGCGGGAAGAAATTAGTACTTTGTGTTCATGAGGGTCACTTCACGGACGCACTGATAACAACATAAACTTGAAGAATAGACCATTCTTTGATTGTGCAGTTTGACCTTCAGGGCCTCCGTAGTTCTCAGTCTAAGTGTGTGTGCGGTCGTGGCGCTGACCTTTGCTCCGCTCTTGGCTGCAGGTTTGTTGTTGCTGTGAGAGTTTCCCTGGTTGTCCGGCCATCTGTGGAGGAAAAGAACATCATCCTGAATCGACTCGATAATATTTAGTTTGAATGTTTGATCTGATTTTACTGAAGATGATCATTCAAAGAAATGATCCATGTTAGCTTATTTAATGGAAATACGCTGAAGCTCGTGATCATCGGTGTCTGCTGCTGCTCACAGAACTTTTTCCCTCTTTTTTTACCTCCTCTGTCGACTCTGAAGGTTCACACTCTTATGTAAGTCCGGTCTAAGATAGCTCAGGGTGCTGCAGAGGTTAAGAGGTTCACGTCTGTTCAGATAAAACCGTTCTGTCTGTTATTGTGACGCTTTAAAGTTTGGACTGAAAACTGCAAAGAAAAATAACTCAGAGTGAAAGTTTGTGTATGAGGAGACTCTGTCATACCTCAGACAGAGTCATGTTTTATCTCCCTGCAGTAAACCTGAAGACCCAGAGTGATCAGGACGGGTCAGGGAGCGTTAATGTGAGGGTGCAGCCAAAGGAGAGAGAGACGTGTGCGAGTCCAAAACCCTCAGACCACATCCGTCTGACTCCAAACCAGACCAGGATTTACTGACACACCAAAGACTGCAGGTCAACAATAAAACAGTGATGCTCACAGACTTTAACTTTAATGAATGTAATGATTACAGAGATGCAACAATCTCTTTTTAAAATAATTAATAATGAGAAAATGACATAACTCTAACTCACCGAGGAGCTTTGGACATCATCTTCAGGAGAGAGAGAGAGAGAGGAAGGATGAAGAAGAGGAGCTGAGGATGATCTGATGGTTTCTCTTCAGTCTCCTTCTCAGTCTGAAAAAATCAGAGAGAAGAAATAACACACAGATCTGAACAAGGAAACACACACACACACACTCACACACTCACACACATAATCCAAGACTGCAGAGGAGTTTGCAGGATTAAACCACGAGCTTAACTGGATTACTCTTCAGTAATTTCTGTGAACTTGACGTAGCCGCCGACACTCTCCAGCAGAGCTGCAAATATTCATCAAGTTATTAAACTGACTTTTTTTAAACACCTGAGAGGAAAAACAAGAAAACACAAAAAGGAAAAAGAGAAACAGGAGACCCGGCAGAGATCTGTCTGAGGAGGATTTATCTCCTGACCGCTCTGAGGACACACACCTGTCACTGCGCCGCCGTGACCTCGCCTGTCCTCACAAACAACACAGAGCCTCACTAATGACTCGTTTATTTAACGGTCTGAGCAGGCAGCAAAAAAAAAACTTTTACCCCCCTAGATCCTGTCTCTGTCTGGTCTCCTCTTTCATTGTTCAATTCACAGTCAATAGTTCTTGAAGTGATGCAGCATCTATGATTTCCAATTCTTCAGTAAAAGGACAACTGGACTTACTGTTCAGTTGTCCCTCTGAAGCTGTTTTTGACAGGTATTGGTTTAATTATAATCAAAATTAGCAGTAAAAAGTTTTAAAGTTTGACAGAAAAGAAACAGAACTGCTAAAAAACACTGATATACGGTGGCCCTGAGGGACAAATGCAAAGACATTTTTCTGGATGTGAAACACATCTCAAAAAATCAAAAACCATTAGAAAAAAATAAAAATACACACCTTTTTGCATTATCTGAATAATTATCGTATTTTTTTTTCACTAAATGTTTTAAGGTTTCATGGAAATTTTTCATTTGGTAAAATCTTTTTACATTTCATGAAAAATATAGTACTCTTTGAAGTATTTTGGTGGTTTATATAATATTTCATAGATTTTTTAAATATTATGAATATTTAGTATTTCATTAAATATTCCAAAGTTTTTTTAAATTATTAAGTATGTTAAAATATTTTTCAAAGCAAAAACATCATTGCATTTGTAAAATTTGGGTTGATATTTTTCAGTAGTGACTTTTTTTTGCATTATGTGAATAAGTTTGCGATTTCATTAAATATTTATTTCTTAATTATTTTTGTTTCATGAAAATTTTGCATTTTGTAAAAATTCTTTACATTTCATTAAAAAATTGTATTCCTGTGAAGTATGTTGGAGGTTTATAAAATATTTTGGTTAAAGGAAACATTTTTGAATATTATGAATATTTAGTATTTCATTAAATATTCCAAAGATTTTTAAAATTATTTTGCATGTCATGAAATGTTTTTCACAGCAAAAACATTTTTGTGTTTGTGAAAATTTTTTTTAATAAATAGAATATTTTTGTGTTGGGTAAAATATTTTTGCCCTTTGAGAGCTTTTATCTGTTAAAACAGCTGATGTTTTGTGGAATATTTTTGTTTGTCTTTCTTCTATATCTGACTTTTAACATAGCGTCTCGATGATAAAACAATAATCTGTTATAATAATGATCAAATCATATTTCCGGGAATAGATCAAATTGGATGGTCTGTCAAAAAAAAAAAAGAAAATATTACCCATCCTGAATATTTTTGACTCAGACAGAGAAAATCTATATTTTGACAAAACAGTTAACAATAACCATAATTTATAAATGACAAACAGAAAGTTTATTAATGTAAATGTAACTTCATTTTCCTCACTGTCCGTTCATTTTAATGATCTCCTCTCCTCTGAGAATGCTGGCCTCTGATTGGCTGGCCGTCACGTGACCTCACAGCTGATTTGGTTGGATGAGGTGTTTTTGTTCATCATCTCATGAAGCCATTTCTGGTTAGCATCTCCGTGTGTCTCTCATCAGTCGTCGTCTAACATGGAGCAGGCAGCTCAGGCGGCTCAGCCGAACTCTCTGGACCCGAACAACAGCTCTCAGATCACGGTGGAACACGACCGGAAGAGGCGGCAGTTTGTCATCAGACTGAACGGTGAGTGGACATGTAAACATGAACATGCTAACATGCTAAAGCTAGCTGGGCTGCAGATTTCCTGACTGTGAACATCGACGCTGTTTCCTCTAAAATAAACAATCATGAGAATTCAGACCGAGAGGAGGGTAAAGATTCACAGATTAGAGATGTCAGGGTGATAATCCGGGTTAGATTAGAGTCTGAGGGTCTGAAAAAGGCCTGAGTGTTTAATCTGGAACTACAATCAGCTGTTTTTAAATGTAAACAAAGATCCTGTTTACTAAAGTTCATCAGCTGTTCTTTAATGTAAACAAAGATCCTGTTTACTAAAGTTCATCAGCTGTTCTTTAATGTAAACAAAGATCCTGTTTACTAAAGTTCATCAGCTGTTTTTAAATGTAAACAAAGATCTTGTTAATGTAATTCTATGGAAATAGTTTCAGATTTTCTGTTTGACTATTTTTTTTACATAGTACATGAAGACTCAGGTGTGTATGTGTGTGTGTGTGTGTGTCCAGGTAAACTCAGGTGAGCGGTCATGTGTGTGTGTGTGTGTGTGTGTGTGTGTGTGTGTGTGTGTCCAGGTAAACTCAGGTGAGCGGTCATGTGTGTGTGTGTGTGTGTGTGTGTGTGTGTGTGTGTGTGTGTATCCAGGTAAACTCAGGTGAGCGGTCATGTGTGTGTGTGTGTGTCTTATTCAGAGCTCTGAGATGTTGTTACAGGTTGAAGTCATTCCTCCCTGAACAAAGATCTTTATCAGTGTTTCTCCACCTTGTTACACCATCCATGTCTCTACACACAAGCTCCTGTCTGTCAGTGTGTGTCAGTGTCAGTGTGTGTCTGTGTCAGTGTGTGTCTGTGTCAGTGTGTGTCTGTGTCAGAGTGTGTCAGTGTCAGTGTGTGTCAGTGTCAGTGTGTGTCTGTGTCAGTGTGTGTCAGTGTGTGTCAGTGTCAGTGTGTGTCTGTGTCAGTGTCAGTGTGTGTCTGTGTCAGTGTGTGTCTGTGTCAGTGTCAGTGTGTGTCTGTGTTAGTGTGTGTCAGTGTGTGTCTGTGTCAGTGTGTGTCTGTGTCTGTGTCTCTTTCAGTGTGTGTCAGTGTCAGTGTGTGTCTGTGTCAGTGTGTGTCAGTGTCAGTGTGTGTCTGTGTCAGTGTGTGTCTGTGTCTGTGTTAGTGTGTGTCAGTGTGTGTCTGTGTCAGTGTGTGTCTGTGTCAGTGTGTGTCTGTGTCTGTGTCAGTGTGTGTCAGTGTGTGTCTGTGTCAGTATGTGTCTGTGTCAGTGTGTGTCAGTGTGTGTCTGTGTCAGTGTGTGTCAGTGTCAGTGTGTGTCTGTGTCAGTGTGTGTCAGTGTCAGTGTGTGTCTGTGTCAGTGTGTGTCAGTGTCAGTGTGTGTCTGTGTCAGTGTCAGTGTGTGTCTGTGTCAGTGTGTGTCAGTGTCAGTGTCAGTGTGTGTCTGTGTCAGTGTGTGTCTGTGGCTGTGTCAGTGTGTGTCAGTGTGTGTCTGTGTCAGTGTGTGTCTGTGTCTGTGTCAGTGTGTGTCAGTGTGTGTCTGTGTCAGTATGTGTCTGTGTCAGAGTGTGTCAGAGTGTGTCTGTGTCAGTGTGTGTCAGTGTCAGTGTGTGTGTGTGTCTGTGTCAGTGTGTGTCTGTGTCTGTGTCAGTGTGTGTCAGTGTGTGTCTGTGTCTCTGTCAGTGTGTGTCTGTGTCAGTGTGTGTCAGTGTGTGTCTGTGTCAGTGTGTGTCAGTGTCAGTGTGTGGTGAGTTACTCATACTTCTCTCATTTAGCAGACATGAAAAAATCCCCTCGTCGATCAAAGATCTCCTCTGAGTCCGTCTGTTAAAAACGTCCTCAGAAACCTCGGCGTCGTTTCTGACCGAGTCTTTATTCCAGACAGCTGAGAGAGATCTCTTACATGAGGAGAATGTCGTCCAGACCAGATCTTGAATTGATCATTCAAGTGTTTATCTCATCCTGTATTGATTACTCTAATTCTCTGTTCATTTGTTTTAATAAAGCACCGATAAAGAGACTTCAGTTTGTCAAAAGACGTCTGACAGACACGCCCAAACCCGCTCACATCACCCCGTCTTATCGCGTCTTCATCGACTAACGCTCAATTGTCATAATTATTTTAAAATGTTAGTTCTGATTTTGCGGTGGCTGCATGGTCAGGCCCCCCAGTACCTCACTGATCTGTTGTGCCCCTGCTCCTCTGGGCGCCCCCTTCGGTCGTCAGGCCAGAACCTCCTAAAGGTGCCAAAGACCCGTTTTAAAACTCCGGTTTTTAAGACTGTAGCCCCCAGACTCTGGAACAATCCGCTCCTCTCCCTCCGTTTGATCGACTCGGTGGAAACTTTAAAAAATCAGTTGAAGACTTTTTTATTTAGACGAACTTTAATGAACAGAGTTTGTTTGTCTCTTTTATACCTGCACTTATCTCCGTACTCACCTGTACTCGTGTTTGTGTGTGTGTCTGTACTTTTCTTTTGTACCGTTTATTTTTGTCTAATGACTTATTTTCTGTTCATCACTTTGTGGTTCTGATCTGTGAAAGGCGCTCTGTAAGTAAACTTTACTCACTAACATGTTTTAGTTCTCTGTGGGAGTTATGAATGCAGCCTGATCAATACTCCAGCCCAGAGCTCTTCCATGACTTCGATGATGAAAGGTCGGGATGACATGTTTTGGTCGACTATTCGAACAGCCAATGAAAAGGGGAGTTTCTCTATGTCCGCTTCACTCTGAACCAATCATGTTCTGAATTAGAAGCACGTATCAAACAGCTGCGTCGTAGCAGAGTGGTGTTCACTGAAAATGATGTAGAGTTAAATTTCATCTCAGAGGAACATGAACTAGTGTTTTTTTATATCCTGATGAACTTGCTCCCGTCTCGCCCGGCCCTGTTTCAGGATCACTCAGTAAATCAGGAGGAGGATTTTTGACCCGGTTGTTAGACAGATGGTCGACTCTCAGATTTACCAAACTCCACTTCATTTGAGGTGAAAGTTTTAGTTTTATTTTTACTCTCATCAGCGTCGCCCTCTTCATCTAACAGTGGAGGAAACTTTGAGAGGAGACGAACTTTACAGCAGAGAGAAAACTGAGACTTCTTTCTGCCCTCAGGTTCTCATGATCGGGCCGTTCTTCTGTACGAATACGTGGGGAAGAAGACGGTGGACCTGCAGCACACTGAGGTCCCTGACGCTTACAGAGGGAGAGGAATAGCCAAACACTTGGCCAAGGTAAAACTGTAGAAAACCAGAAACCAGAGTTCATCTGAGTGACAGGAGAGGAGGTTCAGATTTAGTGGTGTGTAGATGAAAATACAGTTTAAGAGTCATCAGAGAGAGATTTCCTTTTTTATCTCTGAACACGTCGAGTTTAAACCGACTTTTAAAGAAAAGAGCGTCTGAGGTTCCTGTTTCATGTGTGTTTGTCTCTGTGACGGCAGGCAGCCATGGACTTCGTGGTGGAGGAGGATCTGAAAGCCCACCTGACCTGCTGGTACATTCAGAAGTACGTCAAAGAGAACCCCCAGCCTCAGTACTTTGAACATATTTATCAATGACCCGACTCAGCGCTCAGACGGACAGACGGACTCCTGAGCTGTTACACGCCGAGACACAAAAACCATGACTTTAAAGACTCCAGAGACACGCGGTCTGACCGAGGGGAGGTCTGTGAGCTCAGTGAGGGGGCGAGTTTTTCTATAAACGGACACAGAGACGATCAGCTGATCACAACCTGAAAAAAACACAAGCAAATAAAGGAACCTGAGCTGAACCCCTGAGACAGAAACGCTCCGATAACTGAGCGGAAGTGAAGGAGACCAGCCGGGAGTCGAACCTTTGGATGAAAATTCTTCCTCCTGCCCTCGCTGGTTCAAGATGGCGTCCGGTGGTGTCTGAAGAAAGGTCAAAAAACCTTCACTGACGCTCCAGCTCTGATGAACCTTCTGTCCTCTTCTTTACGTTTCTAAAAGAGCTCCTCCTCAGCGGCTGAAATGCTGACGGAGTTGACTGAACAGCTGACGTTGTCTCTGAAACATCAGGAGGTTCTTTTTTTTTGGGGGGTGGGGTTTGTTAAAAATTAGGGTTTGTATTTTGAAGACTCTCTCGTTCTGCTCAGTGACAGAAGTTTCCTCTTCGTCGTCGTTTGTATCCGGAGTCGATCAGGGAAAGGTGCAGGGATCTGAAAACCAAAGAGAAAACACTGAGTCGTCCTAACGTCTCCATCGTCTGTGTTCAACCTTACAGGAACCTGATGGACGGGCGCCGAAGCTCGAGGGGCGAATATTTCTGCTCAAACCAGCATTTTGAGAAACAGCACTGTTACATTCAGGGCGGAGCGCTCCGAGTTTACAGACCGTCTTTGATGTTTGTCTTTATCACGGCGTCACTGATATCGAGAAGATAAAGGAGGAAAACTTGAACTGACACCAACGCGCTCACTGTGGTCTCCTTTTTTTGCTGTCGACAATCGAAAGCAGAGAAAACTCCCTCAGGTTACTCGACGCTCTGTCAGGGTGATCATCTCTGTCTGCTTCAATCATCTGAAGGTTACTGCAGGAAACTCCGTTCACCTGTTTTTGTTTTTAGGTGATGCACCTGCTCCTTATTCTTGTTTATATTTGTGTTTTTGCCTAAAAGGACGTCTGGAGCTGCTGCTGCTGCTGCTGCTGCTGCCTCCACCAAACTGTAACATCCTTGTTCTGTTGTTTGTGCTCGAGACTTTTGTTGTCGTCTATCAATAAAGAAATAAGTTTTCATCAAATCCCAGAACATTTTATAAAAACGTACGTTAAAGAATATGAGTGACAGTCCTGCTTGATTTTACCGATGTTGGTTTTCTTTTTGCCTTCAGGAGGATTAAAGTCTCAGCCTCTCCGCTCTTTAATGAGAAGTTTAATAAGATTAAAAACTGAGTTCATAAGTTTAGAGAAATACTTGATACCTTTAAGTACCATGAAAAATGACTCAAGCAGAAGTTACTCACTGTTAAAAAGGTAATTTGCTGCCGCCTGGTGGTTGTAATTAGAATGACACTAACTCAAGGTTAAAGACAGTTTTTCAGTTCCACTCTGATTTTAAGTAAACTGATGATATTTAATGATGGGATTTTTCACCCTAATACGTATTTAACTGACCCTCAAATAAACACAAACATATTAATGTGACTCAGTGTGAGTAACTCTGTGTTTGTATAACTTATGTCTTACAGCTTTATCTCTAATATTCCACACTTTTGTATGAACTATTATAATTTCTTCTTTATCTTGATTTTATTCTTAACTCTATTTCACTTTATTAACTTTAATATTTTCAAGAGCAACTGTAACGACAGAATTTCACCCTGGGATAAATCAAGTATTCTAATTCTGATGTATAAACTTATGATAAATAGCAGAGTGATAACATCATTTTAAGACATCCACTGCATTTTTTTACTATGGAAACTGTTTATCTTGTCCAACATCTTGTCTTAAAGTGGCCGAGAACTGCCACTGCTGCAATTAAAAAAGAAGGCAAAAAAAAGGGAGTCACAACAGAAGTAACTGATGCAAAAAAAGAAACTGAAGCCTGCTGCAAATAAAAAAGAAACAGCAGATAAAAAAGAAAAAAAAAATGCAGTGTAAGTTAACGATGTTAACGTTGAACTGGAGGATGTCGGTGTAGAGTTAGCTTCAGTTCAACTTCATATCGACTCAGGCTCTACATGGTCAAACCACATTAAAAAGTTTATGAAGTGAAATTAATCAATAACCTTTCCACTGACTTCTTTGTTCGTTTTCTCGCCGTCGTCTTCTGTGTCTAGATTGTAAAACACTGGTGCGTCATCATTATTGGTCCCCGGCAGCTCACTTCCGTCGTGGCATCCTTTTATTTTCGCAGTTAGTAACGCAGTTTTTTTGCATTGCCACTTTTTTTGCGTCGTTAACTTCTGTTGTGCCTTTTTTTTTTCTATCTGCACCGTTTCTTTTTTTATTTGCAGCTGGCTTCGCTTTCTTTTTTTTTTTTTTGCATTCTTTTTTTATTTGCAGCAGTGGTGGATCTCGGCCACCGTACTTGTCTACATTACACACTTCTCTCTTGTCCACCATATCTAAAAAAACAGACTTTTAAGGGTCTTACAGAGCCCCTGAAATCCACAGAATACATTTGAAATATTATTTTGGATTAGAACTAAAAGAAGTGACAAATAAAGTTGATTTAAATATTTAAAGATTGACTTAGAGGGGGCAGGGTGGGACAGTAAAAATAATAAAAATACCAGTCATCCTTATTCCAGATTATTGTTGTGTCTTTAGTAATGACCAACTGCTAAACTTTAACGAGCTGACAGCAGACTGAATGATGAAAACATGGATCTGTCAGACTGTTGTGTAGATGTCCTGCTCTGTAGTCTGAGTCACCGCACTGACTCTTAATTGAACCTCCTGATTGATTGACTGATTGATTATTAATTAACTGTTTATTATAGTCTTTAGTCTCAGTCCTGACCGGGGCCATTATAGATATAGATATACGTAGATGTCACATCCACCGCGTGTCAGGTTACAACACGCGGACAGCAGGCTCAAACTAGTGCACGAGGACACAGAGGCAGAGTGCGCGAGGGCAAAATATGGGTGAGTATCCAGGAGCCTGTAAACACAAATATTATTATTATTATTATAGAAATCAATGAATGAAACATATTAAAGACTGTTTATGGTGTGGTTGGTGCATGTACTCTACTTCCACACGGATTACTGTAATTAACAGACTTTACTTTGAGGTATTTGTTGAATAATTCTAATATAAACACAAACATCTGAGATAATCTGAATATCATTGAAGAAGAAAAACGCTCTGACCTCTCAAACTTGTTTGCGCTATTATGAAAATACGTAACGGAAGGTCTTTCAGCCGTGAAGCGTCATGGGAATTGAAGTACGTATTCTGCTTTGAGTAACACGCAGACGTCACTGACGCACTCCATTACCCAGAAGGCTCGGTTATCGCATACGTGAACTGCAATCACGGTTGTTTCTCCAACATGGCGTCGCTGGGAAGGAGGCGCGGTGTCCCAGTAAGCAGGGAGAGGTCAGTTCCTCCACATCTTCACTCTTTAACCGAATCTTTGTGTCCTAAAACTCTATTTTAACGTCGTCTTCATTCTCAGGATCTTAAACATGAAGGTCATTTCTGTATTAGAGGTAAACTCTGACGGGACAGGAGTGAATTTGATGCCATGGTTAGCTAACGTTAGCAGGCTAACGAGCAGAGCTAGCTGAGGTTAGCAGAGGAGCTCAGCTGATGTTTGGGTTCTTTCACACCGAACCAGAACCTCAGCTCCGAACTGTTCGGGTGTTAGTGGGTACAGTCTGCTCCGATAACATGTAGAATCAGTCCAGTTCGGCTAACGGCTCAGTTTGTGGAGGTTCTGTTGGAGTAAAGTTGAGAGTGAACTTTCCTCAGAGTTAGCAGCTGTTATCTAACCAGGACCAAGAACAGGAACATCATGTCCGGGACCCGGGTCCGAACAGAACCCGCGGACACCAAGATTCCAGTCAGGATTGGGTTTAAAGACCCGGGTTTATGAGTTTAGTTAACTGGTTAGTGGTTCCGGTTCGCTGAAGGCCTCAGAGGGACGGGTCTGGTCCGGACCAAGGTCTGAGGAAGAGGAGGGAGGAAAAGGTCCGAGTAGAACCGAAACCAGTCTGATCCCGGTATAAAGTCAGAACCAGAGAAGAATTATTCATGTTGACTTAGTTTTAAACTGGGTTTGAGTTCTGGTTCCGAGACTCTGTAGTAATAAAAGAAAACCCGGAGAACTGAACCGAACTTATATTCAGTCAACCTCACAGTCAGGTCTGAATGTTCCAGAACTTTAGTTACATGATTATTAAAACTCCAACAAACACAAAAACAGGCCGAATAATTCTGTGTTCATGTTCGGAGATTGAACCAAAAACTGTTTTTATGAACAAAGTTTCTGTTAAATTTAAATCACACACTTAGTGCCGGGCGATAAAACGGTTTCATGTGTGTTATTCTGTTTTTACTGGGGCCGATACTGATTATTAGGGGGGAAACATCTGATTACCGATTAATCGGCCAATTTTAAATTTTTTTATTAAGTTATAAAAGTATGCTGTAGATCAGTGTTGTTTTCGTTGACGATGACGAAAATATTTCTTCAACGTCAACGAAAACAACACTGCAGAATATATGTTTAGCATTTGACTGACAAAATGCTCATGAATTTTGCGACTCTGTTCGTCGTCCACCACTATTGTCTCACCTCGTTTTTTCATCTCATGATATATATCGATTTCAACTGATGTGAAAAAAATACATCGTGATAAACTTTTTCCCATATCGCCGATCCCTACAGTCAGGTATGATGGTCGATCTTAAGATCCCAAGACTCCACCAATTATAAACACAAAAACAGGCCGAATAATGATGTGTTCATGTACTGAGATTAAACCCAAAACAGTTTTATAAACAAAGTCTGCACTTTATTAAATCACACACAATAATGAGTAAAAAAGTTTGACCTTGAAATGACAGTAAATAAAGTTTTAACCTTTTAAAATCTGATCCAAAACAAACATTTAGTCTCACAGAAAAGTTAATTGTTTGGAGTTTGATTTTATTGAAGTCCAGAAATGATGTTCAGAACAATATTTTTGTGATTTTCATAATGAGAGTTTATAACAACATAAATCCAAGATGAAAAATAACAAAATCCATAAAAAAATAATGTTTATCTAACAGAGACACCCAGTAAACACGGACATGTTCAGGCTGAGTTAAACTACAGTGACATTCATGCTGAGATCATAGATTTCTGTTTTCCTCTCAACAGAAACAGAAACTTAACGAATAAAAACATGTTTTTTTTTTCTCCTCCTCATGTTTGTCAGACAGACGCCCGTTTCTGTGTTCAGCAAAGATAACGTGGAGGCAGTGGTCTTTGCCAAATTATGTGTGTGTTTCCTGGAGAAAACTGATCCACTTTACATGTTTGTTGGTGAAGTTTTCTCAGTGTTCACAGACTCTCTTTAAGGCAAATAAACACATATTTTCATTCACCCTGATTAATCTAGAACTCCTGAGGAATCCCTCTGTCAGATAAAGACGACGTCACCTGCTTTTCTTTTGGGAACATTTTGGCTCGAAGTGAATGAATAAAAATCAACATCAGTTTGTGTTGATCTTCTCTCTGAGAGGCGGTCTGCACAGAGGAATCAGGGAGTGGAAGTGAGCTCTGAACAAATATAGATTTGTAGATCTGACTCATTGACCTCAGTATGGACGCTCAGCTGTGTTTGGTACCTGAGTGTGATGAGATGTTGTTCCAGATGTAGTCAGGCTGTTTCTTTGAGACTGCAGCACATTGAAGACAGAAGTACGTTCCCCTGAACTCACTCTGTGTTTATCCTCATCCTATTGGACGAGCCTCCTCTCTGTGTCTCTTCTCTGTGTCCTCATCTTTCAAAGTCGAGCTTCATCAAACTGTTGACCGTCTGTTTTGATCCTCCTCTCACGGCTTTGTTAATAGAGTTCTTCAAAAATGACATGAAGTCATGTCAGTGTGTTAGTGCAGCTCACAGCAGGTCCTGGCATAGAGGGAAAACTACGGCCTGATGCCGATACCGATTATGAGGCTGCTTTTGAGCCTTTCAAACACTTCTCAGAAGTTTTAATCTAAGAAACATTCCACGTTTTTATCATGAATCAAACTCCGACCAGAACAGCAACATATCTTGCGTTGGAATGACTTAAAGTCCTCACACACCGGGGCTGAAATTACGAAATTTTAAGAGGCCAATTTTGACGCGCCTGACTTTACACATCAAGCGATTTTGCAACTTTCTGGGGGGAAAAAGACTTTTCCCGGGGAAAGTCCCGCCTCTTCGCCTCTGATTGGCTAGAAAAGCTGGAAACATCATCACACGCTCAAGCCAAATGGTCAGCACTTATAGCCAATCAGAGGTGATAAGATAAACACATGAAACCATGGTAACAACCGTTAGCTTACGTTAGCACAGATGAAGGTTCAAACAAAGAAGTTTATCAAACTGTTAAAGCTCATAAACCATCGTCGTATGAGAAATCCGACGCTATGACTCTCCACAAGTCGTCCTTCAGGTGTCTTTTATCAAAAATCACTCTGTTCTCCGACACGTAAACAATCAGCCGGTCGGCCATGTTGGATATACCGGGGAATCTGACGTCGCAACAACAAGTAATCTGATTGGTCAGAAGTGGACACACAGTCTGAGAAACTTTAGAAAAATCGACTGTGATCCGAAAAAATTAATGCTGCGATATCGCAGGACGGGAAAACGTCGCTGATGTGACGCTTGTGTTGACAGGATACGGGTTCAAAAAAAATATTGACGTCCGAAACAACCGCACGAAAAACCCGATCCTGGAGTGACAGGAGCTTTATCAATGAACCGTGAGGCGGTCCAGTCTTGTACTGATTCAGTCTTGTTTTTCTTTCTCTCCCTGTTTCTCGCCGTTCTCTGTTTCTGTACAGGGGAGTGATGGCGGCGACAGACTGCTACATCGTGCACGAGATCTACAACGGCGAGAACGCACAGGACCAGTTTGAGTACGAGCTGGAGCAGGCGCTGGAGGCCCAGTATAAATACATTGTTATCGAGCCCACACGCATCGGAGACGAGACGGCTCGATGGATTACCGTGGGCAACTGCCTGCACAAGACGGCCGTGCTGTCGGGCGCCGCGTGCCTCCTGACGCCCCTTTCGCTGCCCGTCGAATACTCACGCTATGTAGCGTTGCCTGCCGGCGCCCTCAGCGTGGCCTGCTCCGCCCTCTACGGAATTTCATGGCAGTTTGACCCCTGCTGCAAGTACCAGGTGGAATACGACAGCCAAAAACTCTCACGGCTGCCCCTGCATACACTCACCTCCTCCACGCCCGTGGTTTTGGTACGCAGGGATGACATCCACAGAAAGAGACTCCATAACACGATAGCACTGGCTGCCCTGGCGTACTGCGCCAAGAAGATCTACGAACTCTATGCAGTATGAGTGCGCTCTGAAGAGGGTTACAAACCCGCATAAAAAAGGAAAAAGCAAACAAAAAAACAGAACCGCTCCACCCCCAGACGTAAGAAAGTGGAAGTCCCGATCAGGCCCGGCGGTCAGCTCCTCACGCGTGGTGGGTGCTTCCATTTTGAACTTTGATCAGAGGGATATAGTTAAAACTAGAAGGAATTGTTTCCCCCTTATGTTTCCTTTGCTTCTTTGTGACGACAACAGCACACTTATCTCCGTAGTACCCTCCTCGCGCCTCCCCCTCGTGCACCCTCCACCTGCATACTTGACACACATCAGCTCGTGCTGAAGGGTACGGCGGCGGCGGCGGCGGCGGCAGGTCCTCTGGACTGAGCGGGACTGGAGTCAGAACGGACAGTCATGTTTTGAGTATCAAGCTCTCTCCCCCCTTTCCCTCGTAGTTTGACTGTACCCCCTTCTTGCTGATCAGTACATCACCCTTTCATTAAACATTAGGATATTTCAAACTCACTTCCTGTATTTTATTTTACTTTTTTCATTAAACGGATTCTGCGTCACGTCCAGAAAAGAGCGAATAGCTGAAGCTTCTTTGAGACTGTGTCTTGTTCATGTTTGAGGGAGTGAAGGTCGGATCTTTGACGACGCTCTTCTGAAACACTACAAAAATCTGAACCCTTGTCAGGTCAGACCTGATCATGTTCAGGACATTAAAAACAGGCCGAACCCTTAAATCTGAATCTTGAATTGAAAAGCGTCACACTAAAGTCCACTCTGTTGTGTTTGTCTATCCGATGGTGCTTTTTATGTTTTCTCTAAATTTGGGGAGTTCAATCTTTAAAACCTGAAAACAGATGAATTTAGAGAAGAGCTGTGACAGAGCGAGAGACTTCATCTGAACAAAGAAAGTGGAATTTAGACGATTCTCTTTTCCTACAGCAGGACATGATCGAATTAAAACCTGTAAAAGTCTAATGATGAAGACACTTCTAAATTATTCCATAAAGCCCCTTTAAACATATCTCCTGAGTTTATACCAGCTCTGGTTTTTCTTTACGGTTGGCTGTTTCTTTAACAAGTGTGATGACGTGTTCAAATAAAGTCTCATATTTTCAGACGTCTCCTGCATTAACCTGAAACTAATTCCCACTAATCCATCACAACAGTGTCAAAGCCTTTTCCCAAACTTTGTGAACAATCATGAGGACATAATAAATCTGGAGTGTGTTTTTAACAACAGAGACAGGTTTAATTTGGGGAATCTGTTGCTGTTGGTTTGATTAATCCTGTTTTCACCTCTTTAACATGTTCCTGTCTGGGACGAGCCGAGACCACGGAGAGTCCGAGACCCGAGAGCTCGCTGCCTGAGAAAATAATAACCCCACAGTTCACTGATTTGAGGCCAGAGCAGACTCATTATCTGTCAGCTGACCCACAAAATTAAGGTGGACATACTGGTCCGGTGACTGACGGACCCCTCACACACACACACACACACACGCCATCATCATGAGGATTTACAGTATTCAGTGAATGACTGTCTGACAGGTCGGTGTTACAGCGACGGTAAAAACTTCCATATATGTACATTAAGGACTCTACAGTGAAGCAGCTCAGTGGAAACAGGATATTAAAGGACAATTCTGAAACTTTACGCAGTTATTATCGCTCCGCCTGAGTTTGTTTCCGGGATTTTAACCTTTAAGTTTGTTTTTATTATTGCCATTGTTACACTTTACAATATACCATAGACATTTTACAAGGGATTAAAAAAAAAAACTAAAGAAAACATCAAGACATAGAACAAAAAACAAACAAAACTAAAATCCAGTAAGAAAATAGATACCAGGGGGTGTCGCAGCTCAAGGAAGAACATTTATGATCATTTCTTTATCATTTCCTTGAAGTAATAATCATCATATTAATCATTTTACAGACGCTGTAGTTCTTCTGTCTTAGCGTCTCGGTCTGATTGTATTTCCATGAAGAAATGATCATAAATGTTCTTCCTTGAGCTGCGGCACCCCGCTGTAGTCTGTAATGGACTGGCCTGAGGTCTTTCTACAAACAAGCGTCTCCTGGAAGAGAGTAGGTGAGTTGTGTTTAGTCTCTTTGCTAAAGAAATTAGTCAAACTTAAAAATATGTTTCCCAAGACTTCATTTCCCACAGTTCTTAGCGGAGAGCTAATGCCTTTCCATGCTGCATTCAGGTCCTCTTTTGGTCGGATCGTTTCAGTTTTTTTTTATTTTTTTAACTTCTCTGCTGATGTGCTTTAAATGTAAACACTGAAACAAATAGATGTTGAAATAAATGGACTATATTTTATTTGTCTGAACTAACGAGGGTGAAGCTAAAAGATTATATTGTATAATAATGAAATATAGTTACGTAAAAGGAAAATAAGGATTTTTTAAAAATGCGCACGACCGTTAAGTCGATAAATTATCCATGTTTTAGCGACATAACTCCTGGAAAGTCTATTTTTAACATTTACACCCACTGGGCTGATGTTATGAACAGCAATATGAATTTCCAGTTTAGAAAATGATTTTTTTCCGATTATTTCACCGTCACCTGAATGCCTCGTTTTCACTCCTCCTTCCCGCCTCTGAGTCCGGAAGAGATCCCGACACCGACTCGACTGACAGGACTGTTTCCACCTGAAACCGGCTGAAAGGTCAGATAAAACTAAAACCACTGAGTACGGTATAAAGTTTTAATTTATCTCCGAACTAAAGTGAACCAAAATGAACATTAGCAGCGTCTAAAGTCTTCTGTTAGCTTAGCAGCTCATGCTAGGCTCGGTATGTTCAAGCTAAAGTTTTAATACGAACCGATTTTAATGTGTTTGAATATTTTACCGTTAAGTTATATATTTTAACTCCTGTCGGTGTATCTGTTGGGCTTCAGAGAAATTGCTTAATAAACTGTTAAAGGCTAAAGCTAAATGTGCATTTAATGGTGAATTAAGGAACATATAATCTTTGTGTTAAAATGTCACCAACTTCTTCATTTATAACTGAACTAAAAATACCACCTTTATTATTTTAATGAACGTTTTTACACGTCTTTGTCCAGAACATAACCTAAACTGTCCTACTTGTTGGATTTTACATTAAAAAAGGTTCAAAGTAAATACATTTTCCACTGATATTGAATTATTGCAGGTCCAGTTATATTTAAGCTTAAGTCTGATTTAAACCTCTTCTAACTTTATATAAATCACTGTTAGGGCTGGGCGATAAAACGATAACGATACATATCAAACACTTATTTCCTTCAATATCAATATAAAACATGATTGATAAAGTTTTCTGATAGTCGGCATTCTGACATGTTTTGGTCGATTATACGAAGAGTCGGACTGGGACGATATGCTTTTCTCCCGATTTGATTCTTCTACGATTTTTTTATGCAGATTCGATTTAAATTGAAATAAATTCTACGATATTGTCGATTTTCTCGATTTTTAGTGTGTATTTTTAACACCAGTGAAACAGTTAAATGACTATGATTGTCTACTGACTATCCCAGGAACCAGATTTCCCCAAATAATACACATCAGTAAGTCCGTTTTTAAGATTCATTCTTAAAGTAAAAAAAATGTCTGGATGGGTGTGTCCTCAGCTAAAGGAGGTAACAAAGGAAGCATAAGCCTGGACCTGGTCTTTTCTCTTAGTCAGGATTAAAACGATAACGATATATATATATTGGGAATTAATTTCCCTCAATATCAATATAAAACATAATCAATATGCTTTTCAATAGTCGGCATTTCTGCCATGTTTTGGTCGACTATACGAACAGCCAATGAAAAGGGGAGTTTCTCTTGGTCCGCTTCACTCTGAACCAATCATGTTCTGAATTAGAACCGAGTATCAACCAACTGCGTCGTAGCAGACAGCAGCTCCACCCAACCAAACCTCCAGGTCATCATCAACACTTGTAATGTTTGATATTTCTGTCCTCAGGTGACTCACCTGGAGCGAGGAGTCCCAGTCATGGAGCGAGTGATGGGAGGAGGAGGAGGAGGAGCTCTCCAGCTGGTTTTAGCAGGAGCCGGGATCTGGCTGCTTTATAAGATGTTGGTCCGCCTCAGACCAGGAGCTGATCTGCAGGATTTGGTGGTGGTCATTACAGGGGCGAGCTCAGGACTAGGAAAAGGTCAGCCTCTACAAATCAGGTCCCACTGGTGCCCGGCGTTTGTCTCAAAGTTTTAACCTTAAAAAAACGTACAAAGGGACTTTTATCAGGTCTGTGGAACTAAAACGGGTTTTCTTCAGGGTCTGGGCTTTTATTTTATTTTGTATTTATTTAACCAGATAAGTCCCTTTGAGTTCAGGGTGTTGAAACAGACTCTCCTGTACCACACTGAAGTGACTCGGTTTCCTCATGTTCCCTTCAGAGGTCAGATCACTCTGAAAACACGTTCTCTGGTTTTTGTTGTTGCAGAGTGTGCGCGGGTCTTCCACGCTGCAGGAGCCCGGCTGGTGCTGTGTGGTCGAGACCCGGCTCGCCTGCAGCAGGTGGTCCAGGAGCTCAGAGCCGGCTCCGAGAGCTCGCAGAGACAGGTGTGTACCTGCTGATGCTGGGTTGGTCCACAGAATTATTAAAGCTGGTTTGTTACCTGATGAAGTCGGACTGATTTAAGGTCATCCTGATCTGTTTAACCTCGCAGACCCACACTCCTAAAACTGTGACCTTTGACCTGGCTGACGCAGCCTCAGTGGGCGGAGCCGCAGAGGAGATCCTGAAGTGTTACGGACAGGTGGACGTGCTCATTAATAATGCTGGAATCAGTTACCGTGGCAACATACTGGATACCCACGTATCGGTTCAGCGGGAGGTTATGGAGACGAACTACTTTGGACCGATCGCTCTGACCCAAGGTGAGACGAAGGTGATCGTAAAAGAGCAGCGAGTGTTTTTGTACCTGTGGAGGTTTACAGAGTTTAAAACTCAATTTATCCAAAGTGGAATTAAAGTTCAGTGTCTCCTCTCTCGTCTCCTCGCAGCTCTCTTACCCGCTATGGTTCAGCGGCGGAGCGGCCACATCGTGGTCATCAGCAGCATCCAGGGAAAGATCTCCATCCCGTACAGATCAGCCTGTGAGTCAACGACCCGAAACAAACACCTGACCGCCTTCCTCACCCGGTCCTGTCGCTGAACTCTTTTCATCTCTCTTTTATCAGACGCAGCCTCCAAACACGCCACCCAGGCTTACTTTGACTGTTTGCGGGCAGAGATGGAGCGCTACGGGATCCTGGTGACCGTCGTCAGCCCGGGTTACATCAGAACCAACCTGTCGGTCAACGCCGTCACCGGAGACGGGTCCAAGTACGGAGGTGACGCGAGAAAAGTTCCCTCAGACTTTCACTTGTTGAATGTTCCCTTTAATTAATCAGAGGGAGCAGAAGTTAATGGACCCAAACATGACCTGGGAGTGTTTTAAATGACCTTTGACCTTTGAGCGCCCTGCTTGACTTTCCCGCTTTTGTCCGTTTTCCATCACAGTCCTGCTCTGGAGCCAAATTATGCAAATAGTCCGAGTGGTTTCCTTGAGCTGTGAGGACAGTTTTAAAAACGTGAAATAAGAACGATAGAAAAGGAAATAACAGAAATGATGATAAACATTTTAAAACTTCTTTCTTCACTTCTTAGTTCTGGATAAAACCACAGCAGCGGGTCGGGACCCCCAGGATGTGGCTCGGGCCGTCCTGAAGGCCGTCCGTCACAGGAGCAAAGACGTCATCCTGGCGGGAGCGGCGCCCACTCTGGCGGTCTACCTCCGCACGCTGTGGCCCGCTCTCTTCTTCACACTCATGTCCTCCAGAGCCCGCAAGGAGCAGAAACCTAAAGACGAGTGACTCAGGAGACAAGAGGAGGACTGAGGAGGGTGGAAGGGTGCTGACGAAGGCTGCGAGGAGAGAGGAGGCGTGAACAGATGTAGCTCCTCACTAACAGACCGGATCAGGGCGGTCTGCAGAGTCAAACACCTGAACGTGGTGCGAAGTCTCAAAGTTCAGTTTTAAGTTACTGTGATCAGAAAATCCTCCATGAATGAAAAACTTGAGGTTCTCCTGCAGCAGAGATGATGTGACAGATCTCAGAGCGAGGTCAGACCGGGGTGAACGTCTCAGAGGAGGTTTCTGTTGTGTAATAAAGCAGAGCTGATGTTCAGACGTCCTCCTGTTCCCCGCCTGTTATTAAAGCCATGGTTTGCATTTCTAACTCCTCTCTTTGGCAGAGAACCTCCTGGGAAACCTCGAGACACGCCTTAAACTGTTGGTTATGAGCTCCAGGCTTTCAGCTCTCCAGGTACAACAACGAACATCTGAACAGGTTTGAGACAAAGAGCGGGACACGCCGACAGGTTTTATCACCATCTTTATACACAGAATAAAAACACCTCTTACAAACTGAAAACTCTCATCAGCTTCTTCTCCTTTTTAGATCTCATCTTCATTTTAATTTAAACAAACACTTGTGAAATGTTTACAATAAATAACCCAAATAACAATTTACATTATGTTACAAAAGCGCAGTGAATACTGGAATCAACCTTTTGTACAAAGGAATCCTTCGACAGAAAAGAGCGCCGTCTCCTCCGTCATCTAGTGTGAGAGGATCGAACAGGTTAGAGTTCAAATCCTGCGAGCGAGCGAGCGAGCGCCGTCTGAAATCCTGTTAGTGGAGCGAGTTAAACACGTCTGAGGACACGTTCACAATACTGCATATGAATGATGCTGGTTCACTGAAGGTCACGTGGAGTTTTCTCAGGTTTAATGTGGAGCATGAAAACAGAGAGAGAGAGAGAGAGAGTGAAGGAGAGAGAGCGAGAGAGAGAACTTGGAGCACCGTGAAACTCTTGGACGAGAAAAAGGACGATTTTAGAAGAAAAGAAACGTGGTTAGACGTCCGTCACCTCGACGACGGACCGATCAGAGTTTAGTGTTTGAGCTTTCGCTTCAGTCGGAGTTTAAAGGGAGTGTCACACAATCATCGTGTTGGAGGAGAAGAGTCCTGATCAGCTCTGAGAGGAGATCGAAGGACGACTTTAAACCCTGCAGACCACCGAGGGAAGATGAAAGTGAGAAAAACTGAGAACATGAAGAAGATCGCTGATATTTACGACCATCATCATCATCATCATCATCATCGTCTCTAAAGAGGAGGAGGCTCGGTTTGATCTGAAGACCTGAAGATGAAACCATCGGGACAGGCCATCAATGGACGGTGGCCCTGAAGGTCAAATTTCTCAAAGCTCAAAAATATTTAATGATACAAAAATATGAAAAGTTTAATATCAGAAACATTTCACAGACACGTGTTCGTCTTTAACGTCTTTACGGTCGTCATTCTTCGTTTCCCGTTGAAGTGATTTTGGCGTTCGGTGAAATGTTTGAGAGGTTGACCTTCAGGGCCGCCGTATAAACCTGATCCCGGACTGTTCCTGAACGCAGCGGCTGATAAGAAGCTGGACTGTTAAATGTGGGGCGGCGTTCTCTCGCTCCTACCTGCCCTGCTGTGTGATGCTCCACTTTCTGAAACAGAAATAACTGAAATATTAAAAAAGTGTCTCTCCACGCTTCGCCTCCTTCTCGCCGTTATTACTTTGAAAATCAGCCGCGGTAGCTGCTCGCCACCAGCTGAAGAACGAACTGCACATTTTGGCGGATCTACACATTTTGCGGGTTGATTAGACAGAGTAGAAAACAAACACACCCTTTCACACGCACACACACACACACACACACACTCGGAGCAGGAAGAGACACACAGATCAGTGAAAATAGTTTGTTCAGATATGGCGTAGTTTTTCCTTTACATGAGGTCGTGTTTTGTAAACGCGGTTGTTTTTCTAAAGTGTTCGTCTTTTAAAGGGTCTTTCACCTCGGAGGAACAGTCCAGGAACCCCAGACTGTTCCAGACTCGCCTCGGACCACCAGCGAGGTTCTCCATTATTATTGCACTTTAACAAACGGGGGCAGGGATGGCTTCAGCGCCGGGGGCGGTCCAGGCGGAGAGGAGGAACCAGCTCCGGTCCTGCAGACGGACTCTGGTCAGCTGAGCCGGGTCGCCTCCTCCTCCTCCTCCTCAGGGTGGGGGGATGGAGGGCTCGGTCACAGCCAGCTCCTGAGCCAGGTCATTGAAGCGAGCGATGTAGTCCACGCTGCTCTCGCTCATCATACACGCGAGCTGAGAGTCCATCTGTGAGAAGAAATCGACACGTTAACTTGAATGGTTACGATCAGCTACGATCGGAGGATACGACCTTTTAGGAGACGATCAGGATGAAGGTGGAAACTGGAGGTTAGACCTTCAGAGACTCAGCTCACCTCTGCCACATCAGGAAGGCCACGAGACTGAAAGGAATCATGGGAGTTGCAGTCCAGGAGGCTCGGACCAAGCAAAGCTGTGCCACTGGAGGGGCCGGAGGGGGTGAGGGAGGTCCGCCGGTTCTTATCAGGAGAGACCATGCTGGCTGTGAGGAGGAGAGACAAACAGAGAGACAGGAGACATGAGAACGAAGCTGTCCTCACAGAAGGTCACGGCAGGAGGAGCAAAAGACTCACAGAGGAGGCATCCCAGGGTGGAGTCGGAGGAGTCGCTGGGGTACCACTGGGGGTCGTGGCTGGGCGAGGGGATCCAGCCTCTGGACGGGCTGACGGAGGTTAGAAGTTTGGAGCCGTCGTGGTTACTCAGCTTGGCGGGAGAGAGCGCGGCCTCCTCACCTGCAGCCCGACATGCAAACAGAGCGTTAGACGGCGCTGTGACAACGAGACTCACAACCATCCCCTCACAAACAATCTGATATCTGGGATAAAACGGACCGTAGTGAGCCGAGTTGATGGCGAGCTCAATGATGGAGTCGCTGATGTGTGTCTGGGAGTCTCCGGGGGCCAGAGCCTCCTCAGGGGGCCCCGGGAGAGAGATGTCGAGGAGTGAAGCGACGCTCGGGGGAGAGAGGAGAGAGTCACCTCCTCCGGTCACTCCAGGAGACGGAGGCGAGACGCCACTCTGAGAGAAACAACAAAAACAGTTGAAATGGTCGGACTCAGCAGAAAGTACCAGAGTGTGTGTGTGTGTGTGTGTGTGTGTAGATGTGTGTGTGTGTGTGTAGATGTGTGTGTGTGTGTGTGTAGATGTGTGTGTGTGTGTGTGTAGATGTGTGTGTGTGTGTGTGTGTGTGTGTGTGTGTGTGTGTGTGTGTGTGTGTGTGTGTGTGTGTGTGTGTGTGTGTAGATGTGTGTGTGTGTGTGTGTGTGTGTGTGTGTGTGTGTGTGTGTGTGTGTGTGTGTGTGTAGATGTGTGTGTGTGTGTGTGTGTAGATGTGTGTGTAGATGTGTGGGCGTGTGTGTGTGTGTGTGTGTGTAGATGTGTGGGCGTGTGTGTGTGTGTGTGTGTGTGTGTGTGTGTGTGTGTGTGTGTGTGTGTGTGTGTGTGTGTGTGTGTGTGTGTGTGTGTGTGTGTGTGTGTGTGTGTGTGTGTAGATGTGTGTGCGTGTGCGTGTAGATGTGTGTGCGTGTGTGTGAGTGTGTAGATGTGTGTGCGTGTGTGTGTGTGTGTGTAGATGTGTGTGCGTGTGTGTGTGTGTGTGTGTGTGTGTGTAGATGTGTGTGTGTGTGTGTGTGTGTGTGTAGATGTGTGTGTGTGTGTGTGTGTGTGTGTGTGTGTGTGTGTGTGTGCGTGCGTGTGTGTTAATGTGTTGCCGACCTCAGGGACGCTGTGCTGGGTGAGTTGAGGGTCTGGTTCTGGTTCTGGATCTGGTTCTGGTTCTGGTTCAGAGGAGGAGCTGGGCTCTGGTCGAGGACTGCTGGGGATGATTCCTGCAGATTTAGCTGCCAGGTCGATGGCGCCTGAAAGAAGAAGAACGGTTCATCAGATCAGTAAAACCTGCAGCCTGAAGAACCGAGACTCTCTCTGAAGGTCTGAAAGAGTCTGAACCTGATCCTTCAAATCTGCTGTAAGACTGTAACTCTGCAGAGACCAGCCGGGACTCAGACCTCCTCCTCTTCTTCTTCTTCTTCTTTACGTTTTTACACCAGAGTTTTCTTTCTCCCTGAAGACAAAATATCATCTTCAGGTGTTTCCTCTCACTCTGTCCTTTTTCTCAGACGTTTCCTGTCATCAGATTAGTTTGTATTTCATCTGTAAAAGTTGAACTTGACGTTGATGATGTTGGAGGCGTGTCCGAGTTTCCTGTCTGTCTTTGTTTAGTCGGAGAAACTCAGGAGCTTCAAACTGAAACTGTGACCCAAACTTTGACAGAACAACAACAACAACAACACACAGACCATAAAAAGGCTCAACGACACAGAAGAAGAAGAAAAAAAACAACACGTACTGGAGAGCTGGTTGGCTGCAGCAGAGCCGCTCGCAGCAGGGGAAGTTTTGGACAGGAGGGGGCGGGTGGGAGGAGCCAGGCGAGCGTGGATCGGCCGGAAAGATCCGGTTCCTGAGGGAAGAAACAGGAAGTGAGACAGAAAGATAAGCGGAGCAGTTGTTGACAAAAACATGAATCAGAGAGTCGCGAACAAAGAGCAGAGCAGGAGTCTGAGAGACTCATGGAACCCTGAACAGTCCTGATCCCAGACCAGTACCTGTGGCCGAGGAGTTGGAGAGGATGGAGAAGGAGCAGACGTGCTGAGGAGTATCTCCTGTGGTCCGGGGCAGGAGGGTTCTCTGTGGACCAGAAAGAGACCTGAGGTTAGATCATGGAGACCCTCTCAGGTCTCAGCTCCTAAAAAACTGAAATCATCTCTTCTTCTCTGACCTGAACCACGAGCGGTTTCCGGAGTTGTCTGTTTCGAGGTTTTCTTTGTCTGGAGAGGAAAAGATCCGACTGCATCTGAAGGAGAAGAATAAAGAGGTTCTGGTGGACCGGACTGGACTTTGGACCTTAAACGTTTGGAGTATCGACTGTGTCTTACACTGATGGAGTCGAGCTGCTGTCTGAAGGCCAGCTCCGCCTCCTTGTTGGGGGAAAACATTCGGTTGTGTCTGGAGCTGTTGGGGGGCAGCGTGGTGGGGACTGCAAACACGCCGCCGTCTGACTCGCCGCCCGCCGTTGGCCCGAGCAGAGAGCGAGGGAGGTTGCGTCCACCTGGAGAACATGGGGACAAAAAAGAGGAGCCGTGTTTGGAGAGCGATCGTAAAAGAAAAACAGAGAAACCTCAGCGTCCGTGACATCAGCGGGTTACGAGAACATGGCCGACATACAGGCGGAGATTTGAAAAGCATGGAGAGGAATCCGGATCGCTCTTCTGAGGATAAAAAGCAGCTTCAGGGTTCGAACCTGCAGCCTCAGCGCTCAGTTAGAGGGAGACCCACCTGAGGCTCCGGCGTTGGGCAGGTGTAATCTGGCCCCTCGGACAGACGCTTGCTGTCGTCCACAGTTGGGGCTGCGGACCCCTGCTGTGGGACCCTTCCCTGGGGGTGTGAGGGCCTGGTTCTGCTCCTCCTGCTGGGTCTTCAGGGGCGATGTGGCGGTGGAGCAGAGCTCTGGAGCCTGAGGAGAGGACGCAGAATTAAAACAACCAACTCTGCCAAAGACCCCCCAGAGAAGTGACAGCTGATCCCTACCAAAGGTTTGGGGTTGACCTCGGTGGCGACCATCTTGAGCAGGCAGCGCAGCACTCGGTTTGTCCGGTGTGGTTTCGGCGGCGTGGAGGTTTGTCCGTCCTCTTGGTTGTTTGGCGCCAGCTGCCATTCGTACTCCAGCCGCAGCTTCCCGGGCTTCCCGAACATCAGGTAGAGCTCAGCCAGGGTGACGTTCTCCGCGTCACGGGCGCTCCAGCCCTCCTCCCTGATCTGCTCCACGGCCCGCTCTTTGGCTGGAGGTGCAGAGCTCTGCGGTAGCCCCTCCTCTGGACCTCCACCCGGGGCAGGTTTGGCTGGAGAAGTCTGGTTGGCCTCTGGAGAGGAAGTGCTCGTGATCTGCTCCTCTTTGCACGGCTCTGATGATCCCTCTGAACCACATAAGTTCTCCATGCTTCTGGCTGCTGTTAAACCCCCACAGACTTCTCCATCAGGTAATGTTCTTCCACCCTCAGGAGGCCCCGGACCGGGACCCTCTTCACTGGGACTCACAGTGAGCTGAGAGACGGGCGGGGGTCTCTTCTCCTCTGGCTTTGTCGCACTGTCTTGTGGAGACTCGGAGTTAAGGGGCTCGGTCCGACGACCGTCGCCTGATACGCTCACTGGAGCACCTCCACCTCCTCGCCCTGCTTTGGCGCTGGTCCGGACTGCTGGAGCCGTGTGAATACCCAGAATCTGGGCGGCGGGCAGTTCCTTCACGTTGGGCCGGTTCTTGCCGCTCTCCAGCCAGTGCACGGTGCAGGACGCCTTGGAGTGAACCACACGAGCCACACCGGGGAGCGTGGTCAAAGTGCTGCCCTCAGCGGGGAACAGAAAGAGCTCCTCCTGCTGGGACTTGATGGGAGAGACGGTGCTGGACTGAGCCGCCGCCAGGGCCTCCCTCTCCATGAGACTCTTCAGCTGCAGCTTCAGAGTCAAGGACCTCTTTAAAACCCCGACAGAGATGACAGTGAGCGTCAGCGTGTTACAGAGCAGAGCGTAGAGCTAAAACAGATAGATGTTCAACTCTGATAACACAGATAGAACAAAGACCATCATGTTTTTACAAGGATACGATCCGCTGGTCGTGGTACGCCCACTTCTGTTTCAGGTACTCCATGAGGCTGGAGACCTTCCTGTGCAGCTCCACCACCATCCTGAGAGAGAGAGAGAGAGAGAGAGAGAGAGAGAGAGAGAGAGAGAGAGAGAGAGAGAGAGAGAGAGAGAGAGAAAACAGAGAGAGAGAGAGAGAGAGAGAAAACAGAGAGAGAGAGAGAGAGAGAGAAAACAGAGGGAGAGAGAGAGAGAGAGAGAGAGAGAGAGAGTGAGAGAGAGAGAAAACAGAGAGAGAGAGAGAGAGAGAGAGAGAGAGAGAGAGAGAGAGAGAGAGAGAGAGAGAGAGAGAGAGAGAAAACAGAGAGAGAGAGAGAGCTGCTGTTATTCAGAGGGACAGCTGAACGGTTTTAAAAGTTCATGAAACAGAAAAGTGTCTTCAGGTGTCGAATCAAAGAAAAGAAAGTGATAAATTCAAACTCTTACAGACGCTGCAAACACAAAAACACATTTACAAACTGAGTGAAGACGACCTGATACAAACTCCACTCTCTGAGATCTTTCCACAGAAAAGGAGAGCGGCAGTAAAAACTGAAGTTTGTGAACTTCAAACCTTTACAGCCGTCTGACGACCTGATTTAACATGTTTTAAAGTTTCAGTTTCAGCGGAGCTGTGAACGGTGTCAGAAAAACTCAGCTCAACTTAAAATGATGAAAACTGACAGAGAATGAAGTAAACACCTGCATCACAGCTCAGCATCAAAACCACCTTCAGATGGTCAGCAGTGGAGGTGCTTCGAAGTGATGTGTGTGTGTGTGTGTGTGTGTGTGTCTACTGACCTGAGGCGGGGGTTGTGGGCCAGGCTCTGGACTCGGGCCCAGGAGTGATTGCTGCGCGGCTGCAGCTCCACGGCCACTTTCAGGGGGAGGCGCACCGGCTTCTGGTCCTCCTCGTCACTCACTCCTGCAGGGACAGGAGGAAGAATCAGCAAAAACAAAGGTCTTAAATTAAAACAGCTGACTGTCCTGATAAATCTCTGAAAACTCAAATCCTTCGTTCATGATCATCACAGACAGACGGAGTTCAGAGGAGTAAAGAGGAGAATGAGCGGGGGGGTTATCCTCCTCTGTTATTGAGGAGGGTGAAGATGGCAGACAGCCGCTCCTGCTCCTCCTCCTCACTTTACTCTCTTTGAGTAACCATGGAAACGCCACTAGCCCACATGCTGCTCTGGTTATTGCCAAAACCCCGCCCACACAAACCCTGCATCTCATCAATGGCGCCGTTCACACGTTCAGCGCTGATGTTTGTTGACTCTAAACGGCGTTTAGTGTCTGCTCACCGTCGGGGTCACAGAGTTTCTTCAGCGCGCGGCACATCGGCGCTTTGATCCGCAGGTTCCTCCCCTTGGAGCGGACAGTGGTGGCCCTGGTCAGACAGACAGGCAGGGGGTGTGTTTAAGGTGAACCAATCAGGATCATTAGATCACACAGTGAGGAGACAAACATGTGACAAGCTTTGGCCCGACAGTCGGTATTATTATTTCAAGAAAGAGAAGAGTTTGATTTTTATCTGCTGCAGAGGTTCATCTGGACCTGCTCTCTCACCATCATCATCATCATCATCACCATCATCATCATCATCACCATCATCCTCATCATCATCCTCATCCTCATCATCATCATCATCATCATCATCACCATCATCATCATCATCATCATCATCATCCTCCTCCTCTTTTTCTTTATTCCTTCAGCGTTACTGAAGACTTACCCTTGTTGGATGAGTTCGTTGAGCTTCGCCACGTTCTTGTCATCCATTACTGTCAGAGACGAAACACAAAGACAGAGGTGTTAACAACATGGTCCCTCAGGAGCAGCTGTCCCCTCATGACCGGGAGCACGCCGGCTTTAATCACATCCCTCATGTCCTGAACTAACAGCTGGAAGAGCCTCACAAACAAAAACATGCGCCGCGTTTTTACTTACGTCCTCCCACTTTCTTACGGAGCTCGGCGTAGCAGATGAGGCCGTAGAGCTCCTGAGAGGACTTCTTCAGAGCTCTGGAGTAGACTGAGGAGGAGAAAGGTGGAGAACGTTTCAACACAGGAGGCGACATGAGGAGAAAACAACAGTGACACAGGAGGCGGGCTGTACAGGAGCAAGGCGATCAGCATGTCTGCTCAGGGCCGACAGCTCCCAGACGAGCGAAAGGTGGAAAATATCAGATCATGATTTACAGCGACGTGATCCTTCATGTTTTTGTGGTTAAAATCAGATCATATCATTAGATTTGAAGATCAAGTGTTTGTCCTTTTTATGAGAAATAAACTCAGACTTTATGAACTGAAGCCAATTACAGCTCCCACACGTCTGACCACCATCTTCACTTTCAGATTCTGTCACGTATCCGTGGAAGAAGATCTAAACTAACTCTAACTCCAGACTCTTGTTCTCGAGAACTTTCACCCAGATCCAGTTTGGTCCTCCTGCCTGTAATTTGGTGACAAAGTCAAAGAGCAGCTCACCGCTGGCAAAGTCGATGTGTTTGGAGATCTTGTGCCAGGTCCGGTAGTAGAAGTGTCGGACCTGCTCCTTGTTCTTCACCATGTTGGCTGGTTTGCCTCTTTTCTTGTACTTCATTGCGATGTTGTTCTGAATGGCCTCGAAATCCTTCCCGTGCTGCAAAACAGGAGAGTGAAGAGACGTATGAGACAGCAGCAGAGAGGACGGGTTCACACTGTGGACGTTTACTCATACAGAGAGAGACTCTTTAACCCTTCAACTAAAGGTCTGAACAGAAAACACGTCGGACTCACAGCGTCCACTTTCCTGCATTTTGGTTCTGTCTAAGAAAGAAGGCGCTGATGTTGCTGGTGTGCAGAGATGTTGGTGCGTCACCTTTCCTGAAAAAACTCTCTAGGTTGGATTTTTACCCGTCTGTCAGTTTTTGATCCACAGACGAGGACACATCCAGAGAAAAGTTCCCGAACTTTACATCGGTGTCATTTGTTCCTCTTTAAGAAAACGAGCTGTCACAGAGACACGGAGCGCCGCTGCAGCCCTCAGCTGAGCGTCTTAAACCAATATGAGAGAGATATTTGGTCACCTTTTTTGCTGTTATGTTGTTCGGTTCATGTCCCGTAGAAAGGTGTTTTTTACCTCCTTTTTTCACATCATGTCCCCCCGAGGTTGTCGCTGTTAGAAAGTTATTAGTCTATTGTTGGCTGTTTTGCGTCTTTTTTCTTCACAGCTCTAAAACTGGAGACACCGCCCTTAGCGCTGAAGCTAATATCAGGCTAACGTTGTTTATCTTTACCTGTGTAACACGTTCAGGTGAACCGCCTGATCGATCAGTTACTCTGGTGTTAGTCTGTGGTGAACATCTCTGATCGTTTACCTCGTAGAGACCCTCAAAAAAGCTGTTTTTGTCCTCAGCGCTCCAAGACTCCCACTGACGACGGGCCCTCTTCTGGTTTCCTGCTTGCTCCTCTTTCTCTGTGGACCCCTGGCCCTTCGAGGTCTTGGACACTCCTCCCGCTGAGCTGACCACCGGCCCCGACTGTCCCACCGTCCCCTGAGAGGAAGAGCCGTTCTCTGCTCCTGTATGACCCAGAGAGAGAGGAGAGCCACAGGTCCGTGAGTCATGAATCATTCAGAGGAAAAACGACTTCATTATCACAGTAAGAACTGAAACTGTAAGGCCAAATGTTTGGTGTATTTTTAGCGTCTGTATAACAAGGAGGAAAAACTATTAGAGTTGGAGCGAAGTGGTTCTGGAGATGTTTAAATACATGCACAACACAAAGCCACCCACTGCCTTTACCCTGAAAACCTGCAGAGCTTCCCCGTCTGTGGCTCAGCTCTGGCAAGGAGGCAGGAAAAGCAATCAGTCCGCAGAACCACAGTCCAAAACCAACTCATGGTGGGCTCCAATGGCCGAGCTCCCCCCCAGCACGGAGCACAAAGCCAACGCGCATTTACACAAGCAGAGAGGCTGTTACAGAAGAGGAGGTTTTCAGCCAAAATGGGAGTTCATTCACAAATGTGTGTGTGTGTGTGTGTGTGTGTGTGTGTGTGTCTGCCCGCAGGATCTGACATAGAGGAGTCTCTGTCAAAATAGACCTGGACCAATATAGCCTCCTATCAAAACACTCGACCAAACCTAAATATACATTTGGGGAAACAATCGCACTCTCTTTCTCTTCCCAACAACAACCAGAGAAACCCTCGGTCAGACCTGTCAGCACATCTTTAAAACCTCCTAAATGTTGATTCCTGCTCCAGTCCAGAGAAATGTTCGAATATTTTCATTAAAGGGAGAATAATTTTAGAAATATCAGTGAAACTCTTCCTCTATGAGTGAAGGCTGCAGGAGGAACAGTCTTTAAATAAACAGGTCGGACCTGTGCCACAGAGACCTGAAAACACCGTTTTACATCCATACTATACAGATGCTAATCTCTTTATCTGAACGAGTGATCCTCATGGAAATGTCTCACACATTAAAGTCAGTAACTCGTGCTTATTGTTTAATCAAGTGATTCTTTAGACGCCCACTGTTACTATTCTGACTATAAGAAAAGGAGGCAACCAAAGATGATTTATGGCTGTTTGTTCTGACATGTTTGAACCTTTAAGAAAACCCATTTTTTATCCATCAAACAGCTGACTGCCATTTTCCTAAAAAGAAACTACGAGCAGCTTCGACTGATTTTTATTTCTCTGCAGAAATAAGGGAGAGTGGGGTAAGTTGAGCCACCCCCTGTTTCTTGTAAATGGTCAAAGAAATTGATCATGTGACCAAATATTGAGGAGATGGTCATCAATTCATGGAGTCTGTGAAGGTTTGAAGCTCATGGGTGAAGAAGAGGTTAGACATTTATTTACTAAAAACATTTTTACTCTGTCAAGTGAATTTAGTCTTTAGTCATCAGTTTGATTAGAAAAAAAAAGATCATTTTAAATTAGGTTTGCGATCTAATTGTGATATCTATGAGCTACAACCTAAAAGTCCACCATTTTATCTCAGAGGACTAATAAAGTCATCATCGTAGTTCAGGAGGAACTGAGAGAGTAAAGGAGTCTGAGGAGAGGATCAGAGTTTACCTTCAGACCGTTGAAATTTTTTTACTTTTTCTTTTCTAAAATACGACGCTCCTATGGTCACCTTAGCCCAAACATACACGGGGTAAAGGTCCGTACACACCGGGGCCGACGCCAATATAGAACGTGAAATTACGAAATATTTGGAGGCGAATTTTGACGCGCCTGACTATACACATCAAGCCCGATGCGATTCTGCGACTTTCCGGGGGGAAAAGACGCATCCTGGGGAAGACTTTTCCCGGGGAAAGTCCCGCCTCCTTCGCCTCTGATTGGCTAGAAAAGCTGGAAACGTCATCCCACGCTCAAGCCAAACGGTCAGCACTTATAGCCAATCAGAGGCAAAGGAGGGCGGGACCGTCCCTTACCATCCTTCAGCGTCCCGGGTGGACAAAAGAAGACAAAAATGGAGTCTGCCTCAACTTCAAGTGATGTTTCACTGCTTGGTTCAGGAGCTGAAACTGGACCACGGTCGCTTCAGAACCTATTTTCGGATGTCCGTTGGACAATTTGAGGTTCTGCTAAAACAATTAACAGTGAATCTGACGTCGCAACAACACACAATCTGATTGGTCAGAAGTGGACACACAGTGTGTGAAACTTTAGAAAAATCGATCGTGATCCAAAAAAATAAATGCCGCAATATCCAAGACGGGAAAACGTCGCTGATGTGAACGCTTGTACTGACAGGATACGGGTTCGAAAAAATACTGATGTCTGAAATAATCGCACGAAATAAAGTCGACCATAGGAGACCACTTCCTTTTGTCCTGCTATATGATGAAGATGACAGTTCTGTTTACACTCATTCTGATGAACAACATCCTGAAATATCTGCAGACACACGAGTTCGAGACTAAACTACGACTGACTTGATGGAGTGATCCAAAAATATGAAACATGGATCATCTTAACCCACTCTCCCCTATTTGACCACTTCATCTACTTTTCCTTCACTTGAGGACTTCAGTGAAAACAGCCTTTGGAAATACAAACAGTATGTTTTACAGGAACTGTTAAAGGACTGGGATGTTGGTCTTGCAGAGACCCCCCTCACATCCAGGTCTGGGGATGGTGGTGTAACTCCAACACCATCACAGACACACAGTGACCCACTCAGAGCTGAGGACAGACCCCCTGCTCAGCCCACCCAGACCCACTTTCCCCTGAGCCGGTCACCTACGGTACCTTTCGATTTCGCCCCGCCATGTCCATTGATGGCCGAGCCGATGGAATCCTTCCGGATCCGCTTACTCGGAGGTCGAACGCTGGATCTGAGAAAATGATGCTGGTCCTGGCACTGTGGGGCGGGCTCCGCTGAGGTCTGGGGATGCTGGGTCGAGCCCAGAACGGCTCGGTTCGGTGGAGAAGCGGGGAGGACCGGAGCAGTACCGGGGCTGAGAGCCGAGGCTGATGGATTAAGAAGCCCCACTCCGTCGTCTCCCTTTGTACTGCGCTCCTCGCTCGCCTGCTCTCCGCTCTCCTCCTCGTCGCAACCTTCGGGCTTTCTGGACGGATTCCTCCTCCCATCGACACCGATCCCCTCCCTGGAGCCCGGTGTCATGCTGCCAGAACACATTCAGGGACAAATGTTCACATTAGGAGCAAAGCAGGGTGCAAAATTAACTTCTAAAGACGACGTTCAGTGTCTCTCAACATGGCCGCCGCTGTTTGTTTCAAATCCCCTCTCCAGTCCCGACAAAACAACACCAAATATTTCTATTTCACGTCTTCATATCAATGAAAATCAGCCACGGAAACACTTGAGGAACTGGCACCGATGTTCTAGTAACCGCCTTTCGGCTCAGATGTGAATTTTTCGGGTTGAATTTCAACTAAATTCAAATGTGAGCGCTTTTCAGTTTAGCGCCCTGCAGAAACGACAACCAAACCCCTCGGTGAATTCGACCTCTAAATAAAGTGTTCGTTTCTCTCAGCTTTTTACCCATTTTCGTGCTCTTCGGAACCGGGCGACGTCTTCTTTCTTTTCACCATGAGTCCAGCCGGTTATTCGGACCAAAGCTGAGCAAAGTGAGCATAATAACAGCGATAACAGCGACCCCTCCGCTTTCTGCCCTCTCCTCGCTCCGCTTCGACTGGAGCTGAACTCTCTCTGCGCAGTTCAACTGTTCAACTATCAGCACCAAACATTCACATTTACAACTTTACATTACAACCACACATCAAACCGAGAGACCCCCGAGATTACACAGTCACCCATCACACCACAGAGAGGGGATTCAGCCCCATATCAGGTTGGATTAGCTCATCTGGATGGATAATCTCTGTTAGTTTTATTAACCTCTGTAAATGGACTTTGCCTCTACGGCTCCATCACCTGTAAGAATGATTTCTGCTAAAACTATTTCTCTCATTAATATTAAACAATACTGACAATTTACTACTAATCGATTAATCGATTTGACGATTAATCTAACTTTAAAGTCAGGATCAGGGTTTGTGTTCCAGCTGCACATTAAAACAGGGGAATACAGTATATGATGGGTTATGATGAGTAAACTCTACAGGAATATCAGTGAATAAAAATCACAATAAAATCTGATGTTTTCTAAAATGAGAATGATCCAAAAGATAAGAGTGGAGAGGGATGACAGGAGGAAAACAGAGACAGATTAAATAGATTTGGATGGTTTGATTTAAGGAATAAAAAAACTATAACCTCTCCCTAAGTACAGACACTTTTATTTAGTGTCATATCAGATTTAAATGTCTAATAAACTTAAGAAACAATCACATATAACAGCAGTGCTACAAGAAACTGATATTAAAGTTAATATGTGTTTTTCTGGAAGTGACATTTTAACCAAATTAAAGTGCTGAGAGAATAAAAATGACCGCTGTTATAATCTACAATACTCCCATCCTCAGTCTGTCGTTTTAATCTGACTTTAAACTTCAGAGTTTGACAAAATTAAACTTTTAAATGTAAAAATAAAACAGTTCAGATCAACTTTCAGTTTCAATGTCACAGGATAAACCCTCAGATAAAACAGCAGAGACCCACATGAGCAGGAGAACCGTTAAAATGTCCCCCACAGTCAGAGTTATGGTTAATTTTACACTACTTTACTGTTAAACTAAATGTAACTGAATCACAGAGACATAAATACCGAGGGTCCAAGCCCAGCTCCTCCTCACAGCTAGCTAACGTTAACTCTGTTCCGACCAAATATAACCACCAACAAACTCATCCGAACATCATGTGTGAAGTCCGGTCCAGTTCGTGGTTCCTAAAGTTCTGCCCGAACTCTAAAATGTACCTTGAGTGGAGTCCTAATCGTAGTTTTCCTCGCTGAGAAACGCGCTAGCATCGCTCGCTAACGGCTCCTGTCCAGCTCGGTGCTGCTCATGACAGTTCTAGCGGTTTGATTGTCCACGCGCTAAGTCACGCCTCCTACAACTCGAAAACAAATCATCTGATTGGTCGGGAGTACACGAGGACGACGGTTAAAATGTGACTGACAGAAAACTGCACCAATTAGAAGAGGGAGAGCTCTCCCCGACGGCCAATTGACGATCTCTTCCTGTCACGCCGTTACAGGTTTCCTGAAATGTGTTTTCCGAGTACCGAGTTTATTTTACCTCTCGGTAGTTTAGGATTATTCCCCTGAGATGAAGAGTTTTTTAAAAGAAATTCTATCACTAAAATGGAGATACTTTCAGGTTAAAAATCTAGTCCCGTCCAGAAGGTGATTGACACTTTGATTGTCAAATCAATGAGTGGAAGTCAAAGAACGCGCCTAGATTATTCACAGGCGCACACCGGTGATCATCTACCACCATTTAAGAACCGCTGACTTACAGGATCAGTGATTTCAGCACAATGGTACGGTGGCCCTTATGGTCAACTGCATAAAAATGTCATGACAAGTAAGGAGAACTCACTATCGTTATAATAATAATAATAATAATAATAATAATAATAATAATAATAATGATAAAGATAATGATAAAAACAACAACAACAACAAAATAATAATAATTACAACTAAATTACAACCAAAACAGCAACAACAACAATAATAGTAATAATAATAATAATAATAATAATAATGATAATAATATCTTAAACATATGGTTGATGAAACATCTTTATGTCTAGTGGAATATTTGGGTTTTATAAAATATGTTTTCTATGTGCATTTCACTAAACATTGCTGTGATTTTTGTCAGTGTTTTGTGATATATAAGTTATTTCGTTTAATGACGTTTGTTCTGTTGTCATACAGGAAACACTACACAAGACTTCAACAATGCATGTTACACCGGGACAAAGGGTTGACTAAAACGAGCGCACCCCACCCCCAGCAGGTTGGCAGTGGACCAGTAACATTCCTCCGTGTCACAGTGGGAGGGTCTGAAATTCTTCAGCCCGGAGTTCGACTGAGCATGCGCAGTGAGGGGAACTCGCTGGTCCAGTTGGCAAAGTGACGAAGTTGTCTTCGGAAACTTGGAGGCTCCAAACAGAACCACCATGACTTCGACAAATATGTTCCAAGGACTGGACACCGGTTCCAAACCGAGTTCGAGGTGACTAAATATTAAAGATAAGACTTTCAAACGCAGAGTTTAGATGTTTTTAAGTGTGTCGGTCAGCTCTAAAAGTAGGTTAACGCTGTGTGACAAAAGCTCCTCATTCTTTTTCCGCCTCTGCTTTCTAACATATCACTAACACTTGGCTAAGTTACGAGGATATTTACAGCGTCTTATCTAAGTGCTCTCTAAAGCTGGGGGAGTTTTGTAAAGTTGTGTCGCATTAGCTAATTAAAGATAACAAGAATTAGCCTTGAAGCTAACAGGCGTTGTCTGCTGCCCTGCGGAAGTGTGAAATCCTCCTCAGACTGCTCCTCTTTGTTTCTACATGAGCCTCTGCTCGGCTGCAAAGATTGGTAATTTCCTGCTTTAGGACTCCACAGACTCAGCTCTCAGTCATCTTTGAGATTTACTGAGGTTCACATGTGCTGTGGCTTTTAATTAGGTGTTAAATTACAGCTACATGTTAAACACACAGGAGGGTTTTTAGACGCATGGCGCCACACCGGCTCTATAAGCAAACCTGTTATTAGGCTGCGGCTGGAGCTCCACTCTATAACATACATGTACATCTGAGTTATACTGTGGGAGTTTCTAATGTGTCAGCCTGTGTGTTTATATCAGGGCCCGACCGAGATGGATTTTTGGGGGCCGATACTGATTGTCGGGCCCTAGTTTATATCATTATTAACCTCAAGACATTGTTTTCCTTTAGTTTGGTAAGGGTTAACATCATTGGATAAGTGACTGGTTTAGTGAAATAGATCAGCAATGAACTGTTTTAGTCATAGATTAATTAACCAATCACAACCTCAATTCGGAAAGAGTAAGTATGCTGTATAAAATGTTTATTTTCTTGGCTCCGGATCATTTAAGATACAAATACAACTCCAACTTCAAGAGTTGAAATTGGAGTTGTATTTGTGTTAGGGCTGGGCGATAAAACCATTACGATATAGCTCGAAAATTTATTTCCCCCAATATCAATATTAAACATGGTCAATATGCTTTTCAATAGTTGATATTCTGCTATGTTTTGGTAGACTATACGAGTAGTAGGGCTGGGATGATATACTTCTCCCCCGAATCGATTCTTTTATGATTTTTTGATGCCGATTTGATTTAAATTGCAATTCTACGATATTGTTGATTTTCTCAATTTTTAAGGTCCTCACGCACCGGGAATGACACAAATATACTGAGCAAAATCACGAACTATTCAGAGGCGAATTTTTACATTTTGAATTTTGCAAACATAAAATTTCTGAAGTTACTTAGCTAATGAATAGCCAATGAAAAGGGGAGTTTCTCCAGGTCCACTTCGCTCTGAACCAATCATGTGCTGAATTAGAACCAAGTAGCAAACAGCTGCATAGTAGCAGACAGCAGCTACACCCAACCATAACACTTTAACAGAGCAACGCCTTACGACAAAACATCAAAGAGACACACAGACCTCACAGACGCAGGAGATTATTGTGTTGGAAAAGACATGAGACCAATAAACACTGTTAGAGTTCATTTTTATATATTGTGATATATATCGATATCAACTGATATGAAAAAATATATCATGTTAAACTTTTTCCCAGATCGCCCAGCCCTAATTTGTATGTTGAATTTGTGGTGGTAGATTAGTTTGAACTGTTTATGAAGGATCATATTTGCACAAAGTCATTGATCCAAACCTGATCCTACAAACATGACCCTTTATTCTGTATATTTCAGGGTGTTGCAGCCGCCCGGAGGTGGCTCCAGTAACCTGTTTGGAGGCTACGAAGATGATGCCGGAGCTTCAAGAAAACCCAATAAGATGGCCTCTAAAGTTTTTGCCCCACCAGAAGCGCCTGAGAGGGCGCCCAGACGCTCCAATCCTCCAGGTCAGACCTGATGACTGTGCAGAGTCGGACCGGTCAAAGTATCTCTCAGTGTTCAGGCAGAGAAATCTGTAACTACAGTGTGATAACTCCAAAGTAAACACAAACTGGTCACTGTTTTCAGACCTTTACTCTGATTTACTCCAGATTCTGTGGAGGATGTAACATTTACTGTAGTGGAGAGTGTTTTTAGTTCAGTCTGCTGCCTCCAAACAAAGACTGCAGAGTCACCCTGACTATCTGCTCTCTGGATCTGCCACATTTGCATCCCTGAGATGGTCTGTTCCCTCAGTGTAGTCTCTGTTCAGTATATCATAACCAAACCAAAGGAGAGTGTACTGGACTGGCCTTCACTCTGAAGAGCTGCTTTAATGACACAGTTTCAACCCTAACTCATGTTCTGATGGTACCTTCTTCAGGTGGGAAGAGTAGTGGAATATTTGGAGAACCTGAACCTCCAGCTCAAACACAGAGACCCATCCCTCCAGGCGGACCATCCAGCAACATATTCGGAGCTGCAGAGGGTGCACCCGTCCTGAGCCCAAGCAGAGGTCATCCAAACAAGCCAAAGGTAGGCTGTGATGTAGTTTGACGTGAACGTTATTACTTCTGATATTAACCCCCGTTATACTCTGACTGTTGAGACCACGTCAGCTCCTGAGCTTTATCTCACCACTACGTCACTCCCTGCTGTGGCAGAAGGGTCCAAAAGTCGATTTACAACCTATCTTATCATTTATTCGTCCTCCACATCCTATAAGGAGTCCAGTCTGACTCCTCAATACATGAATCAATACAGTTTGTGCAACTCAGACAGCTGAGTCTGTTTCCTCTGACGACCCAAACTGTCACATTATACGATGGTTAGTTTCCTCTGTCGGAGGTTAGTGTCGGTGTTCGTTCCTCATACAGCTGTTTGTTTGCAGCCCAGAACACGCAGCAGGTCAGGATGTTTATCCCTGCTGGCAAAAAGGAATTTTAAGGAGATTTTGGATAAGCTTTTTTTCAGCTCAGCAGCACTTCACGGCGCTCTGCTGCAGGTCGAGAGGTCTCATTTACTCAAATTAGGGCAAATTTACTCATTTCATCAGTATTCATGTTTGTTTCTCCACAGAGAACCTAAAATGATGACGGACAGACAGACAACCGCTAAACAGTTTCCCTCTGTGTCATTTTATCCTAATGAGTGAAATAATCTGTTAATAAATCAGATCGGTGCAGTCCTCCTCCTCTTTAGAGTAAATCTGTCATGTTACACATTTTTCTGGAGATTTTCTGGCTGCAGACTCAGACCGCTCCGAGTCAGAGTTTTTGCTCACTCGCCTGCCGAGACACGTTTGATCCTTTCTTCAGAGCTCATGTGATAAGAGTCTCTGCTCAGCCACATCAGCGCGCTCTGATCTAAATATACCACAGCTGAACTTCCATCAGGGTTCTCTGATGAATCTATTTTGAGTGTTTTTATGAAATCAAGAAGAAATAACCCAAATTAATTTTGCTTTTTTTGTTGCAGGACAATCTAAGCGTGGGATCTGAACCCGAATCACCAGGTGAGCTTTTTCCCTTCAGGAATAATTCTGGTGTTAGGAGACAGAAAACAGATATTCTGTTTTAAATGAAATGATTAGAGAAATAAAGATTTATTGAAGTGTATGATGAAAACAGGAGCAGTGAGAGATGAAGTAAAGAAGTGTGGATGTTGTTGAGGGTGAAGCTGGGCTGCAGTGGGACCCCGGTGTCGTCAGTCTGGTCTCCTCAGTGGAAGCGTTTTGATCCGTTCAGTTTGTTCTCCAGGGAGAATCGGCGCCGCTCACATACGGTAGTGTCTCTTTAAGTGGTCGGACCCACGACGAATCAGAGAAATGCAGCATGTGATGGAGCGCAGAGCTGCAGGGGAGTGAGCTGACGGTCTGTAGAGAGGAAGGTCGGAGTAAACAGGGTCAGGGGTCTGCTGTGGACAGGTGTCTGAGGGACTCTGTGAAAATATTTAACAAGAATCGAAGTTTTATATCGTCGTGTTAAAGTTCTCCTGCTGGAGGCCTCTGCTGAGTCTCTGTATTTATTTCTGTTATTTCTGCTGTGTTCTCTCTCTGTGATGTGAGGATTGTCTGTTTTATCTTCTGTTACAAACCAAACTGCCTTTTGGGGACAATCAAGAATTTTAAATCACATGAAAACTAAAAGAATGAGACACGATCAGCACTGAGGGGCTGAAATAAACAGTCAAACCAACGAAGAGCAGGATGACAGTTAGAGAGGAGTTAACCCACCTCTCTGCAGCAGAAACAGCCATCTTTGTTGGTCATGACTGAAGGGCGCTCCTTTGTGGTCATTTTAAACAGCTGAGGACTGTGATTGGTCCAGTGGATCTGAAGTCTGCAGGAATCTCTCTAGAGAGAGCGAGCGGCTGCAGATCCACCTGACAGGAAAACTGAGAGGATGGATCTGGAAACTCTCTGAGGTCTAACCCCAAACCGCCCCGACACACTCACAGCTGTGGAGAGCGCCTTAATGGAAATGGGAGGGTATAAACAAGACGGGCGAGAATATGACGCCCTCCTCACTCTACTGGACAACATAAAGATTCATCACCATAGCAACACAAAGACGCGTCCTGTGCATGGCAGCGTTTCTATTAAACAGACATCATGTTCAGTTCTGATCCGTCCGCCTCGTTTCTTCATCCTCCCAGTAAAATCATAAATCCAGGAACCATCACAGAGACAGGAACTAACTGTAGGTTTTTTTAACTGCGTTGTCACTAACAGACATTTGTGTCCCCTCCCAGCACCTGTAGCCAAAGCCAGCCCACCTGAAGTGACTGAAGAAGCGGCCCCCCCAGCCCCTGTGCCGGCCCAGGAGGAGCCTGTTGCTCAGGCTGCAGCCGCTCCTGCTCCTCCTTCTCCTCAGCCCGAGTCCTCCTCCTCCCCCTCCTCCTCTTCCTCCCCTCCTCCTCAGAGCGCAGAGACCGACCAGCTGAAGAACCACGAGCCTCACCTGGGACCCAAGCCTCGCTCACACAACAGGGTCCTGAACCCTCCTGGAGGAAAGTCCAGTGTGGTATTCTACTGATGAGCTGAGCACACCTGTCCTGTCTGTGTCCGATCTCTCCCCTCTGCTCTCCTCATGATCTTCTCTCATTCCAGCTCCCCTCTCCTCCCACTCTCTCCTTCAGCTCTGTGTCAAACTTAGACCAGGAACTTTCTCTTCTTCACACCAGGTTCCTGATCACAAACATTGTCCTCAGCTTCTTGCACTTTCAGTCCTTCATCAGGCTCTCTTGTCCAATTCTTCACATTTCACTCAAACCTGCAATGAAACAATCACCGACCATCAATCAGCTGTCAGATCAGACGGGGGTTTTCACGGTTCCTGGGTTCCTCTTTAGTTTGGAGAAAGGCACAAATACTCGTTATTATGCAAACGTTTTCGTAGGACAGGTTTGGATGTTGGAGATTTTCTTTATTATGAATGTTGAACCAAAAACGTTGACGGCAGACGAGCTGAAATAGTGGGTTGATAGTTTGAAACCTTGTTGTGAAAGCAGATCTTCTCGCTGATGTAAATCCACCTTTACCACATCCTCCCTGAGCGACTCGATGAAACCCTTTAGTTCTCCAATCATAGATCTGTAACGATGACTGTAATCGAAGCCTTAAAGCAGCTCAGCGTTGACCATCACGGTTGCCTTCTCCTGAGTAATTCCTTCATTTGTTTCTGACCGACATGCTGCCTGAACACAAACCAAATATTGGCTTTAAAACAAAGACGGACGCGGCTCTTTCTTTACTCCCTAATATTTCTGCTTCCTTAAAGAAATTCCATTTTGATTTTCCGCCTCGTGGTGTTGTGCAGGTACTTTTTTCTGCGTGGTCCTCATTGCTTGCTTTCACTGAGAACATGCCTCTTTGTGTTGTTTTGCTTGGGGTAGGCCTCTGTTTATGTTTTAAATTAAAACGGCTGAAGACAAGTGAACTCTGGACAAGCATGGAGCTCACCTGAGTGCAGGTGGGCTCGTCGATAATCGCCCTCTCACCCACTTCATGAAGCACATTCATGCTATTCTGATGCCAGCCTGTCCCCCCCGTGTCCATGTGCCTGGCAGGCAATGAGTGCAGCAGAAACTACAAGTCCTGTGTGTTGCAATAAAACTGTTGTTTTGCATTTTTGGTTTGTTTATTCTTCTCTTCACTTAAAAAAAACCACATTTAAAATATACATCAACAATATATTTATTGAACTTTAACAAGTGTACAAAAAAAACATCAAAAACATGGACAGTTGGACGATGAAATGCGTCGTCGTCTCCATCTATAAAAAGACCATCCAAAACAAGTAAATAGAAAGTAAAAGATTAAAAAAAGGACAGGGTGACACGAGAGAAAACAGAAATGAATAAAATAAAATATACATAAACTCTGTACATTAGTGTCAGCGCCCCAACGTCCAAGACTGTCCAACAGGGGTCTCCAAACCTTCTCAGATCCACCTGTTTTCCCTCTGATGATAGATGTTCATCTCTCTAGTCCGACTCATGAAGTCGTCTCTTCCACTCAAACATTTATCGAAGGTTCATCCATTTTCTTCCAGGATAAGGCGGTTACTCTCCTGACCTGCAGGAGTCCAGGTCGATTAAAGTCATCTGCTTTGAGTAACAATAAAGTCATTTGGATATGTTCCCAGTAGACACAATTTTGCTTGGAGGGGCACTTTAATCCCCACAACTTCAGATCCAATCTTAACCACAGTTTTCCAGTATTCATGTAGTTATAGACATTCCCAAACACAATGAAAGAGGGGGGGTCCTGTTCTTTAAGACATTTAACACAGGTGTCCATCGGGTCAGTTTGACCGGAGTCATGTAAGTTCTCATGAACCATCTGTACTGTAATAGTCTCATTCTGGTATTGATAGATTGATTTTGGGCTTTTAAACATGTTAATTCCCAATCAGCCTCATGTGTCTCTTCTTGGATCACAAAAACAGATTTAATGTGCGCATTAAACACGTTCTCAGCTCCACCAAAATCATCATATATCATAACTTACATGAGTCCATTTACAGAGACAGAACAGAGGACACACAGGAACCACCCTCAGCTAACTTCTCTAACTTCTCTTTCCTCTCTAAAAAGTCGTCTTGTGAGTCGACAGAGGAAAAAAACAGGAAGTTCAGTCTGTAGAAGTGATCTGTCTGTACTTTTTCAGTTTTTTTCTGTGTATTAATGTGTCATTGGTTATAATTATAATCGGCTCTGTTTTTAATAAGGATAAAGATAAATACTCCAAAGACACCAAGCTGGTTCACTGACGTGTGCTTGTTTATGTTTAATAACTGAATCAGATTAAAAGTTTCATGTTTTTGAAACTCAAACCAGAATAATTTTGATTATCCCGGTTTGAGTTTGAAAAACATGAAACTTTTAAGTTCATGTTAATTTCATTCTTCTTCTACTGAGACCTGAGCAGGTTCAGACTGAGGGAGGACCACCCACCTGGACCACTGAAGAGAAATGTCAGTGTTGACGGTGTTGTACTGCCCCCTACTGATGAAAAGAGGACAGACAGCTGACTGATAAAATGATCTGACTCCTGAGTCTGTTTTAAAGTTTTACAGTTCTTCTTTCTGTTCGTCTGACTTTAATTCTCTTGATTTACGTCCTCGCTCACTCCTGCATATTGACGCCTCTGTCTGTCCCAGGGTGTCAGGATGAGGAGCACGATGTGGTGATTAATAATTCAGAGCTGACCAGGGTTACTTACACTCTGTGAACCAGGAGAGAAGCTGTTGAATAAGGAGGTGGTTAAGGTTCACTCGGCTGAAGTTTGGAGTCTTTTTTTCTGCTTCATTGACTGTTTTGTGTTTCTTTTGTTGATCCTCTCCTCAGTGAACAATGACCCGAACACGCCTGAGTGAAGGAGGGTTCACGTCAGAGATGTTTCTGCTCCTTCTCATGGTTGTGGTTCAGCACTCTTCCTCTCCAGTTATTGAATAATGATCACCAGTAAATGATCATTTGTGATGAGTTTCTTCTTCTTCTCTGAATTAAATACATCAAATGTTGAAAGAAATGACTGACTTTATCTTCCAGGGAGAGTCTCTCCTCGTTCAGTGTTTCACATCCTCTTGAAGAAGATTTTTGGAGAGCTGAACTCCACCTGCTCCTGATCATAAATTCGCTTTCTGTCTTTTCTTTTTCAGTTTTTCTTTGACTTTCACTTTTCACAAATTCAGTAGTGCAACAGAACAGGAAATGCACCAGCCACACCAAGCCCTTTTTGCACCCAGATCCCTGACATACAGTTGGCAAATGGCAACCACGAAGAGACCACAAGGAACGCAGCAACGGCCAAGTACCTGAAGGGAGTAAGACAGGTCCTAAAGAGTCAGCTCAATGGCAGAAACAAAGTCCGGGTAATTAACAGCTGTGCCCTGTCAGTGATCAGATACACAGCTGGAAGAATAAACTGGTCAAAGGTGGAAATTCAGGCCACAGATGTTAAAACTCAGAAGTTGCTCACCATGCACGGGGGGTTCCACCCCAAGTCCAGTATCCAGAGGCTGTACACTAAGCGCAAAGAAGGAGGCAGAAGATTAGTGAGCATCAGAGCTACTATCCAAGATGAAACATCCAAGCCCCATGACTATGTCAGGAGGATGGCCCACAATACAGAACCGGAGGAACCATCATGGGAGGAAAAACCCCGCATGGGATGTACCACCGACAGATAGCTTAAGTGGCTGATATGAGCAAATCCGACCAATGGCTGGAGAGGGTTGGACTGAAGGACAGCACAGAGGCACTCATCATGGCGGCACAAGAACAGGCCTTGAGCACCAGAGCAAAAGAGGTCCAGATCTACCATACCGGGCAAGATCCCAGGTGCAGGCTGAGCAAAGAGGGCCCTGGAACAGGCCAACAGCTAACAGCAGGATGTAAGATGCTGGCAGGAAAAGCAAACATGGAACGCCAAAACAAAGTCGGCGGTATAGTGTACAGGAACATCTGTGCAGAATCTGGACTGGAAACCCCAAGGTCTAAATGGGAAGAACCTCCCAAGGTGATGGGGAATGACCGAGCCAAGATCCTGTGGGACTTCCAGATACAGACCGACAAAATGGTGATGGCCAACAAACTAGACATTGTAATCGTAAACAAACAGCAGAGGAAAGCCATTGCGGTAGCTGTCAAAGAGGAGATAGAGAAAGCCTGGAAGGTGAAGGCAACAGTGGTGCCTGTGGTCATCAGGGCAGTAACCCCCACACTGGAGAAGAAGTGGCTCCAACAGATCCCTGGGGAAACATCAGAAACATCTCAGTCCAGAAGAGTGCAGTCCTAGGAACAGCAAGGATACTGTGCAGGACCCTCAAGCTCCCAGGCCTCTGGTAGAGGACCTGAACATGAAGAGACACAATATCACCCAGGGTGGACGAAAATATTGAAGTAGGATTCACAAAGCAGCAGTGGCAGTAGTAAGTATATTGCACTTGTTACTCATATTGAAGGCTGGGGTTGTTTTCTATGGGGGTTCAAGGTGGTGATGGCTCTAGGGAAGAAACAGTTTTTCAGTCTGTTTGTCCCTCCTTGACACCTTCCAGAAGGCAGCAGGTCCAACAGTTAGGCAGCAGGGTGTGAAGTGTCCTGGATGATAAAAAAACATGGTCAGAATGAGGCGGAGAAATTCACTGATGAGATGCTCCACCCTGAGACTCTGACCCTGTGAAATACCATCCTGCAGGACCCGGTCATTCCTTTACTCTAAATCTACTCTAGTCTTTAAAACCATCCTAACCCTAACCCTTCCCAGCACCCGTAGACCGTCCTCTCTCAGAGCCACATAACCAGATGATCAGTTTTTTCAGGAGGGGAACTGTTGACTCAGTTTCCTGTCTGTTTTATATCTAGTTCTTATATTTGGATCTTCTTCAGACGACAGTTTAACCTGCAGCAGAAAACCTATAAAAACAACTTTACATTGATTTGATCATATTTGACTGTTTGAGCAGCTGAGTGGTAGAAATGTTGTGTTTGTTCATGTTGTGTCAGTAAACATGAAGCCTCAGTTTTAATCTTTGAAACTGATCAATAATCGATAATCGTTCATGGAGGTTTTCTGAAGGTCAGCTGATGTTGAATTAAAACTGTTTGAATTAAGAAGCTTTTATTTCTGTTTATGAGAGTGCACCGTCATTATTATTAAATTTAGAACAGGGTCTGTTAGTCACTGAGATCAAGAAACCAAACAGCTCATAATATTACTTCCGGTTGGAACTTTCAGAATAAAAGCACCAACAGACGTTTTATTCCATTAAAACTATTTGTGAGAAGGTCTTTTCAACTTTTCTTTCGGTAATAATGTGACTTTATAAACGATCTGACAGGAACATCAGACACTTTAGTGTCACTGGGGGTTTCCGACACTACATGGCGAGACACAATGCACGATGGGATGCCCATTACCGGTGGTGGTCACTACATTTTGCAATGCTTTGTGGGAAATTTTGAGTCGCCTTATGGGGCATTAGAATTGATCACTCAGGTTACGGACACCCCTCAAAATGGCGCTAACCCCCGTATACTCGTCTATAGAGGAGTCAGGGATCCACAGCCTAGGCGGGATTTCCTGATGTGGGGAGTTTAGAGAGTATGCTGTCTGTGCTGTTGCTTTATTTTGAAGTAACGACGTTTGTTTCCGGTGTCACGTGCCTTGACTTGACGCAGTGATTGCGCTCGTTCGTTGCAGACGTGTGACGTCATCCAGAGTGGGTCAGCTGGCTCCTCCATCAGCAGAGAGAGAGAGAGAGAGAGAGCCTCTCCCAAAGGGGGACATCACCATCACCGCCCCGACCGACCGACCGACCGAGCCAGGCAGGCAGCAGCAGCGGATCGGCGGAACAAAAACATGGAGGAGGAGACGGTGTCATAGAGCCGGCGGATTAACATCTGTATTATTTATTCTCATATTTATTAATTTATATTAATTTATTCTCCCGTCTGTAATGGCCGGGGTCCACGGCTGCGGCTGCTGCTGCTGCTGCTGCTGAGAGGTGGAGCAGGTGCAGAATCATCGACGAAGGCTTCTCGATTCTCGGCATGGACTCACCCAGGGCCGATCCACAGGCCGGACCACCCCACATCCACCGCCCCACGGATCAGAGGCTGTCTGCGGGAGGAAGGCAGTAACCGGGCCGCTTCTGGAGGCGATACACCGGGCTGCTGTCGGAGGAGGTGGAGGAGGAGGAGAGGGGGGCCTTTCTACATCCAAATATCAGAACCAGTTTTTTTTTTCAGAACCGAGCTCAAGGTTATGCGCCGCTGCACGAACAACAACAACGACGACAGTCCGTCAGTGAATCCGTGAATCTGCTGCAGAATGAAACAAGTGTTTTCTGAGTCCACACTGTGATTGTTCCCCTTTTTCTGAGGATCCACACATTGTGTAAAACTCGCCCTAAAAGCAGGCCTTAAAGCACCGACCACAGTCTCCTCCTCTGGATCCAGCTGCCAAGATGATGGAGCTGCAGATAGACGAGGTGGTCTACCAGGACGACTACGGCTCCGGATCCGTGATGTCCGAGCGGGTCTCCGGTTTGGCCAACAGCATCTACCGGGAGTTCGAGCGGCTGATCCGCAGCTACGATGAGGAGGTGGTGAAGGAGCTGATGCCGCTGGTGGTGAACGTGCTGGAGAACCTGGACGCGGTGTTGACGGAGAACCAGGAGCACGAAGTGGAGCTGGAGCTGCTGAAGGAGGACAACGAGCAGCTCATCACCCAGTACGAGCGGGAGAAGGCGCTGAGGAAGCAGGCTGAGGAGGTGAGTGACCCCCGGGGGCCCTACCCCACATCATCCTCACCACACCTGAATCCTCCACAGTCATCCGGATTCATGTGACTCATGTTTGGGCCTGTGACATGATAGTGGCAGGATGATTCTGGGCCTCAGTGCTGCTGACACACGATCAACCCAGATTTAAAGGGATATTCCGACGTAAAATTAATTAAGGGTCTTTCTTCTCTAGTTATACCAACTTTAGTAACGACCGCAGGATAGAAATACACAGCGGTCTGAGGAGCCATAAACAAACCTCAACCAAAACGCCACTCTATAGCCACAAATAATGCAAGACCTCAGGCCAGTCCATTACGGACTACAGCGGGGTGCCGCAGCTCAAGGAAGAACATTTATGATCATTTCTTCATGGAAATACAATCAGACCGAGACGCTAAGACAGAAGAACTACAGCGTCTGTAAAATGATTAATATGGTGATTATTACTTCAAGGAAATGGGGCGGTAGAGCAGTCAGCCAATAACTGGAAGGTTGGCGGTTTGATTCCCCCTATCCCGAGTCTGTCTGTTGGGTCCTTGCTCCTAGTGTGTGTCCTCCACTGGTGTGTGATTGTGAGTGTTGTGTGGTGGTGGTCAGTGAGGCCGTATGTGCAAACTGGCAGCCATGTTTCCATCAGTCTGCCCCAGGGCAGGTGTGACTACTCAGGTAGTTTACCATCAGGGTACGACAGTGTGAGCGGATGAATGATGTTTCCAAGTGCTTTGAGGTCACTGACAAAAAGCGCTTTAAAATCTGATGCATAATTATTATTATATGTTCTTCCTTGAGCTGCGGCACCCCGCTGTAGTCTGTAATGGACTGGCCTGAGGTCTCTCTACAAACAAGTGGCTGCTTTAGTGTCTCTTTGCTAAAGAAATGAGTCAAAGTTAAAAAGATGTTTGGTGTCTAGTACTATGTCTGTGACCCTATATGTCCTGTTGATGAAGTTAGGTGCTGTTCTGAGCATTATTTGTGGCTATAGAGTGGCGTTTTGGTTGGGGGCGTGGCTCTCTGCATTACTGTCCTGCGGTCATTACTAATTACAAAATTAATTTTACGTCAGAATATCCCTTTAAGGAAATCTAGACTAAACATGTTGATTCATCCTTTTTTACCGGGCAGGTAAGTTCAGGTGTGAAGGGGAGAGTCCTGCAGAAAGGAGAGTCTTTATTTAGAACCTCCTAGTTTGAGGAACGGTGAAATCTTCTAACATTAAAGTTTCACTCTCTCATAAACATCATCTTAATAAGTGCTCACACAAATATGTGGACCCTGAATGCATCACGCTGCACAACATAACACCACCTGAGACACCTGATCCATCCACACACACAAACCAGTGCAGCTGACATTTACACACAATAAGCTCAGAGCTGTGTTTGTGTCGCCTGTTTCCAGGTGAAGATGATACCTGTGACCGTGTGGAGCATGACTGTGGAGGATGGGTTTAGTGTGTCCGAGGTCATGTGTTCGTAGGAATGTGTCTGTAGTGTCTGTAGTTCTGGTTTATACGGAGTCAACATGAACAAAGTCTGGACTCGTATACGCTCAGCTTCAGACAGACGGCGTTTAGTTCATGTTTTCACACTTACACATGAAATATAAAGATGACAGCATGAGGCAACAACAGCTGTTCATCGTTATATTCAGGGTGAAGTCTCTTTCTGAGCTGCAGAGACGAATGTCTGAAAATGCTGTGAGGAGAAACCAGACGACTGACTGAAGAAACAGACAGACTTAACTTTCTTTAAACTAGGGCTGAGCGATGAAACGATTACGATATATTTTTCAAAAAATTAATATAAAACATGATCAATAAGCTTTTCAATAGTCGGCATTCTGCCATGCTTTGATCGATTATACCAATAGTCGGGCTGCGGCGGTATGCTTTTCTCCCAATTTGATTCCTCTACGATTTTTTTATGCCGATTTGATTTAAATTGCGATTCTACGATATTGTTGATTTTCTCAATATTTATTCTGCATTTTTAACTCCAGTGAATCAGTCGAATGATTATGATTGTCTACTGACTGTTTCAGGAACCATATTTCCACAATAAATACACGTCACATGTGAGTCAGTTTTTAAGATTTATTCTTAACCCTTTAAAGCCTTTTGAATCATGTTTGATAAACTTCTATCAAATCAATATTATCAACAAATTACAGAAAAACACCTGAATACATGAAAAACACCTGAATACTAAAATCGATTTAAAAATTGTAAAACAAAAAGTCACGGTACCGAAGTGAATCGACTTTTTCTCCCACCCCTAATGAACAGCCAATGAAAAGGGGAGTTTCTCCAGGTCCACTTCGCTCTGAACCAATCATGTTCTGAATTAGAACCAAGTATCAAACAGCTGCGTCGTAGCAGACAGCAGCTACACCCAACCATAGCACTTTAACAGGTGAAGAGACACACAGACCTCACAGATGCAGGAGATTATTGTGTTGGAAAAGACATGAGACCAATAAACACTGTTAGATTTTTATATCGTGATATTGATCGATATCAGCTGATATGGAAAACAAATATATCCTGATAAACTTTTTCCCAGATCTCCCAGCCCTACTTTAAACCCTGATGATATATTTGAGTGTTCAGAGATCTAGTATTATCAGTCTTGTATCAATAACAGCTGATATGACAGTGTTGCATATTTAACTGTATTGGCTCGTAAACAGACAGCAGACATGTTTTCTGACGGTGTTTCTAAGAGGACCGATCTCCACCTTCAGCGCTCTGCTGTCATTCCTGGGCAGACACACGGATCAGCTGACGTCTGATATTCAAATCTATGATCAGATAATATTCAAACACAGACAGACAGACAGACAGACAGACAGACAGACAGACAGACAGACAGACAGACAGGGAGGACGTGATAATAACGTAGTTTATGCAGAAACTGTCAGAGAGGCTCTGAGGGCGTTTTCAGAAACAGGAACACAGACGACGACAAAAGTGGACATCAATATGGAGCGATCAGATTACAGCTGAACAACTCCTCCTCCAGGAAATCTGTTTTTCTTCTCTCTCTCTCTCTCTCTCCCTCTCTCTCTCTCTCTCTCTCTCTCTCTCTCTCTGACAGCACGGAGCATCTTTAATCCTCCTTCCTTCCCTCCATCCTCAGAGGCCTCAGAGTATCACTGTCAGCCCTGCTGCTATCAGCTTAGCTCAGCTTTTAGTCCGTTTCATCGTCTCTCTCTCCGCTGTGTTCCCTCCTCGTCTCGGTTATCTAGTTTTTTATTTCATGTAAGCCGTTCAGTTACAGAGGGCGGTGTGGTTCATTTTTAAAGATCCGTGTTAGTCTGTTTAATCGGCTTTAAATATCAGGAGAGGAAAAACTTCAGTGAGCATCAACAGAGTTTTTTTTTTCACTCATGATGCCGACAGGTCCGGGTGTTTGTTATTCTAAAACAACATCAGCAAACATCACCGAGACGGTTTACAGCAGAGGAGCAGCTGCAGATAAAGAACATCTTCTTTAAAGCTCCTGTCAGGAACTTTCTGTTTGGGAGGATTTTGGCGCCCCCTGTGGAGAAAACAGGACAAACATCATTAAGCTCATGCTTCAAACTGAGACTGTGTTAAAAATCAGACTGTGACGCTCCTAATATTCACAACTGCTGAAACGTTTGTCCGTTAAAAAACTGCAGGATTACACAATTTTAATTATGATTAAGAGCAGAGCCATCTTTCTGTCCACAGGGGGCGCTAAAGCTGACACAAACAGAGCTAAAAGACAGTCAAACAGAAGTAAAGTTAGATGAGCTGATGCAGACTTTGAAACAGTCGTTCAGAGAGGAAGTGACTGAAGCGTAAATTATACTTTAACTTCAGCGAGGCGACAAATCTGAGCGACACAAAAACAGACGGTTTATTCTGAGTGTATCAGAGGGGGAGGGGAATCAATGGAGATCAATAAACACTGAGGACGTCTCGACTGACACTGTAACCTGATTTTTCCTGATTTTGAGCAGAGACAGATGAACAAAAACAGAGAGGGAGAAACAGGCGCAGGTTTGGGAAGATGGCGAGTTAGTGTGCAGAGCGGGTCGAGGACGATGACGGCGAGAAAACGGAGCAGGAGGAGAAAAAAACCACAACGCTGCTTCTCTCACAGGACAGAGAGAGAGCAGAGGATCAGGTTACAAGGTTATTAGGCTAAAAAAAAAACACCGCTCCCTGTCTGCGTCTGCGTCTGCGTCTGCGTCTGCGTCTGCAGGCCTCACACACATCCAGGACCTGAGTTTGTTAACGGCTGCAGTCATCTGCTGGTTTTGTATCTGTTACTGTGCTGAGTTCACACTCAGAGGTGATAATTGGTAAAGATTTATCTTCACTGCTCCTCCAGAGACTTGTTATCACCTCTCAACATGAAACCTGAAGTTTTTCTCCTGCATGTCGTCTGATTTCATCCTCAGCTCAGTCGATAGTGAAGCTGCTCTGTGCGTTATTATTTGATCAGGATTTCTTTTACTTAAACTCTGCAAAAGTCTGAAATTATTGCAGTAAAATAAAGATATGACATAAAGAAGCTGAGATGATGAAGTGGTGAGGGTTCAGAGCTGAACGAGTGTTACAGACTCAGAGATGATGAAACCATGAAGAGCAGCAGACAGAAACTCTGAGTTTGGTCTCTGTCATATTTCTGCAGTTATCACACAGGACTGAACTCTGTCAGCACTTTGTTCCCTCTTACAGAGCAGACCTGCAGCACGCTGTGAAAACTTGGAGAGGGACTACGTCGCAGTCAGATGCTGCAGTATTATGGTGCACTTTGATCCCAAACGCTCTGCAGAGCGAGGAGGTTTAGGTGCTGGATTTAAGTTAAAGTAGAGGATATAAGACCGATCAGGATCAGGCCTCACTGTGGAGCAGGATGGAGGATGTTTTTACACGTAACTCTGCATGAACAGAAAACAGAAGGAGAGTTTCTCATTTCAGCTCCAGAAAAAAACACCTGGAGATGTTTCAGAGTGAAGAGTGAGGACTCCTGTGGTTCCTCCGGGTTTATGTTGTTTCATATACATCAGTACAGGCTGAATCTCATCAGGAGTTGTTTTAAGTTTTTCTTGAAAACCAGTTTTGTGTTTGAATTTTTGATATGATTAGGTATTGATTTCCATCCTGTAACGGTTCGATTGGTGAAAGTTGATTGAAGTAGTTTGTCACGATATCATCTCAGTGTTTAGTCCAGTTCAGTTCAGGGTCTAAAATGAAGCCGAGCAGCTTCGCCTCTCTTACCTGTTCCACTTCTTCTCTGGTAAGTAACAGGCTCAGTCCAGGATCACAGACTCGCACATGTCTGGATCCTAAACCGTATATTTTGTTTCGTTTATGTTCAGCACTAGTTTATTCTCAGTAACCAATCAGCTGCTGCTGTAAGTTCAATATTCAGTGTGTTGTTTAACTCCTTCAGAGTGGATGCAGCTCTGTACACAGTGGCATCATCTTCATCTTCATCTTCACACACAACCACAGTAGATTTATTTGATGGTAAAGTCATCTGTGAATATGGAAAATAAAAGAGGGCCTAAGGAACCTGAAATAATCTGCGTGTTCGTCCTTTTCCACGCAGTTATTCTCTTCTTCTGTGTGACTGTCTGAAGGGTCAACATCCTGGACTCTGGCTGCAGAGCTCAGTGTTCAACCTCAGGAGATACGGCTGTGTCTGGACTCGATCAGGACCGTTTATTCAGTTTGAACGTTCATGTTTTACAGGAAGAGTCTCGTTTATTTGACGTTTTTCTTCATTTGTGCATAAATCAGGATTGTTGTTCCCCTCAGCTGTGATCGGGTCCTTCTGCAGGTCCTCGTGTAGTTGGAGCAGCTCGGCCCGCTCACGTATCTGCTGCATGTTGGTGTTAGCGTGGTCCGCCTGCATTCAGAGGATTAGAGTATTAGGACTGTGAGGACTTTCTGCACCGAAAAAAGGACGTCATTGTGAACAGCTTTATGAGAAAAAACACCCAAACAGGCGGTGAGGAAAGGAAGGAGCTGTGTTTACAAATACAGGCTCCTCACAGTGTGTGTGAACTCTGCAGCCAGCTGAGGTTCTTATAAAGATCCTCTGATGGAGACAAAGTGTTCGAACTGTAGCAGCCGTGTTACAATCATGCCTGTTCATGACGTTTACTCCTGTTTCTCTCCATCAGAAATTCATTGAATTTGAAGATGCTCTGGAGGCCGAGAAGAAGGACCTCCAGGTTCAGGTGGAGTTTCTGGAGCTGCAGGGGAAACAGCTGGAGCTCAAGACGAAGAACTACTCCGACCAGAGTGAGTGAACCGGGACCGTGACACTGCACACCGGGATGAGGGTCAAAGTCCGAGTCAAAGTCAGGGTCACAGCAGTTAAACAATCACAACCCGACATCAGACTGAATATTTAAGAAGGAAAGAAACCAAAACACAAGAAAAGTCATGGAGGATCTTCACAGAGACAGACCTGGAGTCAGAAACCCTCATGATTTTTTTAAAGTAATAATTCGCTCCTTAAACTCTTAAACTCTTAAATCTGTAAATCCACTTTAAAGAAATTTAACCAGGAAAATAGTTTAAAAAAAGGTTCAGGCTGTTTTAGGTCACTCACTCTTCAAACTCGGCTTCTTACGCTGATATTTTATTTTCCATCAAAAACAAACAGGAAGTCACTCGGCGGATCAGAAATGACCGTACTCTGCGTGTTCACCTGCCTCACCTGATCATTCCTGCTGTTTGATTTTCTGTTTCTGTCTCTCAGTCACTCGGCTGGAGGAGCGAGAATCAGACATGAAGAAAGAATACAACGCTCTGCACCAGCGCCACACTGAGGTGAGAGTCCGAACAACACTCACTGTGAGCTGAATGATCATTTTTAAAGACCTGACAGAGGAACCTGCAGATTCACTTAAACTGTAGATGTGGCCGTGAGCATCCACTGACATCACAGCTTTTTAAACTCTGTGCGTCTGTTTTTAATGACACTTATCTCCTGTGGTTGTTTGTTTGACAGATGATTCAGACGTACGTAGAGCACATAGAGCGGTCCAAAATGCAGCAGGCGGGGAGTAACAGCCAATCAGACGGCCCTGGCTGTGGACGAACGTGAGTCATTTCATGAGTCTGTCTGTGTGTGTGTGTGTGTGTGTGTGTGTGTGTGTGTGTGTGTGTGTGTGTGTGTGTCTGTTTTCTTCCTCACTGTATTAGATTAAAACTCTCACCCGTCATTGTGTTGCTGATGTTTGTGTTTCGTCCTGAGTGTACCTGACCTCACCTGTGTAGACGTGGTCGACGTTGTGTTGGTGTTTGATCACGAGTCGTGATGAACAGCTGATGCCTCCCACTCACAGAGAGGAGAGGAAGTGTGTGAAAACCCACAGAAATACGAGACACCGGGGAAAAGAGACGAAAAATGAGAGTTTAGAGTTTGTGTCTGAGAAACTGACCGAGCACAGGCCCTATTTTTTATATTGTATATTTATTTATATCTATATTTAAACTTCTCTTTAAATTTATATTGTTTTAATATTTATCATTTATAATTATATAAAATATTTATACTTATTGATTTTTTTATTTTATATTTTTGATATATTATTATTGTTAATTATATATTTATATTTAAAGTTACAATTTAATATTTTTATTTATAATAATTTAAAAATTATATTAATTTTTAATATTTATATTTATTTTATATTTATATTTAACATTTATATTTAACATTAAAATTTATATTTATATTTAATATTTACATTAATATTCATATTTATATTTAATATTTATGTTAATTATATATTTGATATTTAGTGTTTAATTCTTTATTTTTACATAGAAATTTGATATTGTATTTATTTAACCTTTATATTTATATTTGTATCTTACTGTTATTTTTATGTAATATTTTTGTATTTATAATTATAATTATGTTATATTGATATTTATTTTATGTAAATATTTATTTTACATTTATTTTATATCTATGTTTATATTTTATATTTATATTTATTTAATATTTATATTTATATTTGTAAGCCTATCGGCCATCATGACCACCCATGTCATCTAATGAAACACATTTCAGGAGAAACGTCTAAACTAAGGTCAGTTAATCTTTCAACAAAGAACTGGAAATCCTGGACCCTCTAAAGAGCAGACGGTCCACCAGACTAGTCCTCAGCTCCCGGCCCAAATCCAGTATCCCTGATGGTCTGTAGATCTTCCTGAACCAGTTTAAATCCAGTATCCCTGATGGTCTGTAGATCTTCCTGAACCAGTTTAAATCCAGTATCCCTGATGGTCTGTAGATCTTCCTGAACAGACTCTAAAGTTAAAACCCTGAATGTCGACGGCGCTCTGAGTTTCTGAGGATGTTTACAGGAGAGTGTGAAACCAAAAACAGCTGTTTGTGTTTTTGTTTGTTTGTTTTCATGAGTCACGGCGCATTTCTGTCTGCTGTCTCTCTCTAATCGTGTCTGTCTGTCTGTCTGTCTGTGTCTGTCTGTGTCTGTCTGTGTCTGTGCTGGCTTGGTCTCTGTGCTGCTGTTTTTCAGTCAACGCCACACATGGAGGAAAAGGTAAATCAAACATGGTCCCACAGCTGTCCTCCTCCTCTTCCTTTAGCTCCTCCCTTAGCTCCGCCTACATATCGGCCTGCTCTGACCTAAATGTGACCTTATTCCCCTCCTTGTATTCTTGTTCTCCATGAACAAACGTCCCTGTAACTGTCTGCTGTCTCTGCTTGTGAAGAAATAGATTTATGAACGATGAGACGAGGAATGATTCAGACGCAGATTTCCCAGTTTTCTCCGTCTCTCTTCTCCTCCTCCTCCTCCTCCCTCATCAGCTCGTTTCTGTCTGTCTGCCTGCTCTGCTTGTCTGCCTCTTTCTGCAGAAATGATGTGCAAAGAGGAAACGTTTTAATAGGTATTGATTGTGTCTGCTTTGGGGGAATAAGGTTTGATTTCAGCGCTGCAAAAACACAGAATCAGAGCCGTGCATGTCCTGTTTTCTGCAGAGAAGCAGAAGTTTGGTGATTTAATCTGCAGCCTGTACACACCACTTCAGTCAGTTTGATCAGCTTCACACTGAAACTCAATCCTTCTGCTTTGATTTACTGTAAAGGTTGAACTTAAACTCAGTCACAGTCCTGAGAGGAAAACTCTGAAAGTTTCAGCAGACTAGGTTTAAAGATAAAACCAGAAACCTCTGACTACTAAAGTGTTGAAAAAGCTGCTTCATCTCGACACGAATGAAGATTATTTTTAATTCAGATCCAGATTTTAGACTCAGCTGGATTGTCGGTTGCACTGATTTGAGCGTCTTTTTCCTGAAAAATGTCGTCATCTCCCTTTTTGAATCTTTACTGCATCAGTTAATTAAATTAAAAGGAAATCATAAAAGAATTAAACGACTGCAGAGACAGAATATCCAGGACAGGATTTACATGTTTCCAGAAACTCATGAATCGTTTCATCAAATTCAGCAAAAAGTACAAAATCTAAATAAAATAATGATAAAAATCAGAAAATTAATGATAATAAATGTTTTTTTTTTTCATTTTCTACTGTTATAATATTTAAAACAAACCCATCAGCTGTTTTTAACTTTGACCAGACTGGAGGTTCAGGTGAATTCTGCTGTAAATTCTGACACCCGTCTCCTCGGACCCTCAGCAAACAAACGAAGAAAATCTTCCTCCTGAAAAAACTTTATTTATGTTCGTTTGCATTTTTGCATCTTTTGCATGTGAGGTCAGGACTGATCCTGGAGGGGCGGGTCAAATCTGGGTCATGAGGACTCTTTCTCACCTCCTTCTCCTCTCCTCTCCTCTCCTCTCCTCTCCTCTTCCTCCCCCTTCCTCCTCTTCTTCTGTGTCTTTTCTGCCAGCAGCAAAGCGGAGCGCCCGCCGTCATTGAGCCTGTACCCGAGCGGCGAGGGCATGGTACGTGGGGGTCTCGGGGGGGCTAGGATGGTGCCCGGGAAAGACATCTGGCAGGTCAGCGAGCTCGGTCGGTCTACCTTCCGCTCCGCCTCTCAGGTGGGACAGACCTCACCTGTCCACCTCCTCCACAACCACAAACGCTGCCCGGGGAGTGGAAAGGGGAGGGGCCAGCCTTGCTGCTGCCCGTCCTGCTAGCCACACCCACACGGACCACCCCCCTCCACGCCTGCTTGTGTCGTTTTTGTGGAGCTTTAATGTTCACTGTAATCTCACCTGTAATCCGGACCCGCCCAGGTTCTGGTGTCGACTCAAGCAGGCAGGGGTCCATGTTTTCTTTGTGTCGCTCTGTGATGGTGGAGCTTCTTCCATGTGTCCTTTTAGTTTGAGCTTTTCTATGTTCTCGATGCCACTCATATGCTCAGGTGTGACGGCATGTTCAAACACACGAACACTGTAACGCTCAGAGAAACACGCAGGTAAGAAACACGAGAGGAGCTTAGAGACGGTTATAGGTACAACAGTGAGGCCGAGTACGGTGGCCCTGAAGGGTAACAGCACATTCTGAGACGACAAAAACAAAAATGACTTTACTGTGTGCAGCAATTCTTTACTAAAAGATAAAAATATTAGATTTAAAACACCAGAAATATTTCATGAAACAAAAACACACAAAACTCAAAGTGAGCGCACAAAAACAAGTTTACAAAACACAAAAACACAAAATATTTAAAAAACAACTTTAATGAAACGCAGAAGCATTTTATAAAAGGGAAAAAAATTACAAACAGAAAGTGTCAAAATATTTCATGTTATCTCAGAATATTTAAAAACACATTTTCATTTTTTTATGATTTATTTATCAGACAAAGTTTTTTTTTTTTTAGTAAATTTTTAATAATTTGTTTTATTTAGTATTTTTTTAATTTTTCATGAAATTTTTGTTTTAAATATTTTACCACTCAATAAATAGTTTCTCTTTTTTTGAAATGATTAATTTTTTTATTTTAACAGCATTTGTTTTTGCATTTCATTATTCGTTCTGCATTTAGTTAAATGTTCTCGACATTCACAGAAATATTTTTGCATTGTAATTGTTTGTACATTTGGCCTTCAGGGCCACCGTACCACAGATGCTGAAAACTGTTTTAAAAAGAATCAGAGACAAAAAACTCTGATCCCACGAAAAAAAGTCTTAAAAATATTAAATATATTCTTTTATCTTCTTTCTAAATGTTCCTCTCTGCATGTTCTCGGTGGTTTTATTATCTATTTTACTAAAATTAAAACCTCCTTATTTTCAGTTTAAAGTGGCCCTAAAGTGAAAATTTTAAACTCTTTGTCTGAAACTTTTTTTTACGTAGTAAAGTGAAGTCTGCCGGAGTCGCTTTTGATTTCGTCTTTTGGCGTCACCTCGTCAGCTAAACTGACGAACAGACCTTCCCTCCACGCCATGACGCTCACGCTTCGCTCTCTCTCCTTCTCCTCATCATCCTCTTCCTCTCATAAACGCCGCTCTGCATCAGGAGGACGGATCCGAGTCGGACTCTGTTGCAGCGACGCCGAGCAGCACAGGAAGCAAGTCCAACACGCCCACCTCATCCGTCCCCTCCGCCACCGTCACCCCCATCAACGAGGGCTTCCTCCCAGACTTTGACGCCATGAGGGCCGGGAACCGCAGGAAAAGTGCCAAGAGGCTCAGCAGGAACATGGAGGTGCAGGTTTCCCAGGAGACCAGGAACGTCAGCATCGGTAAGAAGGCGCCGATAAGAGCGTCCATCGTCATGGAGACGGTCTCTGTTCAACGTCTCTGTGCTGTTTGCAGGTATGGGCAGCAGCGACGAGTGGTCCGAGTTTCAGGAGATCATCGACTCCACCCCCGAGCTGGACATGTGTGTGGATCCCCGAGTGTACGGAGGAGGAAACAGGTGAGACAGACTCAGTCCGGGTTTGATTTTATGGACTCAGAGTTACGTCTGAGAACCAAAGAGGCAGAGACTGAAAAAAGGAGAGTTTTCAGGTGTTTACTTTAACACAGGCAGAAAAAAAGGAACTTAACTGAAAATAGGCTGAAGGCTGTCCGCTCGAGTCCTCGCAGAAAACTGAAGCAGCAGGAGCACACCGAGGAGCAAAACCAAAAAACAAACTTAGCCTCTGAGTTTCCTGGAAAAACTCTCACCAAAAACAGCAAAAAACGTCACATTAGAACGGTTCGATAGGAGAATCAACAGCATGTAGGACTTTACCGACTGGACAGGATCACCTCACAGAGCGGCGGAGTCTGGAAACGTCTCAGACTGAGACTGAGAGCAGGTGTGTCGCTGCTGCAGCTCCAAGAGGGAGAGCTCACCAACCAACCAGCTGCACCAACCTCCTCAAATACTGAGGGAGGAAAAACAGAACAAACAGACAAACAAACAAACAAGAAAGAAAGAAACAAACAAACAAACAAACAAGAAACAAACAAACAAGAAAGAAACAAACAAACAAACAAACAAGGAAGAAACAAACAAACAAACAAACAAACAAGGAAGAAAGAAAGAAAGAAACAAACAAACAAACAAGGAAGAAAGAAAGAAACAAACAAACAAACAAGAAACAAACAAGAAACAAACAGACAAACAAACAAACAAACAAACAAGAAACAAACAAACAAACAAGAAACAAACAAACAAGAAACAAACAAACAAGGAAGAAAGAAACAAACAAACAAACAAACAAACAAGAAACAAACAAACAAACAAACAAGAAACAAACAAACAAACAAGAAAGAAACAAACAAGAAACAAACAAGAAAGAAAGAAAGAAAGAAACAAACAAACAAACAAGAAACAAACAGACAAACAAACAAACAAACAAACAAGAAACAAACAAACAAGAAACAAACAAACAAACAAACAAGAAACAAACAAACAAACAAGAAACAAACAAACAAGAAAGAAACAAACAAGAAACAAACAAGAAAGAAAGAAAGAAACAAACAAACAAACAAACAAACATGGAAGAAAGAAAGAAAGAAACAAACAAACAAACAAGAAACAAACAAACAAACAAGGAAGAAAGAAACAAACAAACAAACAAGGAAGAAACAAACAAACAAACAAACAAGAAACAAACAAGAAACAAACAAACAAACAAGAAACAAACAAACGAAACAAACAAACAAACAAACAAACAAGGAAGAAAGAAACAAACAAACAAACAAACAAGAAACAAACAAACAAACAAACAAGAAAGAAACAAACAAACAAACAAACAAACAGAAAAGAAACAAACGTCCAGATCACAACACTCAGAATAAAGTAAAAAATCATCTTCAGAGTTCATGAAAACAGACCAGAGCGAGTGAAGCAGGTAAAAAAGGACAAAAACCTCAGAGCAGAGAGTTGATCTGATTCTGATTATTATGGTGCACATAGCTGTTTGGATTAATTTGTGGTCAGATTAATTATTCCTGTAATCTCTCTGATGAAGGAGTTTTAATTTTCATATTTTATTTCATTCAGTTCATAATTAAAACATTTAATCAAAGGAGCAGAAAGAAGAAAAACTCTGATAGAGTCTGAACCTCTTTATATTCATAAACAGAATAATCAAAATAAAGAAAAGCTGCAGACAAACACGACTTTTTATTATTTCTGATTATCAAAAACAAATTATTCCACATTTTTACACTAAACAAACAGACACAGACATGTTTGAACATATTTCTCTGTTTTTACTCGACAGACTGACTTTTTAAAAACTTTGTTAAAGATCAAATTTGATTTTATCTTCTTTATCTTCTTTAGTTTCTTTGTTCAGATTGTTCCTCAAACTTCCTCCTCTCTCTGTAACTCGGCGCTCCGTCACTTTAGTTCTTAATCTTTTTAAATATTTCTGATCATTTTAAATTATAAAAAACTTTCTCAGATTTTCAGTTTTATTGAGTCTGAATAATCCGCGTCATGATGGAGGACGGTTTCAGTTCCACTGCGTTAAAGTTGTGATTGAATGAATTCACCCTTCATGATTTCTCAGCCCCTCTCAGGGCATCGTGAACGAGGCCTTCGGCATCAACACGGACTCTCTCTACCACGAGATCAAAGACGCCAAGTCGGACATCATAGGAGACGTGGACGCCGGCGCCGAGCTGCTGGGTAAGAGTGGGACCTAAAACCTGGTCGTATCTCTCTAAAGCAGAGCAGTCGAGTTAAACGGAGACGGTGTCCTCCTGAGGTGATCGCTGCTCACCTTCAGGTCCAAAGACGGGGAGGACAAATGCATGTGTGTGTGTGTGTGTGTGTGCGTGCGCTAACAGTGTGAGTGTGTGAGCGGGCGGCTGCACCGACCCCGACTGTTTGCATGGCTGAAGCAGAAAAACACTCCATGCCAGCAGCTCATCACCGCTCCTGGAGAACGTCCAGGAGCTCATTGGCTGATCCCTCAAACCTCACCTGTCCGCTCACGTAGTAACTCTGAGTTTATCGTTTTAGACGTTTATTTATCCAAACCTCTGAGGGAGTTTGACTCACTTTAACGATTATTTCTGCACTCTGAGGATCTTCATATTGGAGTCAGATCTTTTTGTTTCAGGTCTGTTTTCTATCAGAGCAGGAAGTTCTTCTTCTTCTTGTCCGTTTGTTAACCTCTCACCCGTTTTTCTTTTTCCCCTTTATGTGCTTCTGCTGGTGACACCCATAGGCGAGTTCTCAGGTGTGTATCTGAGCATGCATTTGTTTTTTCTGTTACTCAGTCCACTCCTCTTTGACTCTCCAAACACTTCAACAAAAAAAACACCAACTGGAGCTTTAAATGAAGGAAAACTCACAGAAATCAGAGTTTAATGAACAACCTGGAGACTGTCAGAGTTTAAGAAGGTTTGTGATTTAGAGACTTATTTAATAGAAAACAGGACAGATCAAAAACTGGAATATAAGAATATTTTTGTTTTATGAAAAAATAAATAAATACGGAAAATAAAATCATTTAAATAGAAACTAAAGAAACCCTGAAATTAAGGTGGTCCTGATCTTCAGGGCGATAAAAACAGACTCTGGATCCTCAGTTTTAAAGAGTAGAAGGTCCACCGTTACCCCTGATGGTCTGGGGATCATCAGAGTCCAGGTCGTCTGTGAAGGCTCCATTAGTGCTGAACTAGATCTCCAGGTTCAGGAGCATCAGGACTCTGGAGTTGGAGTCACTGCATGAATCGATATCCAACTCTTTTCTGGAAAGGACATCTGGGCTTAGTTGAGACGTTTCGCCTAAAGCTGAACGTCTCAACAAAGTCCAGATGTCCTTTCAACGAGGAACTAGAAAACATAGATGCTGCATCCTCAGTTTTAAACAACATCTCCAGGTTTAGGAGGAACATCTGCGTCCATCCAGACATTCTGACAGCAGGGATTACACTCTCAGACTCCAGAACCTGGTCTGCTGGACTCACTAAGGTCTACAGGATGAGGATCATGAACCTAAAACCTCTTTTTAGAAACACGAGGCTGAAATCAGATTAAATTCTTCATAAAACAAAAATATTTGACAGTTTCTTCATCTGATCTGTGAACTTTGCTGAAAACCATCCAGAGTCTCCTCTGAGGTCGTTCCTCTCCATCAGAACCTTCAAAACTAAAAACTTTATTTAATTTCTAATTAAATCTTTTAGATCTTCAGTGATTTTAAAACTAAATCCTCCCTGATAGATAGATTAGTAGAAACTGTTTTTCTCTCCTTAAAGATTCTTTATAATTAATCTTCTTTATTTTAGTTTAGAGAGAAAAACCTAAAAAAGTGTCTCTGGGACTTTTGAACCGTTAGGATGATATTAAAGTCCTTTCAGCGCCAAAAGCAGCTTCTGCTCCTCCTCAGACTTACAGAAGTAAAAGCTTGTCAGCGTTGTCTCTCTCCTCTCTCCTCCTCTTCTCTGTCTCCTTGTTTCCTCTCCTTCTTCCTCTTCTTCTTCTTCTTTTGCCTCCAGTCCGTGATGATTTCTTCGGTAAGGCTCCTTGCCGACCCTCATGGTCACGTTTGCTCGTCATGTCATTCCCTGACCTCCAGCTTTCACCTCCTCTTTGTGTTTGCTTCCTTCAGTTTCACCTCCTCACTCTTGTTTTTTATCCTGATCATGAAGAGACTGAAATGATCTCAAACAAACACTCCTGGAGAAAAACCATCAAAGTGAATGAGAGTCGAACACGCCGTCAGCTGGTCTCCAGAAACTGTTTGTTTTATTTCAGTGAAGTCATTAAATTAACGTTTAATATCTTTAACAAACGCAGAGATCAGAAACTCACAGTGTTTACAAAGATGACGTCGAGGAAATGAGTGAAGAAATTATTTAAAACAGTCCTCCTCCTCCTCCTCCCTGATGTTTCAGACCAGAGACTGTATATGTGATTATATTATATTATATATATGTTTATATATTATATATTCTATATCCAGTCTGTGTCTGAGACCATAGACTGTATATGTGATTATATTATATTATATATATATGTTTATATATTATATATTCTATGTCCAGTCTGTGTCTGAGACGGTCTGTGTTTCTGGTTCGTGTTTGTTTCCCTCCCTTTTGCTCACGTTTGTGTGCTTGGCTGCTTTGCAAAGTTGCTTCCTGCTGCATGAACGGTTTTCAGTGACTCAGCAATAATGAAGGTTTAACATGAAAAACCTGAACGTGAACTAAAGTCTCAGAAAAATCTACTCTGGACTCTGAGTAAATCCGTCTGAACAGTGTGAACGTGTTCACCTGAACTTTACTCCTAAAGACGTTCAGTTTTTAACACTTTAACACGGTTCAGGTTCATTCTGTCCAAAATTAACATCTAACAACAGAGTCTCCTGGTCCTGGTCCTGGTCCTGGTCCTGGTCCCGGTCCTGGTCCAGATAGAGAGCCTCCGTGATCCAAGCTCAGAAATTCGATCCAGTCTTGTTAAATTTGATCGCTGAGGGTCGATACGATCGAGTGGATTATGTTCTTATATAGATATATGTAGATGTACTGCTTAGTCCACAGGGGGGCGCCACATAGTCCCTCAGAGGGGGGTATCATACTTTTCCACATTTACAACAAAAACTGCAAAGTTACAAACGAGGAGGTAAAAGTTTGTTTGTCTGTGATCTTCGAAGTCTAGAGTCTGAGAGAAAGACTAGATTCCTCCTCTTTAAAGACAGAGTCTCATATTTAAAACCTTTAATTCTAACCTGATGTGAACCCTCCAGAACCTGATCCATCACTCAGTCCTCTTCAGGTTTATTTTTCTATAAACCGCAGAGTTCCTCTCGGTGTTTATCGGGTTAATGGGTGACGGTGGAGGAGGGTGGAGGACGGTGTGTGTGTTCTGTGTGTGGAGAGTAACTCAGACGTGTCTGTGGATGTTTCAGGGATGGGGAAGGAGGTGGAGAACCTGCTGACGGAGAACAAACAGCTCCTGGAGACCAAGTAAGAGCTGTTGTTCATGTCTTTGTTTCTCCTCGGAGCTGCAGACAGATTCAGGTTTTCATGTTGGACAGACGTCTGAAGGATCTACTGACGTCTCTTTCTTTTCCGTGACAGAAACGCTCTGAACATCGTGAAGAACGACCTCATCGCCAAAGTGGACGAGCTGTCGGGGGAGCAGGAGGTGCTGAGGGAGGAGCTGGAGGCCGTGAGGCAGTCCAAGAACAAGGTGGACGCCCGAGTCAAGGAGCTGGAGGAGGAACTCAAGAGGTGAAGTTCCAGACTCTGATGTTTTTATTGGGATGAATCTTAAACTAAAGAAACTGAATCGTCTCTCAGGAGGAACGTGGAGGTGTGAGGAGGTCATGAACTTCCTCCTCAGGTGAATCAGTCGGTTTGTTTTTGTGTCTCAGGTTACGAGCCGAAGCTCTCGGTGCGTCTCGGGACTCAAAGGACGAAGGCGGCGATGATGTGAGTGAAACGACGTGTTTTTATGGAGTTTTCATCGTTTATTCTCCGTCTGGTTAACTCGCTCTCTTCTGCCCTCAGTTCTCGTCTCCCATGCAGGACGGCGACATGACGATGACGCAGCGGCGGCGTTTCACGCGGGTGGAGATGGCACGCGTTCTGATGGAGAGGAATCAGTACAAAGAGAGGCTGATGGAGCTGCAGGAGGCGGTGCGGTGGACGGAGATGATCAGGTAGATGGTGGGGATGGGGACTGGTTTCAGAGAAGTTCTGGAGATGTTCTGGTCTTCTCCGACCTTCACTCGCTCCTTCCTGTCTCCTCAGGGCGTCCCGGGAGAGTCCTCCGATCCAGGAGAAGAAGAAGTCCACCATCTGGCAGTTGTAAGTTTCTCCTCTCCTGCAGGTTTCCTCTAAAATCTCTCTGATGACTGAGTCCTTCAATCTTCTCCTCTCCTCCTCCTCCTCCTCCAGCTTCGCTCGTCTCTTCAGCTCCTCCTCCAGCCCTCCGCCCGTCAAACGGCCGTACTACAGCGTCAACATCCACTACAAGTCACCCTCGCCGGCCGGTTTCTCTCAGCGCCGCAGCCACACCATGTGTCAGATCTCCACCTCCAACCGGACGCTGGAGTTCTTCCCTGAAGAGTGAGCAGAGACCTTCACTAAACACACACACCACACCTGAGACCTGCTCTCACCTGGTCTCACCTGGTCTTACCTGGTCTTACCTGGTCTTACCTGGTCTCACCTGGTCTCACCGGGTCTCACCTGGTCTCACCTGGTCTTAACTGGTCTCACCTGGTCTCACCTGGTCTCACCAGGTCTCACCTGGTCTTACCGGGTCTCACCTGGTCTCACCGGGTCTCACCTGGTCTCACCTGGTCTCACCGGGTCTCACCTGGTCTCATAGGGTCTCACCTGGTCTCACCTGGTCTCACCTAGTCTCACCGGGTCTCACCTGGTCTCACCTGGTCTCACCTGGTCTTACCGGGTCTCACCTGGTCTCACCGGGTCTCACCTGGTCTCACCTGGTCTCACCTGGTCTCACCGGGTCTCACCTGGTCTTACCGGGTCTCACCTGGTCTCACCTGGTCTCACCTGGTCTTACCTGGTCTCACCTGGTCTCACCTGCTCTCACCGGGTCTCACCTGGTCTCACCTGGTCTCACCTGGTCTTACCTGGTCTCACCTGGTCTCACCGGGTCTCACCTGGTCTCACCGGGTCTCACCTGGTCTCACCTGGTCTCACCGGGTCTTACCTGGTCTTACCTGGTCTCACCTGGTCTCACCTGGTCTCACCGGGTCTCACCTGGTCTCACCTGGTCTCACCTGGTCTCACCTGGTCTCACCTGGTCTCACCGGGTCTCACCTGGTCTCACCGGGTCTCACCAGGTCTCACCTGGTCTCACCTGCTCTCACCTGGTCTCACCTGGTCTCACCTGGTCTCACCGGGTCTCACCTGCACTTCCCTGGTCTCACCTGGTCTCACCTGGTCTCACCGGGTCTCACCTGGTCTCACCTTGTCTTACCTGGTCTCACCGGGTCTCACCTGGTCTCACCTGGTCTCACCTGGTGTTACCTGGTCTCACCTGGTCTCACCTGGTCTCACCGGGTCTCATAATCCGCTCTGAGCGCCTGCCGTGTTGCTCGCTCGCTCGCTGGCTTGCAGCAGCTTCAGAGGTTCACGCTCTCGGCTGGTTCTTGGAGGATCTGGTCTTTCTAACCTCTAACAGGACTGGATGGTATCTTGTGTGTTTGCCGTCAGTCTGTCTGTCTAGGTTAATCCAGAGTCCCCGCCCCCTTCCTCTCCGGTCTTCACAGAGTTTATAACCTGCAGATAAAAACTCTCTCAGGTTTAGTTCTGATGATGTTTGATCTTGGTTTTCATAGAGAGGAAGGATCTTCTCATGAGTTTCAGACTTTAGATGGTCTGGACTTGGACCTGGATCACCTGCTGCAGCTTTCTCTCCTCCTCTTCCTCTTCCTCTTCTTCTTCATCATCTTCTTCTTCTCTCGCTGTTGGCTGGCTCGGCTGCTAATGCTTCGCTCTTCCTCTCTTCCTCCCTCTCTTCTTCCTCCCTCTCTCCCTCCATCGCTTCCAGACTGGCGAGTAACGGTGTTGCGTCTCTCCTCAGCGACTCTGCGCTCTTGGCCCGCAGAGAGCAGCGGCGTGAACAGTACCGGCAGGTCCGCGAGCACATGCGCCGCGACGACGGCATCATGCAGGCCTGTGGGTGGAGCGTGCCGTCCCGCTTTAAACAGGTGCACACACACACACACACACACACACACACACACACACACACACACACACACACACACACACACACACACACATCTGAACCTCTAAGTTAAACAGGAATTCACTGATGGATCAAACATTTCAAAATAAAAACCTTAAAAGAATCGATTTGATGAGGTCGAGTCTCGTCCAGAGAAGTTTAAATGTGACGATGAGGAACAGAAAGAGTTAGTCTGGTTTGTCACTAAAGTTCATGGACTCACGAGTTTCTTCGTCTCTCATCAGTTTGTGTTTTTTATCGTTCTTCTGTAAATGAGTTTGTTCTTTAATTCTGATGATATTTGATGGAGAAGATGATCCTGACCGCTCCAGTCTGAAGACGCCCCTCAGTCCTTCAGCTCAGACTCTGATCAGGTCTGCTGGTTTATCCTGGATCTTTATTAAAGGGATATTCTGTCATAAATGAATTTAGGGTCAAACCCACCGTAACACCGAGTTAGACCCCCCCTCCAGAGATGAATGTTGTCGACCTCTTTCTTCTCTAGTTATACCAACTTTAGTAACGACTGCAGGATAGAAATACAGAGAGGTCTGAGGAGACATAAACAAACCTCAACCAGAACTGAGAGTTTGACCCTGAATTAATGACAGACTGTCCCTTTAATGACTGACTGCAGTTATCGTTATAGATGTTCACACAGCGACACTGTTGTGATTATAGACCTGGTCGGTGAGAACATCTAACATAGACACTCCTCTGAGATCTGAAGGGATCAGGTCTTATCCTGAAGTCTGAACCTGTTTCTCTGAGAGGAGCAGAGACCTCTGAGGTCTTCAGGGGGGTCTGTAGACCTGTAGACTTGTAGACCTGTAGACCGGTCCTCAGACTCTGTGGGGTTCTGCTCAGGTGTGTTGGTTGGTTGGTAGGCAGGCGGCTCTAACTCTGGTCTCCCACAGACTGGAGGTCAGACGGACAGCGCTCAGGACAGCCCGCTGAAGAGACAACAGGCAAGTGAGACCGACAGAGTCCCAGCATGCACCTTTAACCTTTGACCTCCTCGAACCCAGAACTAAAGATACTGAAGAAAACATCCAGAGAAGTCCAGATCCTGGACTGAGGGAGTCTTTGTTAGACCAGGACCTCTAAAGATCAGATCTGACCTGCATGAATGAAGGTTTTATTTTGAAGGCATGATTTCTCTGCAGATGTTCGTCTCATGACGACATCTCTGATTAACTCCTCTGACTGTGTTTCTGCAACCTTTAACCTTTGACCTTTGACCTCTGTCTGTCTCAACCTGCCCGACTCAACCTGTTGATTTTGTCCTGATTGACTCATTTCTACTTTGAAGGAAAAACCCACTCTGAACATCTCTGAGGAACGTCAGGTCCTCCTCCTCGTTTTCTTATTTCAGGTCATAAAACGTTGATAAACTCGTTTAAACTCATTGATCCGATCGTCTCAAAGTTAACGGTGGTGTTTCCTGCACCGCTGGGATGAAGTCAAAGATCAGGAGAAGCTGGAGGAGGAAGATGAAGATCTGCAGGAGTGGATTTTTCCTTCGTGGATTTTGTCCAAATTTTGTTAAATCAGAGAGAAATCGTTTAAAAAGTCAGATTTAGTTTCTGATCCTGATTTATCCTGATAGAACGATGAACCTTCAGAAGGTCTCAGTCATGGTGACTCTGGTTCTCTGTGAAGGAGGACCGATCAGAGCGAAGGTTCAGACTCTGGAGGTTCTGGTTTATTTTCGTTTCTTTGTTCTTCTCCTGAGCGGTTTTTACTTCTGCCTTTAGACCACCAGTGAGAAGGAGGACAACCGCATGAAGAACGTCCCCGTCCCCGTTTACTGTCGCCCCCTGGTGGAGAAAGACCCCAACAGGAAGGTGAGAAACAGGAAACAGGAAACAAGCTTTAAGAGACTAAATTTACCTCAGAGAGGAAGTCCAGCTCTGGTCAAAGTTCCTCCGTCCTGCAGAGATGATCGATGTTCGACCTCAGAGATGATTGATGTTCGACCTCAGAGATGATCGATGTTCGACCTCTCGTCTGTTTGTAGTTGTGGTGCGCAGCAGGAGTCGACCTCACAGGATGGAGAGCCATTACCCAGGAGCCTCTGCAGACCAAAGCGCCATCAGGCAGCGGCGACCCGCTTCAGGCCGAAGAGGACGGAGCGGACAAGAAGAGCCACAGCTCCCCAGAGAAGAGGAAGGTACGAGAACTTCAGAGGAGGTTTGGTGGTGAGGATGAGTCCTGGATCCAGATCTGACTCTCTCCTGTCCCCACAGTCCAAGGAGCTTCAGGAAACCGACACCATGAGCAGCCGGGTCTGGATCCTCACCAGCACGCACTCCGCCAGCAAGGTGGTGATCATCGACGCCAACCAGCCGGGCTCGCTGGTCGACCAGTTCAACGTCTGCAACGCCCACGTCCTCTGCATCTCCAGCGTACCAGGTGAGTCAACAAGTCCTGTCCAAACCAGCTCTTCTGGTACCGGTTCTGACCTGTTCCTGGTCCGTACTCAGTGCCCCTGTTTGTGTTTCTGCGTCAGCCGCCAGTGAGAGCGACTATCCCGCAGGTGAGATCGTGTTGGATCCAGGTGACAGAGGAGCAGGTGGAGGCGAGGACACCGGCAGCGTGGAGGGCATGTTGGCCGGGATCACCCTGGTGGGCTGCGCCACAAACTGCAGCGTCGCCCGTAGCAACTGCTCCTCACGCACGGACACGCCCATCATGGACAAAGGACAAGGTACGTGAACAAAACTCAGATGTTCTGACGGTCCTCTCCGGGTGGAGGACCGACTTTAGACCAGGTGGAGGGTTTCAGGTCTTGTCTTGGTCTTTTGTTGCTGTAGCTCCGACTGCGCCCCCCATGAACGGGAAGATCCACCCCGCTCAGTCAGCCGAGGAGGCCACAGAAGCCACCGAGGTCTCCGAGACCACGACCGGCCACACGGAGCACGGACCCCCGGGACCGTTTACTGAACACGTCTTCACCGACCCCCCACCTCGACCAGCAGACCCCTCAGAGAGGTACGAGGACAGGGACTACCGTAAATCCTCAAATATATGAGCAAGGTCCTTCTGGGCTGTTACTGCTGAAGGTGTCAGGCCTTCAAAAGAGGCAGAGCGAGTATCACCAAGTAATAGAGGACGGCCTCCAGTGGTCAAAGGAGGAACTGCAGCTTCCTCTTACCCCCAATGTCCACCGATTCCGGAATGGCGGCGATTTTCACCATCCGTCAATTCTTACAGACAGCAGTAATCACGAGAACTCACAAGATCCCGCAGATTCACGTTCAATCACGTGATAACGAGTTGTCTCTCTAAAGACAGACACATAGACATACAAGCAGTAGATTGTGTCCTTCCAGAGGAGGAAATCTACTTCTAGACTTCTAGAATCAGCATCTCCTCATCCATGGTGTCATCGGGGTGAAATGACGTCTAAAAACCTTTCACTTGTTCGTCTCCACCCGTTTGCATGGTGTGAAATACGATCCTCCTGAAACACAGAGTGTTTTATTTTGAAAAGAAGCCAGATGTTTTATTTTGTGTCTGTGCCCGACTTCCTTTCCAGCACGGGTTAATCTGTGCTGAATTTATCCGCCATGCTCCGGCGTCCAGAAAAACTAGAACTCTTGTGATCAGCTGAGGAGTCCGGCGATCCGCAGAGGAACGGAAAGAAGTCGGTGTAAATTGACACGTTAACTTGAATGGTTACGATCAGCTACGATCGGAGGATACGACCTTTTAGGAGACGATCAGGATGAAGGTGGAGGTCGGGGGTCAGTGTAAACTCTTAATGAGACAAACTGTCTTCGTCCAATCAGGAGCTCAGGTCAGTCCAAAGAGGAGAACTCTCAGCCTCCAGAGTCGGAGGACGCCGGAGACGAGACCAAGAACTTCACCAGTGTGGCGCCGACCATGTGGCTCGGAGCGCAGAACGGATGGTGAGAGCGTCATAATATCTGCACACGCAGTCACTGCCTCGCCGCGCCACATTAGAGTCACACTAAAGCCTTTGACCTCTTTGACCTCTGCTCTCTCTCTCTCTCTCTCTCTCTCTCTCTCTCTCTCTCTGAAGGCTCTACGTTCACTCGGCCGTGGGAAACTGGAAGAAGTGTCTCCACTCCATCAAGCTCAAAGACTCGGTGCTCAGCCTGGTGTAAGTGGACTCAGCCGAGGACCTGTATCTGGGTCTGAGATCTTTGATCAAGTGTTTCTCCATCAGACTCTCTCCCTCTCTCTCTCTCTCTCTCTCTCTCTCTCTCTCTCTCTCTCTCTCTCTCTCTCTCTCTCTCTCTCTCTCTCTCTCTCTCTGTTTTCTCTCTCTCTCTCTCTCTGTTTTCTCTCTCTCTCTCTCTCTCTCTCTCTGTTTTTCTCTCTCTCTCTCTCTCTCTCTCTCTCTCTGTTTTCTCTCTCTCTCTCTCTCTCTCTCTCTCTCTCTCTCTCTCTCTCTCTCTCTCTCTCTCTCTCTCTCTCTCTCTCTCTCTCTCTCTCTCTCTCTCTCTCTCTCTCTCTCTCTCTCTCTCTCTCTGTCTCTCTCTCTCTCTCTCTCTCTCTCTCTCTCTCTCTCTCTCTCCCTCTCTCTCTCTCTGTTTTCTCTCTCTCTCTCTCTCTCTCTCTCTCTCTCTCTCTCTCTCTCTCTCTGACTGCAGGCACGTCAAAGGTCGAGTGCTGGTCGCCCTCGCCGACGGGACCCTCGCCATCTTCCACAGAGCAGAGGGTGAGTGATGGTTCCTGTGATGAGCGGAGATGTTGAGGAGCTCTCCTGAAGGTCAAACTTCTTCTTCTTCTGTGTTTGTTGATCAGACGGTCAGTGGGACTTCTCAAACTACCACCTCATGGATCTGGGTCGACCTCATCACTCCATCCGCTGCATGGCCGTGGTCCACGACAAGGTCTGGTGCGGCTACAAGAACAAAATCCACGTCATCCAGCCCAAGAGCATGCAGATCGAGGCGAGTCACGACCCTGCGGACCAATCGTGTCCCCGAACAACCATCGGTTACTGTCCGCCATCTTTGAAATGTGAGTTAAAGGTTAATGTTCTGGTCGTTTTGACGCTCCGCAGAAATCCTTCGACGCCCACCCCCGCAGGGAGAGTCAGGTACGGCAGCTAGCGTGGATCGGTGACGGCGTTTGGGTGTCGATCCGGTTAGACTCGACCCTGCGTCTGTATCACGCTCACACACACCAGCACCTCCAGGACGTCGACATCGAGCCCTACGTCAGCAAAATGTTGGGTGAGCGCCGTCCCTGTCTTCATGGTCGTGTTTTTAAAGGTTTTTTTCTCGTGGTCATGGCGTCTCTTTAGACTTGATTCAGATTCGTTTTGTTTCTCGCAGGAACTGGAAAGTTGGGCTTCTCCTTCGTGAGGATCACGGCTCTTCTGATTGGTGGAAACCGTCTGTGGGTGGGAACAGGAAACGGCGTGATCATCTCCATCCCGCTGACAGAGAGTGAGTCGATGACACGAACAAACGGGAGACGAGAAAATCTCAGTTATTCTAAAGAAATCAGTGTCTAAAAAAACAACAGAGGTCAATTTATTGATCGGTTATTGATTAATGATGAACTGACCAATCAGGACTCTCCAGTCTCCTCTCTGTCCTCCTTTCACCCTGTGAGCTCCTCGTCTTTCTCTCCTGCCTCCTCTCAGCGCTCTCGCTCTTCACTGAGAGTCTCAACTTTAACTCTTCTTCTCTTCTCCTCCTCCTCCTCCTCCTCCTCCTCCTCCTCCTTCTTCTCCTCTTCCTCCTCCTCCTCCACCTCCTCCTCCTCCTGTAGCGGTGGTCCTTCACCGTGGACAGCTCCTTGGTGTGAGGGGTAAGTGGGAGCGCTCTCTCCTCCTCCTCCTCCTCCTCCTCCTCTTTTTTTTGTCCCTCCTTCAGACCTTCACGTCTTCCTGAAGTTTCTTCGTTAAGCGAGTTCAGAGCTCGTCAGGTTCTTCTTAGAGAGTTCGTTAAATCCTGAACATGACCTCCAGGAGATCAGACGAGTTCTCCTCGTGACCTTTTCTTTCTTTTGCATGAAGGAGATGTTTTTCAGTTTGTTCTGAGGTCACCTTCGTCTCGTTTCTCATTTTCAGTTTTTAAATTGTTGATTTTCTGTTTCCTGCGTCGTCGTCCTCCTCCTGCTCTGATTGGTTTATAACTCTCTGGTTTCTCCTCCCTCAGCCAATAAGGTGTCTCCAACATCGTCGGGTGGAGTGATCCACGTCTACGGAGACGACGGCTCGGAGAAGAGCAGCGGCAGCTTCATCCCGTACTGCTCCATGGCTCAGGCTCAGCTCTGTTTCCATGGACACCGGGACGCCGTCAAGTTCTTCGTCTCTGTACCCGGTAGGTACCGCGCCGACTCGGACCTGGTCCTGAAAAAGACTCAAATCCTTCATCATCACGGCGTTACGACCGAATATCTGATTTACCATCAGAGAGGATAAAGTTTAACCTGTGTGTGTGTGTGTGTGTGACAGGAAATGTCCTCGCCACCCTGAACGGCAGCGTGTTGGACAGTCCGTCAGAGACTCAGGGCTCCACGGCGCCCCAAGAGACGGAGGCCCAGAGTGTCCAAAACGTGCTGGTGCTGAGCGGAGGAGAGGGATACATCGACTTCCGTATCGGTGAGAAAATCACTGCAGAAACACACACACACGCAGCTGCAGGTCCTCGTGTGTCCACTAGAGGCCGTCTCTGAGCGCTTACACATGTGGCTTTAAAGATAACTCTTTTATTTTTCTGAACCTTCATCAGATTTTTGAAAATCCTGAACAAACTCAAATGAAATAAAGCGGCTGTTTAAATAAAAGTAAAGACTCTGGAGAAGAACTAACTCTCTACGTTCTGTAACACAACTATAGTCCCAGTACAGAAGCAGATATGATATATGGAGGAATATAATATATGATAATTATATGGACTCATGAACATGAATCATCTAAACGTCTAAATATTTGTGTTTATGTATTAAAATTAAAGGATGTGATCAGGTTTAGTTCTTTTTTAACCTTCTAGTTGTAAATCTGTGAGTGCTGCCTCCTGGTGGTCACAAAGACAACTGCAAGACAGAATCAGTTGCAGTTTTCATTTTTGACCACTAGAGGGCATCAAACCTGCAGTGAGCTCACCTGTGTTTCCTCTGGAGGTGAAGCTCACCTGTCCTCCTCTTCCTCCTCTTCCTCCTCTTCCTCCTCAGGTGACGGAGAAGACGATGAGACCGAGGAGGGCGAGAACAACGGCGGCGGCGGTGCTTCGCAGATGAAACCTGCACTGTGCAAAGCTGAGCGGAGCCACATCATCGTCTGGCAGGTGTCTTACATACCTGAGTGACACCTGAGTGACACCTGAGTCTGCTTTAACGCCTCACCCACTCCTCCTCCTCCCCCCTTAATGAAAGCCGACCCCCTCCTCTGAAAGTCCAAACCTTGTAATTATCCCGGTCATGTCAAAGTTCCCCTTGGCTCTAAAGTGACCCTGTATAACTATTGGACCCCGCCCCCTCCCCGTCTCCCTGTAACTTTACGGCCTTGTAAGTACCTCCTGATCTATAACCTGCCTGCCATGATGTTTGTCCCTCCCAGGACACTGTAACGATCTCCATAAGCCTTGTAACCTCATAACTACCTCCCTCCTCTGTATCGATCTTATACTCACCCTGTAAGCACACCCCCCCGCCCCCCCATAATGACCTCCTCAAACGTCCCGCATCTTACCCCCCCCCTCACTTAGTTTGTCAAACCTCCTCCCAGAGAGCCGACGAGCATCAACCAAAAATAACACGAGAGAGAGAGAGAGAGAGAGAGAGAGAGAGAGAGAGAGCGACCACGCCGACTTCAGCCAATCAGAGCCTGTTTGAGCTCCTGCATGCAGCTTGAAGGTGTTCGGGGGGGTAACAGTCCTGTCCGTGTCAGGAGGTCGTGTTTTTGCTGTGAAGGAGTTTTGGTTTGTTTAAATTTGGAGGTTTAATTCTCGACGTTTCCTGAACTCTCTTCCTGTCCTGACGACCCTCGGCGGCGTCAGGAGACCCTTCATGTCGTGGTGCAGCTGTCTGATGTGAGTGAACGGCTCAGAGGGGTCAGTCACAGTCTGGTTCCTCTCCTCTGATTGGCTGTGGGTCAGGCGGTTTGGTGTACAGGAGTTCTTGTAAATCTGCAGACACACTGAAGCCCATCCTCTCTGTTCAGTACGGACTCATGCATCATCTCTATCTGTGTGGATTAAATATTAAACATGTTTGTGTGCTGAAAAACACACCTGTGCAGCTCTTCCTGTTTCCATGGAGACAAACAGAAAAAAAAAAAAAACGATTTCCTGTAAAGATTTTTATTGTTTTTGACACTTTGGATTCAGTTTTAAACAGTTTTGTTCAGTTTAGTGCAGTTTGATGAAAACATGAACAGATTTAAAGACAGAATAGAAACAGGCGTGTTGATCGTTCAGCTCTTCGTCTGCTGCTGCTTAACGCTCCGAAGACGACGTCATGACCACGGACCCTGAGGGACCCCTGCTGAGGGATCTGACACCCAGACGACAGCAGCAGATCCTCTCAGCTCTGAGGTGGAGCCTCCATAACGTTACAGTGAGCACCTATATGACAGACTCCGCCCACTCTCAGGTGTGCAGCCGCCATGATGTTTAGTCGGGCCGGGACGATATGCTTTTCTCCTGATTCGATTCTTCTACGATTTTTTGGATTCAGAGTCGATTTAAATTGTGATTCTACGATATTGTCAGTTTTCTCGATTTCAAAGCTCCTCACACACCGGGGCCGACGCCGATAATGAACGCAAAACTACGAAATATTCTGAGGAGAATTTTGATGTGTCTGACTTTACACATCGAGCACGATGAGATTTTGTGACTTTCTGGGGGGAAAAAGGCACGTCCCGGGGAAGACTTTTGCCGGGGAAAGTCCCGCCTCCTTCGCCTCTGATTGGCTAGAAAAGCTGGAAACGTCATCACATCATCATAAGATAAGCACATGAAACTATGGTAACAACCGTTAGCTTACGTTAGCACAGATGAAAGTTCAAACAAAGACGTTTATCAAACGTGATCTGAAAAAATAAATGCTGCAATATCGCAGGACGGGAAAACGTCGCTGATGTGAACGCTTGTATTGACAGGATACGGGTTCGAAAAAAATACTGACGACCGAAATAATCGCACAAAAAAAACGGTCCCGGTGTGAAAGGAGCTTTATTCTTAAATTAAAAAAAAACTGAAGATAAGAATCGATGTAAAATTGTAAAATTGTAAAACAAAAAAATCGGGATACTTCAGTGAATCGATTTTTTCTCCCTCCCCTAATGTTTCGGCTTATCAGCGTATAAAGTTCGGCACACGCTAACCTCGAAGATTGTAAACATAAACTCGAGTGAGGATGTGACGGACGCCTCAGGAAGGAGTCGTGTTTCCATGGAGACGACTGATGAGTATTTGTAAATCAGACAGGAACTAAAGTGAGTCTCTCTTTATTGATCCTCCTCTTCCTCATGTTTGTGGTTCTCGTCGGCGTTTCTTTACGTGGAAACACGACTTCTTCACGTTCTCGCTCCGTCAGCATGTTCGCTCTGTAAAGTCCCTCCACCTCAAACATGAAGGTCAGAAAACCCCTGATAGAAAAAAGCTGAGCTGGAACCCGTCAGCCTGATACCTCGTTAAAACCGTCATTTACACGACCAGCACCTTTCCCGGTTCACCTGCAGGACGGAGCGTTTTTCTACTCGTAGATCCAGCGTCTGCTGTTGTCCTCCCAGCTCAGCAGCTCGTTCTGATGGAACCACAGAGAGATCTCCCTCTGAGCGCTCTCCACAGAGTCACTGCCGTGGATCACGTTCCTGCAGGAGCAAACACAGACCAGGGAGAGAGAGGAGGTGATCAATACCATCATGATCAGCTTCAGCTTCTTCTGGATCATCCAAGAACTAAAATCCTGAATCAAAGGAGGAGCAGAAACTCTTGGACACCTCAGAGGAGTCTCAGAGGAGTCTCAGGTTAGTCCAGACCGGCTAGCTCTCCTCATCAGGTATTGATTTATCATCTATTAGATATTTATCATCTCTTAGGGCTGCACAGATCACAATTTTCTGACTGATCACTGATCTTTAAAAAAGTTCGACCTGCCAATCCTGATTTTATTTTTATAACTGACAACATCCACCGTCGATGCTCCGATCTTATTTTAATAAAAAAACATCGATCAATACTTGAGGAACAACACAAACTTTTAGTGTTTAACTGCACGAGTTCGTTCTCTCAAATATAAATGAAAAGTTTAGAATATTTCTGTCCAAACTCCTAAATTAAATCAGCTCCTTTAGTTTTTTATTTTCCACATTTTAAAAACGATCAACACTTGGTCACATTCAGCTCAGACTGCAGGTCCGTCCTACCAAAATAAAGTTTTTTACTTTTACAAATACAGGAAATCACAAAGTTTGAGGAGGTTAGTCAGATAATAATCGACAGGACAAACAAACAACTTTAACCAACAATAAACTGTCTGGAGTTTCAGGTTTCTTCGTAGTGGTTCGATCAGCTGGCTGATTTATCGGCGCATGTTTGATTTCCATCAAAACCAACAGGAAGTCATGAAGTCTGTGTGTTTGGAGCCAAAATCAAGTGAAGCCCGTCCTCCTTTAACAGGTCAGAAACACAGAAGAACATGGAAACGTCACATTCTTCACCTGAACCTGAACCCCTCGTGTGGACCTCTCACTCTCACCATGAGGAGGGTCTCCACTCCCTGAGGAGAAACAGAGGAGAACCTTCAGGTGGTCTCACCTGCCCACTTCCACACAGAAATCTCCTCGGATCGTTCCGGGCAGCGAGTCCGCCGGGTTCGTCTCTCCCAACATCCTCCGAGCCGTCTTCACCACTTCGAGCCCCTCCCACACCTGAACCAACACACGGCATGCAGGACAACGACACAGGGTTCAGCTCAAGTATCTTCAGAAACATCCTGGTAACTTGGTGACAGTTGAGACAAAGTCTGCAGATCACAGTAAAGGAGGGAGGACCTCACCATGGCTACGACGGGTCCAGAGCTCATGTAGGTGACGAGTCCTGAGAAGAACGGTCTGCTCCTCAGGTCCCAGTAGTGCTGCTTCAGAAGATCCTCGGAGGCCTGAAAAAACACGGACAGAGACATTTAAGAATGAGTTTTTAAAGGTCGTTAAAACTGACATTAGTTTGGACTTCAGAGAGACCACCAGACCTTCACGAGTTTCAGTCCCACCAGTTTGAAGCCTTTCTTCTCAAAACGACGAATAATCTCTCCCACGAGTTTCCGCTGCACGCCATCGGGTTTGATGGCGATGAAGGTGCGCTCGTTCACACCGGTCCAGCCTGGAAACAGAAAGACCACGATGGAGGTTAAAGGTGAAACACACAGGTGTTGTCAACAGGTAAGGCAGGCAGTTGCTTGGGGCCCCAAGCCACTAGGGGGCCCCAAAGGGCTGACAAACCTTACCCCACAAAAATGTCCTCAAATATTGTAACTCCATTAATCAACCTGCTGTGAGCGGGTTGTTTCCTCTGCTCTACGCTGCTGCTAAATACGCGGATCCTGGATGAGAGACAGCGCCGCTCTACGGAGACAATACGGGACAACACGGATCCTGGATGTTTTCGTCGGATACCCCCCTAATGGAGCCCCATGTCATCCCTGTTTCTCTGCTATGTGAACAACGTCCATCTTTACTGACGTGCGTCAATCAAAGCGAAGTCAAATTCAGCCGTTAGATGAAGCGACTTATCAGGAGAAAAGAAAGAAGAAGAAAACAAGATGGCGGTAAGTGGAGCAGATAGAGAAATGTGGAAAAACTTGGACTAGCATCAGGTATAAAGTTAGCTGTTCATTGTTTGGTACTTAGTCATGTTAGCGGAGCGCGAGACGTTCGCCTGTGTTTTCCCGCTTCATTGACTCGCTGTTACCGTGAGATGACACACCCCCACCGTCTTAACGAGGTTAGAGAGAGAAAAGTGTGTTTGTGAGGTACAGTACTGAAATTTCACCAAAGTAACCAGAACACCGGTGTGAGGGAGTGATTTAGAGGGGAAAAAACAGCTAACACAGACAACTGCTTTACTGTTAATGAAATACTGTTTTAGAAAATTGTGTCTTAAAGGGATATTCTGGTGTAAAACTAATTTAGGGTCAAACCCACCGTAACCCCGAGTTAGACCCCCCCCTCCAGAGATGAATGTTGTCGACCGCTTGCTTCTCTAGTTATACCAACTTTAGAAACGACCGCAGGATAGAAATACAGAGAGCCACGCCCCCAACCAAAACGCCACTCTATAGCCACAAATAATGCTCAGAACAGCACCTAACTTCATCAACAGGACATATAGGGTCACAGACATAGTACTAGACACCAAACATCTTTTTAACTTTGACTCATTTCTTTAGCAGAGAGACTAAACACAACTCACCTACTCTCTTCCAGCAGACGCTTGTTTGTAGTGAGACCTCAGGCCAGTCCATTAGGGACTACAGCAGGGTGCCTCAGCTCAAGGAAGAACATTAACCAGCCTAACTCTTACACTATTGGTGCTTTAAAATTTAGATTTAAATGTTGACAGTGTGCTTTCTGCATGAAAGACTGTCAACGTTAGAGCATATTGTAGTAAATCTCAGACATCAAATCAACAAAGGTGAGGTGCTGCTGTTAGTGTAAACACATACTAGAGCTGTAGCTATTTAAGTTAGATAGCAATAATGATAATTAAAGAAAAAAAAACTCACTTTCTAACCTCTTTTGTTGGTTTCAGATTCCATATTTCCATATTTTTCGCACTATAAGGCGCACTTGATTATTAGGCGCACCATCAATGAACGAGTTTATTTGTGTCTATTTTCATACATAAGGCGCACCGGATAATAAAGCGCATCAAACCAAACAAAACAGTCAGATAAGTCAAACTTTATTTAACTCATTCAATAACTCCGCGAGGCTACGGTAGCTGCGGTGCTCCAACAAGCCAAGAGGATTTTAAGTGCGCCTTATAGTACGAAAAATACGGTAATATGTGTAATGCTTGTTGGAGGGGCCCCTTGAGAGTTTTTGCTTGGAGCCCCAGCAGACTCTAGGATCAGCTCTGGGTGTCAGACAACAGTCGTGTTTACTTTGACTGATACATGCAGAAAAACAAACACCTGTTTTTAGTTTGCTGACAGTCTGCACACATGAGCCCACAGCCCTCATGCATTAGTTCAGACAGGTTTGAACTTTAGGGTTAGTTAGTTCCCTCATACAGGAACCAAAACCAGTTCCTGTCCAGCTCCAGATCGTCCCCGTTAGTCTCCTCTCACCGGTTTCCTCAATCCGAACATGTTTGACCACCAAATCTTCCAGTTCTTGCTGCAGAGCTCTCTGTGACCTTTTTCTCGGCCCCATTGCAGCACATATGAACCTGAACGCACCAATGAGAGCTCACTAACGCACGAGCTACCATCCTGCGTTCACGTGCAGTCGGAAAATCAGGAAAAATGAGTTTCAGAGAGGGTCGTAAAACGTGAGGGCACAACGGGGTCCAAATAACTCTGGATGACAGTAACTTCTAAATAAAGTCTTTATAAATAAACATTATAATGAGCTGACTGATCTACAGTTATTTAGTTTAAATTTAAAACAACATTAGTCATGTTTTATTTCTGAAAACAGAGCAGATCTTTAACAGCAGAACTGTAAAACTTAAATTAAACATACAACAAATCTTTAAAACTTATTTGCTCATTACTTTTATTATCAGTATTACCTGTTTTTATTTTATTATCATTGTTGATATTTCTCTAATATTTACTATCCTGTTTCCACTTTCGTCCTCCCTTTTAATTCCTTTTTTCTTACCTATTTAATGTTTTTATTTTGGTCCTCATGGTCTCATTTTACGTTGCGTGGTTCTTGTATTGTCTGGGTTCCTTATGACGAATGAAAATGACCTTTAATTCTGTTTTTACTGAGCTTTTTGTTTTTATCTGTCTTTGTGCTTTATGACTATATATCAAAGCACTTTGTAAACTTCTGTTTTTTTAAAAGTGATATACAAACAAAGTTATTATTATTATTATTATTATCACATGATTATTATTATAATTATTATTACTATTATTTTAAGTTACAGCACTAGATTTATCTTTTCTCTATGACACATTTTACTGTAATGGGGGATATTACTCGTTTAAAGGCTAGTCAGTCATATTCCAAAGTTTTCAACTTAATTATATGCAGATTTCTTCTATAATTAAATTGATTATCTCTAACAAAGAGAAGAATTAAGCAGCAGAAACATGAGTGAATATCCAGGAACGAACTTCAGTGTCAGAGTTAAATAAAACATGATTTTATGGTTGATAAATATGAACAAACTGGCCGACTCAAACAGTAAATAACCCGCTTAAAAACACACCGGAGCATCATAAATCCGAGGGTCAGTGAACGCAGCACTAATAGGATAATGAGTCAACTTCTCTGAGACAGAGGAGGACACGTTGACACGCTGCTGAGAGTTAAACTAAGTTTTAATAAAACTGTTAAAAATCAAACCAGAAAACAGCCCAGATCAAACATAAAGCAAAACAAAACATCATCCTTTTCAACTCAAACTTCTCAGACTTTAACTTTTCTGCTCTGATTATCGGCATATTCACAGACAAGCTTCGGTTAGTAACAGAGAGCAGCTTTCATTGAGTTTAATTATTATAAACAGCGTTAAAAACACTCTTTAATCAGCTTTAATCAACTTTATTTCACCGTTTAACTCCTGAGTCCGGACAGTCTCCTCTCCTCTCCGGGTAAACTGTGGCTAACATGTTAGAAAAATGACCCAGAATGAGATTTAATTTAACTTCAGAGAAAAACACGAAGAGTTCAAACATCATTAAACACCAACCTGACTGGAAGAAGAAGGCGAACAGGGACAAAACAAGAGCGATCATTGTCACCGGCGGACGGAGAGGCAAGACGGACGGACGGAGGGGAGAGGACGACGTACTGACGTAAAAGTGTTTACGTCAGTACGTCCGTTGCTAAGAAACGTCCAAAACAACAAAAAAAGTATAAAATTGGACTTTCAGCGAGATCTTCAGTTTCAGTACGTTCTTTTTCTCCGTACAGTTTAAAGATTTAAAAAATAACAGTTCCTTATGAAATACATAAAAATTGGGCTTCATCTTCAAATACTTATTTTCATGAACAAAACATTTACAGAGAATGATGAAGGTATTAATAACCAGGTCAAGGGACGGTTCTTTTGTAGATATTCCATATAAAATATTTTCTTTTTTTAGAGTAGAGACATGGGTAATTTAGGGAACAACCAATCATAAAAATCTTCCTAGAAGGCATTAGTAAATGTACAACCATCAAATAAATGTTTCTATATCCTCGTCACAGGAGGAGCAGTAGTTGTGGTTCAAATTAAAGCGATTCCTCAAAAACTCAATATTCAGAATTTTATAATGCACTTTTGGTGCAATGGGAAACTCGAAGAATTTAGATCTCAGATTTTTAACTTCTTTTTTAGAGAAAAATTGTAAAATTAAAATTGTGTTTGATGAGAATCCTGCTGTTGTTATTCCCGGTTATGGAGAGTGAGAAGACACCAGTAGATCCTCAGAGAATGTCCGTCAGATATTCAACCTGAAACTAACTTCACCGCCGTATTTACAGGAAAAAAACATTAGATTTTTTTTATTCACACGTGACCCTAAATACATTTGACAATTCACACACATTGATTTTTAGTCGCAGTGAAACGGTCGAACTGTGGAGCCCCATCGTGGCTTTAATAAATATGAATCACTCTGTTGTAGCCAATATGATGCTTTTTATTGTAATGCATGTTATTGTGGTGATACCATGACAACCTGGGCACAGGAGGGCTCCAGCCAATGGTAGGTCACAGGAAGTTTATTTCGGGGTGTCACTGGAGCGCAGGTGTCAGAGGTTAGTAATCAGGCAGAAGCCACACAGATGTTTGTTTGTCTTCAGTTGTTTTTGAGTTTATTTCAGTTTATTTTCCCACCGCAGGTTGGTTGTTAAGTTTATAGTTAACACCCGGCTTTGTTTACGCTCCACATCACGCCGCTGCATCTTCAAAATAAACGTTTTAAATGCACTGAAGACCTGGACCGCGTCGGAAACTTTGGCTCCACGCTATCCCTCACCGGCAAGTTTTGTGGTTCCGATCGCCTTTACAGACTCTCACTGAGTTGGAAAAAAATGGATAAAAACTGCAGATAAATTTGAACTCTTATTTAATATTAACACCAAACAGACACAGAAAAGGCTTCAGATGATCCCAGCAGGACACCGACAGGAGCTGAGAGTCTCAGAGCTGAAGCTTTCGGAGTAACTGGACAGAAGTTCAGATTTCCATCGACACTGTTTGGTCCAAAATGTCTGAGATTAGAGACCCCACAGCTTCAGCTTCACACGGCTGTCCCCTGTGTACTGTCCTTGTCCCGCTCCTGTCCGCGGAAATAGTCTTTATTCAGCGCCACGTTCCTCTTCAGAGGCAGCATGGGCTCCTCCGTCAACTCGCTGCCCTTCTTTTTCTTGTGCTGGGCGAACATCATGGCGCGGAGCAGCGGGGGGAACGGGACGTAACGCACCGGCGGCTCGGGGAGCGGCTCAAAGTCCTTAAACTGCTGCTCCATGTGTTTGGGGATCAGACGCCAGTCGTGGTACATCACCTTCTCCACCTCCTTCACCTCGTTCTCCTTCTTACCTGCAGAGAAGAAAAAAATGAGATGACCTCTTAGAGCATTTATCATTCCTTTTGTCAGAACACATTCATAAATAAATAAAATATAACACTGAAATTTTATTCAAGCTGGAAGAGTTTGTAACAATCTAAAGAAAAAGCAAAATCAAAAAAATCTAAATAGAATTTTATTAAAACTGGTTTCAAATCAGATAACAGTCGTGTCTTACCTTTGTAGGTGAGGACGCCCCACGCTTTGCCGTGATCCATGTTCTGGAAAACAAAGACCAGGTGTGATGTGAGAACCAGGTCTGTTATCAAACCTCCTGAAAAGGTCACTGACAGCATATCCTGATGGGACGCCCGTGAATTCAGAGGTAAGACGGCGTGTACGGGTTTGTTTATGTTTTTAAAAGAGGTTTAAAATGTGACTTCTTAAAAACATTCGGTCTCTCTGAGTCTTTAAATAATTTAAATACAAAGATTTAAATGTTGTTTTACTGTTCAGTGATAGAAATCAGACCCAGGAGTTAACTGTCAAAGAGGACTGGGCGATTATATGATCGTGATAAATATCAGGCTCTCACCTCGGCCGTGTAGTCCACTTTGACCTTGGTTATCTGCCAGTAGCTGGGCTCTGAGTGATCCTCCAGCCACGACTTCCTGGTGAGGAGTCGACCCACTCCGAACATCCTCATTCCTGCCAGCAGAGAGAAGAGGCGGCTCTCCCTGCGGACGTCCTGCCACGCCAGCACGGGCAGCATCTTCCCCGTCAAAGGCCTCTTCATGGTCTCATAGTCCAAGGCGTACTTCTGGGACTCCCGCGGCTGGTTCTTGAGCTCTCGGTACGCCCGGATCTTCTTGGCCATTTCTGCGATGAGGCGAAGTCGCTTTTTCCTCGCCATGGCTGAGCGATGAGCAGCAGGATCTCCTCACTGATGGACGGATGTCAGCGTTATCCTGCACAACAGAGATTACAGAAACAATCAGCTGTGTGTTCAGTCTGATCGAACCTCGGCTCTTTTCTGATTAATCACAAATCAGCACAAAATAATCAATAAATACTGTTAAAGGTAAAAGTTAAAAACACTGCAGCGCTTTTCAAGAGCCTCCTCCTCCTCCTGTAGATTTAAGGACGTCTGGTCTCCTCCTTCTCCATCAGTCAGTACGTTTCCATGACACTCCAGACAACCGAATCATCACTATTATTACACTTCTTACACTTTATGAATAACAAAACAAAACTATCTGATCAGTCACAGAAAAAACAGGAAACAGAAATTTACTCTGAGAAGTTTAAAGTCAATCTCTTCAACATTTGGTGAAACAGTTTCTATAACTGTGACATATTTTACACTTTTATTAATATATAAAAAATATCAGATTTTCTAATTTATCTTTAATGAATGTTAAACAGTTTTTCTCTGACCCTGAAAATAAAACTCTACCTGGACTGAAGACTAAATAAATGAAGGTTTGAGGTTTTTAATTGAAGACTGTAGATTTATGCGGTTAAACTGTATATACTAGACTAATATATAGAGTTAAACTCTGTTGTTTATCTCTGTAGTTTTATTTAGTTAAATTCTGTTTTTAGTCTAATTTGTTTTTTATGTCCTGGTCTGAGGAGGCTAACCGGAGCTAACCGAGTTAGCATCGATGCTAAAACCTTCAAACCGCCTCACAGACCCGGACATTATTCTTCACTGTGATCATTTATAACTCCGTTTATCCTTAAATGTAAATACCTGAGTCAGTCTGCAGAGGTTCGGTAATTCCACTTGACCTCCTTCAACGAGGATCACACCAGGAGACTCGGTCCGTTTGCTAAGAAATCCGTAGGCACAAGCCAGAGAACAATAGTTCCGCATGTCTTAGTTCCTCCTGTGGGCTCAGTCCGCTCCTTCAGGGTTTCACTTGGTTTATTTTTCTCTGTTCGTTCTGTCTGTTGAAAAGTTTGTTTATCCCGCACAGAGAAGAACACAGACATAGTGTCATATAAAGAACAAACTCTGAGTGTAATATGAAGTCATAAACATGATAAAGTAAAATATAAGAGAGTCATAATTATGAGTAACTATCTTATTAATGTTCACTTTTCCATATTCTTGTCCGATAATGATGAGATTGAGTCCTTGGTGCATATTGATCGTTTGTTTATTTCAGCTGAAAACCATGCTGATACAGAAAAAGGCGAGTGAAGGTCTTTACATACAGTAATATTATCATAATTATTATTATTAGTATGACACGTGTAGAAGAAACACTTGAAACGTCGTTTTATTTACAGTCACACAGTAAGAAAAAGTGCTTGGATGCATCAAAGTGAAGACAAGAACTGTGAGATAAGACAAAGATCCTGCTGGTCTCCAGCCGAGCGCTCGGTGGTTACATTTCTACATCTGTAGGATTAATTAGAGCAGAATTAAGAAAGTCATGTTTATCTACTAATGACTGATGGTCCTCGGTACCTTCACCGCTGTCAGTGCCGCCGTGGTGACCTCCTAAAACACGCTCCTTTCTAAATGATCACAGAAGGCTCTCACATTGCATAGTACCTGAAACCTTCGAGTGCGTCCGCTCGAACTCGAGGAGTGAACGTGATGAGAGACTGAAGCAGCAGTCTGTGAAGAAGCTCCGACACCCGGCTTAAACACTAACATTAAGATCTATACTCTGAAGAAACTAAACCTTATTTACAAATCTGACCCAGAGGTGACGGTTACAACCTTAATATTCATTCTCTATAATACCTCAGTGATCCGGACATCAGGCCAGATTATCAGCTGCAGCTTCTTTTGATTTTAAAGGAAAATTTCTCTTTAAATCTGATCAGAGTTTTATACAAAGAGGATTTAAAACCAACAGGAAGTGACGGAGCGCGGCTTCAGGAAACTTATCAACATCTTTGCATAAACATATCAGTAAAAAAGTTTGACATTAAAACTGCTCAGAGTCTCTTTTAGTTAAAATCTGTAGGCGTAACAGTGATGAATGTGCGGCGGTCTCCTCTCAGTAATATTAGTATCAGATTTAAAAAACCAACTTAAGAATGAGACAAACATCTGAACATCTGCATGTTAGAAAATATGGACCCTGGAGGAGGGCGGAGACTTCTTAAAAGCTGGTAACAGGAAGGATTTTAACTTTTACTCATTTTTTAAAGACTTTTGATGATTTTTCAGTGGAAATAAAAAAGTCATGAAGTACATTCAGGTTCTTTTTTTAACTCTGCGGTAGCTGAGGAGTGAGTTTTAGAGCTGAGAACTCTCAGACCTGCGGCGCTTCGTTTTCTCTTTGACTTTGGCAAAGCAACAGGAAGTCGTCGACGCCGGTCAAACATGTAACATATCACTGTGGCGATGATGAGTGAGGAGAGCCTTTACGGTGAGAACAATATACATTACTTGCATACATGATGAAAACACTGAAAATATACAGTCTCTTATTCTTGAATCCCCCTTTTTTTTCAGAAAAATACACCTGGATGACCACCAAAATGTGGCCATACTCGACTTCAGTGTTGCACTGTAGAGTCCTTTCCTGCATTAAACCCTAAATACATGTGGCAACAAGAAACGCTAAATACCCAACACCATAACTTTGATTACTAAAGCTGCTTTGGATACTGACTGCATGATGAAGACGTGAGGAAGTCATGAGAGAAGATCACAGTAAAAACGTGCAGGCAGAGGTTCTGCCATCACAGTTTTGGACTTACGTACCGCTCTGACCCTGTCTGTCATATTTTCACTAAAGGATGTTGGGAAAGCAGGAGGCAGGGAGGAAACTCTGGAGAAGATGCCACTTGTAACGTCTGCCAGTGTTAAAGAGGAGGTAGGAATCGCACCGTCCCGTCATGTCCAGCGACATCTCTTCCTCTGACAGGCTTCGGGGTCTGACGTGCAGCCCTCCGAGTCGCTCTCCGAGGACGACGGTCCAGCCATGGAGGGGCCGTGAGAACGTGAGGGGCGCTCAGAGCCCTCGGGTGTTTCCTCTGTGGTGCCGCTGTGGAGACTGAGAACCCAGCCCAGTTTGTTGTGGAGCAGCTGACGCAGTCCCGGCGGCAGAGGCAGCACGTCCAGGGTGTCTATAGAGTCAGGCAGCAGCTGACGAAGGCGAGCGCAGCAGAGGTAGAGCAGGGAGGTGGGAGCAGAGCACGACCTGATCACCTTCATGCTGCTCTTAGCGGCTGTGGAGCACGCCATCGGGTAAAAGCGCTTATTCTGCAGCTCTGTGGCAGCAACACCTGGAACAGAAACAGAGGTCAACAAATCTGCTCTACGACGACGACGACGATGAAGTGAGAGAGGAGAGTCGACCGATTTATTCAGATGAGTATCAAAAACAGTAACTGCTGCCACTTTACAGACGAGTGTTTTTGTGGTAAGAACCTCTTCCTCTCCTGCCGGTGCTCACCTATACACTTGCGGTTCTTGAAGAAAGTCAGAGTGCCGTGCCACGTGTCCAGATGGACCCCGATGATGGAGCCCTGTCCAAACCGGGAGGAGAAGTTCGTCTTGTCTCCTTTATGATGCAACAAACCTGAAAAAGGGACGATCACAGATGTTTAACATGAACTAAAGAAAACAGAGGAGCTACTGCTGCTTAGAAATCCACCCGGACACACAGGACCTCAGAGGACTCTATCAAAGGTTGATATTATGGTTCCCAGCCCCTCCTGTTTGTTTGGCTCTGTCCCCACGTCCCCTTTTGTTCTGAAGAGGGCTGTAATATTTACTCTGAGGTTAAACCTGTCTGTGTCTGCGCCACAAACAAACAGAGAGGAAGACAATCCCACCGCCGCCACATCAGAGCAGCTGTTTATCTCACCGGTGTAGGAAAGTCCCCAGCTGTCCGTATCTTTCCCCAACAGGCTGCAGAACGTGTGTCTGTATTTGTCCAGATTAACATCAGAAGTCCCGATGCCGACCATCTGTAAGAAAATGACGGACAGAGAGATGAGGAAACTCAGAGTCCCAGCAGGTCCGTGACAGACAGTGAGGTGCAGAAGTTTACCATGTCTGTCCCATAAACTGGGGAGGTCATCTTGATTTCCCAGAAGTGCTGCCCTTCAGCGAGCTCCTTGGAGCCGCGGATCGCCGCCGTCCCACAGCTGTACTCAGAGTGGAAGTTGACTTTGCGATTGTCACAGCTCAGCATAGTCGCTGTGGATCGGCTGTTTGGGTCCCAAACCCAGTCAAACTCTGAAACAGCAGAGAGTCTTTGTTCACCACAGTAACCACAGACCTCAGTAAGAGCTAACATGATTGGCTGCGTCACTAATAAGTGATGTTTCAGCTGTTCTGTACCTTGGTCGTCCTCTCCACAGTGGCAGTCTCTGACTTGGTGAAAACCTCGCAGACGAGGGTTGTAGCTGGTCTCAGCCTGAGAATCACAGCCACAGTAGGACTCTCCTGTAACAGGCACTGCGCTGGGCACCGGGGGCACCATCACAGCTGAAAAGTCGGCCTCAGAGTCTGAATCACTGTACTGGGGAGCAACATCAGAATGATCAAGACCTCGATCGAACACCAGCTGGACCGCTAACATACGAACCCTGGAGAATAACATCTCTGAAACAGACATGAACCACTGCAGCTCTGAGCGTCCGCATCAACAAACGTGTTTATGATTCATCCTCACCTCTAATCGCTCGTAGCTCCAGTCTTCACTCTCAGAAGCCAACACAAGAGCCCGGGCATCAGCATCCCGCCGTATCCCACCCCATACATATCGCCAGGCAGGACTATTCCTGCTTCGCCTGGACATGGCAGCAGAAGCAGCAGAGTCTGACCAATAGGAAGGCCCGTCAGTCAGTTCAGGATCGGTCCAGAGGCCAGGCGGCCTGCATCAGTCCAGCTGCAGAAAGGAAAATTAACTTAAAGCCCAAATGTTTATTTAATTCAAAAACATGCAGGAAAATAATATATTTAACATGTTGCTCTACAAACAAACAGTGTTTATTTACTAACTTTATTTTATGCTGGAATATCCCTTTAAAGACCAGGTACTCCTTTTCTTTAAGTCCTTGTTTTTCAAGTTGAATAGTTCAGGCCTAAATACTCAATCTCCACTCAAGTCCCGCCTCTGATGGGGCAAATAACCAATCATATGTAAGGATCTTGTGGTGGCACATGGGGTGGCCAATCAGATTGTAAGGGGCCCCTTGTCACCCCCGGCCACCCTTCTGGATTCACCCCTGCTTTAACACTTAAAAAACCTTCTCCTTAGTTTAATATAACGAACATTTTAAATCTATAATTATATTTAATATTATCTGGACCACTGAGACACTGACCGAGCAACTTTTATAACAACATCACAGTCACTGAAACACCATCCTGACCAGCTGGTTACCCGATAACGAACTGTTGGTAGTTTAGTCTCAGCCACAGGTTAGTCAAAGGTACTGAAGGATTCGGTCTTTAGAGGACTGGTCTGGGTTTTGGACCGTCCTCGGTTCCCCAACAGGTCCAGCTAACACCGAACCACCGAGCCTTTTAACCGTGTTAGCAGGTTTTAACATGTTAGTAGGCTGTAACAAGGTCAGATGGATCCCATTTAATCAAGAAAACAGAGTTTTAAAACCAAATCCCGCTGATAAATGTCCTAACTCTCCTGGATTCACAGACTCTGACCGAGTAATGAGAAAAGAGTGACTGTAAACATCTCCACAGCGAGCTAGCATCAGCTAGCTCTGTAGCTAGCTTCGTTAGCAGCGCTGCAGTCAGCTCCTAAAATAAAGACATTTTTAATTAATTTTACCTTCTTATAAAACCACCAACATCCACCGAACAACACCGACAGCAGCTCAGAGAGGATGGTCCCGGAGACTCTTGGGGTTACACGGTGAGCTGACGGAGCTACATGAGCGGCTAACTGAGCTTCCTGTTTCTGTGACCTACTTTAGAGACACCCACCGACCGTCAACAGAACCGGACTGACCCTGAGGAACACCGACGGGAAACACACCACAGCAACAGACCGACCGTCAACAGAACCGGACTGACCCTGAGGAACACCGACGGGAAACACACCGACGAAAAAACACCCGGACCAGACACGGAATGATGGAAAAACACACCCGAAAAACAGACGGACAAGACCGGGAAGAAATGGAAAAACACGTCGATGTAAAACACCCGAACAAGACCGGGGAGTGATGAAAAAAACACACCTGAAAAACACCCGGACAAGACACAGAAAGATGGAAAAACACAACGCATTTACACCTTAGGCCTATATTTATACTTAGAGCCCATATTTATATTAAAATGGCACAAAGACAACATAAAAATATCACTTTATGGAAAACAAATGCTTTTTAAAATGTCATGTTAGCGATAGGATAAAAAAATGTGACAAAATTATGGATTAGAGATTCAAACTGATGCTAATGAATACAAATAAATAACCCCTCAGATATTACAGATAATGTAAATATTTCATCCTAACTCTAAAGGACAAAGCTTTTTGAAAGGAAAGTTTGTGAGTTCTGAAAAACCTGAAAACATCAGTTTTGCTTTTTTCTCAAAATTGCCCCTCTTGGTAAATTTTTTCATTTATGATAAAGACCCGGTTTACACAGTACACACAGTCTGAACTACCTGAATAGATAACACCAGGGCCTGAGCCGGCCCAAACCTCAATGGGGCCCTAAGCAAAATGTGATTTTGGGGCCCTCTATTTCTGCCAATGATATTGATTGCTGATCATTCACACGCCTTCTACAGTAAAAATGTAATACGCCTGACATGTCTCTACACATCTAAGGGGGTGGCCCAGGTAATCACATAAATAATACCAATACAACCATACAAATAATACTAATAAATGACTGATCAATGATGTTCAGGGTTCCAAGTATGGTTTTTAATATCCAAATGTAACACGTTCAGCAGCCTGGGGTTGATTTTTGTGTTTACTGTAAAAGTGTCATCAGCAGCAGCACTAAAATGTTTAAACTTTATTTTTACAATTATATATATTTGATCTGACAGAAAGCATCACTTACACATACAAAAAATAAAAAATATTAAAATTATTATTTTTTTGATTATTCTTTGGGGGGGGGGGGGCCCTACTGGCCGCGGTGCCCTAGGCAGGCACTTAGTTCACTTAGCCTTGGTCCGGCTCTGGTCAGGGCTCCTAGTTATTTTTTTATCAGCTTAGACCTGACACAGTACCCTGTGTTTTCAGACATGTTGTATGACTGTATATATCGACTTTAATTTATACCGTTTATTCATGAGGTTCTTTAATGAGAGCGAGAGGTGGAGCCGTCCATCCTTCCTGTTTCGACCTCAGTCTTTGGAGTCATGTACCAGGAAAGGTCTGGGAGGTAGACACCTTCTCCACTCTTTGGACTTTTCATAGACTTACCTTTTCACACAGGCTCAGGCTTAGACCAGCTGCTTTAGGCTTAGACACACAGGGGAGCTGACGTACTGCGCTCCTCCTTATCCGAGTGTATTCATATCACTGCATCGCTCTTACTTTTCATCTTCATTAACCAGTACATAGGCCTGCTTGTCACACCTTAAGAGTCTACCAGTAGAACTGGAGGTAGACCTCCAAACACCGCCGATATTAAAGTCGGAGCAGAAAAAAAACGAGTCTGGACGGGATGTTCTGGAGGAGGTTGAGTTTTATTTGGAAATCTGACAGGCATGGCTGAACAGTGAGCTCTCACCTTCAACAAAACAAACAAAAACTCAAGACAGCAGCACTACAGGTAAACGATACTAGTGTTTGAGAATGTCATATTCAACATAAATCTACCCACACACACTCAGGCCACTCACACACACCACATTCACTCACACACACACTGTCAAACCCATGTCAACATGTGGACATCCTCCATTTATAATCACACTACATCCAGAGGAATCCAAGCACTTTGAACAATTACCCACAGTGCAATTAACTAACTATACACAGATCATTTATATATTTTGATGTATATAGGGTTTTCAATAAACAGTATTATTCCATTTAGACAGTTTCATTAAGTCAAAATCTTCAGAACTTTCCATAAATAGTGAAAAAAAAAATATGTCTGGTCAGCTCCTCACCGCTGTGATTCAAAAATGGTCCCCGAACAGAAGATGAACAAAGAAAACACTAATGTGCACAAAGTTTCAGCAGTCTCAAACAGAGGATGATCAAAACCACCAACAGAAGAAAACAAACCGAGGAAAAGAAAGAGGAGGGCGGGGATGGGCGGGGCTAAACGTTGATATTCACACTCACAGCACAGACTGGTTACTACATTTACAGGGGGGTGGAGGGACTCTGGAGCACTGTACAGGTTAAGATCAGACAACGAATCAAGCAGACTGTCCACACATCATCCCACAACCACCAATACATCTTCATGCCCGTTCTGAACGCACAACACCTGACACGACCGGATGGCTTTAAACATTATGGAAGGATCACATCTATGGAGGACACGGCCGTCAATCTGACCGCCAACATGTTTCTGTCGCCATCCCGTCCTGTCAGACCGTCGGGGTGTAATGGAAGTCGGTGAAAATCTCCTATTTGTTCTTGCTGCTTCGATGTGGAATGGATGAGATGGTGTTTGATGCACACACTTATTTTGTGGATAGGATGAGGGCCACGATGAGGCCGTAGAGCCCCAACACCTCAGCGAAAATCAGGATCAGGATCATGCCCACGAAGAGCCGGGGCTGCTGGGCGGTCCCCCTCACACCGGCGTCGCCCACGATGCCGATGGCGAACCCAGCCGCCAGACCGCTCAGGCCCACGCTCAGACCGGCACCGAGGTGCAGGAAACTCCTGTTGGAGGGAATCAGAGAGAGGAGACGGATCAGGACGCCGTGACGTAACGTGAGAAACTGCTGCGGGAAATATTTAAAACTTTGATCAGATTTTTGAGGAGACTGTGAGAATCTTCAGTTTTTAATCTTCAGAGACTCGAAATCAGGGGCTCCTGTTGGCAAATACATGAGGAAGCATACTGAGCGTACAGATGGACAAACGAGGAGGCCATTAGGATGCATGAGTGAATTCCTGAGGCCCTGAAGGCGGTCACTTTTTATCCTCCGAGCAGCGTCAAAGAAAATCATCGCTGTTTAAGTGAAAACGTTCGCTTCAACAGCTTTTAAGCAAAGGTTATTAAGAGACACAAAACAGTGAGGAAAGCAAACGAGGTTAAAGGAGGAGGATTACTGTAGGAGAGGACCTGTGCACCTGTCTGTTAAACACCGTAAACCCAGAGACCAAACCTCAGAGGACAGGTGTCGAGTCGAGTTCGAGTGTCTGAGAAAACCTGAACTCTGCGGTTTTCTCCATAATCATGTTTTCACACGGGAGGAAGACAACACCCTCCTCGTCAGACAGGTAAGACGTTACGCCGTGAAGGAACAGGTTTACCTCCAGAGAGTGTTGAAGCTGAACTCCTGAAAATGTCAGGAGCAGATAAACAAACTGCTGAAAAATAAAAACACGTTTCTGACGGTGAAATTCTGCGTCTCATTCAGCACCGACTCGACGCTGAAAGCTCCGTCTAAAAACGGCTCATTTGGCTGATGGATGTTTTTCAAGCGTGTGGGCGCAGCTGATAAATCTTTGATCGACATCTTGCTTGTTTTTAACGGCGTCTCCGTGACAACAAAGAAACAACAACAGCTTCTGCGTCCACCAGCTGAATGTAGATCAGCCCACGACGGTTTGAGTCTCCAAACCAGAGAGGAAACAGAAGAGGCTGTTTTTGATTTCTCTCTTCTTTTCTTTCCCTTTTTTCTGTGGGAGAAAAACTCACGTTGAAGAAAATTCCGACGTTGTTCGAGTTGATTTTATTTTCGTGGTGATTCGGTCGGTCATGAGGTCCTGCGTCAGCTTTCTTTATAATGTGCTGAATCAGAACTCCTCGGACTCTTTCCCACACACGCAGAGTTAAGTGTTTTTACCGCCGTAGCGGTGAGCGTTGACGCTGCAGACGCACTAACCCAACCTTCAGCTTCCTCTCTCTCCTCTTCAGTAAACAGGAGGAAATCTGGATTTGTTTGAACCTGCTTCACTCCGACACTAGAAGACCTGAGGCTGTCCGCCGCTGCAGTGTGACGCCTCGTTCCTCAAAGACTCGAACAGCTCAGACTCTTTGTCTTTCAGAGACTCGTTTTGTCGTTTTTGTGAGTTTTGAACAAACAAACACGTGAACACAGACAGAGAGTGTAATCCTCTTACTTGTACAGAGTGACTCTCTCAGAGATGTTGTTTGCTATCAGCACCGCCACCACCAGCCCGTAGATGGCGATGATACCGGCCATGACCACGGGGATGATGGACTTCATGATGAGCTCTGGCCGCATCACCGACATGGCAGCGATGCCTGTGCCGCTCTTTGCCGTCCCATACGCCGCTCCTAACGCTGCAGAGGAGAGAAGAAGAAGAAGAAGAAGAGGAGGTCAGGATGAAGCATCTGTTCAGTCAGAGAGAAATACAGACGGAGAGAGAGAGGACGAGTAATCCAGAACATCGATTTCAGATTCAGAGCTGAAAAAAAACAGGATGTTTGACTGTCAGCATGAATGAAAGTCATCGATCAGAGAGAGGAGGTGGACTGAACGACCCAACATCTGATCCAGATCTCATCAGACCAGTTAAAAAAGGGGGTAAATCTGTGTCTCTGGTTTCTGTCACGTCCACAGCCACGGAAACATTATCAGAGCTTATTGATCAGAGGATTATCAGAAACCTGCAGTGATCAGATCTTCACTTCTGCTCAAAGCTACAACAATCTGTCAGATTATAGAGTAAAAAAAAACATTATTTTCTGTGACGGTTTTCCAGCTCTGTCCACTTATCCTGAGACTCTGCGAGGAGGAAACAGAGAAAACTATAAGGTGGATGGAAACGTAGTGAGTTTAAACGTTCATCGAAACAGTTCAGATCCATTTACATCACTTCACAGGTTTCAGCTCTGCACCTTCATAAACTTCCCCGTTAAACCAGTTTCCTCACTTTTCTGTTTAACGCTCATAAGGATCAAATAAAAACAGCTCATATTCAGATAAACTCTCGATCTTTTTCTGCATGAGACCCTCAGGACTCCTCAGGACCAGTCTGCCGTTAACGGACGAGAAGTGAAGCTGAAAACGGGAAAACAGGCGCCGGACCACTGCGCCTCTTTACCGAGGGTCTGCCTGAAGCTCCATGGAGGACGTCTCTGATGCTCTGATGTCACAGACGGTAAATTCATGAGGACAAAACTGAAACTGCTGAGTTTGTGTGGCGTCATGGCGTCATGGCGCGTTACACGCTGCCGGTTTTAAACACTCGGGTCCGAGGAAACGACTTTCAGCTGGAGTGAGGAGGCGCCTGAAACATGAGAGCATGACTGACATAACAGAGACTCACTGAGGACCTGATACTGAACAGGATCTGATCCAGAGTCACTCTGGAGTCCAGGTGTTCAACAGAGTCAGACCGGGGCAGGTGGACCAGACTCAGCGATAAGGGGTGAGTCCTGTATGAGGGGTGAACAGTGATAACAGTGGAACCTGGTCTCAGAGTTACACATCAGAGGAGGTTTTTCCTGCAGGAGCAGAGGGTCGTTGTTAAAAAGGACGGACTGCTCCTTTACAAACACTCTTCACTTTAGGTTCAGGTGATCTCAGGTCCTTGAAGGACACCTGCAGTTTTGAACAGACTGAGTGAGATGAACCTCAGAGACGTCACAGAAACTCTCCGTCAGGTTTGATCACAGAGGCTCAGCTGAGGCTCCTCCTCCGTCTGAACAAATTAATTACAGTTTCGTTAGAAAACGGCTCCACATTCAGACTGTGACCCTCAGTTTACAGGACAGTGACGGGTTTAGAGAGCAGCTCCTGTTTTAGATCACCACAGCAGATATCTGAGGGAGTTCGTGAGGATCAGGAGTTGGATATCAGAGGGTCGAACCCTCCTCTCTGAGCTGAACATGTGAATGAGAGGGTGAAACTTCATCTGAAGGCTGCAGGAGTCCGATCAGAGGGACACACAGTCCTGAGAATACTCGCTCAGGGACCATCAGAACAGGGTGTCTCCCTCTGTCTCTCAGAGCGTCTCTGTGGTTATTTCAGTCAAAGAGAAACCTGAATGAACAGAGACCAGCCTCCTCTGAGACTGTAGACCGGATCAGTCTGTATTTATGATATAAAGACTGAAGTAAAGACAGGAAGGATCTGCTCAGCTTCACAAACTCATGTTCAGACCCTCGTGTGGTGAGTGTCATCAGGACCAGCAGGAGACCGCCTCTCTGAATCAGATCTGTTAGAATCCATGAGGATCTGCAGTGACGGATCACCGACCATCTGACCTCAATAAAGTCCACGTCAGGAAACGTCTTCAGAGTGATGATAAAACTACACTAACACTCGCACAGCAGGGGCGTGTCCAGGGCCCTCCTGTCCGGGGTGGTCCTGCTTCAGCACTGACTCATGCAGAGGGGGGGGGGGGACAACATGTTCACGTGTAACAGATTTCTAATTTACCCCAAAACACTCGAGCGTCACTACATCACACCTGTGTTATTTATGTAAAGGTGCGGCCTGGTGAGGTCATTAAACAGAGATGCTGCTGCCTGATTGGTGGGTCCTGATATGTGACTGTGTGTCGTGAAGCCAGACTTCTCTGATCTCTCAATACAATCAAACACTCATCTGTCAGCGACACTCGTGTAACAGTCCATCATGTTCTCCAGACTCCGAAAAGTGAGCCCAGAGTGGCTCATGATCATTTTCACTTCCTGACCAATCACAGCCCTCCATTTAAAAACAAGGCGGGTCCACCTCACCTATGCACCTGTCTCACTGCGCGTTTATTCTTCATTTACAGCCCTGAGCGGAGCTACGTTTTAATGATACAGAAGCTAACATGACCTCTGTGGTAATTATGTCGATTTAGTTAATTGTCTCATTAGTCCCGCCTCTGACAAAGTCAATAACAAGGGCGGGAATAACCAGAGGCCCCGCGACACGATACGATATTATCACAATACAATATTACTGAGATTTTTAACATTTTTCAATACAGTGAGTATTGCGATACAACAGATTGCCATTTCTAATTTAGCATTCGTCTTTCTTTACGTTGGTCTTATTAACTTTATTTTCCTGTAGCACATCTTGCAAACCATATACATATATATATACATATATATATATATATATATATATGAACACATATATATATTTAATGCACAAACTTTCTCCCGCTCTATGATGCCACCTCTGCCAATCTTAGCCGACAAACAGTAGATTTTATTTTTCCATTATCGTAGATTTGACTTCATCTTAACGAAAAATCGATACTTGGCAAATAAGTCGATACGATATATCACCAGGTAAAATATCGCGATACTCTGCTGTTTAGATGATGTAAATAACCTTTAACAGTTCTGGATGTAGGGGTGGCACCTGGGTGGCCAATCAGATTTCAGGGCCCTCACCACCCCTGGCCACCATCCTGGACACGCCTTTGAAACTCGGCCGTTGTTCCTCTAAACTCGGTTATTTCACAGACAGACAGGAGAACTCTGAAAGTGTGGGAGCTGAGGGATCGTCAGCTCCATGTTTCCGTTAAAGGTGTGGAGGTGTCAGGTGGAGGAGCGGGAGTATTTACCGCTGAACACCATGGCCGCAGAGGCTCCCATCACTGCGAAGAAAGGCGAGTACTCGGGGCTCTCCTCGGAGGACATTCTCGCACTCTTCTCGGGGCGAAGCAGCGACAAGGCAGGAGATGATCTTCTTCTTCTTCTTCTTCTCGGGTTCTCCCCGTTTCCCTCCGTCGGCGCTGGGCACGGGTTCAAACACTGAGAGGGGGCGACGGCGGAGCTGTCAGGAAGATCACCGGTGTAGAAGAGGAAAATGGCGAAACGGAAAAAGTCACATGATCAGCCACCTCGGGCCGAACCATTTCTGTGGGCGCGGGGGTGCGCGACACAAACAGGCTTCAAACGGTAAACTAACATCGTTGACCTCGTCTTTAAATATCATATAGACATTATAAATGTGTGATAGCAGCTCCACAGAAGTCTCATGTCAAAGCTGTGTCTGTAACAGTGATTTATTCGGGCCGAGGGTAAAGCTGTGTGTGCTGTGGTATGTTCTGCTGCAAGTGTACTGACTGCAGTTGAAACGCTAGTGGTCACTGCCCGCTGGTGTGTCTATAAATGGGTGTTAAACAGACAGTCAGATAAACTCAATATTCAGTTTATCCTCTTAATTCTTCAATTCAGTCCCTGTAAGATAAAACAGATGAGAACAGAGTCCAAAAACAGCGTCTCTGTCCTCCATGTTAGCTGAACAGATGTCTGTCGACTGTGATTTTCATCATGAAGCACCATGACAGAGAGAGGACCCTCTAATTCAACATTATTCTCCTCTTTATTACAGTCAAACAAACTCAGACTGACTTTATTCAGAGGGCTGGAGACTCATCCTGAAGCTGTTTGTCAAGGTGACTCTGAAGGAAAGAGTGAGTTATGGTGTCAGCTGAGGACACACACACACACACACACACAGACACACACACACACCTGTTTTTACTCTGATTTTTATATTTGACCTAAACTCTTTATGAACTCTTAATATTAAATGTTTATCTTTTCTCTGTGAGTTATTATGGAGTCAGAGTTTTGAATAATGATTAGAGACTGAGATTGAAGGGGGTTACCTGTAAACTAGTGAAAGCAGCACTTTAGTTTCTTTTTACTTTAACAACCTTTATCCCACTAATAATAACTTTTATTTTTATTTGTACTTTTCAAAAACAGATGTTCACAAAGTGCTTTGACATGTAGTCGTAGAGCACATGGAAAAAGACAGATAAAAACAAAAAGCTCAGTAAAAACAGAATTAAAGGAACATTTTCATTTTTCATAATGAACCCAGACAAAACAAGAACCACGCAACATAAAATGAGACCATGAGGACCAAAAACATCAAATACTTCAGAAAAAAAGGAAAATGCAATAAAAAGGGGAGGGCAAAAGTGGAAACAGGATAGTAAATATAAAAGGCAATATCAACAATGATAATAAAATAATAACAGGTAATACTGAGAATAATAGTAATGATAAAACAGGAATGAGCGAGAGATAAAACAATAAAAGGCCGAAAAGGTTAATTAAAAAAAGAGTACAATTTTAACAAAAGATAAAAAAGACGGTAAAACTGAAATAAGATAAAAGAGATAAAATAGAAAAGAGACGACAGATAAAAGATGAAAGACACTAAGAATGAAAATGTCCACTCTGAATGTTCACTGATCTAATTTCATTCAAAAACCATCTAAACTAACATGAGAAATAAAACTCTTGTCACTTTAAATATCTCTTAAGAATATAATACTGTGAGTAGATGTGTTGTCAGTTTTGTAGTTTTCTGTCAGTTTGTTGGTTCATAAAGTGATATTTGTAAAATGAATGACAGTCCTTCACAGTTTAAGGACAGTTTGAGTACTCTGCAGTATTTAACTCTATTATTATGTTGTGTTGCAGATAGTTTTCCAGCTCCTATTAATCTGTTCATGATAATAATTCAATCTGCAAAATTTAAAATGAGAAGCTGAATTTAAACTGGCAGAAAAGTTTAAGATACTTCATAAATATAACTTTGCACATGATTGTAAAGGTTTCTCCAAACTTGTTTTTTAACTTTACTGTCATGTTTTTAAAGTTGGTGATGAGGAGTAAGACTGGAGCCCAAAAATAGACCTGGACTATTTCACAGTAAGTACGACCCTCTGAAGGGAAACAGCTGATTTCTTTCTGAACATGTTAATGAGGATTGTTATACTGATTAAACTTTCATTTCCGTTACTTCTGGACAGTTTTTCACAGCCCGTCACTCAGTGGGACCTTTTAAAAGTTTGGTTGTATCATGAGACTCATGAATAAAGAGTTTTTGTCAGGAGTGAAATGTGAGAGCAGATCAGATCACACATGAGGAGAAGTGCGGCGCACACATGACTGTCAGCCGCCTATGAACCGCCGCCCATATGAAAACAGTCAGCTCCTGGTCAGAGCTCATTCATGTGACTCTCTACAACGAGCTGAGTGGGATCATTTTCAGTTCACAATGACCAAAGACCAGCAGAAAGTAATGTGGTGTTTATGTTGTGTAGTTGTTTATTTTACATTTATCATGTTTGAGAGGAAATCCTTAATTATCAACCTCACAGTGATGGTTTTACTGTAAATGTAGAGTTAAGTGGTTTTACTCATCAGCTGATTGGATTTGAGAAAATCAAAGTATTTCAATAAAAAGTTTAGGTCAAGCCGCAACAACATTTTATTATTCAAGTTTCTCTGTTACTTTTCATTAAATGGTCTAAATATTCTAAACAGTACGACCTTTATAGGTTTATTATTAACTTCATGACTGCTGGTTTGGACTCTGTAATTTGGTGTGTAGTGGGTACAAGAACTGCATTATTTCATGTTTTTAAAAGAACAATGTTTCATCCAGTTTAATAATAAAAAAAGTTGTGCCGCAAACATGTTAATGTACACTTTAGTTTAAACTGCAGTAATAGGAGTAAATCATGTCTAAAAGCATCAACAGCGCCCTCTGCTGACCTGTCAGGATACTCTGCAGGATGTGATTCTCTCTGAGAGCTCTGATAAAACCCTCTAAACTATGACAATTTTAAAATACTACACTATGGCATTTTTATGATTCTTAAGATATATATGTTTTTAACATACTATACTATGACATTTTTATCATACAATAATATGACTTTTTTCATACAAAAAAGATTTTTTTTCACACTAAATTTATTTTTTTTACGTACTATGCTAAGACATTTTTAACCTTTTCCTCATAGGTTGTGACTTTTTTTTTTCACACTAAAATTTTAAATTTTAAACTAACTATACTGTGGCATTTTAATCTTTTTAAAAATATAATAATTTTAACATACTATACTATAACACTTGTATCACTATATATACTGTGACCATTTTTTAAATGCTAAAAAAGATATTTTTTTCATGCTAAATTTTGAATTTTTTATACATACTATACTATGACATTTTCATCATACTATACAATAGCATCTATTTTCCTTATAAAATATGTTTTTTTTTCAAACTAAAATTTTAAATTTTAAACATACTATACTATGATAATTTTATCATACTATACTATGACTTTTTTATTAAACTAAATTATGATATTTTTTCTAATACTAAAATTTGAAATTTTCAACTTACTATACTATGACTTTTTTAACATACTATAATTTGACATTATAACATACTATACTATGGCATTTTTATCATACAACACCATGACATTTTTTCAAAATAAATTATGATTTTTTTGTTATACTAAAATATGAATTTTTAATATACTATACTAGGAAAATGTCATATTAAAATATGATATTTTTCATTCTTAAGACATAAAATCTTTAACATACTATACTTTGACTTTTTATCACACTATAAGATGACTTTTTTTCATACAAAAAAGGAAATTTTTTTTCATGCTAAATTTGAATTTATTATACATACTATTTTATGACATTTTATCATACTATACTATGACATTTATTTTCCTTCTAAAATATGACTTTTTTTAAACACTTAAATTTAAAATCTTTAGCATACTATACTTTGACATTTTTTTCACATAAAAATTTTAAATTTTTAACATACTATACTATGACATCTGTTTTCTTTTTAAAAATGCCTTTTTTTTTTCAAACTAAAATTAAAAATTTTAAACACACTATACTATGACTTTTTTTTACCCAAAATTTTGGAATTTTATACAAACTATACTTTGATATTTTATCATACTGTACTATGACTTTTTTTTTTTCAAACTAAATAATAATATTTTTTCTTATACTAAAATATGAAATTTTTAACATGCTATACTGTGACAATTTTAACATACAACACTATGACATTTTATTCAGTCTGAATCATGTTTCTTTAACACAAAAAAATATTTTTAACATACTAGAGGATGTCATTTTTCTTATACTTAAATATATATTTTTTTTAAATACTATACTAAAAAATTTTGTCATAAATAAAATAAATTTTTTATTCTTAAAATAAAAGTTTTATCATACTAAAAGATGACTGTTTTATACTAAAAAAAATTTTTTTAAAAGCTTAATTTTGAATTTCTATTACATGTTAAACTCTGACATTATTATCATACTATACTATGACATTTTTAACATACTTTACTATGGCATTTTCATCATTTATAAAATATAAAAATTTCACATACTATACTATGACACTTGTATCTTACTATCCTATGACAATTTTTTATCATACTAAAAAGACTTTTTTTCATGCTAAATTTTGAATATTTCACACGTGTTATGACTGCAGTCATTTATGTAGTTCTTTGTGGGTTTTTTTTGTTGATTGACAGCTCTCTCTCTCTCTGTCTCTTCTCCCCTCCTCTGCAGTGGAAATCAGCCTTCGTGTGAGAGATGAGCTGCAGGTGTGCGTGTTCTGCTGTTTGCTCCTGTGATATGATTGCTGCATGCTGATTGGCTGGCTGAGGACTACTCAAACCACCTGATGCCATCCTCCGACCCCCTTCTGGCCTTACCACTTCCAACCATCAGTCCATGTCGTCAGTGTGAAGTATTTTTGTTTAGCCTTGTGATTAGGAAGATAATTTTACTTTAAGATTTAGTGGCAGACGTAGGAGGGAGAAGCTATTTTGTTTTCTATCTTGTTTTTCTCCTGTTTCTTGGTTTTCTGTTGTCTTTTGTTTTACTTTTATTTTACTATAGGTAAGTTTGGTCCTTGATTTAGCTGTTCTGTTTTTTTGTGTTGGCATCGCTCCTCTCTGAAGTGAATAAAATCTGCCTTTTCTGTGAATCTAAAAACTCTTCATTGGCTGGTTCTTGGGAGTGGGAAGAGCGGGGCACTTTGATCTTGTATGGCCCTGGTTCCCCTAGGCCAGGGCCAAAACACATGCTCTACTATGACATTTTTATCATACTATACTTACATTTACATTTTTTTTCCTTCTAAAATATGACATTTTTTTCCACACTAAATTTTGAATTTTTAACATACTATACTATGACATTTTTTCATACTTAATTATGATATTTTTTCTTACACTAAAATATGAAATTTTAACATATTATAGTATGATATTGTTTCACACTAAAATTTGGAATTTTTAACATACTATACAATTGCATTTTTAACATATACTATGGCATTTTTATCATACTATACTATATTTTTTCCACACTAAAATATGATTTTTTTTTTCAAACTAAAATTTGAATTTTTAACATATTATACTATGAAATTTTTTTATACTATTAATTTTTTTCATACTGTTGAAATTTTAAACATACTATACCATGACATTTTTATCATTCTTAAAATATTTTTTTATACATACTAAACTATGATATTTTTATACATACTATACTATGACATTTCTTTTACTTCTAAAATATTATAAAATACACAAAATTAAAAAAATTTTAACACTGAAATTAAGAAATTTATACTTTAACTATTATACTTTTTTATCATACTATACTATGACGTTTTTTCACATTAAATCTGGATTTTTTTTTTTTACAATAACATTTACATTTTTTTACCATACTATACTATGACATTTTTACAATACTATACTATGGCATTTTTATCGTACAGAATATGTTTTTTTAATGCTAAAAAAGAACATTTTCATGCTTAATTTTGAATTTTTATTACATACTATACTTTGACATTTTTTTCTGGCTAAATTTGTCATTTCTTTTTCTTTTAAAATATGAAATTTTTTCACACTAAAATTTGAATTTTTAACATACTATACTATGACATTTTCATTATACTATACTGTGACATTTTTATCATACTATAATATGACTTTTTTTTATAATCAGAGATTTTTTTCACGCTAAATTTTGAGTTTTTATTACATACTAAAGTATGACAATAATAACATACTATACTATGACATTTTTTCCACACTAAATCATGATTTTTTTTCATACTAAAATGACTCTTTTTACATTTTTTACTATGAAATTTTTCTTATACTAAAACCTTTTTTTCCACATACTTTACTGACATTTTCATTATACACATTTTTTTTTTCATTCTAAAAGATGAAATTTTTAACACACTACACTATGACATTTTTATCATACTACACTCTGAAATTTATTTTCATACTTCAATATTAAATTTTTTTCACACTAAAATATGAGCTTTTTAACACGTGTAATGACTGCTCTCTTCCAGTAGGTGCTGCTGTTTGGCTGGTTTGCTGCTTCTTGCATGCTTTGTTGCAGGGTCAGGTGGAAACCGGTTCATCAGGAGATTTGCTTCACCTGGGCTTGGTGTAGTCCTCGACTTTAAATCCTCCTCCTGGATCCAGTGTCCCTCTCCCTCTCATGGGCACATTGCTGCGGTCCAGCGCAGAGCAGCCCATTGTTGTCATTGTCGTGAAGACTGACCCTGATTGTTGCATTTTGTGTGTTTTCTGTAATAAATTGTTGCTTGACTAGCTTCTCCCTCGCCTCGCCTCCTGATTTTGTTACAGCCTATCAGCCTTTAGACACATACTAAACCATGACTCTTGTATCACACTTTACTATGACCATTTTATTCACACTAAAATATGAACATTTGAAAACAGACCTGCTGAACGGGACTGCATGAACACCCAGACTCTGCAAGTTTGAGACACACTGCATTTTAATGAAAGTTCAGGTTAAAATAATACACTTTAATGACAGAAGCAGACATTAAAAATCACCATAAATATGCTACATAATAATCCTAATCACACTTTGCTCTAACACGAATGAGTAACTGTGTGTGTAAGGGCGGCTCGGTGTAAGGCTGTACACAAACACATGAACCATCTCATCAGCATGAAGACAGAGCGGAAAACACACGTCCCAAACTGTGAACCCGGGCTAAAGCATCTCAAAGGATCTCAGCACGCACACACACATGCACACATGCACACGCACGCACGCACGCACACACACACACACACGGTAAAACAGTGCATACAGGCAGACTCTCTCTGAATTTCAGAACTTTTGCAGGTTTTAGCGTCTAATTCAACATCCTGATTGCATTTGGCAAAGATAGAACGACAGATACTGCTCTCATATAAAAAACATGAATTCACTGATAAAAAAAATAAGCCCCGCCCACTGCTCGAAGCGTTCCCAAACCTCTGAATCCCTCAGAAATGATCTACAGGTTAAACAGGCCTACATACTCAGGCTGGGACAGGTGTGTCTAAAGGTGCAGCTTACTCTCCAAAGGAACCCAAACATCCCCGTCCAATCTGTTGGGTCAGATTATTGGCCCCGCCCCCAAGGAGCGAGGCCATCCTGTGGTCAGTATAAGGGTTTCATGACGCAAACATTTAAAAATCCAGCACACACACACACACTCACACACACAAACACACACACAGGTGTGTGTCTGTGTGACTCCCAGGCTCTCACTCTCAAACCTCTCACTCACTCAGTCCATGTCCCAGCACAACGACCCTCGGGATAGAGACCTCAGCAGACGTGTGGTTGTGATCACTGGAAGAACATGAAGAACAGAAGATAAGGCATCACATGCTATTCTTGGCAAAGCCGTACGAAGTGAAAGTGTGGCGCAGCGATGGCTGATCGCACGCAGGCGGCGGGATGAAGAAGCTACACTGGAACCCTTTGAAGACGAGCAGGATGCAACTTGTGAAAAAGTCATGGAGAAAGACGAAGAGTTCCCTCTCAGTCCCAGCCGTTGTCCTTTATCATGTGGGACAGCTCGATGATGTACTTCCCCTCCTTGTACTTCTGACTCAGCTCGAAGGCCTGCTCCTGCAGAGGGGGGGGGGCAGAGACATACAGGTCAGATTCAGTTTTTTTAACGCAGAGAGGAGGAGGAGACCTGTGGACTCAGGTCAGGACTCAGACCACCTGCTGAACCTCCAACACTGTTTCTATTGGTGATCTGGGTCACATGACTTTAATGAAACTGAAAATACTAATTAAATGTTTAAACCAGTGAGACGGTTTTTAGAAAGACAGAGACGGTTTTTTTGTGTCTTTAAACATCAGAACTTTGACAAAGACGAGATTAAAGCAGCTGTAGGAGATGTTGGCATGTGTTGTTTTTGGCGCCCCCTGTGGACAAAGTGACCAATTTTAATAATAAATAAACACACCTAATATCAGTCATTATGATCCGCTGCAGTCACACTCCTGATGAAAAAAGACGATAATTAAATAAAAAGGTCAATTTCTGACGGTTCAGATTCTGAGTTACAGACTCAGAGTTAAAATCAGAAACTCAGTCCTCAGAATTTTGTGGATCCTGTTATATTTCTGTAAAAACTCGACCACACTGAGTCTTCAGAACGTTCCTCTGACATCATAATAAAAGGATTAACTCCTCGGCATTAAGAAGCTTTTTCACGTCACCTTCGTGGTTCTGCAGCCGCAGATGTGGAACAGTTACAGCAGTTATATAACAGGCTGAGGGCTGCTCTCTGAACCAGGTCTCTGCTACACCTGAACTTTGGGCACTCAGGCTGAGTAAGCAGAACCAGAACCAGAACCCTCTGAGATCTGAGCTCTGGACTCTTGAACCATGACAAGGAGACCAAGAGGACCAAAGAGGACCAAAGAGGACCAAAGAGGGCTGCAGAGTCTGGACCAGAGTGAACCTGAGGGCGGCTTCACTTCAGCAGAGAACAAACGGACCTCCAGACGGACCTCAGATCACAGAAATAACAGCTGTTGGTAAAAAAGAAGCTGAGAAAGAACTTTGAGAGCTTCTGCTTTTCAGGAAAAAACACGTCAGGATTGGAGAGAGCAGAAAATCCTGAAGTTAAAACCATCAGTGAGTGAAACCCTGAGCTGCATCTGAGCAGGGACCGTATCGACTGTTTGGTTCGGCGTTAAACCCGTTAATCTTTTTATTCACGGGGAGACGACTTACATATTTCCAGCCCAGCGTAGTGTGACAGTTTTCACAGTAGATGTCGGCGACGGCGTGCAGACCCGTGAGCAGCAGCCTCTCCTCCGCAGGACCACAGCCGATGTTCACGCTGAGAGAGAGAGAGAGAGAGAGAGAGAGAGAGAGAGGGAGAGAGAGACAGAGAGAGAGAGAGAGAGAGAGAGACAGAGAGAGAGAGTTTCAGTCAGAGGAGAGGTTCACCGAGAGGAACGAACTTTAACAAAGAGAAGAAGAAAGAAGATTTCTGTCCAAGAAACTCCGGAGAGTTTAAAGATCTAATCAGTGAGACATTAAAGTATTTAACTGAGAGAGAGAGAGAGAGAGAGAGAGAGAGAGACAGAGAGACAGAGAGAGAGAGAGAGAGAGAGGGAGGGAGGGAGGGAGGGAGAGAGAGCGTCTGTGTGTTCCTGACCCACTAACCCACTGGGAGTGAGACTAACGTGAACTCGGCCAAAGTCAAGGTCGGCTCTAAACAAACTCACTTCTCTGTTGACTCTCTGGTTTCTGTAAACACGTCTGAGAAACGAGATGATTCAGTTTGAAACTTGGACTGATCGATTCAGAGAAGTGAAAAAGAAGAAGAAGAAGAAGAGGAGGAGGAGGAGGAGGAGGAGGAGGAGGAGGAGCAGCTGTGAGGTTCACATGGATGTGTGGAGATACTCACACAGAGTTGAAGAGGTACGCTCGGCCCTGACTGCCCTGGAAAGACTGAGAGAGACGACAGAAGTTAGAAATCAGAAAAATCAACAGGAATCAGTTTCATCTATCTCTCTCTCTCTCTCTCTCTCTCTCTCTCTCTCTCTCTCTCTCTCTCTCCCGCTCTCTCTCTCTCTCTCTCTCTCTCTCTCTCTCTCTCTCTCTCTCTCTCTCTCTCTCTCTCTCTCTCTCTCTCTCTCTCTCTCTCTCTCTCTCTCTCTCTCTCTCTCTCTCTCTCTCTCTCTCTCTCTCTCTCTCTCTCTCCCTCTCTCTCTCTCTCTCTCTCCTCTCTCTCTCTCTCTCCCTCTCTCCCTCTCTCTCTCCCTCTCTCTCTCTCTCTCTCTCTCGTTTTTCCTGTTTCGCCGCTCTCTCAGGAATGTCTCCGCCTCCAGGTTTCGCTGTTATGATCCGCCTGAACGGATCATTGAGAGCGAAGGGCGGCGGTCAGAAAACTCACCTTGGAGATCAGATCGTCATGGTTGGCCAGGTGGGCGCGGCAGTGAACGCAGCTGTAGCGCCGGTGGCAGGAGTCCAGGTAGGCCTGGAAGGTTTTGGCCTTCGTCAGCTTCACCATGTCTGAGGAAGAGGAGGAGGAAGTGCTGTTATAAGTCAGACGGCGGCGTGAACAGACTGAGAGTTTCTGCTGAGAGTCAGAGCTCGGACAAATCCAACATCAGTGATTGAACCGCGCCGATCCCCCCTGACATCACCTGACCTGTGACGGGCACAGGCGCTCGGTCACCACGGTGTTGACTTTGGCAAAGAAGTCAGTGGATCAACCACGCCACCCTCGACCACGCTCAGCCGCTCACCTCTCTCTCTCTCTCTCTCTCTCTGTGAAGGTTATTTTTGATTATTCTGCCTTTACTGAGCAGAGAGAGGACGTGGGGGAGTAAAGAGAGAGTGGGGGACAAACAGGGAGGGTGGGAGTTAAACCTGCAACCTCTGAGACGGCGGCTGAGGCGTCTGTGCGTGAGGCGCACCCTGAGAGCATCAGGTCAAGTGGACTGAGAGATGAAGAGCTGAAACGTTCTCATGGTGAACGTCCAGAAACTCTGTCAGCTGACCGAGTTTCTGATTATAACTGAAGAAAACATTTATAATCTGTCTCTTTATTCTGGTTAATCTCAGTTTTTGGTCGTTCGTGTTTTTGCTGATTCAGCTCTTCTGTTGTTGTTTTTTTTCTCTCACTTTAATTTTTTTATTTCTGTTTCTTTCTGAGCCACTAAACTCCGAGACAAAGTCCAAGTCCACGTAAACCCTCCAGGCAGAAATCCTGCTGCCAAAGATTTCCTCTAATCCTCTGAGCCTCAGAATAATCCAGAGACTTTCATAATTTTAACATGTGGAGCCTTTTTACTTCCATAAACAAGTGAGTCAGTGTGGACGGTGATGAAGGGAGAATATCTGAGTTTCTCTGAGCTGAACTTCATTCTCTGTATTTTACTTTAGATTCACTCAGTCAGAGAAGATTCAGATAATTCAGCAGATTAACATCAATCTGAGAGTTCAAATGTTGTCTTTTCAATGTTATTAAACTATTATCATATCAGGATCATTGATACTTTATCTATTATTATTATTATTATTATTATTATTATTATTAGTGTTAGTATTAGCAGCTGACGGGTCTACCTGCGGACAGGTGAGAGTTCAGGGTTCACCTGCAGTTTACCTTCCTGCTCTATATTAGTTTGGTTGAGACGTGCTGCGTTCAGGTGCTGCTGGAATCATCGGAAAACGTGATTTCAGAGGGAAAAACTCCACGTGAGGTCTGACCTCAGCAGGTTAAAACGTCACAGTCTGTCTGAACAGGTTTGAGTTATAATCCCAGAATAATAATACGAGTTTAGAGTGTTTCTGTTTTTACTGATCGCTCATTTCTGATTGATCTAATAATCGATCACTGAACAACTTTCATACTACTAAACTAAACTAAACTAAATTAAACTAAAACTGAACTAAATTAAACTAAACTTTACTAAAACTAAACTGAACTAATTAATCACAACAGAGTTTCTGTTTTACTTATTGATCACTGATCAATACTGTAGTCAAACCTTTAATTAAACCAAACAAACATAATAATAAATATAAATTAAAAACAGCCTTTCAAGCTGATTTTTCTCCAATAATCATCAGTTACTTTTGTCCTGATTTCTAATTTAATTTTAATATTTTCTTGTCTGTTAGAGATTTGTTCTTTAATTCATGACTTTGACACTTTAACTCCAGTTGTTCTTTTATTCTTTATATTTTATATAATTTTGGTTAAAATCACTTTTTACTTCTAATGTAAAACGATTTTATCTTTAGATGATAGAAATAAAACACTTCAGTAACTGCCTTTACTTTATACCAATGTAACATATAAACCCGACCATCATATATACTGATATATTGATCATATTGATCACAGTGCAATAAATGAATCATTGATCTGTGCAATAAAACTGAGCTTCACTGTGCAAGAATCGGGTTTTCATATCATACCCTCTAAACATTACTGTATATATCTGTATAAATTACTGTAGATATATATCTATCTGTATTTATATGTCCTGTCTATATTACTGTCTCTCTCATTTCTTATCTTTGTGTTTTTTATTTAAATAATTTTGCACCAAAGGCAGCGGCTCTAAAATCTCGTTGTACTGAGTATAATGACAATGAAGGCGGTTCTGGTTCTGGTTCTGAAGAAGGTCAAAGTGAGCTCCAGAACTGAAAAATCCGAGCCTGCAGGAGTCCGTGAACGCCCCTCCGTCCTCATTTGCTGTTAATCTGTTAAATAATCAGAGAGCTGCGACACTCCTGCCGAACCGAACCCTGTTTATGGTCACTAAACTCGGACCAGAACCTCCTGACTGACCTGTTACCTGTAAAAACTCTCAGGTATCTTCAGGTCGGACCGAGTCTGCTGCGGTTAGCCTAGCGGGTTAGCTGCTACCATCCCAAACAGCAGAATAATCTGATCAGTAATCAATAATCTCATCATTACTGACTCACCTGAACACACCGAAGATCTCAGGAGGGTAGAAAACGGTCCAATCCAGCTGTCAGCTCAGAAACTTCGGGTAAAATCGGCTCAATAATCGGCAGGTCGGTTCGATCCGACAGTCGGCCACGCGCTCACAGCGGCGGTTCGGACAATAAGACGGACTCCTCCTCCTCTTTATTAACAAAAACACGAGAATAAACCTTCACTGGACCGGTACCGTGGACTAAAACACGAGCTCAGATCCGGCCGAGCTGTCCGGCTGAGAGCAGGAGGACCGAACTTCGGAACCGGCGGGAGAAAAATGAGGTTTGTTTATAAAAACACGGAGAGGAGGAAGTCTGAGAGTGCAAAACAAACCCTGTCAGCCAATCAGAGGCCGGGAAACACACTCAGAATGTGGGTCAACCAATCAGAGAGGAGCTGACAGGAGCCTGTGTGAGTGTTGGAGAAACCCTCCGAGTTATTTTCACGACCTGAGAGAAAATTAGAGAAAAAAAAACTTTAAAATGGAGACAGAAGAGAAGAGATTCAACCTTTGACCTGAGAGACAGTTTATTACACACCCACCGGGTCTGAAATCAGCTGTTCATTAAAAACAGTTCTCCTGTTATCATCTGTATTTATTATTATTTATCTATAACTGTATATATATCCTGTATATGTGACTGTTCATTAAAAACTGTTCTCCTGTTGTCATAGGAAGTCAAATTTTCTGGCCATAATTTGTGGTTTCAGACATTAAAGGGTTAAGAGTGTTTTATAATTTAGTCCATTAAAATCTTTTATTTTAATTTTGTTGGTTTAGAGTTTAGTGACAAAGTCAAAACGTCTTGGTGAAAAAAAGCAGATTTATGTGGTTCTTTAAAACAAAAAGCGGGTCGGTGCTGACCCGAACACAGCAGGAGGGTTCATCACTGTCGGATCACAGATTCATGTTTTTCTGTTTCACAGTCAATAAATATTTTAATAACCATCAGACGACGAGAACAGAGAGGTGGTTTGGTTGTTGTGGTTTCCTGGTTTCCTTCGTCAGGAGGTCCGACTCTCTCCACGTCAGTCTCGGATCAGTCCGCTCGCTCCACATTCACTCACAGGATTCTCTCATTTTTGTGAAAACACTCTCCTCCATCTCCTCACCTCAGAGTTCTTCAAAGTTCCCCGACGGTGTTTTTATGATATTTATGAGTCGCTCCAAACAAACTTCATGACTTTAATCCGTCCAGATTCTTCAGAATGGGACTGACCGTGCTTTCTATGTCATGAATGGAGGCTCAGGCTCTGCTGGGATCACAAGAACCTTATTTCTCTTCTGGGTCACTAATTCGAACCTTTGCTCTTTGCATCGACTGATCCACTTATGTGCCATTAATTCACCGTCACACGGCAGAGCAGGGCAGAAAAATACAGCCTTTGTTTCACAAACAGGCCGGTTGATCATTATCACAGCAGTGCGGCCGGACTTTGACCCCCGCCTGAGAAAATAAGGACACACCTGAGCTTCAGGGAAAACCTTCATTCACAGACGCAGGTCTTCATGGTTAAACTTCTGGACACAGATGGACGACACACACGGGTTTGTTTACATCAACGTCACTTCAGGTATCTTTAATATAAATGCATCTGAACACAACAAGAGGAGATTTACTTTACCTCATTTTAGTCGTCACACTTCTTTAAACGACCAAAAAATAATAAACATAAAGACAGAAAAACAAGAAGATATATAATAATAATAACATTCTGATCCTTTATTCCTCTGAGAAAAACTGATGGAAGAAAGTCATAAAACTCCTCAGACAGTCAAAACAAAATCACGTTCTCTCTCTTATCAGGAGGACGTCAGCTGACTCTTTCCAGCCGGTTAAATATCAACTCAGGGTTGGAGCGCTGAAGGTTTGACTCAGAGAGAGACGACAGAAACAGAAGAAGAGAGTCCTCCAAACATGAAGTCGTTTCTCTTCAAACCTTCAAACTCAGAGAAAGTTAGAAAAGGTTCAGACACACAGAGGAGGAGATTCCTTCATAATCCTCACAGATTATATCACAGAGTATTTATAAATGTCGACTTCCTCCAGAGTCACAGACGAACCCGAGTCTGCTCAGACTGAATTATCTACACAAACAGCTGAGGTTTAATTTGAGGTCATTTTTGTGTTTAAATAAAAGAGTTTCAGACAAACTCAGAAACTAAAATAAAACCGATCCTCCTCACCGCTGCTCTTCTTACTCTGGTATGAAACACAGATAGAGGTATATTTACGGGGTTTTACCCTGTAGATGGCGCTATACCATCCTAAAGCTCCATGGTGGACCTGCACAGGTCTGACTGCAGAGTCCAGGTCAGTCCTGGTTTCGGTTTCTGAGGAGGTAGTTTGACAGGAGGGTCGGATAGTCGGTCATGACCCCCGTGGCCCCGACGTCGAACGCCGCTTTAATGTCCTCCTCTTCGTTACACACGAACAGATGAACCTTCAAATGACAGAGAAACACTCTGATGGTGCGTTCAGGGTCCCTCTGTTCAGATATCTAACAGTCAGAGTCATGAAACGCTCCCTTACTGACCCCTCCCACCAGGGAAACTACGGTGGCCTTAAAGGACAATCAGCTCTAATGATGGATTATTAACATGACCCTCCATTTATCAGTTATTTTACTGTTATTAACGTTTATCGAGTCTTTTCTCTCAGCATGAAAATATCTGTTTTTAAAATAGTTTAAAGTTCCACTAAAGTGAAAATTCAGACGAGTTCATCGAAGGTTTCATACCTGAATCCCTCGAGCTGCGAGGTGATTAAAGAGACCCCTCCTCATCGTGACTCTGGAAGAAAAAACACAAAATAAACAAAATGATTTCAGAGATTTCTGCAAAAAGAACCAAAAAAAGAGATTTTATCTTTGTTCAATAAAACTTTAAATCTGTTCACTGTGTTTAAGTCTGAAGACGAGAGTTTACTGACTTTTCTAACAGAGAGATGATCAGTCTGTTCCTCAGGACGCGTTTCTGGGGGATGAAGGTCCTGCAGCAAAGAGAGAGACAAAGAGAGACAACTGAGAGACAGACTGAGAGACAGACAGACAGAGAGACAAACTGAGAGACAACAGAGAGACAAACAGAGAGACAACTGAGAGACAACAGAGAGACAGACTGAGAGACAAACTGAGAGACAACAGAGAGACAAACAGAGAGACAACTGAGAGACAACAGAGAGACAGACTGAGAGACAAACTGAGAGACAGACTGTGAGACAAACAGAGAGACAACTGAGAGACAAACTGAAAAAAAACACAAATCTGAATTTATTGGAGGATAACCCCTTTAGATGTAGAGTCTCACTTTAGAGACGGTCCCTAAACAAACACTGAACTCAGGACACGATAACATTAACATACAGAACATATAACAAATACAGACACTTACTCCCACACACAACTCCAACCAACATTCACCAAACATACAAAACAGACAAAACTGATTAACAAGGAGAGAAATACTGAGAACATGAATGAAATAAATCAGAAACAGTTTTGAGACGAGAGTTCAGAGTCACTCTGAAGTGATCAATAAATAAAGAGGTCAATTATTCCGATCTGATGAGGGTTTATACTGAAAGTGGACAGATTAGACGGACAGTGAATCTGTGTGTGAGGTGAGGTCCTTCACCTGTTGATGATGCGCGGCAGGTAAAACTGCAGCAGACTCTCCCCCAGGGGGACGAAGGGCAGCAGACCGCTGTAGTAGAGGAGCAGCAGCAGGACCCCCCGACGGACCGTGAAACTGTACGGCATGGAGCTGTTCTACAGGGACACACAGAGACCAACAGGTCCACCTGGTTCAGGAGGACTCTAACAGAGACTCTAAACTGATGTGGGGGGGTCTGACTCTGTCTCCCCCTGCTGGTTGTTTTACCGTTCTGCGGCATTTCCTCATGATGTTGGAGTTGACGGTGGCCCACACAGTGATCTCATCTCTGTTGTAGGTTTTCACCAGATCAGACACCTGAACACAGAATGATCAATAATCAATAATCAATAATGAAGATTATTCTTGGTTCCTGTTTGTGTCCTCAGCTCGTCTTTCTCCAACCCTCTGTAGACCTTAGAGAACCCAACAGACCAGGATCTGGAGTCTGAAAGGGAGATGTTGTTTTTCTCCTGTCAAGTCTTTGTCTGGATGGACGCAGATGTTCCTCCTAAACCTGGAGATACTCTCTAAAACTGAGGATGCAGCATCTATGATCTACAGCTCTTTGTTGAAAGGACAACTGGACTTAGTTAAGACGTTTCGCCTCAACTAAGTCCAGTAAATCAACTAAGTCCAGTTGTCCTTTTCTAAAGAGGTTTAGATTTTGATCCATCAGTGATTTTAAGTCCATGCGGTGACTCCAACTACAGAGTCCTGATGATCCTAAACCTGGAGATCTAATTCAGAGATATTGAAGTAATTAATAATGTGGAAGTAATAACAATAATAATAATAATAATAATGATATTAATAATAATAATAATAATAATAACAATAATAATAATAATAATAATAATGATAATATTAATAATAATGATAATAATAATAATAATAATAATAATAATAATAATAATAATAATAACAATAATAATAATAATAATAATAATAATAATAATAATAATGATAATAATAATAACAATAATAATAATAATAATAATAATGATAATAATAATAATAATAATAAGATTAATAATAATAATAATAATAATGATAATGATAATAATAATAATAATAATAATAATAATAATAATAATAATAATAATAATAATAATACCAATAATAATAATAATAATACCAATAATAATAATAATAATAATAATAATAATGATAATGATAATAATAATAATAATAATAATAATAACAACAACAACAACAACAACAACAACAACAACAACAACAACAACAACAATAATAACAATAATAATAATAATAATAATAATAATAATAATAATAATAATGATAAAGTTTATTTATATAGCCCCGTACAACATCCGTAAAGATGAACAAAGTTCTTTCACCGTCAAAAACACAAATAAAGGAAAGAAAATACATGAAAAGTGACAAACGTGAGAAAATATCGGAACAATAAAAGGTTAGAAAACAAAAACGATCAGAGAGAAACACCATAAATGACACTAAACATTAAAAACCTGTTTTAAAAGGAGTTTTAAGATGTTTCAAAGAGTCTGAGGTCATTAATGAAAAGTAGATCAGGGGTAGAGAGTTTCATCATTTCAGGGCCGCTGAGACTTTAGACAGACGTTCAGACAGAGCGGAGGGTGTTTTTAGACGGACTGTACCTTTTTGATCAGCTGACTGTTGTTCTCTTTGATCTCGATGCTGATGGGGATCTGAGGAAACGTCCGGAACAAGTCCTCCAGCAGAGTGAACTTCCTGTCTGCGCCGCCGCTGAAACGACCTGCAGGAGGGAGGGAGGGGCGGGGACTATCACAACGATAAAGGACAATAAAAGACACACACACACACACACACACACACTCACACAGACACACACACACACACACACACACACACACACACACTGTTTAAACTCTGGAGGTCGAACTCACCGGAGAAGAAGGTCACCTCCAGTCGGTCTTTGTACAGAGGAAGATCCTGAAAACACCAACAATCGGATCATTCGGATCAGAACTCTTATAACCATCTGTGTTTCTCTGTGACCTTTGACCTCTGACCTGCCAATCAAGCGAGGACATGTTGACGTCGTTTCCCGTTTCTCTCAGCAGGTTCTCGTCATGTGACACCACCACGTGTCCGTCGTGCGTCAGGTGACAGTCCAGCTCCAGCATCTGCGTGCCCTGCTCCACGGCGCTGCGGACAGAGGAGGGATCGAACCGTGAGGCGTTCAAGGTCAACACAAGGTCAACACAAGGTCAAACATGATGGAGAGGAAGTGGATTGGAACAGGTCAGTCAGCTGACAGGAAGAAACAAAGACGTAGATTTGGACGAGAGGCGGGATCAGTCTGACCCTCAATTTTCACCACATCCAGAACGGCGGCGATTTTCACTGTCCGCCAATTCCTAACAGATCCGTTTGTGAGGCGAATTTCATGGCGGATTACAGACAGCAGGAATCACGAGAACTCACAAGAACCCGCAGATTCACGTTCAATCTCATGATAACGAGTTGTCTCTCTAAAGACAGACACATAGACATATAAGCAGTAGATTGTGTCCTTCCAGAGGAGGAAATCTACTTCTAGACTTCTAGAATCAGCATCTCCTCATCCATGGTGTCATCGGGGTGAAATGACGTCTAAAAACCTTTCACTTGTGATCAGCTGAGGAGTCCGGCGATCCGCAGAGGAACGGAAAGAAGTCGGTGTAAATTGACACGTTAACTTGAATGGTTACGATCAGCTACGATCGGAGGATACGACCTTTTAGGAGACGATCTTTTAGGAGACGATCAGGATGAAGGTGGAGGTCGGGGGTCAGTTTACTCACTGTGTGAAGGCCTCCATGGTGCTCTCGATCCTCTCTCCACATCCTGCAAACAAACAGAGAACTTTACTGATGAAGAACCAAAAACTGCAGTTCCTTCAGTGTCCACTAGAGGCCGACCCCTGCTGTGAGTCAGTCTCCATAGAGCTTCATGTTAAAACTTTACGGTCAGAGAGAAGATCAGAACCAGCTGTGTTTGAGGAGAACTCACCTGTTCACGTTCAATAAGGACTTCTAGTTAAAGGGGCGGGGCCTCTCATTGGTGCGGCCGTTCTTTTGATGTGTTATGGTCAGAGGTCAGAGGTCATTACAAAGAGGCCACGCCCCCTTCACTTTGACTGTTAACACAGGTGTAAACAGGTGAGTCCTGTTCAGCTGTCATGAATGTGTTGTTGTTTTGGTTCCTGGTTTATCTCTGCTGAGGTTTTAACATGAGGCTCAATGGGGCCTGACTCACTTCTCAGGCAGCCTCTAGTGGACACTGGAGGAACTGCAGTTAATTTGACCAACAGACTGTTCAGGAAATCTGACAGTTTTCAGACTCAGTCAAAGTTCAATATTATTTCATCTACGTTGCAAAACTTTCTGTGATGTACAGCACTCTTACACCATCATTTATTATGTGTAATACGGTAATTTTTCACACCTCATTTATCCACCATCTTATCCTCCATGTCATACATTCACACTCAGCACCTTTGTTAATATTTCTCTTAGACTTTTATTCCTCTTTAATATTTTCTTTGTTTCCTTATTTTATTGTTTTCCTCTCAGTATTTATTGTGTTTTTTATGTTGACCTTCTTTAACATGAACATGATAAATAAACTCATCTTGAATCTTGAATCTTAAATCTTGACATCAGTCTCCTTCTGTAAACCTGATCACTTCAGATTCCTCAGATTTTTGTGTCTGTTTGTTGTTTTCTGCTGCTCTTCTTACTTTGTAAAGTGACTCTGAGTGTTTAGAAAGGCTCCTATAAATAAAATATTATTATTATTATTATTATTATGATCAGAGTCAGGACTGAATGACTCCCATTGCACCTCCTCCTCCTCCTGTCCTTACCTCCTCTGTGTGAGATGTGTGTGCAGTAGAAGGCCGTGCGTTTCCTCTTGTGTAGAATGAGCGGGTTCTTCAGCAGGTACACCGAGGTGAGAGCGTATCCGCCCAGCGCCGGGAGGATGAAGAACAGGAAACCGCTCATCCTCCTCTTCAGGACACCAGTCTGAGTCTCTGGACTAGACCTCTGAGAGATCCAGAAGGAGGTGAGCAGATCCTCGATCCGGTCTGAAGACAAACTCTCAAAGTGGACGGACAGGTAAGAGTGAAGAAATCCTCCTCCTGCTTCAGCTGAGACTCTGTCAGAGCCGTAAAAATCTGTTAATGAAGCACCAGCTCCTAACCTGCCGCTCGACCCTCTCTCGCTCTCTCTCTCTCTCTCTCTCTCTCTCTCTCTCTCTACTAACCTCTCCCCTGCCTGTGGCGATACTATCCTTCTCTCTCTCTCTCTCTCTCTCTCTTTACTCTGCGGTTGTTAAACTGGGACACTCGTACCTTTGTCTTCTTTGTCTCGTACCTGTTCACTGTTCGCCTGACAACACTGACAGAGGATTTGTGTGACTCGGTTTCTTTGTTCGTCTGACAAACTCATTTGTAGAATTTAAATCCTGCTGTTAAAAAAACATCTAATCTGTTAATCTGTTAATCTGTTAATGGTTTATATTTAAAACCACATTAACCCAAGCTCGTTTAGGATGCAGCATCTAGGATTTCCACTTCTAAGGCGAAATGTCTCAACTTAGTCCAGTTGTCTTTTCAGCAAGAAAGTCAGATTCTGATTCTTGATATGAGGCGTTCCTCCTTAGTCCACCTTAAGTGGACTCACAGAAGTGTTCCCGGTCTGGTCTTCAGTTTGAACCTCATTCTGAGTCCATGCGGTGATTCCCACTCCAGAGTCCGGTCTGTTTTTAAAGTCCTGAAGATCAGGACCATCCAGTCCTGATTTTGGTCCTTTTTTTAAAACTTTCATTTCTTTGTGTATTTGTGTTTGTTAAATGTGTTTTTGTGAAAGTTGTGTCTCATTTTTAAATGAAAATGTTGTTTTTGTGTAGGGCTGGGCGATCTGTGAAAAAGTTTATCATGATATCATCATATCAGCTGATATGGATCAATATCAGCTGATATAAAAATCTAACAGTGTTTATTGGTCTCATGTCTTTTCCAACACAATAATCTCCTGCATCTGTGAGGTCTTTGTGTCTCTTTGGCGTTTTGTCGTAAGGCGTCGCTCTAGAGAAAGCCGACTGAATGGTCGTCTGTTTCAGGCGCCATGGGCTCCTCGCTCCTCTCGGGGTTTGTAACCTTTTGCGTTGCGCGTGCTCTGCGGCGTGGCGCTGCTTCAGGTGGTGAAAAAGATTTGAGGTATTCCCCGACTTTGTGAGAACATGTACTCGACATAATTTACAGTCCACATTACTCTGCTTCATGTCCGACCTCCAAAAACCAAAATACCTCCACACCACCGACGTTTTCCTAACGCCAGTGTTGTGGTTGACATTGATGTGGTCATCTGTTGAGCCTTCATGGTCATTTCTGTCGGGGGTAGCACTCATTTTCTTTGTTTCTCACCAACAGTGCTGTCGGCTTCACCTGTTAAAGTGCTATGGTTGGGTGGAGCTGCTGTCTGCTACGACGCTGCAGTTGGTTGATACTTGGTTCTAATTCAGAACATGATTGGTTCAGACCCGGAGAAACTCCCCTTTTCATTGGCTGTTCGTATAGTCGACCAAAACATGTCAGAATGACGACTATTGGAAAGGATATTGATCATGTTTTTTGTTGATATTGAGGGAAATTAATTTAGGATATTTATGGTTTTATCGCCCAGCCCTTTTGGATCTTATTTCAGAGTCAAACGTTCTCGTCGCTCTCAGCCGTGATCTGGATCAGACTCTCAGGTCGTTCTTCGGTGACGTTGAGCAGGTTTCTCTGAGTGTTTGTGGAAGGCGACGTGTTTCTCTGAGGAGGAATGTAAACTGAACTCTGACCCACAAATATGAAAACAGCTTGACGTCTGCAGGCTCTGGAGCTTTCTGAACACGGTGAACAAAGTGAGAACAGAGTCATTGTTCAACGGCTCCAACAGCAGAGCAGGAATGTGGCCGACAAAGCGGACGGGCCACAACAGAGGAATCTGTGCAGACGCTTTCCAGAGGTTTTCACTTGTAGCAGGTCCTGACTGACGGTTCCTGCTGTTTCTGCCCGCTCGCTCTCAGACTCTTGATTTATCGACAGATTCATCCAAAGTCTGTGGGAACGACGGGCCGGAGCGGAGATCTGTGCTCAGACATGTCAGGAGGGACGAGGGAACGCTGCACAGCAGGATGAGCAGGTTGTCTTTGACACTCTGGTTTGTTCCCATGAGTCTAAAGGGTTTTGGGTCCAGTTCAACAAAAACACCCTGACTTTAATCTGTGAGAGAGTAATAAAAGACGTTCTCCTCCCCAGATCAGAATGAGGGACAAACGTCTTCATAAAAACTTCATTACTGACTGTCTGACTGATTTATCTGCTGTCTTTGTCTTCTGTCCTGACCTCACTCTCATCATCTGACGCTCACGGCTGTTTAACAGGATTTTATAATCGATGAGACTCTTTCGTTGTTTTATACGGAGGAGGATTAGGGCCACTGGGGAAAAAGAAAGTCCAATTTCATTTTTTAAATTATTATTCTGAGATTTGAATCAGAATTCTGACTTTTTTCCTCCCAAGATAAAAACTGTGGACACGAGCATTTTTCTCTTAATGTAGAGTCCACAATGACAGAGACGACAGAGTCTGAAGTCTGACTTTAATCTCAGAATTCAGATTTTATTCTCAGAATAATTATATTAAAAAAATTATGTCTGACCTTTTCTTTAGTGGCCCTCCTCCTCCTCCGTAGTTTTACACTGATCTGTTTAGGACAATTGTACGGTTTCTCTGTCCTCGTTTCGCTTCATTTGACTGTTTCTCAGATATTCTGTAAATCACAGAAACTGTCTGTTGTCATCATTTTTAAAGTCAGTTTTTGTCTTTAATAAACTCTTCTGTCGTCTCTCTGTAGTTTTGCGTCTCTGTCTCCAGTTTAAATCTTTTAATTCTTCTCCCGTTTGTTCGTTTTCATCCCTTTTGTTTTGTATTTGTAGTCGTTTTTTATCACTTTCTTCCTCCTGAACTGAAACATGTAAAAAAAAAAACGTCAAACATCTGAAACAGTATCAGGAAATTTTATTTAATTATATGTATATAATTCTGCTTCTTTGTTAATCATTAATCCATAATACCCACAGATATACAGACTCGAACCCTCAGTAACTCCACGCTTTCTTCTTTCACAAGATCTTTGAGGGAAATTAAAGCGAAAATAAAGGTTACAAACACGACCCCGAGCGATCCGCTTAAAAACTAACTCATAATTTAAAAAAACACGACTTTAGATCCCTTTACGTAAAAAATAAACAACAATAATAACAATATTAATGATAATAATGATAATAACCCACCGATAAAACGACAAAAACACCGACAACGACGACAAAAACAGAACAACTAAATCCCAAAACAGACCGAGAGAGGGAGAGAGAGAGAGAGAGAGAGAGAGAGAGAGAGAGAGAGAGAGAGAGAGAGGGCGAGAGAGAGAGAGAGAGAGAGAGAGAGAGAGAGAGAGAGAGAGAGAGAGAGAGAGGGAGAGGGAGAGGGAGAGAGAGAGAGAGAGAGAGAGAGAGAGAGAGGGGGAGAGAGAGAGAGGGAGAGAGGGGGAGAGAGAGAGAGAGGGCGAGAGAGAGAGAGACAGAGAGAGAAAGAGAGAGAGAGAGAGAGGGAGAGAGGGGGAGAGAGAGAGGGAGAGAGGGGGAGAGAGAGAGAGAGAGAGGGAGGGGGAGAGAGAGAGAGGGAGAGAGGGGGAGAGAGAGAGAGAGGGCGAGAGAGAGAGAGACAGAGAGAGAAAGAGAGAGAGAGAGAGAGGGAGAGAGGGGGAGAGAGAGAGGGAGAGAGGGGGGGAGAGAGAGAGAGAGAGAGGGAGAGAGAGAGAGGGAGAGAGAGAGAGCGCTGCAGAAAAACACAAACTGAAGAGATTCAAGCTGATCCCAAAGACAGAGAGGGGGTCATCAGGGGTCATCAGGGGTCATCAGGGGTCATCATCCTACAGACCGGGGGGGGGGGGGTTGCATACTTTGAAAAACACACACACACACACACACACACACACACACACAGACACACACACAGACACACACAGACAGAAACACAGACACACACACAGACAGACACAGACAGACAGAGCCTTGGCTTCATGTTGCTGAGGAGCAGAAAACTCACATTCACGTCTTCAGACTCACAAACTTAAAGCTGAACGAAGACGAAGGGAAACAGAGGGGGCGTGGCCAGAGGGACAAAGTGCAGGCGTGCTGATTGGGTCATGTGATCAGAGCGGGTTTCCTGCTTTTATATGAGTGACGTAGTTCTGGGAGAAGAGGGGAGGTGAGAGTTTAGGTGACAGCAGATCATCGTAATAATACTGAGGAGGAAGAGGAGGAGGAGGAGGAGGAGGAGGAGGAGGAGGAGGAGGAGGAGGAGGCAGCCCTTTGAGTAAAGCGAGGAGGGGGTCAGGAGGTCAAACCGGAAGGAGGAACATCACAACATGCATCAAAACGCCTCTGAGAGAGGAGGCCGAAGAAAACCAGACGAGGTCCAGAGTATGAGTCGGTCTAGAACACGGCGGATAAGTCGGGTCAGATCAGTTGGGTCAGATCAGTCGGGTCAGATCAGTCGGGTCAGATCAATCGGGTCAGATCAGTCGGGTCAGACGACGGAGGAGCAGACGGGGAAACTGAACTCATGACGGCAGACTGGAGGAGAATGAACAGATGAAGACAGAGGACTGAAGCTGTGAGACCGTCTGATCAGAGAAACGAGGTTCTGCTGGAGAAACTCTGTTAACATGATCCTATAAAATAAAAACTTCTGTCTGCTGCAGATCGACTCAAACTCACTGAAGAAGATCATCTAAAGTCCATTTAATCTTCATCTTTCTGCTGAAAACTTACAAACTCTGAGCGTCTCTGTAAACGTGGAAATGTGGGTTCAAACCGCAGAAATCTGAAAGAGTTTAAATCACGACTTTAAAGGTGTTTGACGTGTTTCTGACCGTGGTCTGGAGGAGCGCTCGTTCTTCTCTGCACGCCTGGAGGTCATATTTCTGACACAGACAGGAGGCATGAGGATTAAACTCTCAGGGATCTGTTTCGACTCGCAGACTGACGGATTTTTATGCCTTTAGACCTCAGAAAAAACGGTCCACATCTACACTCTGATCAGATCTCTGATCACCACAAAGTCTCTGCTTCTTTTGATCTTTGAGTCGTGTGCAGAACTGAACTTCAAGTTGAAAGATCAGGAAAGTCAAACATGAAAGAGAGGCTGAAGGTTTTTTTCAGTTTAGGAGAACAAAAACAAAAACATCAGAGTGTTTCCTCTCAGCTGTTCACAGATCAGCTGTTCACTGATCAGCTGTTTTTATAACAGGAATGTATTAGGTTGAACTCCTGACGATAGTCCAGCGTTGCGGGGAAAGAAGCGCTCTCAGAATGAGACCAGATGAAATAATCTGAAGATCGGATCTTGAACATAAAACCAGGAGCGTTCGCTGACTCAGCTCGCTGACTGACTTCCTGTCTGACTTCGGTGTTAATAAACGTGAGAAATCTAAACCTTTAAAGTCTCCCCTCAGACAGTTTCTGCGTCTCTCGGTCACTTTGGTTCATTTCAGGAAAGCATGCGTCCACAGTGGATCAAACACGGACTCAACGAACACCACGAGGAAGAACCCGCCCACATCGAAACGCCGCCAAATCAAGAATTCATCGACTGAGAGGAAACAAAGAGGCGAAAACACCGAAACAACAAAATAACAAACACTCTTCGGTCCTTTTATATATACACACACACACCGCCACCGCAACCGCCGCCACCGCGCTTCTTTAGCCCTCGAGTTTCCGGGTTATAGAGCGAGAGGAGTTCTGGAGTTAATACAGGAGTTTGTGTTTATATGAGACGGAGCGACAGAAAGAGGAGAAAGAGGAGGAGGAGGAGTTAGTGAGGATGGTCAAAGAGGAGAGAGGAGGTGGAGCAGGAAACGAAGGTCAGACAGAGACATGGTGACAGACCGCCGCCCCACCCTCAGCTGATCCAAGTGTCACTCAGCTCTGTCGCCGTAGAAACGCAAAGAAAAGCAGTTAAATGTTCCTTTTTCTCTTTTTCTGGGTTTCTTTGAGGATGCTTCTTTTTTTTTCTCTTTTGTTTTGACGTTTGGGGTCTTCTTGGTCGAGACGCTGCGTGGCTTTGTCCCCGTCAGGAGCTGAAACACAAACAGAGACAGAGACGCATGAGTCCAGATCTTCAGTCCATCAGAGGAACAAACTAAAACATGTGGAGGTTTGTCTTTCAGAGAAGACTCTGAGTGGAACAGACGGACGGTTCAGGGCGTTTGTTCTTCACTCACTTCTTCACTGACAGACGGTGACTGAGCTCACAGACTCTGAAGGTTCAGCTTCACTGACATCTAGTGGCGTCACGGTGGAACAAACATTTATCAGAGAGGATCTTCACGCTCAGTTTTAGTGTCAGGGTTTTAACAGGAAGAGGACGGACTGTTTCTGGTTGTGGGCGGAGTCAATCTGCATCTGAAGTTAAATATAAAATCATACGGACACGTCCCGTCCGTTCCTCCTGCTCCTGTCCCCTCTGTCCCCTCTGTCCCCTCTGTCCCCTCTGTCTGTCTCTTTATGTTTTCTTAAAAGGGTCAAACTCAGGGATGGAAACTGATAAGATTTTATCGATATCGATTCTGCATCTTGATTTGATTCTTTAACGTTCCCTTCTCTGTTTGGTTATGGCGCCGTGTTCAGGTTAGGAGAGAGGACGCCACAGACCTGTGCGTCTCAGGATCCCTGGTAGTTCTCCTGGAAACGAGCCGTTTCCTCGTAGATCAGCTCCTTCAGCTTCTCCTTGGGGAGATCGTCCAGCTCCATGGAGAACGTGAAGGGCTCCTCTGCTACCGGCTGGAACACACACACACACACACACACACACACACACACACACACACACACACACACACACACACACACACACACACACACACACACACACACACACACAGAGTATCAAAGATGGAGGTTTAACATCACTTGTCCCTGAACTTCTTGAGGTCTGATGGATCAAAATCTAAAACTCTTCTGAAAAGGACAACTGGACGTATTTTACGTCCAGTTGTCCTTTCAACGTAGAACTGGAAATCATAGATGCTGCTTCCTCAGTTCCTCAAAGTCAGATCAGGGGCTCTATTTTCATTCCTCGCCGGCGGCGTGGCATAGGTGCGGTGTAAGTCAGGTCCGCCGCGCCGACAAGGCGTTCCCAAACACATTTTGGTATTTTGGTGAGTGGCGCAGCCCGGCGTAAGTATCCCCCCTCCCTAACTCAGCTCCTCCCAGCGGCGTAAGTCGTAGAGAGGGCGTGGAGTGGGTTTAACACAGCTGAGACCTGAGATCAAGAGATGTCTGAAGAAAGCAACGCCACACAAAGCGTCAGAAGGCAGCCACCCTCCGCCACGCTGCCGGCGGGCAGGAAAACGGAGCCCCAGGTCTTTAAATAAACGTGAGGTTAACAGAGGCGTGTACCTCGTCTGTGGGGTCGTAGTACTGCTCCAGGTACGGGTGAGCCAGCGCCTCCTCCACGCTGATGCGCTTCATGGGGTTAAAGGTCAACATGCGGCCCAGCAGGTCCAGAACTGTGAGGATTTACAGACGGTTAAAGTCACACTTAGACTTAAAGAAATGATGATGATGATTAAACCGTGACTTTAGTGTTAAACTGTGAAACTTTACGAACACCTGTGGACATAAAGTGAGTGAGGTGTGTCGGACAGTCAGAGGAGGGTCTCCAGGTTCCTCTTAAAGACCCTCCTCTGGTTTTCAGAAACCTGACGTCTTATCGTACCCTTTGAATCGGCCTGGAAGATCTTCTCCCAGGGGACCTTGTCTTTGGGCGGCAGCGCCTGCAGGTAATTCCTCGCCTTCATGTTGATGATGCAGTTCAGATCTTCCTGAGACGGAGAGCCGAGGACACCTGAGGACGAGGACGGACAGACAGGAGGACATCTTTAGAGAATCTGTTTTATTCTGAAAATCTAACGTCTGAAACAGAAACAGACTGTCAGAAGGAGACAGAGAAGATCGGAGAAGATTGGAGGAGTCTCACCCAGGATCTGGTTCAGCTGGTCTAAGTAATGTTTCCCCGGGAAGAGCGGCAGGTTGGACAACATCTCCGCCAGGATACAGCCCACCGACCAGATATCGATGGACTTGGAGTAACCCTGAGACAGAAACACAGAAAAGGTTTAGAAAAGTCCTCTCTATAAGCCCCGCCTCCTCCATGTTAACAGACGGGACATGAGACAACCTTCAAAATAAAATCACTCTGTTTCTGTCGTTGAAGTTTTTACAGTTTTTACAGGGCTGCCCGGGTTTCCCACCCTGATAAAGTCCTCCGTGTTTCCATGGTAACGAGCTCACCTTCGAGTTAAGCATGATCTCTGGAGCTCTGTACCAACGCGTGGCCACGTACTCAGTCAGGAAACCCGTGTGGTCGTGCTCAGGGTCGGCTATCCTCGCCAGGCCGAAGTCACAGATCTGGAGGTCAAAGAGAAGGACAGACATATGGACACATGAAGACATGAGGGCGCCTCACAGATGACTGGGTTCATAAATCTGAATATTCATCAGTGTGGAGGAGTTGGGGCTTCTTATTCTGGCATCCTTTTTTATTTGTAGCAGTGGCGGATCTCTGTCACCGTAAAAATCAGCCGAGGTAACAGATGTTTTATTTTCCTGTAAATACGGCGGTGAAGTTAGTTTCAGGTTGGATATATTTTCCTGTAAATACGGCGGTGAAGTTAGTTTTAGGTTGGATATATTTTCCTGTAAATACGGCGGTGAAGTTAGTTTTAGGTTGGATATATTCTCCTGTAAATACTGCGGTGAAGTTAGTTTCAGGTTGGATATATTCTCCTGTAAATACGGCGGTGAAGTTAGTTTCAGGTTGGATATATTTTCCTGTAAATACAGCGGTGAAGTTAGTTTCAGGTTGGATATATTCTCCTGTAAATACGGCGGTGAAGTTAGTTTCAGGTTGGATATATTTTCCTGTAAATACGGCGGTGAAGTTAGTTTCAGGTTGGATATATTTTCCTGTAAATATGGCGGTGAAGTTAGTTTCAGGTTGGATATATTTTCCTGTAAATACGGCGGTGAAGTTAGTTTCAGGTTGGATATATTCTCCTGTAAATACGGCGGTGAAGTTAGTTTCAGGTTGGATATCTGACGGACATTCTCTGAGGATCTACCGGTGTCTTCTCACTCTCCATAACCGGGAATAACAACAGCAGCGCGGTTAAATCTACTCGACACCCTCACTGTCAACGTCGGTGTTGAATAAGGGACCGTCAATAAATTACCGGTTGATGTTCTCAGAAAAGGCTGTTTTCCTTCAATAGCTTCACTGTCATGTGACCAAAAGACCTCAAATTGATTTCTAATAACAGCACTAAGGTAAGTATGGAAATTCCACCTGTGTAGGAACCCTGTTAGATACACAATAATACAGAAACAACATGCTGCAGGTTTCATCTGTGCAGCTGAACAAATATTCAACATGAACCCGTGTTTGGTCGAGCAGAGCTCAGGTCCACTCAGACACATTCCTCAGATTCTCTTCAACCCCCCCACATAAGACTTTAACACTCTTTACAAATCCTGACGGACAGACGACACCGGCAATCCTAAACACTGGCCTACCACAAATCCATTTAAAGGGATATTCTGGTGTAAAATTAATTTAATTAATCATTTCTTTATCATGGAAATACAATCAGACCGAGACACTAAAGCAGAAGAACTACAGCGTCTGTAAAATGATTAATATGATGATTATTACTTCAAGGAAATGATGAAGAAATGATACAAACAAGCGTCTGCTGGAAGAGAGTAGGTGAGTTGTGTTTAGTCTCTTTGCTAAAGAAATGAGTCAAAGTTAAAAAGATGTTTGGTGTCTAGTACTATGTCTGTGACCCTATATGTATTGTTGATGAAGTTAGGTGCTGTTCTGAGCATTATTTGTGGCTATAGAGTGGCGTTTTGGTTGGGGGCGTGGCTCTCTGTATTTCTATCCTGCGGTCGTTACTAAAGTTGGTATAACTAGAGAAGAAAGCGGTCGACAACATTCATCTCTGGAGGGGGGGTCTAACTCAGTGTTACGGTGGGTTTGACCCTAAATTAAGTTTATGACGGAATATCCCTTTAAGTGTACGGAGTCACTTTAGTGTTTTTATAAGTTATCCGGTCCTGCTGATGAAATTCACGCATCAGCCGTGTTTTCTGCAGAGGTGATGGTCGGTGTGTGAGTGTGTGTGTGTGTGTGTGTGTGTGTGTGTGTGTGTGTGAGTGTGTGTGTGTGTGTGAGCTCACCTTGAGGTCACAGGTGGTGTTGATGAGCAGGTTGGAGGGTTTCAGGTCGCGGTGCAGCACGTTGGCTGAGTGGATGTACTTGAGGCCTCTCAGGATCTGGTACAGGAAGTAGCAGATGTGGTCGTTGCTCAACCTCTGGCTCTTCAGCAGCTTGTAAAGATCCGTCTCCATCAGAGTCTGCACGATGTAGCTGAAGAGACGCAGCGTCAAGGAGGACGACCGTGAGAGACGCCGCCGTCCACGGACAGCAGGACGAACATCGAACCCTCAAAAATCTGTCTGTTCATGAGACATTAAAGTCCTCTGATCTAAACGTTCAGAGCGGTCGTGACCATCAGCAGGAACCTGAAGGTTCTCCTTTATTTCCTGGTTATTACATTTTCCTCTCAGAGTGAAACCCACATTAATAACTTGTTGTTTACTGATTTGGTTTGAAGCCCAGCAGCAGTCGGACACTCTCGCTGCAATAACCTCAGAATCAGGTGAAACCAAACATCTCAAATGAAAAACGAGCCGCTGCGATAAATTTAGAGGCTGATCGGCGTTTTTATTGAACACGACACGACCAGATCTTTTCAGAGTCAGAGAGAAACAGAAATATTTTTAATGTGTTCATAATCAATCATCTGATCAAGCTGCAGCGAGCGTTAAAGGATACACATCCCTCATGTTGTCGATGTGCCGCGCCCGCAGGATGTCGTTGATGCCGATGATGTTCTCGTGGTTAAAGCGCAGCAGGATCTTGATCTCTCTCAGTGTGCGCTGACAGTACGTCTGGTGCTCGAATGGACTGATTTTCTTGATGGCGACGCGCTGGCTCGTCACGTTGTCCATGGCAGAGCTGGGCATGGAGGAAACAGAAACACAGGTGTCATGTTACAGTCGGCGAGAGTCGAGGAACCACGAGGGGAACAGAGACGTCTCCTCTGATCAATCAGCTGAGGAGAAAATGATCTTAAAGTTTTTTATCCTCAAAGTCAGCTAAAAATATTTTCATCAAAAACAACCGGAGTAAACTGAGCATGCTCCAGGCAACAGTGGAGGAGACTCCTGAGAGGAAGTCTGAACTCTGAACTCTGAACCAACCTGTGGGGGTCGACTCTGTTTACAAACACTAACAGGCTGCAAGGGAGGAGTCATGTGACCAGAATGACAAGACAGCCCAGAGCTGCTGCTGCCGTGCACACACACATGCACGCACGCACGCACGCACGCACACACACACACACACACACACACACACACACACACACACACACACACCTGCTGAGTTTACAGAGACGATGGAGAGATCCGGAGAACAAGAGGAGAGGAAGAGGGGAGAGGAGGAGAGTAGAGAGAGAAGAGAGGAAATGAGAGGGGAGAAAGGGAAAGGAAACAAGAGGAGAGGAGGGGAGAGAAGATGAGAAGTGGAAAGGAAAGTAAACAAGAGGAGAGAAAAGAACATGAGCGGAGAGGAGAAAAAAAGAAAGGGAGGAGGTAAATGAGGGGAGAAGAGGAGAGTAAAGGAAAGGAAACGAGAGGAGAGTAAAGGAAAGGAAACAAGAGTTAAGGAAAGGAGAGAAGAGGCCTCCTTTTAACTCTGATAATCCACCCATCATCCTCTGCGGCAGACCTGCTGCAGGATCAGGGTCCACTCTCAGACCTGAGGGTCTTTAAAGGACTAAACCTGGATCCTCAGACCCCCTCAAACTGACTCAGGTCCGAGTTTAGACCCGGTTCTCCTCAGATCCTCAGGTCCACCCTCACTCTGCGCCATCTGAGCCACGCCTGAAGCTCCGGTTAGCATGCTAACAACAACAACAACAACCAGCGGACCTGTTAGAGGACCAGGGTCCGAGTCCACGGCCCTCACAGAACCACATCCGGTCTGTTTGGACCGGACTGTTCTGGTCCCGGTTAACCCAGATTATCCTCAGATTAGACCCTCAGATTTAGACTCACCAGACCATCCCGTAGGCTCCCTCCCCGATGTAGGACAGGTTGGTGTACCGGGGGCCCACGTCAAAGTTCTGACCCTTCACGGTCTCGGTCTTGGTCGGTACCGCCGCAGCAGCGGTGCTCGGACCGTCGGCCGCAGTCTTCCCCGCCGCCCCGGCAGCAGCAGCAGTTGCCCCGGCCCCGGAGGAGGGCTCGGCCCCGGCCGCTGCGGAGCTGCTGGAATCCGCCATTCAGAGACTCAGGGACGGACGTCCGCCGCTGTCAGCCCGGAGCACCGACGGAGGGACAGGGACACACCGACAGGAACACACCGACAGGGAGGTTCAGTTCACGGGGACAGACTCGGGCTGGGCCTCACCGACCGGACACTAAATGGATTTCGTGCGCGAGCGCGGATTTGGTCTCAGCAGTGAGCGTAAATGCGCGTGCCAAACTACGGTAACACACACGCGCTTCATTTGTCTACCGGGGTATTTGGACGGGCGGGGTCTTATCAGCAGGCACGAGGCACCGCCCGCTCGGATTGGTCATGACAATTAAACAAGCGCGAGCCTGCAGGATAAACACGCAGCAGACACGAGTGGGCGTGTCGAGGGGGAGCTCCACGCTGCCTGTTAAAACACGAAAAATACACGAAATTATCCGGTTGGAGTTGAACTTTAACCCTAAAACTCCAACATCAGTAACAGCATCACTGTTCTTACCTTTAAATGATATAACCAAGAAAAAGTCAAATATATCAGGACAAAACATGATAAATTAAAGTAGATTTCTTTGATCTTTAAATGTCCAAAGTGACATGAGGGGACCATATAAAAATACAACAAAATAACTGAAATAAGACAGATTTAGACAACAAATATCTAAAATAAAATTAAATAAATTAATATATCAACTGTAAACTTAGTTTCTCCCCCCCCCCATTCCTGGGGCATGTCATAATAATAATAATAATAATAATAATAATAATAATAATAATAATAAAAATAATAAATTAATGTACAGATCAAGATTAAAACAAACTGAATTAACAGGATAGTTTCGTAGAAAAAATAACAAAAAATATATAATTTTCAGATTATTATTTCGTTAATTAAAAAAACATTCTTGAGTTCAGTACTTTTTTATTATTTTACTATTTTGTGTTGTATATAGCATACACATTGTATATTGTTAAACTGTAAACATATTATATATTTGGATTATCTCTTTATTTTTACGTATTTTATCTCTTATTTATCTCCTCTTACTACTTTATTTGCACCGGAGTTACAGATTATTTAAGTATTTCTGATTCTGATATTTTTATGTAATTTTTATTTTTTGTGTTGTTTTTTTTTATTGTAATTTAATCAAAACAGAGAAAAAAACATCACCTTGTTTCTTCTTGGATTAATTTTTAATAATTTATTCATAAACTCGTTTTTTAAAGATTCATCTAAAGAAATGAAACAAGATGTCGGAAAGGTTAGCGCAATAACAGGATTTAATCACCATGGAAACGACAGCCGTAACCGCACCCCTCTGCTTGCGTCATGACGCCGGGCGGTGGACTTCCTGGTTACAGTGCGGCTGCATGTTGTGTTTTGGATTGATTGATCGGTTTGAGGTAATGGTTCATTTTCTCCTCAGGTCGAACTGGATCGGCAAGATTCGTCTCACGCTCACTCTCCTCGGACTCCCGTTGACCGTCTGCTCCCCCGGACTGAGGTTTGGACCGGAACCATCGATGATTATAGATATATAACGAGTTAGAAGCTGCATGATCGTTAGAGTAGAGAGTTTAGATCCAGAGAGGAGAGTGAAAATGGAGACAGGGGGAGTCTGAGACAGATTAAACTAAAGACAGATTTAACTTTATGTTTGGATCCAGCTGACTCTTTTAGTATTATTATTGTTACAATTATTTTATTATTTTTATTATTATTATATTAGATATAAAATCAAACTTCATGTAGAAAAATCAACATGAGCTAAAACTGTTGGTCAGATTTGACAGATGATACTGATGTGGACCGGGTTCTGGAGGGTTCTGAAAGGTTCTGGTTCCTCCTGTTTTCTCATGAGGCGCCGGAGTGAAAGCAGTGCATGCTGGTTGTTGTTGGACCGACCCGCTGCAGAGAAAGCAGAGTCTGATGTTTGTCTGGTGTTCCTCCTCCTGCAGGTCCACCCTCACCTGTTCCTCCTCGTATCCCTTCAGATCCAGTCAGACCATCAGACCCGTCTCCTCCAGCCTCTGTAACCTCTACCTGACCAGCGTTCGGACCATGCCGTCCTCTGCAGCGCCTCATGTCAAGTCCAGGTGCCCTCAGTATCCCGGGTCTAAAATCAAGCGCTTCGTGGTCCCTGATGATAAAGTGGACTGGGGTCAGAGCTGGCCTCAGTATAGTCCTGTCAGCCACACTGACCCGTCGGTTCTGAAGAAGCCGGTGTGGGCTGACCCTGATATCGGGTGAGTGACACTTATATTTCCTGGTCTGTTTCAAAGACGCTGTTTGTCCTCAGAGTCGATTCTTCCCGTCCTGATGTCCTCGAGGGTCAGTTTTTAAATCCTGGTCCTAACTTTTAGAGCTCCACATGGTCAGGCTCCATCTTTATGATCTGATCCAGCCTTACACCCCCCCTCGGGCTCTGAGGTCCGTGGATCAGAATCTGCTGATGGTTCCGTTCACTCGTTTTCGGACCAGAGGAGACCGATCCGTCCAGGCTCCTTTAACTCCAGCCTGATTTATCTGCTCAGGCGTTTGTTGAACGGTTTTTGGGCTGATGTGACTCTTTAATGTTGTTGTCTTGGCCGAAATAAAGTTTACTCACTTCCTTCCTTCCTCTGCTGGTCTGCAGCTCCTTCTCTCCTCAGTTCAACGCGGTGGACGGCGGCGTGGACAGGACCAGCTTTGACGGCAGCTACAAGAAGGAGAAGGGAAAGCCGCTGTGAGTTACAGAAAACTTATTATTATTATTTATCAAACTGTTAAAGCTCACAAACCATCGTCTCCACAAGTCGTCCTTCAGGTCGTTATCTTTGTAATGTTCTCTGACACGGAAACAATCAGCCGGTCGGCCATGTTGGATATACCGGTAAATCTGAAGGAAAACAGACGCTGCATTAAATATGAGTGTCAGAGAAGTTCCTGAGTGAAGCTTTAACACTAATGTACACAGATGTTAGGATGACGGTTAAACAGCTTCAGAGATGGTTTAACAGGCCCGACCCGAGACCAGAATCTCTGCTTTAAGTGGTTTTAATGGATCGTAGATGAACAACAACCACAGAGAGTCCAAACCTTTATAAAGACAAACTAAAGGAGCCTGTTGGTTCATTTACTGTTGATGTTTGATTTTGATTTTTGCCTTTAATGAACATTTTAAACTGTCAGGACGAAGTGAGCGCCGAACCGGGTCAAAAAACCAGGAATGGTAGAAAGTGATCAGGGGTCAGAGGTCAGATTACATCATAAATAGCTGATTGTTCGGGTTGTTAGAGGGCAAAGGTCACAGTAAAAGTCTGCGGTTTATCTGAGACTCAGTGAGAATCATGGATTTGACTCGTCCTCAGACTGTCCCGGATTAGTTTTGACCAGTTTGATTATTTATTCATTCATGTTCAGTTTGTTCATTTCAGTGTTTAATGGAATAACGTGTATCATGGACTCCTCTGTGAATCTTTACACACAGTCTGTGAACAAACAGGAGCAGGATGAAGAAGAGCTCTGTACCCGCCCCTTTTTAATAACAACAGGAAGTACCGTTAATACCAAACCAGGCAGCTAACCAATCAGTGATCATCGTTTCTGCCCACAAATATCGTCAATATATTAGTTCTTTATATTGATCAACGTTATCCAGATCATTTCACTGTTTTATCTTCAGTTTATTTTGTGAATTTTACGTCTTCAGCTCCATTTTCTGATCGCACTTTTATTTACCCAGAAATCCTCGTGGTCGCACCGGAGTGACCGGCAGAGGTTTGTTGGGACGCTGGGGACCGAATCACGCCGCAGATCCCATCGTCACCCGGTGAGTTTGACCCTGAACGCAGAAACCTGAGAACCATTTTTAATAAGACAGAAAATCAGGTGAACATGACTGATGACCTGATGTTTCTCATCGTCGTTCAGGTGGAAAGTCGACGCCAAAGGAGCGAAGATGAACCACCCCGTCTCCAAACGGCCCATCCTGCAGTTTGTGTCCATCAAGAGGAAAGACTGTGGGGAGTGGGCCATTCCTGGGGTGGGTGACTTTCATATGTTCTATAATAATCTGGGTTGGTTTTAGTCCTGTGTGTAAAAATGTCCCTCCTCTGTTTCCGTAGGGGATGGTGGACCCGGGGGAGCAGGTGTCTCTCACGCTGCAGAGGGAGTTCTCAGAGGAAGCCTTAAACTCACTGACTCTCCCGCAGGCAGAGAAAGCCAAAATCCACGAACGCATCACCAAACTCTTCAAATCCTCGGGGTTTGTGGTCCGTATCAGACGTCGTCCTCCATGTTTACTGTCTCGGTTTCATCCACAGGTGATCGTCCCCGCTGAGCTGAACCTTCTCTGTGTCTCTGTCAGGTCTATAAAGGCTACGTAGATGATCCCAGAAACACCGACAACGCTTGGATGGAGACAGTCGCCGTGAACTTCCATGATGAATCAGGTGAAGATGATGTTTCTCCTCTTACTTAAAGATGCTTCAGCTCCTGAAGGATGAACAGGTTTATTCCAGGGCTAAAAAAAGGTCCTTTCTCCCTCTCTGATCAGGTAACAGTGTGAGCGAGCTGCCTCTGCAGGCCGGAGATGATGCCGGACAGGTCAAATGGGTCGACGTTGACTCGTCCTTCCCGCTCTACGCCAGTCATTCCCGTTTCCTGGAGCTGGTGTCCAAAGAGAGGAAAGCCCACTGGTAACCAGTGAGGAGAGACTCTGACCCACCGATGAAGGAAACAAGAGGAGCCTCAGAGCTCTGCGTGTGCTCAGACGCTTTCGCAGTTCGCATGCCTGACACTTTATAAACCCTGACCCTCACTAACAAGCGCAGGTAGGATAATACACCTCATTAGTTAGACGATCACAGAGTGTTTTCATGTAGACAGAAATAACGGACAGGAGTGAATCTTGAAGTTTTTTTTACCCCGACAGAAGCAGGAAGCAACATTTTCCAGTTTTCTGTCACAGAAGAATAAAGACGTTAACTTCAGCGAACAGAAACAGCAGTATTATATTTTTACAAACAGGAACTCTCTTCATGTTAAATATATGAGAGTCACACAGATATTTGCCCAACAGGATAGAAACTCTGGTGATGATGTTTAATCATGAACCTGACTGAACACAAACAGACTTAATATTGATGCTCGAACCTTCAGGAAGTGGAGACCTCACAGAGAAAGACTCCATCAAATCATCTCCACGTCAGATCTTAGAAGCAGCTTTCAGACACGCCCTCATGACAGGATGATTGTTCCTGTGAAGGTGCAGACAGGAGGAGTGTGTGTGTGTGTGTGTGTGTGTGTGTGTGTGTGTGTGTGTGTGTGTGTGTGTGTGTGTGTGTGTTTTAAGAAGCTTTACTCTTCATACATAACCATAATCTTCAGACTCTACACACCCTCAGCGCTGGGCCAGTACCGGTTCTCCCAGTCCAGTCTCCAGTTTGTCTCCTGACACTTTTACAGCCTCAGTTTTCAGCTGTTGTCACTCTGGGGAGGATTTACTCTCTAAACTTCTCAGCTGTAGTTGAAAACTTGACGCTGGTCAGGAAAATCTCCTTTAGTTTGAATTTTCTCTTCAGTATGCCTGAAGTAACTTTGGCCTTTCTCACAGACAAAGACAAGAAGAAGTGATGGATGAAGACGTGATCTTTTAATTTAGGCAGAGTTTTCTTTAAGGCTTTGCAGCTTGCACTGAAATGTTTTTAAATGTTTTCACGTTGAACCCTGAAATAGTCCTGAACCTTCATTTAACACCAAAGTGTCTGATTTCATGTTTTTCTCTGTTTTTGATTTGAGATGTGAAGTAATTGATCGGTGCAGACCTCACCCTAAAATAAATGTGTCTCCTTCAAGTGTTCATCATGTGTTGTGTTGTTATTGTCTTGAAGTACATTTAGCATCTCAGCTGATTCAGTCTTTCACACTTAATTCAAACCTTTAGATCTGATGCTCTCTCAGCATTATCGGCTCCTTTTTATCATGATGAAGGAGAAACTACTGAAGTTATTCAACTGCAGATAAAAACCACACAAACATCTATCCAGTAGAGTTAAAGGACTGACTGACACCTCCTTATGTATAATACACGGTCTAGTTTGTAATCATTCACTAAATTCAGGGTTATGTTTCTCCTGCAGACCCTGAACCTCACAGATACTCATAAAACTGACATTTTACTGCAGTTTTGTCCTCATAGAAATTTCCATTTTTTACTTCAGTGCAGATCAGGTATGAGGTCAAAGGAAAAATGTCATGGACTAGTCCGTACCTGCCAACATTTGGGTTATAAAATCCGGGCAGTTTTGGGTTCCTTGTCTGGTGGATATGAGCTCATTAAGAGAGTATTTGTAATTAGATTACTCATTCAAATAAGTGAAGCTGCACACGTTTGTTCTAACAATAACAAATGTAGACAAAAAAGAAATCATAGCTATGATATGACTTGAACTTATTTAGTCCACTAATACTCAGTGAAGTTTAAAAAGTTCATCCAGACTTTTACATCCTTAATTTAGTCACAAATAAAGATCTACATCAGTTTGTTTAAGGTTTCTAAAGCATGCTTGTTTTTACTATTTGGCTGGTCAGACGCCTGCTTGATATTCATGTAGAAAAAACTACATTTCCCGAAAGCCTTTGCGAGAGGGAGAGACGCTTTATCCGGCGACGTGGCTGAGTTACGTCCCCGTGTTTGTTTGAACGGACCGGGGTGATTCAAACAGACACACCGGCTTTGTCCGTGTGAAGTTCAGGGAGCTGCGGGTTTTTGGTGCTTCTGAAAGTCTCTGCTTCAGTCTGAGATCTGTCCTTATATCCGAACATGTCTGGGAAAGTGAAGAGCCGAAGTGCCGCGAACGCAGAGTCGATATCAGGAGGAATATCCTGCGATGAACGGATCCTGAGGGACTGTCACCAACTCTACACGGACCCTGACAGCGGTGAGAGGCTCTAGAATCAGTTATCTCATTTATTCCTGAGAGTTTTTTTCCTCTAAAGTGACATTTTAAACGATCATATTTACATATGTGTGTGTTTGCTGACCGAGGTGATCTAACTGACTCTTTCAGGCTGTAATCCCTGATGATGGCGGGCTAACGGTTAGCTAGCTCAGCACCAAATCTTCAGTTTTCTAACCGGCGTCAATGTTTGTGAAATTAACGATTTAAAGACGTGGAAGAAAAAAGATAAAGTGTTCATAACATAATGATCTAACTACGGTACGACAGGGTTTAGTTCTGTAGTTTATAGTTGAAGAATTTAATGTAGTCTGTGACAGGAGACTAAATGATGTGTTCAATGTCCCTCGGATCTTTTCATTTCTTCAGTGAAATTTTTAACGATATCGCTGTGTTCACACAAACTCTAGATTTTAGTTACTTTAAAAAACTGTTTTATTTAAGTCTTCAAAACTAATTTAATAAATCCTCCGTGGACAGAAACGGACGGAGAACCTGATGCTGTATTAGAAATGTTAAATGAGCTTCAAATTAAGATTGAAGTAAAATTTCCGATTATTTAGACTCACGTAAACGCAGGGCGAGTTTCAGTCATGACTTTGTCTCACTGCGTTCCTATATTTAATACAGATAAATATAAATACTGTGTTAAAATACCCGGGCTTCTTTTCATGTTACTGTTATAATCTTACTTTTAATAACGTGGTTTAACTCACTTTAAAGACGAGTTCAGTTTCCAGAATCATACTTTAGGATGGCAAACAAAAAGACGGCCCCACCGATTTATCGGCGAGACGATTAAATCGGCCAATTTTAGCCCGTTTGAGACTAATCGGTAATCGGCCAAAACTCGTCGATATTTTCAGAAATAAAATGCGGAGAATAAGATTCAGTTTCACTTGGAAAATGTTCGGCCATTTGAAAAGTTCCCCGACTTATCCTGTAGATGGCGCTACAGTGACCTCATGCCAATCTTCATGCTGGTCTCGGTCACGCCGAGTTAACGCTGAAGCACCATGGGATATGAAGCTAACGTTAGAGTTAGCCACCTGCTATTATCCTTGCTACACTGTTAGCCGTGTCAGTAACGGTAGAATAAACAACAGTACACATTAGTGATGGAGCGACTTCTCTGACTGAGGCAGCTGCATGTCTCCAGGTGAGACCGGACCGGAAATGAGGAACGTGAGATAAGACTCGGAGGTCCTATAATTGATCCTATAATTAACTCAGAGTTCATTAATAATCTCCAACCCTGAGCCTGGGGATCTTGTTCTCACCTGTCTGATCCGAGTCCTCCTGAAGTTTGACTCCACCCTCTCTGGACAAAACCAGCAGCATCACCTGTGAGTGAGTCATCAGCGATCACCGTCTCCTCTTTGTTTGTTCAGGGCTGATCTCGATCGCCGAATCCGTCGGTGTGAAGCTGCTGCCGCCCAGGAAGAAAATCACGGTGATGCTGATGGGAAACCACTCTGCTGGGAAGAGCTCCTTCATCAACTGGTAAGTGTGGATTCACTGGGACTGTCCCAACAGCTGATCTGCAACAAAAACACAAAAACGATCAAAGAACGATCACGCTCTCGATCACGCTCTCCTTCTGTCACCTGTTCACTTTGAAATGCTGTGTTTGTCATCAGGTACGTTGAAGAGCACATCCAGCGTACGGGAGTGGCCATCGAGACGCAGGGCTTCAGCTTTGTGACGAGCGGACGCAAGAGAGAATCTCTGACAGTGAGTGAATCAGTCGGCGTGTTAACATGATGAAAACTGGACTTTAAATATAGATATAAAAATGTTAGTCTGACCAAAATAACATGAAGTCACATGTCTCAGAGTCCCACTAACACGTCTAACTAATGCTGTTACTACGGCGATGAAACACGGACCAACAACACACACGCCGCACACGCAGAAACGACTCCACTTCAAAAACACGTTTAAAGGAGAACGGAGAAACTGTTGGAGGTCGTTCAGAGTTAATTTTGTTCAGTTTTTACGCTGAAACCTCAGTGAGAAAGTGAAGTTAGTCCATCTCTGTGATCTCAGAGCTGCAAAGATCCTGATGACTGACTTCTTCAAACCCTCAGACTCTGTTTGTTTGGTGTGTTTTCAGGGAAACGCCACCCTCCATCTGTACCCACACTTCAAACCTCTGCAGGAGTTCAAAGGTGAGACCTCCGCTCTTCAACACGGTCTCTCTTTGTCTCTCTTATCTGATCCACTCACCGACTCTGAGTCCTCAGATTTTAGGAGAGATCTTATTTAGTTTGAGGTCTTGGTTCCTTGGTCCAGCAGCCTCTGAAGTCCAGTTATCGTGTTTGTTTGCAGGTGTGTCTGAGTACCTGAGCACTGAGATCTGCACGTCCAGACAGAAACGGTTCAGCCTGGTCACGTTTGTGGACTCTCCGGGGTTGGTGGACGGAGACATGAAGTATCCTTTCGATGTGGACGAGGTTCTCCTGTGGCTGGGTGAGTTTCCTCTGCAGGAGGACGTCTGTATCTGAGAGACATTTGTGTGACATTTGATAAACGCTGCTCCTCCTCTCCAAGGTGACCTCTGTGACCTGATCCTGGTCTTCTTTGACCCCATGGGTCAGGCTCTGTGCAAACGAACCCTCAACATCGTGGAGAGCCTGAATGAGACACACGGAGACCGTCTGCGGTTTTACCTGAGCAAAGCTGACGAGGCGGGAGGAGAGTCTGACAGACAGGTACGCAGAAACCTGAACCAGGTCTGAGGGGGTTAAAGTAATGAATCCATGAAGCAGAGGGTGATTTATTCTAATTCTTTGTTCTTCTCCTCGGTGTCAGAGGGTGATGATGCAGATCGTTCAGGAACTCTGCAAACGACCAGGACTCAACAAATGTGGGTTTGACATGCCCACCATCTACATCCCCAACCCCAACAAGGTCAGATGGGACTCCGGTTTTTCCCCCCCGTCACTCTGCTCCTTTTACAAACTCTTTTCATGGACTTTGATTCTTCTTCTCTGTTCCTGTTTTCAGCCGAGTCGCTGCGTGAACCAGATCGAGGAGGTTTGCCGCACCATCGAGAAAACCATCAACCAGACGGTCCAGAACACGCTGAACTCTCTGGAGAAGGACTGTGAGCTCATCAGCGAGGCCATCACAGACACACTCTTTCAGGACAGGTAACACACACACACACACACACACACAAACACACACACACACACACACACACACACAGGAGATTTCAGGAAGTATCTGACTTGGTGTCGTCGGTCCTGTTCGCCGCTCTCACAGCTGATCATCAAACACTGATGTTTAAAGCCGAGGAGTTGGTGAACAGTTCCAGTCCCTGTGTTTGTGAGTCTAACCCCCCGACCTCCACCTTCATCCTGATCGTCTCCTAAAAGGTCGTATCCTCCGATCGTAGCTGATCGTAACCATTCAAGTTAACGTGTCAATTTACACCGACTTCTTTCCGTTCCTCTGCGGATCGCCGGACTCCTCAGCATGAAGAGTTCTATTTTTTCTGGACGCCGGAGCATGGCGGATAAATTCAGCACAGATTAACCCGTGCTGGAAAGGAAGTCGGGCACAGACACAAAATAAAACATCCGGCTTCTTTTCAAAATAAAACACTCCGTGTTTCAGGAGGATCGTATTTCACACCATGCAAACGGGCGGAGATGAACAAGTGAAAGGTTTTTAGACGTCATTTCACCCCGATGACACCATGGATGAGGAGATGCTGATTCTAGAAGTCTAGAAGTAGATTTCCTCCTCTGGAAGGACACAATCTACTGCTTATATGTCTATGTGTCTGTCTTAAGAGAGACAACTCGTTATCGTGAGATTGAACGTGAATCTGCAGGTTTTTCTGAGTTCTTGCGATTCCTGCTGTCTGTAATCCACCATGAAATCCGCGTCACAAACGGATCCAGTAGGAAATGGCGTACAGCGAAATGGCTGCCATTCTAGATGCGGTGAAAATCCCGGGTTTGTGTTGAGGAGCATGAGGACCTTCTGAAAAACAGGCCAATCAACAGGCGTAAATGTAGTTCAGGATCTTGTGGTTTCAGGGGTGGGACTGTGGGGTTTGAACCTGCGTCTCGTCTCTCTTTTAGACAGACCACTTCTGGAAACAGATGCGCTCGCTGTAAAAGCTGCTTCCTGACTCTGCTGGGCTTCAGCGTCCCTCTGGCTCTGATGGCCTTCCTGGTGCTGGGCTCCCTGTCCCGGGAGCTGATGGAGATGGCTGTGGGCCCCCAGGGTACAGAGGCACTCTCAGTCTACATGGTGAGTCCCGCAGGAGTCCATGGTTAAAGTCTAGTCCAGATGTGGATCCTGACTGTATCTTCTGTTTGGATCCTCAGGCCCCTGCAGCCAAAGTCTTCGACTCGCTCTCCGTGGAGCAGCAGCTCTACAGCTGTGCCGGACTCGTCTTCCTCTCCTTCCTCCTCCTCCTCGTCTCACACTTCTGCTTCAGGTATCAGCTCCAGCGTGAACTTCTCCTCTGGTCTGAACTGCAGTGAAGAAGTCGTCTCGTTTGTGACTTCTTTGTTTGATTCTTTGCAGAACTCTCCCGACTCTGTCTGGCAAACAGAAGAGGCAGCTGCAGGAGAAGGTGGAGTACGTGCAGGAGGTGGTCAAGACTAAAAAGGTGTGTTAGTGAAGGCGGAGTTTAAGCAGCTCTTCACTGGAACATGAACATGATCACAAAAACCTGATTTCCTGTTTTCTCTCTGCAGAAGAAGCTGTATGAAGATTATCTCCGTCAGAGCGTCAGCGATCAGGACATGAGCCTGTAAAGACCGTCAGACTCGTCTCCGCACATATCTCTCTCTCTCTCTCTCTCTCTGTTTGTTTTTTTTTGTTTTTTGTTTCTCCGGGACAGATTTCACCTCCGACTCTAACTGTGACGGTCTATTTGTTTTAGAAATAGACGAACGGCGTTGGTTCGAGCGCAGATTTCTACTTTTTTATTTGAAGCAGACACTCAGGAACGTGTCTGCTGACTCCTCCCACCTCAGTAAAACATTCCTGTACGGTTAGCTATCAATGTGTGCACATAACTAATGCATCACTTTCTTAGCTGATGATTAAATCTGCAGATATTTTACACCTGCTGTTACTAATCATGAGGTTTTTTTGACTGATATCAACATGAAGCACTCTCACACAGACGTGAGGATTCCTCTCCCAGCACTTCAGCCTCTGCAGCGGCACCTCCGATACTGTGACACCTGTTACCTGTCAGACGCTCTCTCACACGCACACGTACAGACACACACTCTACATAAAGACTCGTCTTGTGTTACTGATCCGTTTGTTGTTGTAAAGGTTTATTTTCGTGTTTACTCCGTGCCTCTGGATAAAAACCACTTTGAATATTTAAACTATTTATGATAAACTGTATTTTGGTCCGACGGCACTGTTACATGAGTCACTTTGTACTGAGACTTTCACCAGCATTTTCTACGGATTATCATGAATTTCAGATTTTTTCTTTATCATTCAGTAAATGATCAGGAAAAGCTCATATGTAGGTTTTTAACATTTCTCCTGTTACTGAAGGAAACCAACCTTTTTATCAGCCCAGGTTTTGTACTCTCTGCTCCACATTGTGACAATGTTTTAATGAAAACAAACTTCAATAAATAAACTCTTCAAATGTTTAAAACACTTGTCTTTATTTTTTAATAAGAACAAAAAAATGTCACTATTCTGAGGTTTTAAGTGATTTTTTGGGATGTTGTTTTTGTTTTTACGAAGCTGTCAGGAAATCAGATTTTTTTACAGTCAGTAAAATGTTTTAAGAATTTTATAAACTTAATTTTTTTGCCATGTTAACTTTTTAAAAAATATATTCGTAGGATTCGTAAAATATTTACTAATTGTTTAATCGAACATTTTTTCATTACTCCCATAAAAACAACCCCAGCCTTCAATATAAGTAACAAGTGCAGTATACTTACTACTGCAGTTATTTTAGATACAAACAGTGCAATATAGTATATATTTTTGTAACATATATATTTATAATCTTAATATTTATCTTTCCTATTCTTGGATATAGTTTTCGTTGCACTTTTTTTATCCGGCACTAGAGGACTTTATCTTGTTTATAGTCTGTATTTTTTTTTCTTCCAACTATTTTTGTTCTTTTAATTCTGTCTGTTTTCTTTTTTCATCTATTGCGCTGAAAATGTTGAGGCTCTCTGATCTCGTTGTACCTCCAGTATAATAACAATAAAGGCCGTTCTGATTTCTTTAATAATTTATTGAATTTTGAAGCATCTCCAGGATCATCTTTACTGTGAAATGTTTTTGCATTTGATTAAACATTTTTATATTTAGTTAAATTCTTAAAGCATTCTCCAAAATGTTTTAAAAATTAACCCTCAGGGCCACCGTACCTCCTTATTTGGAATATAAACTCACAAAACCAACATTTCTCATTAAGGTAATTGATCAGTTTAAACCCTGAACAGATTTGAGAGTCTCTAAAACATACAGAGATTAAATCTAAAGGCAGTAAATCAGCCAAACAAACACAAAAAAACAGGTAAAAACAGTCAGAAAGTGGTTCAAAATGTGGTTCAGGGGCCTCTAGGGGTCAGCAAACAGAGACTATAACATCGAACAATCTGAGTGTGTAATCCTGTGAATTAGCTCTGAAATGGAAATTTTTGTGCAGTTTTTCAGTCAAAACTGTCAAATTAAAACAGGAAAGAGAGAAAGGCATGCACGAACAGGAAGGAGGTTGACGTCATTTCCGCAGGCTTAGACCGGGGAAAGTAGTTTCCTGAGGCTGACACCCCTCAGATAATCTCAGCACTAAAAGACACACCTGGATTATTCTAACATCATGATTATTCCAACGACATGACCTGAATCTAACGTTTCTGGAACCTTCGTTGGTGTTTCTGTTTCTGTCGGACAGTCTGATGTGAAGATGAGTGAAGATTCAGGTACTTTAAAGTCTCTCTGTGTTAAACTTTAACCTGTTTTATGTCAGGATCCCTAACGTGATTGGCTGTTCGCTGTTTTTAACTCTTTCAAACATGTTTTTATGGTCAATATTAACGGAACCTGTTGCACGTCGTCAGTGTGGCTGATGCTGCGTTCATGGGCTTCGTGATGCTCGAAATTCTTAGTTACGAAGACTCTCTCCCTCTCCTGAGCCATATGTCATTGGTTAGAAGAGATTAAAACACAGTAGAAAGAAAAAATAACACTTTCTTTTAAAATACAATATAAGCATCAAATCAGTTAGTCATTTTCCCATCACTTTTACATTTGTTTAATCAGCTTGAGTGCCTTTCACCTTATGTCCACCGAGAGTGAATTTCTCCGATTATTTCTTGATCACGTGAACGCGGGCCGACTAACGGGATGTTTGAGTTAAACGGTAAACAAAGACGGTTTTAATTAAAGTAAACATGAATATTTACTGAAACATTACTCTGGATTTTGATCTTAAACTAACTGTTGAAAAAGTTGATCGTAAGAAAACCGTTTAATAACGAGTTAGCCTTTAAAATGAAGACGTTAGCCGCCAGCTAAGTCTGTCTTTGTAAATAACTTTAGTATCGCGATAATATCAAACCTGACGATAATACTACCTGACTTTGACTTCATGTTTATTTACTTCTCTGTTTGACTCAAAGACCTTTTCCTAAAGCACTGAAATATCATAATTATATGTTTTGTCTTTATTTAGTTCAGTATTTGTCAGTGATAGGATAGAAGTTATACGATGCGATTATACGAACGATGCGGAACATTACGATAAGGTCCAGCGATGGACCGAGTAACTACATTTCATTTTGATTAAACAGATGAATGTGACAAAGTTTTACACAAATTACAGAAAATAAAGGATAATCGAACATTTAAAATACTGTGAAACAGTGAAGACACATCGTGAGAGTCAGTCTGCTGAGTGCAAACAACAGCCAACAGAGTAAATACTGCTAAATACTGGTATGAGCTCTTAAACTTTAGCAGAACAGCCAACAGTCTGCTGTAAAATCCACTGGCTTCGTGAGACCAGCAGCTTTCCAGTCGCCATGGTGACCGGCTCCTAGCGTTACGCTCTAGGACAGAGCGCCACAGGAGGTCCTTTCTTCCAGCAGCCGTCAGACTGTTTAACAAAATCTGAGTTGAGGACCTGTTCACCTCAGCACTATATACGTATTACACTACTGCATTTATTACATACTGGTTTATACTGGTTTATACTGGTTTTAACAGATTTAACTGTACTTGGCTGGTCTGCAGAGGTGCACTTGTTGTTGTTGTCTTTGTTAGTGTACTGTATGAGTCTGTGAGTGGAACAACCCCTGAATTTACCCATCTACCTACCTATCTGTCTGTCTGTCTTTCTTTTCAGCTGATAAACTGGACAGTTGTACTGTCACATGGAGTAAATCTGTTTGTTTTCCAGAATTTCAGCTGAAGTATTCGGTTGTTTTCACTGAACTGACCTTGTCCTACTCGTGCAGATAATCAAAGATAATGTTCAAACCTATTACAGAGCTGTCAGGCCTGTTTTTGTTCAGCCTACAGAGCAGCTCCACCAGCCTGCCTCATGTAGAACCAGTGAGGTGGACAAACATGCGTCTTTACCTAGACTAGATGAATAACTGTGAGCAGTAAATCGGAGTTACAGGCTGCAAAGTTCCCTCATGTATCAGATAAACTTCTTCTTATCTGTCTGGGAGGTGTTTAAAGCTCTCTCAGTAACTTCACCTCTCTGTTTATATGACTCCAGCTCTCTTGATGCAAACGTCTGTAAACAATGATGAAAACCTGTTTGTCCTTCTCAGACACCAGCCTTCAGGCCCAGCTAGCCGAGTGCCGAGCTCAGGTCGAACACTGGCAGGGCGTGGCGACGATCTGCGAGCTGAGCAAACAGGAGGAACTGGCAGAGCTGCAGAAACAATGTGACCAAGAGATCCAGTCTCTACAGGAGGCTCTGAGAGGTGAGTGTGTTTGGTTTATCCATGATCTCTGTTCACACGCTCAGGGGTGTTTTTGTGTCCTCGTTAAGAAGAAGAATAAATCAGAGCGTGGAGAGTTCGACTCGGTGTCACTTCTGAGACGTTGTTTTGTAAAGAAGGACTCAGGAAAAAGGAAGAGCTGGGAGAGAGAGGCAGAGAATGTCGGACAATGACAGAGGAACGACTCATACTCAACACAACTGTAGATCCAACATGTAGTTTAAAGTATTAACAGGAAGAGACTCTTTATGGATCAGATACAAACATTAAAGTCTGAAGATGTTTGTTCAAGATTAAAGCAGCAAAGACGCTGACTCAGCAGTTTTCCTTTCAGAGACTAAAGTCCTCACTGGGAACCTGAACGTGTTTCCATGTTTCTGAGTAAATTCAATGTTACTGTTCATGTTTTAGACTCCAGAAATACAAACACAGGTTAGTTTTGACAGAAGCCCTTAAACTGGATCTGTCTTTAAAAAGTTCATAAATCAGGTTTTAAAAGAGGAACTGAAACATTCGACCGTTTTCAAGATTTCACTGTAACTTTCTGTTTATGAAGTTTCTAAAGATCGTCTCCTAAAGACATGAACTCTCCGGATCACTTTGATGAGGGTTAAAGCTGCTGTAGGGAACTTTTAGCTCGCCTAGTTTTTCCTGGCGCCCCCCTGTGGACAGAGTAACACCTGTTATTGCTCGGCCTGGACATGAATTTTGTCTCATCTTGTCTTTTACCTACGAACTGTATCGCTCACTGTGAGGACTCGGGGTAAAAAGGTCTTCCCCAGGATCCGTCTTTTTCCCCCGGAAAGTCGCAAAATCACATCGGCCTTGATGTGTTTAGTCAGGCGCGTCAAAACTCACCTCCGAATATTTCGTAATTTCACGTTCTGTATTGGCGTCAGCCCCGGTGTGTGAGGACCTTAAAGGTAAATATGTTGTTAAGCCTCTCTGCGTCGCTCCTCCTCATGATTTCATGGTCCTGATTTACCTCTCTGTGTTTCAGAGACTGCGGCGCAGTATGAGGCTCGTATTTCTGTCCTTCAGTCTGTGGAGTGGAGGAGAGCCAGCGGTCAGCTCATGGTCAGTGTTCACCTCTGAGGTCGTCTGTCTGTTATTGTCTGTGATGATCTGGAGGAACTTCAGGTGGACTCGGTCTTCAGGCGTTTTGTTTCTCTCTCCGTCAGATCGGTGGAAGGAAACACAGGATGGATCCAGAAGTCGTCAGTAATGATTCCCAAACCCTGAACAGTCTAACAGAGTTAGAGGCGGCGTCATCTGCAGACAGGAAGCAGGCCGAGTTAGAGGCAGCGGAGGGAGACGCGGCGCAGCTGACATCGGACGGTTATTTTTCCCTGAGGAACTGCGACTCGGCGTCTTTGTCCTCCTTCTCCATGGACACGCCGTCTCTGCCCAGAAAACTGCACGCTCAGGACGACACCGACTCTCTGGTCTCCACGGGAACCCTGGTGCCTGAGGCCATCTACCTGCCGCCAGCGGGACACCGACTGGTGACACACGGAGACTGGGACGCCCTCAACGCTCAGGTGAGGATGATAACCTGACAGTTCTTTATTCTGTCATCACAACATGAGGCCGAGCGAGTGTTTCCAACGAGTGTTTCCAACAAGTGTTTCAGACGTTTGTTTCTAAACGAGTGTCTCTAACGAGTGTTTCTGACGAGTGTTTCCAACGAGTGTTTAGGACGTGTGTTTCTAAACGAGTGTTTCTGACGAGTGTGCGGTCTGTTGCTCAGGTGTCAGAGTTGAGGGAGGAGGTGAGTCGTCTTCAGGCTGAGAAGGAGGAGCTGGAGAAAGAGCTCGACACACAGACCAACCACACACACAAACAGGTCAGAGACACACTCACACAAACACACAGCAGGTAGAGTGTAGACTTACACCCATGTTAATGTGTGTGTGTGTGTGTGTGTGTGTGTGTGTGTGTGTGTGTGTGCAGGTATCGATGCTCCAGTCTCAGGTCAAGACCTCAGAGACTCTCCTCCAGGATCTACAGAAATCTTTCAGCCAATCACAGAGCGCCGTGCAGAGTCGGCTGGTGAGTGAGAGACGCTGAATCTGACCGTAGAAAGGTTCGAGTCTGAGTGTGACATTAACGTGTGTGTGTGTGTGTGTGTGTGTGTGTGTGCGTGTGCAGGCGGAGCTGTCTCTCTCTCAGAGGAGGATGTGCAGCGATCTGTCCAGACTGAGAGGAGAGGAGGTGGAGGATGAAGGAGTGGACTCCAGCTCAGCATTAGCAGCATCTCTGCAGGTACGAGTCCTGATCCAGGGTTCCTGCAGTTTTTAGATTTGTCTGCGATGTTTGAGGCGTGTTCTGACCGCTGAGCTCTGACCTGCAGGGGGCGCACTGTGAGGAGCGACTTCGCATCGAGATCATCAACCTGAGAGAGCAACTGGACGGGCGATCGGAGGAGAACGGTGTGAGGGTCTCCCTCTGCTCCTGATTCTTGGTATCAGTTTTTACTCTCGGCTGTGACTCTGACATGTTTTCACTTCCTCTCTTCTCGGTGTTCGGACCTTTGGACCTGGACTCACTGCCATCAGAAGTTTTAGAGGGTAAGTGGAGACAAAAGTTCTGGTCCGGTGTTCGTCCTCCTGTCTGCTCTAAACTCACCTGGTAGAAGGTCTCTGTGGTTGGACTAAGTTCTTGTGTGTGTGTGCAGTGCAGCTGTCCAGTCTGAAGACAGAGACCGAGAGGATCCAGACCCAGAAGGACCAGCTGCAGGCTGAGCTGATCACCTGCCGCACTGAGCTGGACGGCCTGCGGGTGGCGCTGTCTCACCTCCAGGGAACCAACAAATCTCTGAGCAACGACAAGGTGAGTTTTTAACGTCCAGATGATTTCAAACAAGTTCCTGTCAGACTCTCACACCCAATTTCACCGCATCTGAAACGCCTCTGATGATGAAGAACGGCGATTTTTGCCCTCCGCCATTTCCTACTGGATCTGTTTGTGAGGAGAATTTCGTGGTGGATTACAGACAGCAGTAATCGCGAGAACTCGCAAAAACCCGCAGATTCACGTTCAATCTCACGATAACGAGTCGTCTCTCTAAAGACAGACACATAGACATATAAGCAGTAGATTGTGTCCTTCCAGAGGAGGAAATCTACTTCTAGACTTCTAGAATCAGCATCTCCTCATCCATGGTGTCATCGGGGTGAAATGACGTCTAAAAACCTTTCACTTGTTCGTCTCCGCCCGTTTGCATGGTGTGAAATACGATCCTCCTGAAACACGGAGTGTTTTATTTTGAAAAGAAGCCGGATGTTTTATTTTGAAGTCTGTGCCCGACTTCCTTTCCAGCACGGGTTAATCTGTGCTGAATTTATCCGCCAGGCTCCGGCGTCCAGAAAAAATAGAACTCTTGTGATCAGCTGAGGAGTCCGGCGATCCGCAGAGGAACGGAAAGAAGTCGGTGTAAATTGACACGTTAACTTGAATGGTTACGATCAGCTACGATCGGAGGATACGACCTTTTAGGAGACCATCAGGATGAAGGTGGAGGTCGGGGGTTAGACTCTGATCAGTCTGTGGTTGTGTGTTTATGTGTGTGTTAATTTTGTGTGTGTGTGTGTGTGTCAGGCGGCTCTGCAGCAGCAGTGTCTGGAGCTGCGCAGTCAGGTGATCAGTCTGCGCTCTCAGGTGGATACCAGTCAGACGGTGCAGAGAGACTTCGTGCAGCTCTCTCAGTCTCTGCAGGTGAGTCTCTGAGCGCGCTCACTCGCTCTGAAAACAGACCGACCGTCACGTTGATGTTTTAGATAATCTGGTAAATTCATCAGGGACCAAACTTCATATTTATTCTTAAAGTGAGACACTGATTGGATCTCTAAGGAGGGAGGAGTCCTCCGTCCGTACCTCCGTCAGTCAGCAGTGACCGTCTTCTCTCTGCAGGTGAAGCTGGAGTTGGTGCGTCAGGCCGAGAATCTGGATCAGGTCCGAGAAATCCTGGAGGACCGGGACAGCGAGGCGGGATCGTCGCCTGCAGACGCCTCATGAGTTTTAAAGTCTCACTGAACCAAAGAGCAGAAACAGAGACCACATGACACGGGTTGGACCACTGGGACCAGCACTGGTAACACTGGACTGACGTGTTTCTGCTCAAAGACTCGGAGTCTGTTTCTCAGAGACCAAAGTGACCTCTGATGGACTGAGACGCCTGGAGGAAACCTTCCTGAAACACATTTACTCAGAAACTAACACGTAAAACTCAAAGTGACTCCACTACAGAGAAAAACACTCACAGTCTAACCCTCCAGCGCTCCTCACTGAGGAGGAGCATCAACCTTTATATCAGTGAACCGTCTGTCTGAGCAGGAGGCCTGAAAACTGACCAACGTGCAATAATGACGTTAGAGGAAGTAGAAAACAGACGAACCTGAACGGGACCTCAGACGCCACGTTTTATAGCCGACTCCTTTTCTCGCTAAAAACACTGAAACTTTTTAGACTTTAATTTATAAAGACGTTTGTGAAAGTCTGTGAAAATGTTCAAGTGTACCGCTGTTCCTCTTTCTACAGTCTGACAAGTAAAGAAATCTTTTCTTCAGTCTCTGAGTCACGTCTTCTTCTTCTTCTTCTTCTTTGACAGAGACGACAAAAACACGAGGAGAGGAAACGTCTCACTTCTTATTCACAGGAGAAAATTTACAAAAACCCGATTCTATTGAAGTTGGAAATTGTGATAAATGTAAATAAAAACAGAAAACAATGATGTGAAAATCCTCTTCAACCTAAATCCAATTGAATACAATTTCCGACTTCAGTAGAGTTTGTTTTTTAGTCTAAACTTATATCCGTCAAAACCCTGACCTCCTGACTCTGGATGGTTCCCTACAGAGCGACTCTGAGTCCGTTGGTTTTAAACATCACTTTATTCTTTAAGAACAGAATCAACACAGAATAGTTTCATAACTCTCAGCTATATATTAACCTCAGTACATACAGAAAAATCATTTGCAGCTTGTCGTGGTGTATCTTCAGATGGCTTCATGTGTTTGTTTTCAGACCACCTCGTGGTTAGATGGCGGCGGCTCTTGACAGCTTTCTCTCAGTGCGAGCGCTCGGCGGTTTCTCCTCTGAGCCTCCGCTCGCTCTCTGCTTCAGCCGCTCTCTGCTCCTCCTCCTCCTCCTCCTCCTCACCTTTACACTTTACCTGCAGGGAGAGACCTGACACGTCAGCTGAGAGGAGGAGACGAGCGATGAGAGGAGGGAGCGGGACTCAGGAGGATTAGAGGAGATGCATTTATGACCTTTAGTCAAACAGGCTAAAACACAACAAACATCTGATGCTAGCTAATGTTAGCTTAGCACATCCATGCAGCCAGCTAACCTCTGAACATCTCTAAAGAACCCAAACCTCTCAAAGTCTGGACAGTTGTTCTGGACAGGAGTCAGTCATCACCGGGGTCGGGTATCGTTTGATTCTGAGCGGTTCTGATTCTGTTTCTTTTCAAAGGCAGGATATTAAAATAATTCCTGGTTTAATGAGGGCGTTAACCAGAGTTCTTCTTCTTTTTAGATGAAATTTCTGAACTTCATGAATTTTAAAATTATATGAACTTTTTAAGAACTTTACTGTGAATTTCTCACATTTTTAACCAGTTTATAAATCTCAGTTTTTGTTTTCAGGTCGTCTGTCTAAGTCTAAGACTGACGTTAGTTGGATATTTAAGTTGACCCTCCGTACTCAGTACAGTTTGTTTGACACTTCAAAGTTAGAAGAAGACAGATGTCATTTATTGTTTCACTTCTCTGATTCTGATTGGTTAGACCGGTGTTGTGTGGTAGAATGTGTCCCCTCCACTCATGAGCTTCTTAAAGTGAAGAAAATGATCTGATATTTAGAAAAAACACGAGTATTAGATCATGACAACATGACAGATGGAGCAGGAAACTTTGGTTTTGATAGAGATGAACTCGGGTTTATAAACTCTACAGTAAACTGTCAAAGTAGAGAACTTTATATTTTCAGGACAGTAAATATTCAGAATCAGAGGGCTGTCGTTTTCAGTTTATCTGAATAAAATCATTAAAGGAACTCACTTTAGATTCTGACCAACAGTGAGAAAAACTCAGATTATTTCTCCTTGTTATGAACTTTGAACCGCGCTCCCATCAGGGGTGTATTCTACGGCACCACACTGGTGAAGAATGTCAAAGACGGACACTCGGGTGTTTCTCCTCCATGAATCCTGAGTGTTTAATCATGTTGGTCGTTTATCCTCCTTTACAGGATAGAACTGTGTTTCTAATGTTGTTCTAAGAGAAGAGTTCATTCTTCCTGAGAAACTTTGACAAACTTAAATCTCTCTCTCTCTCTCTCTTTCACGCTTCTTCCTCGTTGGTGTTTGGCGGCTATTTCTTCTTGAAGTTTTTGTTCAGTTAGAAACAAAAATCTGGATTATTTTAATCCCAGGAGAGAGCAGGATAACGTGACAAACATAAGAAACTCTGAATATGTGCTGCTGTGACGATCTTCCAGTTTTGGCGCCCTCTGTGGACAGAGTAAGGTAGATGTGGTCTCTGTTCTTGTAATCCTGAAGACCATCTCAGAATAAAGACGAGGTTTTCCCTCAGAAGTTAAATCCTGAATCGGAGCGGGTCTCAAGTCCTCCACAGACTCGGGTCGTTGAGTTTACCTGCTGCGTCTGTCGTCTCTCTGTCAGCGTCTGTGTGAGTTCAGAGTGGGCCTGAAAACTCCTCTCTCTCTCTGATGTTGTAGTTGGTGTTTTGGCCACTGGGTGTCACTGTTGTAATTTGACAGATGCTGTAAATCAATCCTCAGATGATCAGGATGTTTTGCTGTTTGGAGGAACCGTCAGGATTCAGACTCAGATGGAGAGAAAATGTCGTCGTCACGGTGATACTAAACGCCGTCACGGCTGAAGTCACAAACTGAGCAGGTTTTGGTTTAAAGGCGACTTCACACTTTCATCTGTGAGAGTCGGGGTCTAGATCTGATCTGATCCAGTTTTCTAAACATAAACTGGATTTCCTGATTCTGGATTAAACTCAGATTTCGATGAAACCTTTAAATCTCCTGATGATAATCTGTGAGCTGCTGCTGCTGAGCCGACGCTGTCGCTCTGAAAATGTTTGAATTTAACCTCAGAGGTAAAAAAAAGTTTGATCTTTAGTTTCTAATTTCTATTTTAACTTCATCACTAAACTTCACTTATCTGTGCGTTCTAGATAAATGTAGAAAACTGAAATCGTCTGTTTAGCATCAAGTCAGAGAAATTTCTGTTCTTATTCGTCCAAAAGAATCACGTTAGAGAAAAACTGCGGGAACATTTGGATGATGTTTGACTCTGTTAATTCGTGCACACTCAGGGTTAAAGTTCACAGAGTCAAAGCAGGAGACAGTTCAGTGTTTCTGACGTCTCTGAAGACAGACGATAGAAATACTGCAGAGACGGATCAAACTTCAATGACAGACACACAACCTGAAACTGATCCAGCTTCACTCAGGATCCAAAGACTTAAACACATAAACAACATCTGACAGACGAGGACGTTTCTCTGAGAGAGAAACTCCAACATGGAAAAGTTCGGAGCGCAGACTGAGAAGACGGTCAAGATGCAGAGAGTTGAGACCTTCAGTGAGGAGGAGGAGGAGGATACCTTTGTTTGTTACGGGGGATGAAGGAGGGGGACGGGTTTAGACTGGAGGGTCAGAGGGTGAGAACAGAAAAGTGAGTGAGATCAAGAAGGAGGGTCAGAACAGAGAGATTAAAGGATATTTAATGAGGGGGGAGAATTACTCTGAAACATTTCTATGATTAACGTGGTGAAGAGTTACAGGAGGAGTTCAGAAATCTAAACCAGGTTCAAACTGTTGGAGGTAAAGAGAAGATCTGAGGGAAGAGAAACATCTAAACATCTAAACTCAGAGTGAGTCTGCTGTTAACGTCACACCTACAGAGTCAAAGTCACGCGTGGCGAACACGTCACACGGCGAACTCACCCTCCAGATACGTGCGAGCCACAAACTTGAGCATCTCGTCGATGAGGATGACGGGGAAGGAGAGCTTCAGGACCATCATCCACTGCTCCACGTTCAGGTGAGTCAGCTTGAAGATCATCTGAGGATGAGAGCGGCGGCGCCGGCGTGTTTACACCGACGCACTGAACGCACAACAGAGCAGTACATGGAGACGGGCGTGAGACTCACGGGCAGAGGGTCCACGTAGATGATCATGAAGTGGAGGGACATGGAGAGGGACATGGCGCCCACCAGCCAGCCGTTACTCCAGGGAGGCATACGCACCAGAGACTGGTTCTCCGACAGACTGGAGGGAGGAGGGCGGAGGTGGGGGTGAGTGTGGAGGTGGGGGAGAGTGTGGAGGTGGGGGTGAGGGCGGAGGAGTGAACTTAGATCAGACAGTTTCAGACAAACAGGTAAAGTCCTAAAATCCTGGTCCCAGATTCTTCACATTCCAACAGACTTTGGAAACTAAAGTCGACTCTCCTGAAGATCGAAGACTGTCGCTAAAATCACAGACTGTATTCACTGAAGAGCAGCCGAGTGTCCGAGCTCCTTACCCTATCTCTAAGGCTGAGCCCGGACACCCTGAGGAGGAAACCCATTTCAGCCGCTTGTATCTGCGATCTTGTTCTTTCGGTCATTACCCAAAGTTCATGACCATAGGTGAGGATCGGCACGTAGATCGACCGGTAAATCCAGAGTCTCTCCTTACGGCTCAGCTCTTTCTTCACCACCACTGATCGGTTAATCGTCCGCATCACTGCTGACGCCTAAGGCTAATGTCAGACCTGACGCCCTCACTCACAGGTCTACAGTTCCTTCATTCAACAGTCGTGTTGGATCAGAGTCGGATATCGGCCGATACGCTCAGCTCAGGTATCGGTATTGGATCAGAATAAAACGGATGGGTGCGTCTCCAGCTAAGACAGAGAGTCACTGACCTGTTCAGGGCGTTGCACATCTCGATGGTGACGAGGACAGACAGAGCCATGGTCATGGGGGGAGCGGCCTCAAACACCTCGCAGCGGATTCCTGTGAAGTCCTCGTTCTCCTCGCTGCACTGCATGAAGTGAGACTGAAGAAAAAGAGGACGAGGAAGAGGAGGGTCACGTGTTTGAAACTTCAGACAAACTTCAGCAGGAGAGTTCAGGTCAAAAACTCACCAGCTGGTGGAAGGTGACCATCGGGCCCTCGTCACAGTACAGGAACCACCAGGCTGCTGCTGCGACCGTCGCTGCGCCGACGTAACCTGGAGAGGAAGTTTAGGGTTAGAAGAGAAAACAGCTGTGAGTGATCATCTCCTCCTGCTCTCAGGACATCTGAGTGTTTTACCTCCGATGGCCAAGTATCTGAAGAAGAGCCATCCTGAGATCAGGGGCTCTTTGGGGGAGCGGGGGGCTTTGCCCATGATGTCCAAGTCAGGGGGGTTGAAGCCCAGGGCGGTGGCGGGGAGACCATCAGTCACCAGGTTGACCCAGAGCAGCTGGACGGGGATCAGAGCCTCGGGGAGACCCAAAGCAGCAGTGAGGAAGATACTGAGGGAGGAAGAGGAGGAGGAACGGGTTACAAAGACCTTCTGTGTCTCTACGTGATCTCAAACATCTACATGAACATCGACATGAACATCTACATGAACATCTACATGAACATCTACATGAACATCGACATGAACATCGACATGAACATCTACATGAACACCTACATGAACATCGACATGAACATCTACATGAACATCTACATGAACATCTACATGAACATCTACATGAACACCTGCGGCCTCAAAGGTCCCCTGACGATGAGAGGATGATTGACAGGGATGAAGTGGTGATGATTAGGAGAACACACTCACCAGACCACCTCGCCCACGTTGGAGGAGATGAGGTAGCGGATGAACTGCTTCATGTTGTTGTAAATGGCGCGTCCTTCCTCGACCGCAGACACGATGGAGGAGAAGTTGTCGTCAGCCAGGACCATCTCAGAGGCAGACTTGGCAACGGCAGTGCCAGAGCCCATGGCGATGCCAATCTCCGCCTTTTTGAGGGCGGGGGCATCGTTCACTCCGTCTCCGGTCTTTGGTCAGAGGAAACACAGAGCGATGAGGTTTATCTACGGGAACATCTCTCTACTTTAACAGATAAATGGCGTTCGTCTCACCATGGCGGTGATCTCATCGAAGCCCTGCAGGAACTCAACGATCTTAGACTTGTGGGAGGGTTCCACTCTGGCGAAGCAGCACGCCTTCCTCACGGCGTTCTTCTGGTCGTAGGGGGTGAGGTCATCAAACTCGCGTCCGGTGAAGGCCTTTCCAGTGACGTCCTCGTCCTCGCTGAAGATGCCGATGCGACGGCAGATAGCCACAGCTGTGCCTTTGTTGTCACCTGGGGGACGAAGATGAGGACTGTTTGAGACGTGAACTCCGTTTCCTTCATCTAAAAGTGAAAAAGTTCTGGTTCTGACCCGTGATCATGATGACTCTGATGCCTGCAGCTCTGCACAGCTCGATGGAGCTCATGACTTCCTTGCGAGGAGGGTCCAGCATGCCCACACAGCCCACGAAGGTCAGATCAACCTGGAGGGAGAAACAGAGAGAGTTCAGCGCTCTCTCGAGTCTGTCTTCGTTTTTCTAAAAGAGTTGTTTGTTTGTCTCTCCCGTCCTGAACCGCCCACCTCATAGTCGGCGAACTTGGTCGAGTCCTCCAGGTTCATCTCCTCCTTCTTCACAGGAGTGTCTCGGGTGGCCAGAGCCAGACAGCGGAGAGTGTCTCGCCCGGTCCCCCACTCCTTGATGACGGACATGATGTGGTCTTTGAGGGGGGTGGTCAGGGGGACACGGGTGGTGCCCACACGGACGTACGCGCAGCGATCGATGACGCCTTCTGGAGCGCCCTGAAGACACGACAAACACCTGAGTATCAAATCTGAAAACTGTCTCTGACATGAAGGTCATTTAAAAACACTCTTCTGTGTCGCCGACACACAAATATTAACGTCTGTGTATCAGGCTGTAAACCTGAATTTGTCGTCCTCTCATGCTGTTTGTTTTTGTGTAACACGTGTGTCACAAACTCTCACTTTGACAAACATCTTGTTTCCCACTGGTGCTTTAGCAGACTTGGCAGGTGAGCAGTAAACAGACATGGACTTCCTGTCTCTGGAGAACTCCAGGGTGAACTCCTTCTTCATCAGCTGTTTGATCACCTGTTGGTCCAAAAACAAACAAGAGTCCGTTTCAGGTATTAGGGAGTTAAAAACGCTTTTCTGGTCTGAGTTTGATCAGTGGGTCTTCCTGTCGGCGTGAAGAGCAGTAGCCTAAGGTGTATATATATACATATATACATATATATATATATATATGTATATATATATATATATATATATATATATAAATATGTATATATATATATATATATATATATATATATGTATATATGTATTTATAACGTAATAAAAAGTTTTAAAAATCGGCTGATTTACACACAGACTGCTGTCTAACCCTGTTAACTAAAGGGGGGGGTCTTTTTACATCCTTAGATAAGAAAACATTTTGATCGACTGTCTCCATGAAATAATATCATCTCTGTTATTTTTGAACGGTTGTGTCCGTCTAACACTGAACACTTTCCCTTCGTTCAGAGAGGATGTGACCTTTCCTCTGTCCTCTGTCCTCTGAGCAGCTCTAAAACACAGGAAGTGGAGAGGATGACACACCTCGTCCTGTTTGGAGTCTTCAGAGGACTTACCGAACAGCAGGCGTTTGCTCTCTCCACCTTGGACAGGCCGCGGACTTCAGAGTTGAAGACGTTCATCTTCTCCACCAGACAGCTCAGCGCCGTCTCAGTGGCCTCGCCCACTTTCTCATAAATACCTTTAGACTGCAGGATAGAAAATAAAGGCGTTAAGGATTAAATGTCCTGTATGTTCAGATCTTTAGGAGTTTCCTGAATCCTGCAGACCTCGTTGTAGTCCAGAGACGAGTCGTTGCACAGAGCACAGATGGTCGCCAGCTCCACCAGACCGTCGTACTGACCGCACTTCACAGACGAGCCGTTCTTCGTACTGAAGGAAGAGATTTATGAAGAGTTAAAGAAGAGGACAGTGTGATCATACTGATTCTGTACGTCCTCATACTCACACTTCTCCTTCAGGTGTGTACTTTGAACCTGAGATGTCGAACTGACCCAGAGAAACACTTTCACCCTCGACTTTATCGATGATAAACATCTGCGTTCAAAAACAGAAATGTCTGTGAGTGAGAAACTCTCTCATATCCAGTCAAACCTCATGAGTTTACTGGTGCAGCTGTGAACTCGTACCTTAGTCACACACATCTGGTTGGTGGTGAGGGTGCCGGTCTTGTCGGAGCAGATGACGGAGGTGCAGCCCAGCGTCTCCACGGAGGGCAGACTTCTGACGATGGCGTTCTTCTTGGCCATACGCCGAGTTCCCAGAGCGAGGCAGGTGGTGATGACAGCGGGGAGACCTGTGACGGATCGAGAGGAAGACTTCATTAAAAACATCTCTGTGGGTTCCTGTCCCCCTTCAGCTGCACCATCCCATAATGACAAGAGAGGCCCAAAAACACGTCTTATAAAAATCTAAATAACTGTAAATGTTTGGAGGGTGAAGCTCAATGATACAAACTCAAGAAAACAAGACCAGCCTGGTCTTCAAAAGGAGCATGTAGGTCTGAAACTGGAGTCAAAGTCTTCAGGAACGAGAATATGAAGAATATGAAAGTCTAATAAAGTCAGTAAAGAGGATCAGGACTTTGGACTCTCTAATGTTACAGAGTTAAAATGTTATTTATCAGAAGGAGACCAGCAAAGATCGAGACAAGAAGATCAGGAAGATCGGACAAAGGTACAGCCAAGAACAGGAGTGACCAAAAGATCGACTTTTTTATGAACCTCAACAATCAACAAAAAACAACTATCATCATCACCACCAATGAAACCGTCTTCACCACAGTAATGTGCTGGGTCAGAGCAGGACAGTGAGAGTGGACTGTGGCTGGAGGACTGGTTCTACCCGTTCAGGGGACAACAGTGGAGAAGGACTTTGAAAGTAGAGACGGACTCTGAGGGTTGGATGAGTCGGATAATTCGTTCCACCGTCGATGATCCAACACGTCGCTTTAGAAACAGCTGGTCTTCAGGGACTCGATGCCACCGGGCACGCTGACAAATATGGAGTTCCCCTGACAGTCCTTCACACACCAGCTGGATCAGAACCAGACCTCTGTGTTCTCCGAGGTATTCCTGCTGGAGGGGGGACAGCTGGAGGCCGCTCAGACTGATCTGTGATCAGATAGTTGTCAGAAAGTGACCCTGACCATGTCTGGATACTGTCCAGTGAGGTGACAGTATAGAGGTGTCTTCATGTGCAGATGATCTTTAACATCATCTGAACGTTTGATCTCATGAATGAAGGTGAAGCAGAGACTTCCAGGCTGAGGAGAAACTGCAGTCCCTCAAGAGTCCACCAGGAGCACCATCTCAGTAAACAGTCTGTGTTCAGGACTTTGACCTGAAGACAGTCTGGATGTCTGGAGCTCATTTTTAGAGCTCACCTGTTTGTGTTATAAACGTTTAAAGTCAGGCATAATGAGGATAAAAGAGGTTCAGAGTTTTAATGTTTGACTGTGTTTGTAGTTTTAGGATCTTTATACGTTTTTTCATGTAAATATCAGACGAGTTTTCTGAAACATTTTTTTGTTTAGGTCTGATGTTTGTTAATCTGAGTTTTTTTCCCTTTTTGAAAACAATAAACTCAATCTGAAGTCGGACTCACCTAACCCAGTTTCTGATCGATTTTCGCTGCAGTGTCTGCATATGGACGAGCTACGATAATAGATCTGATAATCTCTCTCAGTAAACAAATGGAAGCTGATACAGCAGGGGTTTACCTTCAGGGATGGCAGCCACAGCCAGAGCCACAGCGATCTTAAAATAGTAGATGGCACCACGGAACCAGGAGCCTCCGTGTACGGGGTCATTGAAATGACCGATGTTGATGATCCACACGGCCACACAGATGAGGGAGATGACCTGGAGGACAGGCAGGCACAGAGACGTGAGAGTCAACAGCTGCAGCTTTACTCCGTGTCCTCCATGAACACTCAAAACTGTTTCACAGATCAGCTTCACCAACCTTTGAGAGCTGCTCTCCAAACTCATCCAGTTTCTGCTGCAGAGGCGTCTTCTCCTGCTCAGTCGCCGCCATCTGATCACGAATCTTACCGATCTCAGTGGAGACTCCAGTCGCAACAGCGATACCGGTGGCTTTTCCAGCAGCGATGTTAGTGCCCTGAACGGACCCAAACACAGGAGATAAAACAGAACATGTCCAACAACACGTTCCTGTAATATGATCCTCATCATACTTCGTCCTTCCACACGTTTTTTACTGTCATTAAACTGTACAGATCTCTCTCTCCCTGATATGTCGGGTTATTTTTCTCTCCCTGTTCCTGAAAACCATCATGAGTGCGGGTGCTCCCACAGCGTCCACTGAGAAAAGGTTACATGAAGTCTGACTGAGTCATTTGAGTTTAACTTCTGCGTGTCAGCTCTGTGTTTGTCTGCTCGACTGGTTCAGGAGAAACTTCTGAGGTGAAAAATGAGACAGTGGGGGAACCGAGTTTTTCAGCGCTGACCGAAGCTCTGATGTTTGAACACAGAAGAGAGGAGAGACTCACAGAGAAGAGCATGTTCTTCTTGTCCTGATTGACGGCACGGGGGTCGGGGACGGCGTCGGTGTGTTTGATCACGCTGACAGACTCACCTGTGGGAGGAGACAGGAGTTATGGGAAGGAGCAGGAAATGAATCACATGAATGTCTGTGAGCGTCTGTCCTGTAACACCCACCAGTGAGGATGGACTGGTCCACACGCAGGGTCGTAGACTTGATGGAGATGATCCTGATGTCAGCGGGAACTTTGTCACCAACTAGTGATAAAAACACAGAAACAGGATTTCAGTGGTTTCTATTATTATTGGATTAGATGAGCAGTACTCAGGACTCTCTGTACCCTGAGTTTCAGCGTCATCACGGTTTTAATAAACGGTTTTCTCTTTCTAAATATTTTATTACATACAGTGAATAAAATCAATCTTTATTCAGCAGATTTGGTCTTTTTTTGTGCAGAATCACAGAAGCTTCAAATCAGTCTAATTGCATCATTACAGCATGGATGGATGGATGGATGGATGGATGGATGGATGGATGGATGGATGGATGGATGGATGGATGGATGGAGGGGTGGATGGATGGATGGATGGAGGGGTGGATGGATGGAGGGGTGGATGGATGGGTTGGGGGGTGCAGGGTTGACTGACTGGTTTTAGCACTCTGCATGGATGGTGTTGTTGTTGTTGAAAACTGAAACCACAGTCCGAGACAGTGGGAGAGGGAGACCTTGGGGAGATGATGAAATGAAGAGAACAGGTGTGGAGCAGACAGAGCGAGCGCAGCGAGTCGATATGAAGTTTATTTATACTCAAGCTTGTTTTTTTTCCTTCCAGCAGCAGAGTTCCTTCGACTCGCCGCCTCCTCCTCCTCCTCCTCCTCCTCCTCCTCCTCCTCCTCCTCCTCCTCCTCCTCCTCCTCCTCCTCCGCCCCCTTGTTTCTGTCGCTGCCTTAAAAGGGCGCGTGTTCATTCTCAAGGACAACAGAAGCAGTGAGCACGTGCAGAGAAGCTTAAGGTTATTTAGGAGCCTTATCTCAGGAGTCAGAGAGAGAGCGGGTAAACTGAACACACGCTCATCTTTCCTCATGTTAGAGTCTGTTTGTGATGAAGGGAGGAGACGAACGACAGACTCAGACTCTTTCCTCTGTGTCAGATATTTAACTGAGTCTAAAAGCAGATTTTTAATCACACCTGTTTGTTTTCTACATAAAGACTTTATCACAGACATGAACATAGACTCTCTCACAGAAACTCACACTGACCCTCAGCTGTTGTGACCCCGATGACAGACTCTGAACATTTAATCTGCAGGAGAATTCACACGATCCTCCTGTGAAACACGACTGATTAAAGGTTTTGGAGTCCTCGGGTTAATACAGATGTGAACATGCAGAGCTGTTCGGAGGGCTTTGTTTGGAGAAGTTGACCTCTGACCCCACATGGCTAAACTTAGCCGACCCGCTTTGAGTCATTCAGCGATTTAAAAATAACTCTGTTACCCTCAGATTAGGTGAGTTTCTGTCCTTGATCTGATGTGTTGATGGTGTCAGTGCTGACGGCTCCTCGGTGTTTCAGCAGATAAACTCCAGTTCATGCAGCAGGTAGAACAATAAAAGGACACCTGTTCTCCTGTTCTGGGAATCTTACCGGAAACCTCCACCACATCACCGGGAACAATCTCTCTGGCCTTGATTCTCTGCACACTCTTCCTGTCCGCTCGGTAAACTTTCCCCATCTCAGGCTCGTACTCCTTCAGAGCCTCAATGGCGCTCTCTGCGTTTCGCTCCTGATGGGAAAATTCACAGAAAACATGAAGAGCTCTGAGTTTAGTAACAACACGCTCAGTGGAAACAACAGAAGAGAGGAAAAACTCTGTCTTTGGGGTTAAAGTTGTGATGTATTGGGCGTGACCTTTTAGAGTGACGGGTGGGAGCTGCTACCTGTCTGCTCAGAGTCACCTGCACTGATTCAGACCCTGAACATAACCACATACCGGATTCTTCGCACTATAAGGCGCACCATCGATGGACGCGTCTATTTTCATACATGAGGCACATTAAACCAAACAAAACAGTCAGATAAGTCAAACTTTATTTAACTCCTTCAATAACTCTGCGAGGCTACGGTAGCTGCAGCGCTTCGACAAGCCAAACGGATTTTACGTGCGTCTTATAATGTGAAAAATACAGTAACTGAGAGTGTGGTCCCAGCAGGATGTTCAGACCTCCTGTCATCAGTCTCCTGAGTTAAATCAATCATCCCTCAACTCCTTTAAAACATCATTAAAATCTCTGATCTGATCTTGTCTTAAATTCATCATTATTTGTTATGATCATGTTTCTTTAATATAAATACTTTTATTGTCTTTATCACTGTTTGATGATCAGTCTGTGTTTTATTTATGACAGTCTTTCACTAATCACTGTTCATCTGTAACCTGTCTATGTCCGAGTTACTTTGTCGTCTGCACCTGATCTGTCTCTGCCCTGACAGGAGAGGAACTCTGTATCAGCCTATCGGCTTCGTTCCCTCCCTGCTCTGTTTTTAATCTGTGATAAATAAATAAACACTAAAATACCTCACCATGTTGTCACTCGACAGGACACAGACACAGAGAAGAATCATCCTGAAGTTCTTCTGTGTCTTGTTTACATTTTACTAATCCAGTGGTTGAACCCAGCCTGAGCTCTCTGACGCCCTCTAAAGGAACCTCTGAGCAGGACAGATGTACCTCCAATACAGACAGACTGATTCATGATTAATAATGATTGATCGTATTAATGCAGCATATCAGTATTGGTCCTCACAAATCCATTATCACCATCATATTATCTATTTAAAGTCTGTTGAGGACATGTGACCTGCTCAAATGACCACAGATCTTTATTATCACCTGAGATTGGTGTGAAAACGCTGCAGTGATGAGACATGAGCTGTGATTGGATGACTGATGTTGAGTGTCTGCAGACTGACTGACTGACTGACTGACTGACTGACTGACTGTTTCTGCGTCTGCTGAACAACAGGTTGACCACAGAAGTCACGGCCTGATGTTCGTTTCTCCTAAGACTGCCCTCGCCCGCCTCAAAGTGTAAAGCCCGACTTATGCCAGCCGCTCTCCCCCTCTCACCCCCCATGTGTGAATCCTTGTGCATAGTTTCCAAATGACTGCTGCTGAGTCGATATGAACCCCCCCCCACCACAGCACAGACTCAGAAACACACTCGTCCCGGGCCCGCGGTAACCCGATCAGCCCTCTGTATTTTTACTGTGGATTGTCACAAAGCAGAGCAGCAGTTAGAGCCTCAAGACAGGACGGGTGAGGGTCTGTCATCCCCCCTCTCCTCCTCCTCCTCCTCCTTCCATCTACACCACCCCTGTTGGCTTAACCTTTGACCTTTTCACCTCGTGCTGACGTGGGCTCTCTGGTTGTGGATTCCTCTGAACTCTGTCCCTCTCAGAGTAAAGGACACGGCGGTGTGTGATTTATGATGTGTGACTGTTTCCAAGTATAAGAGGCTATTTAGGTGTGTGTAAAAGACTGTGTTCAGAGACAGGTATGTGTCCTTGTGATCGCAATTGTTCCTCTGAGTGTGTGTGTGTGTGCATGCGTGATCACTGACCTGCCACACTCCAACAACAGCGTTGGCAATGAGGATGAGGAGGATGACGAAGGGCTCCACAAAGGCGGTGACTGTTTCCTCCCCCTCCTCGAACCAGGCCAGCACCTGGAAGGGAGAGAGAGAGAGAGAGAGAGACAGACAGACAGACAGACAGACAGAGAGAGAGAGAGAGAGAGAGAGAGAGAGAGAGACAGACAGACAGACAGAGAGAGAGAGAGAGAGAGAGAGAGAGAGAGAGAGAGAGAGAGAGAGAGAGAGAGAGAGAGAGAGAGAGAGAGAGAAACAGAGAGAGAGAGAGAGAGAGAGAGATCAGAGATGAACACTGAGACTGTAATTAACGTTTATTCTGACAAACAGCTGTTAGTGTTTTTATGTTTGAATGTTTTTAGGTGAGGTGTAGTCGAGACTTTAAAACACAAACAAAGACTTAAAACATGGAGACTAAAAGAAAAGTCACTCCTCTAACAACATCTATAACATCCATAATATTTATAACATCTATAACATCTATAACATCTATAACATCCATAATATTTATAACATCTATAACATCTATAACATCTATAACATCCATAATATTTATAACATCTATAACATCTATAACATTTATAACATCTATAACATCTATAACATTTATAACATCTATAACATCTATAACATTTGCATTCACAGTTTTCGATCCGTTACGTCTTCCTCTGAGACGTTCATCTCTACATGGAAACATTCGTCTATAAGAAAGTCCAGAGTTAAAGATGAGCTCAGTCCTGTTTTGGTTTGTCACTCTGTCAGACTGCTGTTTCACTCATCGCCTTTTTGTTGTTGTTGTTTTACAGCGAATGTTCGATATTCACCTTATTTGTTTATCGTTCAGAGGTGAAAAGATTCAAATGTCACGATTTCATTCTTCTTCATTGAAAGGGAAACTAGACAACTGTCAACAAAGAATTGGATTCCGTATTTTTCGCACTATAAGGCACACCTAAAATCCATTTGGCTTGTCGGAGCGCTGCAGCTACCGTAGCCTCGCGGATTTACTGAATTAGATAAATAAAGTTTGACTTATCTGACTGTTTTGTTTGGTTTAATGCACTTTATGTATGAAAATAGAGGCGAACAGACGCATTCATCGATGGTGCGCCTTATAGTATATAGCCTTAACACGTATAGAAAAGATGAAGGAGTTCAGAGCCTTTCCTTTGGACTTGTGAAGCTCTAACTCTGAACTTTAACACACTCTGGACTGGACTGGACTTAGTCCTGCAGGTCTTTCGGTCTGCTGTGCACCTGTTCCTCTGGGCGACAGTCTTATCTTTTACTGCCATCCACCATGAAACACAAACATAAAATAGTCACGCTGAGGAGCTATTTACAACAACCATTAGTGGATCAAATGACATTTCACTTAGTTGTCACTTATGTCATTGTATGCAGGAGGTCTCTCCCCTCCATGTGACTCCTCTGAACCTATAGTGGAACACGTGTGCGGGCCTGTGAGCTCAGCGGGGGTCCCTGGTTGCTACCACAGGTCTGTTTCGGAAAGGCTCTATGTTGACATTGACACAGATTAGCTGCAGGCCAGCGGAGCTGAGCAGAGGGGAGTCTCATCCCTCCCTCTGCAGCTCTGATTTCTTCTCTCATCATCAGCAGCGGCAGCAGCGGCGTGTTTCCATTCACCTGCTTTTCATCGGACTTTTCTCCTCACCCTTTCCCTAAAATAGGCTCTCTTCTCATCCTCTCTGCTCTGTCTTCTCTTCTCTTCAAAGACACAATCGATCTCTACGCTGAGAGTCAGAGGCTGTCAGCACGCCGCCGCAGCGCCACATTCCTGTGTGTATGAATAGGACGAGCACGCATCTGCAGTATTTACTGTTCTCTCTTTTAGAAACTGTATACGACTCTGAATCTATCGCTCTCGTTAGTCATTGTAACAAACAATGTCATGGTGCAACCCAATCCCTGACTCCCCCATCACCACCTCCACCCTCCTCTACACCTCTCACTCTCTCCTGCTGCTCCTGCTGCTGCTCCTGCTGCGAGCCGCTCCTCGTTCCTTCCATCCCTGACCTTTGTCCAAGGATACAGTTTCTCGTCCTGGACTGAGACTTTCTTAAAATAAAGCTCCTGACATGCATACGTGCACGCACACACACACACACACAGCCATTCTCTTTCTGCCTTTCTCTTTATCTTACTCACCACATTACACATGCACACACACACACACACACACACACACACACACACACACACACACACACACACACACACACACGAGCAGCCATCAGGCCTTCTAAGGCCATCCTGACAGCTGAGCGGGGAGGCCGGAGGGCAGAGATGGAGGATTAAGGAAGAGTGCGGCACCACTCTCTTCCATAAACTGTTTTGGAGAGAGCAGCAGTCAGGGGGAGGTGGGGGTGAGGTGGTGGGGGGGGATTCCTTGTGTAAATGAGAGTGAGGACATAAGTCCACACGTAATAAAACAGCCTGGTGATGTACTGTTCTTTATTGGTGTTCCTCAGAGTGTTCGATCACTAAATAAACACTGAGGTATTATCAGTGTGATCAATGACTGTGATCAGTTTCTTCCTTTCACTTACATTTATAAAGGTATATCATTATAATTATATTTATTAGTAAAGTATTTCCAGGTCTGAAACTCAAACAACCTGAACATCAATCTGACCCTTTGATTGGTGGAGCCTGTAGGAGCTCGCTCTTTCTGGACCTTCTCATTGGTCATCTTAGATAATATGGTTTATGTTAAAATGTCCTTTATAAACTCACAGGTCATTTTATTAGGTACACCTCACTGGTACTGAGTCTCCAGAACTGCCTTAAATCTCCCGTTCCTCCACATCCCACAGGGGCTCTGCCGGACTGAGATCTGGGACTGTGGAGGTCTCTGGAGTACAGGGACCTTAATTTACTGAAGAAACCAGTCTGAGATGATCTGGGCTCTGTGACGTGGTTCCTGCAGGAACTATCCATCAGAAGATAGGAACGCTGTGATCATAGAGGGGTGGACATGGTCAGGAATAATACCCAGGTGGGCTGTGGGGTCTAAACGAGGCTCAGTTGGTACTAAGAAATTAAACTGCAGCCTCAGTTTCCTGGTCTTAGCCGTCAGGAGCGCCCCCTTCAGGCTGTGAGCAACAAGAGAGAAAAAACTGTCCCAAAGGAAAATGATGGTACTCACAAAAGAGATGCAGGCGGCCAGCAGTAAGATTCTGACCAACAGGTCCTCAAACTGTTCCACCACCAGCTCCCAGATCGTCTTTCCTGGAACAAACACGTTTCTCAGAGTTTAGGGTCAGCTGTTGATTTACAAACACGGTTTTAATTAACTGGTTATTCGTCCTAAAATAAAGACTCATATCTGAACTGATCAGTGTTAGGTACAAAAGGAATTACTTTCAGCATGTTGTGACTGATTTTACCTCAGAGACATTTATCACATGTCATTTTTTTAACTTTAAACTGACTGTTTTGAAAAATGTAAGTTAAATAAATAAAGGAGAAAACCTTTCTGTTTACAGTCAGACACATTTCCAAACAGCTGACTGTTTGTTCTGAGAACATTATTAGAGATGATTTAGGTCTCAGAGGACAGAGATGACAGGTGTCTTCATCACAGGAAGTGAGGGGAACAGGTGTGAGTGAAAAGATGAACTCTGTGGTCTAAACATGAGGAGTTAAAGATGTTTGAAGTGGACTCACCCTCCTCTGCTGGCAGCTCTGTGGGTCAGAGAGAGAAAAACAACAAACTGTTAACAGGAGAAGAACTGAACATCACACACCAGGATCTGAACATCTCCTGATGGAAAACCAAAACACAGAGTCGACCTTCACACTGACCCCAATCATCCTGTTAACTGTCGCACTGTCAGCTGGGATCCTCAACACCAGCCCAGAGTTGTTTACTGCCGTTACCATGGTAACGTTAAAGAGACGTGTCTGATACAAACTCTTCTTTTGTAAACACACACAGACAGCGTCGTCTTGTTGTGGTTTTGGTTTAGTTTACGTTTCTTCTACTGATTATAGAGAAATGTCGTTTTTAGATCCAGACACTTTAAATATTTAAGAGTTAGAGAAAACGAACGCTGAACATGAAGGTACAGAATAACAGACAGGAGCATTATCTAAGAGAAAACAGCACCACCAGCAACGCATTACTTTAACAAACATGTATTAGTGTAAATTTATCTTTGACATGTTTGGTTGTTCGGTGAACAGATGGAGGTTTTTGTTCTGTGATTTTGTTTCTAGTTGTTTGTTTTTTTGTTGTTGTTCTTGAAGTTTGAGATTAATAAGAAGAATTTTCAGTTGTTGAAGTTTTTATTAAAAAGTGAGAAATGATCACCTTCTCCCACTCTTGTGTGTCGATTCATTTTGTGAACTAAACAAATCATCACAAGTATTTAGGTAAGGAGTGGTTTGTTTTTACATTTAAAATGCAGACCTGTCACTATTAAGTCTCACTGATTAACTCTATTTTACATCTCAAATTTAACAATCTGGCCTCCAATCACAGCTCCTCCAATCACAGCTCCTCCTGCTCTCTCTGTGACGTAAACAATCTGCAGGGCGCACGTGACTTCCTTAAGTTTGTCAAACAGATCAGATCTGAAGGTTTTAGTTTCGTTTTATTCTATCAATATTAGATGATCGACTTTTATCTGTTTGTAGTTATTCTTAGTCTCGTGCAAGATCCAAGAAAAACGCAGGAAATCAAAGTGAGGAAGTTGACTTTGTGTGAAACTGATGAACCAAAAGTCACTGAGTTTGAAATTATAACTGGATGTTTTCATTAAAAACACTTTTTGATGTTTAAAAGAGGTCACCAAAGGTTACACACACAGCACCCGAGCATCTATTGGTCAACAAACTCCTTCTTATTTAACTTCTACGTCTGTTTCTACTCTTCTATCTTTCTAAACCCTTTCAGTAAACTCTGTTTCTTCCTCCATGTCTGTGCATGTTGGTCTGCCTGGGCCTCCCCATCCTTTGACTACTTAACCACTAAAACTGCATCTTTCCACAGGACAGTGAAACACCTGCCGTAACTATCCGTCCTCTCAGCCAAAGCAGATCATGCAGATTTGTAGAAAGTACAAAAAATACACAAACTGCACCGAGCAGAACCGCTTAAAGAGAACTGTTTAGTTCAGTAAGTTTGGACTGACCTCCTCTGGTGCAGGTTTAGGATGTCTAAACGCCGTCACCTGCAGCACAACAGTCAGGACGTTTGTTTGGATTTACAGTAAATTTGCTGACTGTCATTTTTCCACTGAAATCAGCTGTTTATCCAAATAGTCCCTCTGTTTAACTGTAAGCAGTGAAGAGGTATAAATACACTTAAAGTGATTTTTCTGTTCAGGTCGGTGTTGTTGACATTTTAGTCTCTAAATAACTTTCAGAACTTGAAACAAAGATTACTGACAGTGACGAGTCGAGTCTTACAGGGCTTTGAAAAAAAGAGCAAAACAGAGACACACCAGCTGCCATTCCATCCATCCATCCATCCATCCATCCATCCATCCATCCATCCATCGCTCTCTCTCTCTCTCTCACCATTGTAGCCATACTTGTCCAGGTTCTTCTTAACCTGCTCAGGTGAGAGGCCGCTGTCTTCAGTAACGCCAAAGTGGGACAGGACGTCTCCGGACTCTTTGGTGTGTGCGTTCTCCATCCTGGCTGAAACGGAGAGGCTTCAGAAACACAAACACTCACATCAGTCTGAGACAAACTCTGATTACAAAAAGAATAATCTGATCAATCTTGGTTCACCCACCACTTTCTTCAGGTGTGGGATTGGGATTAAAAACTGGCAACCCCCCTACGTTCACTCTCGACCCCCTCTCTCTCGCTCTCTCTCGCTCTCTCTCTCTCTCTCTCTCTCTCTCTGGGCTGGTGCTCTCCTCTCGGAGCCCTGGACTGACAGAAAGTGCAACCCGGCAAACTGTCCTGAAAAGTTTTATACACATGAAAAAGTGGCCTCATTGGTGCTTGCCCACCATGCACTCACCTCTTATTGGCTGAGATGGACACAAATAGGTGGGCAGGGGTGGCCCTGTGGTAAAGAATAGGATGGATGGGGGGGCTGGGGGAGAGGGGAACAACTGCAGAGGGGTTTGCTGCCTGGCAAGCTGGAAATAAGATGTGCAAAAGAGAGAATGCATGGTCAGGACAATGGGGGGAGGGAAGGGGAGGTTTGTGAATGAGAGGCAGGGGACACTGATGAGAACATGACAGAGGACTGATCCGTGTGTGTGAGGAACTCTGACCACAAGTGAAGAAGGAAAGGTTACTCCTGTTTTAACTTTAAAACTAACACAGTAAGGTAATTCATCAGGATGAACTTTAATTTGATTATTAACTATTTTCAGAAATAAAATGCGGAGAATAAGATTCGGTTTCACTTCGAAAATGTTCCGCCGTTTGAAAAGTTCCCCGACTTATCCTGTAGATGGCGCTACAGTGACCTCCTGACAATCTTCATCCACTAACTACCTCACAGTGACGGATCTGAAGCAGCAGCTCAGGGACACGGAGGAGAGTGGTCCGCCTCAACGGGAAATAAACCAGTTTTTGAAAAACACAATAAGTCAACAAGTTTCTGTTCAACCCACTTCACCATGTTCCCTGCTGTGCTGGTCTCGGTCACGCCCACTTAACGCTGAAGCACCATGTTAATGAAGCTAAAGTTAGAGTTAGCCACCTGCTATATCTACAGTATATCGTATACTGTATACAAATTTTTTATAACTTCATAAAACATTTAAATATTTTTTTCCCCCCCTAATAATCAGTATCAGCATCAGCCCAAAAAAATCCACATTGGTCGGGCCCTAATACAGTCACATACAGACCCTCCTGACTGTCCAATCACCTTCGTTCTTAGTGATGCCTTGTTATTTATGACTCTTGATCTGACTAGAATCAAAACAGAAAGAAGACAAATTTAAAAGATGTCCCCCGGACAGTCTGACATACAAAGACATGTGCTTTAGACCAAACATGTTTGTGAGTGTGTCAGTGATGACTGTGTACCCTCTCACATTTGTGTTGATCTTATGATGTTAACGCTGACCTTCCATGTGAGGGGTCACAGCCACAGAAACACTCACATGTCTGAGTGGTACAAATTTAAGAACCTCTGTAGAGACAACCAAAGCTTAGCTGTTGGGACAGTATACAGATATTTGTGCAACCAGCTGTTTTGGTTTCACTTTAGGGAACTGTCAGGTCAGTCTTACAACACAGTTTGTATTTGTTATGATAAATCCAATGGTCATCGTATGACATCTTACTGGTTACCTGATCGCCCTTTGACCTAGGACTGGGCGATTCTCTGATCGTGACAAATTTCACTTCGACCACGGTGATCAGCTGTGAGCATATTTACTCGATCAAACATGGCGGAAATGTGCGTGACAACAGCCAATCAGAGTCGAGCTCTTCCTGCTCACTTCTGTAAGTTGACAGAGAAGTAAACAGGAAGTAAACAGAACGACCGAACGTGGAGCTAAACACGGAGCTGAGGGCAGTCGTGACTTTGAGTCATCCTCTGAAGATGTTATTGTTGAGAAGTTATTGATCGCCGTTAGTATGGCGGTGGTTCAAGTATCTTCAACATGACGTTGAGTAATTTATCTGATGTGTAAGGTATGTTGGCGCTCAGTTCCGGTCAGTTGTGTGTTTGTCTATGCATTTGTGTGTGCGTGTGCTGGTTCTGTGCGGCCCGGCGTGCTGCTGTGGGCCGGCTGCAGCAGTGCAAAGCTGAAGGTGGCTCAGTGACATTTAGCTCAATCTCCCCGTGGGATCAGGTTACAGCAGCTCATCCTAAGCACTGCGCTCTAATGCTAATAAAATACAGCAGTGATAATGCTGCACACACACAAACATACACACACACACACGATGAACACACACATGAACACACTCATGAACACAAACCTCAGTCTACTGCTTTTCTCCATGTTATATTGGACTAAAACATCAGACACTTATACTCAGTATATCAATGATAAATCACTTATTTCACTGTGAAAATGAACCTTTTTAGATTTATTATTCGACCTCCTTAACTCTCAGAGGAAATGTGACTGTCTGGAGATTTTCCTGAACTGACCAAAATAACCAAGTGTAGCGTGGTTATCCTCATGTAACCTGTTAGTGGTCAAGGTGCTCTCAACCTGAGGGTCAGTTTGTTCTGTTTCCTGTTGTGATTGTTTACTTAAGGGTATTTAAGTCTAAGGATATATCACTCAGGAGAGAGACAGACAGAGACAGAGAGGACACAGTAATCCTCATCCAGGACGTCCTCCAACACTGACCCTTCACTGACTCTCCGGTCTGTCAAGATCTGATATCAAACAAATCAGTTTACTAAGATCAGACGTACATGTTTGTAGAATTAACCGTGTTGTAGTCATCTCACCAAAAATCCTTTTAAAATAGAAACATAAGGTCTTTTTTAATACAACATACAACATTTAATTAATTAAATACAATATTTAATAAAAACATAACGAGTTTTTTATCCTTTATTATGTTTTACAGTGTTTTTAACTATTTCAGGTCGTACGTGTGGAGAATCTTTTAGTAAGTCCAAAGTAATGATTCCTGGACGTTTATTTAATTGCTGCAGTTATTGTGTATTTTTTGTTTCTTTGTGTTTTTGTTTTTGTCCTCTCACAGTGGACTTATTCTTGTTCCCACTCAAACGATTATTTTGTGTGTAATGACTTGGAGCTGGGACAGGGACAGGCTTGACTGTGATGTAATGAGAGAGTGTGTGTGTGTGTGTGTGTGTGTGTGTGTGTGTGTGTGTGTGTGTGTGTGTGTGTGTGTGTGTGTGTGTGTGTGTGATGAAGGCTTGTTGGCAGACGGCTCAGTGTGGGAGGTGGGCACATCATGACTGCCTGTAGCTGCTCATCACTGTGATTGATACAGGAAGTACTTTGGGGGAGGACGGCGAGGGCCAAGAGCAGCAGCAGGGAGAGCTGCGGTGGGTCTGTGACTGTGTGTGTGTGACTGTGTGTGTGTGTGTGTGTGTGTGTGTGTGTGTGTGCGTGTGTGTGTGTGTGACTGTGTGTGTGTCTGTGTGTGTGTGTGTGTGTCTGTGTGTGTGTGTCACTAGCTGGGCAGCTGGGGTTTGAAGTGCCTCACTGTAACTGTACCTATAGCAGCAGTTGTGCTCCTCTGGTATAAATAGAGCGGTGGGCATGTGGGCCGGCAGTCATGACACAATGGCAGAATTTTCAGTGTTCTTTCAGGGAAGGTTGGAGAATGTGACACCCTGCAGACGAGAAGCCCTACAGACACTCCAGAGCAGCTTCAAGGTTACATGAAGGTGCAGTGGTCTGCAGAGAGTCTGTGTGCAAACAGCACTCTGCTCTTCCTGTTTCACTGTCTTCACACACTGACACTGACCATTAAAAACACTTCAGCATTTTGATGTACCAGTTCTTTTCTTCCAGAAACCTAATGATAAAACTGATACCACTGTTCTATCTGTAAGACTTATTTAAACTCTCTCAACCAGCGTAGAAAAGCAGTAATTCTCTGACCCTCACACAACCCTCAACACGGGAGGAAAAGTGCTGCAAATGTCATAACGATGCAAACTCAACAACACAAACAAATACATAGGCAGCAAACAGAGGCAGCTCGACCCACCCAACACGAGGAAGAGGAGGAGGACCTGGTTCGGAAAAGGGCGCTAGACACGACATTGGTGATCAAAAAACAAAACTATACAAAGAGTGTGGTGTGTCTGTCGTTGTTGGAGGTGGAATCACCAACAACCTCTTCCACCACCTAACGCACCTGCTGCACCAAAAACTAAAACTGCAGCAGCTCCTCGCTGCAGAGTCTCTCACCATATGATCAAAAAAATCACCAGACTGGTCCGACATTTAGTTTGTATTTGAATCAAAATCAGAGTTTAAAAATAAAAGTGAACAAATGAGACAGTTTGGTTAGTTTTAAGACATTAATTGGATTTACAGGGGTAAAAAAACGTACCATGATATATACCGTTACTGTGATATAAGATTTTGTTTATAGCGCCCAACACTAATCCAATCATAGGTGTGAATGTACTTTTATGTCTCTACTCATTCCAGACATCTCCTGCCTCACATCTCCCGTCTCCTCAACAGCTCGGGATTCCTGTCTCCTCCTGCACCTGCTCCATCACTTTACTGCCACGTGCCTAGAAGCCGTCTCTCTGGAAGTAAACCAAGGCTGGCCGCTCTCTTAAGTGAGTGTGTCCCTGAGAACATGAAGTGAAGACACACTTGGGCTCTCGTGTTTCTCTGTTATGTCAGAACCAGAGTGCCTCCCTTCTCTGTGGTCCAAGGAGAAACTAGAAACTGATTAAGAGCCGCTTCCTCCTCAGAAGATCTGCACGCACGCATGCACGCACACACACACACACACACAATCTGCAACAATCTTTGGTTGTAAAAAAAATATATTTTTTTCATTTTTTAATTAATCCGGTGATCGGCTGAAAACGATCATCTATTAATGTTCTTCCCGCTCCCGTCCCGATCACAGGATTGCCCAGGATTGGTGGGCATCCCATCATGCATTGCGTCTTGCCATGTAGTGTCAGAAACCTCTGGTGATTGAGTTCACTACATAGTCAGATATATAGTGAAACCCCATATGGGGGTTAGGGGTTGATTTCGGACACAGCCCCTGACTCTGAGTCATCCTCCGAAGACGCCATTCAGGGTTTTTCCTGGCTCAAATTGAGGCAGAGGTGGCACCATCCTGACCATGCGCCACGACGTGCATGTATTTGTAAATTCAACCGATTCACTTTCTTTTACAGGCAACATACTTTAAGTTAAGAGTTCAAAAAAGAGTGTGACCATTATTATGTTAAAGCATTCATTTATTAAAACTATATACATACACAAA